TTTTATCACTAACATATCTACTTAGGATGGCATGTTCCACAACTTGACCTACGATAGCTGGGTAACCTCCGTCAAGCCCAAGGTTCTCGGAAGCTCCAACTTGCACGAGGTGACAAAGGACCTTGACCTAGACTTCTTCATCATGACCAGTTCAGTATCCGGTACCCTAGGTACTCCTGGTCAGAGCAACTATGCTGCCGGTAACGCCTACATGGATACCCTTGCTCGTCTCCGACACACTCAAGGCAAGCGTGCCGCTGCCATTGTCTTGCCCATGATTCTCGGTGTTGGTGTCGTTGCTGAGAATGCTGCCCTTGAGGACTCCCTCAAGCGCAAGGGTATGTACGGTGTCGACGAGGATGGTCTCCTTGACTCATTCGAGGTCGCCATCGTCGAGCAGGCCAACCCTGAAGCTGTTGACTTCGACCACGTGGTTGTCGGACTTGACCCATCGCTTCTCGCTAAGGCCAAGGCTGAAGCCGAGGGTGACGTCGATGTCTTCTGGGCTGTCGACCCCCGATTCTCTACTCTGCTACACGCAATGGAGTCCGGAAGCAAGGGTGACGTTGGTGGAGGAGCAGACTCCATCCTTGCCAGAGTTAAGAACGCAGCAACCCCCGCAGAGGCTGTTGCGGCCGTCGAGGAACACTTCATTGCTAAGCTTTCGCGTGTTCTCATGCTTGACTTGGAGGACTTTGAAGGAGAAGGCCGATCCGTTGCCAGCTTCGGTATCGACAGTATGATCGGTGCCGAGCTGAGGAACTGGATCTTCAAGGAGCTTGGCCTTGACATTGCCTTCCAGCAACTGTTGGGACCATCACTCACCATCAAGGGCTTTGCTCAGCTGGTGGTTGCAAACCAGGGAATCCAGATTGAGTAAACATCTCATGTATTACTCACTCCCTCCCACAATACCAATAAGAAAAAAACCTAGAAAAGGATGGATTAGGTTTCTATTTGTTTTACCAATACTGTATATAGAACTCTACTGGGTGTCATGAGTTAGTATGATTTACTTAGAAGATTAGAGTGTTAAGATAGCCAGATCAATACATGATGGCAATAAGAATCAGGAAGTCTTTCGCACATCAATCAGTGATACTACCATTACATTTACTATGGCATGTCTATGGAAGTAGTTATCTCTTCACACGCTTAATTATTTTCAAAGCAAAACCACATTTGTATAGTCGACAATGATTTCACCAAGTTCACTTTACTTAGGTAAGGTATGCCATTTTCCGTAACCGTCACTCAAGTTTGAATAATGAAAAATTCTAGCATGTAATAAGAATCTTATTCGACTTGGTTGGTCAGATATTGCTGACGGATTTTCCATATAGGTACCTCCTTGCCTTATCCATGCCTACACGCGGGAAACCGATAATATCACAAAATGATCTGCAACTTACATTCGAAGGATTGTGATTGCAAGTACGATTCTTAGTGCTCCAAAGAAAGTCGCCAATAGTATTTGACATGTAGTATTTGAAATAAGACTTTCACGAGACACTAAGTAGATTCAAATTTGCTATGAGCGGTTCGGAGACAATTCCGGGCTACTCTCCCAGCCACTCAGAAGTGTCTAAACAAATGGTTGCATGTGTGTATACTAAACTCATTGTCCTGGCTTGTTAGGCCCATAGTCCTTCGCGCATCGTATCGTGCGATAACCGATTTCCTTCTACTGCCGTGTCGTATTGGTAAGAGCAAAATCCGGTACGGTATCTCCCGGACCAAATATGATCGCATAATACTTCTATGTAATCATCATCATCATCGACTATTCCACTAAACTGGATTCGAGTTCTCTACAGAATCATGTGATAGTGAGGTGCCGGTGCTACGATTACAAGCGCAAATAGCTCCTCCGGATTACGCCTAAAGAGATTAATAAATAAATTATATTGAAGGAAATACCATCGCGACGGCAAATTCGTTATTATCACGGGGGATCAATACCGAAGGTTCGCCGATCAATCTACTAGTTTCGGGAACGCTGGCCGCTGTCCGTATCCGGCCGAACACCGGCCTCCTTCCCCATTGCCTATTGCCTCCCTTCAGAATCGCGGGACTAAGTCAAACAATGGTGACTCTCCATGTGTTTCCAATCGGGAAGGGCGGCCGATCCGGTGCAAAACTTGGTCAACACACGGGAGCGCCATGCCAGTACCGTTCCTAACATATAACAATAGATATTTCATTTATTTCATTGAATTAACACATAAGATATAAGTTGATATAGTTCGCAAGAATCGCTTCCAAAGTAATCGCGCTAGTCTTTTCTAGATGGAATTATTTAATTTCTTGTAGATCCTACCTCCGTATAAGTGCCTAGGGTTCCTCTTGGGGAGGCTTGAACTGACTGATTGGCATAGAGCAATATTCAGTAATCGACCCCCTTATCAACTCGATACATTGGTCTCAATATCCCATATTATCTGCGTTAGGTGGGGGGCGTTTTGTCGTCGTGGGCAGCGTGTCTGATTGATAGGTAGGCAGCGTAGCGCGCGCGATCGCTTTTGGAGAGAGAACTCCCCGGAGTTCCTAGTCTAGCGAAGTCTTTTTCTCCAAGAGAACCTCGACGAGTCGTTACGGTCCTTATGCGAAGATATCAAGACACCAAGAAACCAAGACCAAACGGTGAGACCGCGCGTCGACTCTCCCCCTTAACAACGGCCGTATCGTAACAACAACGAATTATTATGCTTAGGAAGTTGACTCCAAATAGCCCCAGCCTGCTCCAGCCTGGTCCAGTCTACCTAACTTAAGCCTACTCTAGCCTAACGTTGAAAAACTTGCTATCTTGGCCGTCATCCTTTCTAGTGCTCTAGTGCTCTAGTGGAGGACGTTTACGATCAAAAGAGACTTGATTACGAGACCCTCATTTACCCTCCTTTACCCTTTAAGTATTAACCCCCCGCCACCCCACTTAGTACATAGCTTCAGTGGGGCGATGGGAGGACCTGTGGGGAACTTTACTTTACCTTAGCCATCCTGCCATCAAGGCCAAAGCGAGGGGATGGGTCTTTAACATGGCTGCTCCGACGCGGCACGGGACGGCTCGCCCTGCAGGTACGTTTATTTATACGATGAAAAATGTCACTTGCCGTTTCGGCGCCTCGGTTTAAAACAGTACGAAAAGTGTTCATGTTACAAAAACTTTTTTTTAATGTTATTATAATAAAATAAACGTATAAACAATAATATTAATAAAGTTATATAAATATTTATTATAATTAACTTAAATATTTAATTATAAAATATAACATGAAAAGTAAAATGATGAATAAACATTACGTAAACTTTTATATAATTATTAATATAACGTTATAAGTCAGCCAACTTTGAATTCGGCGTTATTTTTCCTCCTTTCGGGACATGTAAACCGATCTTCGTAAGCTTGCAGATGTGCAGGCGGCAGGGCAGCGTCTAAGGGTCTTACTCATACATGCTTGTTAAGCTTGCATACATATGTAAAGAGATGCATGAATGAATAGGCTGCAGAAAAGCCCATGGGGAGTCGTCGTAATCGTACAAGGGCATATTTCCCCCTCCTCCTTCTGCCCTATCTGCATTACGTGTGGATGTCGACGCATAGCATATAGTAACATAATAGCAGAGTAGCAGAGTAGCAACAATCCCTCTGGTGGATCTGCTGCTTGTTTCGACGGCACTATCATGCTTATCTATCCCTCATGTCTGTCTGCCGCATATCCAATCCTACGTCATGAGCGTCTGCAGTCCACAATCAAATCAATAGGCTCGCATTTTACCAGGGCAACTTTAGACTGGACTAGACAAAATGTAGGCCGCCATGGACTGACTTACCCAATAGGGAGGTGGATCAACACTAGCCTCCGTGACATAGTCTACATGGACATGAATCTTTTAGGAACTATTATTCGTACATATACGCACGTAGCGTATGTCCCTGGGCATGTAATGTACATATGCACGTATGTGTAGAAGGACAGGGAAACTCGAAAACACGAGAGGAAAGCAGAATTACGTATCCCTGCGACACCGGAGTGGCGGAAGTAAATCTTAAGGCCGTCAGCGACGACGGCGATACTGCTTAAGGGTTAGATGCTGCCGTGGAAGTGCACGATCTGTCTTTCTACCTCAACTTCTGTCTATCTCTCCTTTTTTTTTCTTTCTTTCCTCTCATACTACGTGATGTAGTAGCGTGGTATTTTGTCCCTTGGGCTCTACCTGGAACAGGCTTCAATACAACCTGCCATTCGGTCACTCGGTATTGCATCATATTATATATTTATAGCTAAGGTAATATACACGTTGATAGGTACCTAGGTAGGTATTGGTATGTAGATAGATATATTGAGAGATGTGATAGACCATCACGATACATTATACTTACTCCAGTTCGCCGGAAATCACCGCACCTCTGCCTAAGATGATTAGGGAATCTCCGCTTGTTGAATGATAGAGACGGTGATTCACACGTGATTTATTGTTAGGAAGTCCTAGATTCCACTGTGATTACATCATGCTATAGAATATTAGGCATGCAGCTCGTGATGGAGATGGGATGATCGTTGAAGGATTCCTAGTGCTTAGCAGCCCTATACATCACAATCGAGATAATCGTCACAGTATAAGACACCTTATAGAAACATGATAGTTTGAACCTTTTTCTATTTTTAGCCGCCGCATCTGAGAGACTCCGGCGACGACCTGTATATGCGTTTGTCTACATAAAATATGCTGCTCTAGCTAGGGCTTGCTTGGGCTGTTCAAATAGCCAAGCGGGTCTAAATTGCATAAAAACTCCTGAGGTGATGTTTTCCCTCCTTTCTATGCTTAGCGCTGTATCCGTTATCCATGCTGCTAGCAGAGCGGCTCGGCTTTGACCCCAGTTGGGATGTGAATATCCTGTACTCCTTTCTTGCAACAAAAACAAAAACAAAAAGATTCCTTTACAATGATGACTTCACCTGCACGTGTAAATATCCATCCCATACCTTGGCCAAATAAAATCATATGTCACTAGGGTCATAGCCGCTGGTCTCGTCCCACTCTTGCAGCGCCGCCACTATGTTAGCTGTACACCGATGCCAGTATCCATCTGACTCCTCAATATAGTCCAACGCGGCTCGGAGTAACCGTAAAGATGTCACTGCGCTGCTCGTACTTTCGCTCTTCAGTTGTGTGGAACCTTTGAGTTCACGGCTGAGAGCCTTCATGGCCATCACTACCGGCCACGCGAGGAATGTGGCCTGCAGGTTGAGGATATCACGGTCGAGCTGCTGACAGGGCCAGTTTAGACGCATAGTACTCGCAACTTTATAGGCAGCGGCCATCGAGCGCTTCTGGCTCTCAGCCGCGGCTAAAAGCGGATATCCCTGCTGTTCCACCAGCTTGACGGCAACCTCGTGGAAGAATATTTCGGTACCGCGTAGGTTCATGTAAACGCTGAAAGCTATAGGATCCTCGCGGACCGATTTGGCGTTTAGATGCATATGTAACATCGTAAAACGCTCTTCTATTACCCTCACCAGATTGTAGTGACTGTCCCACTGTGATAAATAAAAGAAAATGTCAGTATATGCTTCATTTTGTAAGGGGCAATATTACCGGAATTTGGAAATATAAACCACATATTTGAGGCTTATAAGGAACTGGGGTTTAGAATTCCGATTATTTGTAGTAAATACAGGAAAATAACTTACGAAACCATTTCTTGTTGATGCGTACTCCGCTAGTCGTCCATGGTCGAAACATTTAATAGCAAGCTCCATCATCAAAACGCAGCCTGCAAATGATGATAATTCGGGACAAGGATCGGCCGTTAAATTACCTAGATAAGGCATTTTGGTTGGGGTGAACTCGGACGTTAGTAAGCCGGGCGACGGGAGATAGATGCCAAAGCCCTAATTCGTCTGGTTAGTCGTCGATCCTGATATTAATCAGTTGTGGTTTCACATACATCGGCAGCCCCCAGGTCACACTCCATCCCAGTACGCACGCGAACGAAGCCCTCAAATATGTATAAGCCCCAGAACGAACGTCTCCGTTCCTCCATGAGCATGGGGTCATCTGTGGGCGGGAGGTAAAGCCCCATGTCCAAGCCCGTATCGTCATGCTTGATATTTTGGTCCATTTGGTGTAATCCCATCAATTTCGACATTCTCACCGCGCGTCCCAGCGTCAGCCAGGCCCTCGTTAGTTTATGATCCATGATTTCGAACCTTATGATGAAGATGAGCGCCTGGAATAGGTTGAGGTTTGCTGTGCCTCCTTCTGCTGCTTCTCGTTCACATTGCTCGGCATAGTTGCGAGCCATGGTATAGTATGTATTTTGTAAATGATGATATTGTAATGAGATGGTACAACCCATTAGGGCCACTGCATAACTTAGAGCACGAAATGCGGGTGAATTTCCATTTGTGGAGAGTTCCGCAGTAAAGCGTTCTTTGCTCAGAAAAGGCAGATAATAATAAATAAAGTCAAAATAGTTCTGATGTAGCGCAGCCAAGTCCCACGCCGGTACCTCATCTTCATGGCTGGAAGATGGCATTATTTGAGGCGGGAAGGATATGCTTGGCGGTGTTAGAGAAGTCGGGCTCACGGTGGGCTCGAGGAGCGGGAGTGATAATGTTGTCCAGTCTAACGATAAACCGGAAGTGCTTTCAGGATAGTCGTTACAGTTGGTAAAAAGGTCCATATCGCTTCCGTCTATAGAAGATAAACTTGTCTCACACGGGAGAGTAAGATCCATGTCCATAGCACTGCTTGGTTGGTTGGTAGATTGTGATATCTCCGTGATGGTTGGATCTATCATAGTAGGTGTTGGGGGTTTTTCGACATGCGGAGGAGTAGGAATTGTATGGCTCCTAGGCATGGAGAGGAGTGCTTCGGCCTTGGCTAGTCGGTCCTCAAGCTGTGAAAGTTGCGCTGGCAGATCATCTCGAGTCGAACGCCGCTTGTTATCGTAACCGCATCGTAGGCTTAGACGAGTACATCGTCCACATCTAGGTTCGGCGCGATCACATCGAACTTTACGCTCTCTGCAAATCTCGCAAGCCTGACGGCCAGATTGTGTCCCCGTCCCAGTGCTCTCCTTATTACCCCACTGCGGTGTCATAGAGCCTCTCCGTGCTATATTTGCCATCGTCATTGAGAAAGAAATGGTCGGTGCAATTTTAAGGTTGAACAAGAAGGTAGGGGGGAGAGGGGTATAGAGATATAGATGTATAGGTGTGTAGGTGTACAGGTGTATAGGTGTATAGGTGTATAAAGGCACAGAGATCAAGAGGTCTATGTAGAGGCTCAGAGATCTAGATGTATAGAGGCCTAGAGGTCCAGTTGTATACTGAGGTATAAAGAGCTTTGATAACTACAAACTACAAAACAACTACACGATTACCTTATGTATCACGATTAGGTATGTATGGCATTTAAATTAAGCTTAACTGGAGGTTCGCATTTAGCGTCGACCACGATCAATTGTACCACAACCGACATGCAGCCGATGCGTGTCAGCGAAGCATTGCAGATTTACAGACTAACCCTATAGGCCGCCAACATGCGTTCAAGGTTGCTAATGTGTTTACTTAGGAATGCTAGGCAGGAGGAGTACTTTCTACCGGAAGTTCAACACTGCCTAGATGGGTAAGCTAGTGTCATATCGTTCCCTTCCATGGCTATATCTGGGTCGCGGGATATGAAACACATCGTTTCTGAAGCAGATCTCTCCTGCGGGTATGACAAGATCCCCTAGAACCTCGATACGCGGACAACGACAGGGGAAGAAAAAAAAAATCAGATAAAATTAAGGTTAGTATACCTAGGTATGTATAGTATATTAGGTATACATACGTAAGATAAAGCTCACCGAGGTGGGAATAAAAATATTCTGATTGGTTCAACCATCGAGCAAAGTCAGATGATGCGCATGCTTGATGCTTCAAGGGTTGTTATAATTTAACTTGCCGAGCCGTAGGGCTCTCTCTTTTGTCTATCCTACATGTGGGCTAAGTCCAAACCCCGGTATATGAAGACGAAGGGTCTCGTCAATGTTTGCATAACTACCTCCTAACCTAGGTACCTAAGGTATCTAACCTAAATGCTTAATGAATAAAACAATATGCACCTGTGGCGTTGTGATATGACACTATTCCGCATTAAAAGCGTAGATAATGTCATCACCAACTATATACTGAAGAAGAGCTTAGGTATCAATCAATATAATCGCCACCACATGGCTTTTCTTATACGGATTTATTGGTTAAATAATAGTTTTCTTTTCCCTTTTGATAGTCGCCGTTACGCCCAAAGAGCTCTCAAGTTAATATATAACTATTCAAGGATAAAATGTTATACCTATATTTCATCATACACACGCACACATGTAGTGTAGACGCCCTTTGCACTTGGCTACCCACTGTATTAAACTCAATGAAAGAGTCAAGAACTTCGTAAGGATCTGGGATGCCGGTACCCAGTCTATGTGGATAAGTATGTAACGATAAAGGTACATGGGCGGAATGTGACAAGTGGGTCTATGACCTTGCGTTCGACGTCCTGCACGATATCGACGAGCTGGTGTCGTTATTCACAGATAGCTGGCGAACCACAAGCGAAGTTAGATGGCTGCTTCGACGGATGGCATAATAATATGCACAGCAGCAACTCTTCGCATCATGTGGACCTACCTTTACTCCCTCATCGGCTACTCAAACGCAGCCACTGACTGCATTCATGATCTTTTAGAAAGATCGCAGCGCTCGTAGCGCTGACCTAAGCGGAGACGAGCATCTCAGGCAGATGAGAGCGCTTTGTATGCTTTCTCGGCGCTTGGCTTCGGTTTCGTTAACCTATGGATCTGTTAACCCAGCCTGGTGGCAAATACGTAGGTGGCTTTCCGTAAAAGTCAACCTATAGATTCTCTCTGGCACAGCTACCGGGGTCGAAGCCAGTTGTCACGTTCGTGAGGAGGATTCCAGCCATTGAAGCACCTGGCGCAACGGCTAAGTCATACATGAAGAGATTAAGTGTAGAAGGGAAGGTGAATACCTAGATCGGCCAGTCCTTCGGCACGGGGATATCGTGGGCGCGAACTTAATCCGGCTCGAGATGAACGAGATCTCTACAGGGTGGTGTGGAGATTGTACTTTGTGATAGTGTAGTGTATGCATAGCCGTAGCCGAACGTAGTCAAGGATTATCATCATAGCGCCCGTGGATCTTCTGCACAGCTACTTAACCCCGTACAACCAGATATAAGGAAGATGCGGATAGCCAAAGAGGGATCGTTTAGGATTGGGAAAGGATCTTCTCAAGGAGTGGCAAGCCGAGAACAGGTCTGGTATGCTCTTGATATGTAGCAAGAGGTCTAGGCTTTGAAGATAGTAACACTGCGGCATCCTATAAGCTGACACGAGGCAAGATATCAGGTAGATTTACAACTGCAGGGACGTGATTATAGTTTTGGACGGGACGATCCGATTGGATCGGAAGATATTACTTGCACAAAGGTTCGTTCCTATAAAGAGCCCTTGTATCGTACCTTGTAGCTTACCATTCTGTAGCGGGACACTATGAAAGCAACCCCGGTTAGCTAACCCTTTTGAATAGTAGAAAAAAGAAAAACGGGAAAAAGAGTAACCTATCTACATGGTATAGCACATATGTACCTAACTATAAGAAATTCGTACCTACCTTTTTTTGGTCGAGTAAATGGTCCTCTCACCCGGCGATGCTAGGGGCCATGAATATGTTCCCCATAAAACCCATCGACAGGGATATATAACCTGGACGCGTCCAGTCAAAATATAATAATATACATAGGTACATACACTAAATAAAGTGTATTACCCTATAAGGAATCTCCAGTCCGTCTTGAGCCAATCGGACTTTTTGTATATATTTTTAAGGGTTTAGTTATGTGCCTCACTCGCGCTTCGGGTGATAACGCACTAGTATCTCCTGCTGTAACTTTTGCTGCAACTACTGCATCCACGCTCCATTCGCCCAGTCGCCCAGAGACCTTGTCAGTGACCTTGCACATGTAACAACCTTGCACGACCTTATACATACCTTGCAAGGCCTTGCATATCCCCTGCCCACGGACAAAAAGTCCCTACTTTTAGGTAGCAAATAAGGAAGGTCGGGACCATTTTTATAGGGCAATCATTCATACGAATTAAGCAATTATCATACCACTTATATGGGAACATGATTTTGGAAGGAAAAGGAAGAAACTACTTTACATAATTATTCTTCATACAGTCTAGGTTACAGCCTACCTTGGTCCACCCCCAATACTGCCAAGCACGCAGCTCCTCTTCCCGCGCAAATTCCTTCCCAATGTCACTTACCAGGTTCTTTCTACCCATAAGCAGCTCATGCATGCAAATTGCCCAACAATAATTGGTGCTTACGGACCACATTTCCCTGTCAGCATCGAAAGGCAAGGAGGCTCACCAAGTCATCGACATTCACGTGGTTCGTTGACCCAGACTCCACTCAAATCCTGATTCAGAGATTGTTTGCAAATATCCGGCTCGCCCCGACATTGGTGTCCAGTGTCTTGTAATTTCATCTGTCGGGAGTAGACTCTGCCAGCCCGCTCGACCAGCACCGAGAAGATGTGCCCAAGCGTATTTCTTCGGCTAGTGGGAACCGAAACGTGCCCCAGATGCACCGAAAATCCTCGATACCTAAAAGTTCATCCGCTGAATCCATTGTTAGCGACAGCTTCCTTTCTTGACCCTCGCGGTAACTCGTCTCGGTTGTTCCACCGCATCCAAGCATCTAAGCATCCAAGCATCCAAGATCGAGCCAATACGCCCCGACCCGAGATTCGAATAATCATCCCGTCCCGTCTTCCCAGTGACCACTGATTTATATTGCTTATATGGACAGATTCCCATTGTCACGGCATATTATCAAAGCATATTATCAAAGCATAAGTCTTACAGGAACAGCTCTTAGTGAGTTGTATGCCTCAAACTTTTAGTTAACTACTTAATGCAATGATCATTTAGTGCTGATGCTTTCTTTCGTAAGCACCATAGTAACATGTGGGAGGATCCGGCAGAGATCACCCAATCCGGTCGAATAACGGACGGGAAACACACGGCTTCTTGATTACGAAGGAACAGTATACATGAGGAATCGCTATAAAACGGGCGATATCGCTTGTCAGAAAAAGTCCCACGTGACTCGGCTGACAAAAATCTGCTTCCTCGATTTACCTATGGACGACTATCAGACGAATTAGGTATTTCTCTGGGATATCGCATAATGTAACCGTGGGGAACTGCTCAGATGTAAAGCCAAGTTCAATAACTGGTAAACTCCCGATTCTCTCAGCACTAGCGACAACTCATAGGCTGAGATACGAATTTCAAGGAGCCGCTATTTGGTCGGCCCCCAAAAAAGGGAGCGCTACGAGATTATTATGCCAACAAACACGGATACCGCGATGTGACCAAGCAGTGGGAAGGCAACCAGGTTTTGTCGCAGGGAATCAAGAACCTAACTTAATCCGGACTACTGGCCTATATGCATGTAACTCCTTATCCAGGTATCTCAGTGGCCCACGGCGATTTTCCCAACACCAGCCGTAACGTCAAGGAAACTTACGAAGTACGACGTGGATTGGCCCCACCTAATCATGGGTAGACAAGCCTGGATGTCCGTCTCGCGGATGAATTTAAGGAGAGCACATGATTTAGCAGCTCTTGATAACGCTTCTATGACCGCATTGCTGGCAGATCTTACGGGGGGGGCCAGTGGCGATGAGCATCCGCGAGTACGTAGACCCTTGAAAGTATAAGGAGTCTATCCTAAGCATCGAGATGGCTGGATGAAAAGAGTAACGTGGACGTCTCTCCATAGTCCCACATTAGCTCATGTTGCTAGTTGTTCGCGGGATGACATACCAGTTTTCTCGGTTCATGACGGAGCGAGCTGGAGATATAAATTTCCAGCTGTGAAAGAAATATGCATGTATTCGCTGTACGTACCTATTCGACGGATAGGGCGTAGGCTTTTGTTAGATCCAGATGACGTGAGTGCGTTCACATTCGATAGACCAAGTCATCTTCAAAAATCATAGCCATCTAGAGATAGTCGTTAAGAAAAAGAAATGGCGATATAGCAAACTTAAAGTTTCCCTTCATTGTCCAAAATAGCTATAGTCTAGGAGGTGTTTTTTTTATCCAGTCAGAAAGGCCGTTTCATAGAAGGAAGGAAGAAGAGTATCAACATATAGGTACTCATCGGGAGACATGTTGACTTTCCGTTTCCTCTCTGAATAACTGAACCGAATGACTGTCAATGATTAGTCGGCATTCCATGATAGACTAGGATCGTTTCGAATAGTAATAATTACCTAATATAGTGGAATATTGTTGTCTCATTGTAAGTGCATGTAGGGTAGATTCATAAATATACGAACATTCGGTGAGTTGTAGAAAGGCCCTTCCACAGCCTAGCTAAGCCTGAATATACGCAGTATGATAGAACTAATAAGAACGGAAGCACCATTACATAGACGCGGACTGTAATATAGTTATATAAGAAGTTAAGAAGTCTTTCGTACACAAGTCATTAGACCTCGCCTAATATTACAAATGCAACATCTCTACTAGATACCTGGAGTCAACCATTACATATAAACACAAACGAAGAACAAGAGGTAGGTAGTATTGAGCATGCAATGCAAGTCTATATTGGTCTATGAGTTTCCTTAGCTAGTATATCCGGTTCCTGACCGGTGACCACGGAAACGGACAATAGGCCGGCCCATCATGACAGTTCTGAGAGTCGCCGACTCCTCCAATTCCGTTTTCGCAACCCCTTTCTATGCCAATGACAATGCCCCAACGACAAGAGAAACGAATATATGCAGGTTATACGTCCCCAGCACTGCTTTCGAACCAATAATATGTACAAGTCAATTGCACCGTGGACACCATCTAGGCAACTCTATCCGGCCATCTAGGCGTACTCCCAAGTGACCTGGACACGTCCCGCATCCAAGCTTTCAAGCTGCTCGAAGACAACGGGGGACACGTCAATGCTGCCGACAGGACAACCGGGACATTCATCCACAATTGTGGCACTGGCGGTCTTGCCGTTGTAGCTGATGTTGATTGTCCTTCCACAGTTTCCGTCCTGGCTAGAGGACACGGCGACAACGGCATCGCTCTCTGTGTTGACGTTACCGCATGCACCAAGGCCTGGAGCATAATACGTCATGTCACCAGAGAAGGCAACGGATGGGGCAATAAACGCACCCAGAGCAATGACGGCTTTGGCGACAGTGTACATCGTAGATAAGACTAAGTGGTATGTCTTCTGTGCTAGTGTTATGGGTCGGATAATAGTGATGTCTAGACGTAGAGTCAAGGAATGAATGGCTAGTTGCTGGTAACTCTTGGTGCTCCTGCCTGAGGTAGAAGAAAGGAATGTGATGGTATTGATGGTACCGATTGTGTTTTGATGGTAAGGCTCTTCATTCAAAGAAATAGAGGCGGGAGTGAAGGCTTAAATAATTTTTCAACTAAGCTTACATTGTTATTCTGTTCCATCACTAACCAGCTACTTACTCAGTGTACTGCTATGTTTAGCTATTGTTTTGCACCCAAGTAATTACATCGAAACACCTCGGACGTTTGCTGACGTTTGCTAGCTACAACAGGGGCATTTGGTAGGACAGCAACGTTGAGTTACTCTATTGTAAATTAAGGTCATTCAGACTGGGAACCCTAGTCAGCTCACTGTCAAGCAAGCCCATTAATGTAGATGAGTCTGAGTAGTTGACGCCATCGCCTATGTTGTTGCATGGGAAGCTCCCGGTATAGGCAGGTACGTGTGTACGGCTTACAATCCGGGGCCGCACATGGGGTGTCTATTTTAAGCCGCCAAGATGATGACCGTAGGGCGGTTAGTAGGAACTACGAGATAAACAGGAATCGTCACAGGGTAAAGTTGAATATTATTTACCGAAAGAAAAACAAATATAAAAGAAATAACTAAGTTTTCGTAATTCTATGTTAGGTTAACAGGTACACCTAGGTAAAGAATCAACCATCTTTAACTCCGATGGTAAGGAAGGGTAAGTGAAAAGAGCCTCAAAGTCGATGCAAACTTACTCGCGAAAACAAAAAGAGCTTCATTAAGCGTGAAAGGGATTGTTCGTATCTCATCGGTCTGTTACTAAATTGTTGAACAATTATTGATGGGATGAGCAGGGTCAAATCCTCCCGTGTTCCGTGTTCGGGAATACTAAGCCACATGTCCGGGTATGCCGGGCTAACATCATTTAACTCCAGTTTCTCCTTTTAGAAGCTAGTAGCTAGTTCCCGTTCATTACAAGGGTTAAAAAAGCTTGATTGTGAGATTCCAATTGATTGCGCCACGTTCTCCTCAAACCCGTGGTACAACAAAATAAACATCGGATTCAAATGCTTGGCGATCGGCACTCGTCTACTTTAATATATATTGTTGCAGAATTAGTGTTCCATGTAACAACCTGGTTTCATGTAGGGACAATCGTAAAGAGTTTAATATATCCTAAGATGGAATTTCTCTGATTCCGTCACCGAGCTTAATTCAATATATTAAAATAGCGCTTGGAATTACCAACTCTGGTGCAAACTTAGAGCAATATGCTAGGATTTTAAATAGATGTACACTTTTAAATTTTGTATTATCACTGCCCATCCGTCAGAATTAGGTAACTAACCTAGGCGTTTGATTATGTCCAATTATGCTTAACTCGTAAGTTGGTTGCTAATGCCAACTAAATAATTGGAGGAGAGATTGTTATATTAAAGGCCGTGTGCTTGAATGAGAAAATGCATTCCTTGTGTATGGGTAGTGGCTCATACCTTTTTGGCCCTATCTTATTATTCTTGAAACGACACATAATATGCTGTGGTACGTTTGCTGTAGTACGTTTATTGGCGTTGAAAGGATTCACATCTTACTGCTGGAAAAATAGGAAATGTAGTATGATTCGTAGTCCTATATTTTATACTGAAACAATACCACGAATCTTCCCAAGAAGAAAAAGAAGAAAGAAAAGAAAAAATCGGTTAGAAGTGCATGCGCTAAAGTTAATAGGAATACTTAGTTACCCTTTACCAAACCTTTATTACTCAGTATATAACTCGTACTCTAAGATTGTCTTTTAATCGTGATTGTAATACACCTTGAAAGGTACTCGCTAATACCACGTAATCGATGCGACAATAGCAAATTGCATCTGTTATGTAACTATAAAATATCCGTAAGTAAATATGCGGCCGATCGGACACCAAAACACAAGCAGTACCGCATTTGACACGGGAGAAAAGACTCATAATCGGTAGGTAGTAACACGGCGCCTACAGGACCTTTTTGCAACACACTAAATCATAGTAGCTATTACCATCTACTTGACCAGTACGTATTATTCTACGAAGACTGAAGGACCTTACGAACTCCCTCAACACCCGACGAGGGAATAAGCAAAGGTAATCTGATTGAGATATCGTCATATGGACGGGCTTTGATCATGCAACATGTGGATAGAGCCACTAGGTTAGGCACCTAAGGTACCTCTTGGCAGCTGATGGCACTAAATAAATTTGCGGCTGAAAACTAGGACTTGCTCCTGACGTGGATTGATGTGGACTGTTTTCTAATACACCAGGAACATATTCTTTAATCATTTTATCAGGATAGCTGTGAGCGAACAAAAGTTATTTCCGGGGAAACAGTCTTTGTTAGCTACTTGTGTGGCTGTCTATTATAATCATCGAGGCACGTACGATTTAATTTTCCAATCAGATAACAACTCGGCACGACCTACAGCTTATCTACAATCAAGTCAAGTTTTCTGCCTCAAATAATATTTTAAGATTCACCTGCACATTTAGCACAATGTCCTCAAAGAGCGGTCAAGCACCGACTATGGAGTCATTAGGCCTTAAGGAGTCTGGGCTCAACTTCCCTACCAGTGCAAATAGAGTCATCAACTTTCCACCAGATGTAATCCGACAAGACGCCTTAGATACGCGTGTTGTCGTACACGACCGCTTCCCTGAGCTTGTTGAACGTTTTCTAGCTCATAAGCGCGAACACGGAAGTTCTATAGAAAAGCAGCTATACGGTCCAAATTGGACCTGGCCGCAACAAGTAATGAGACTTATCGAGAAGCGACCCCTGTCTTTTGTCGGTCCAAACGACTCAACTCTACTACGTACCGGACAATCATTTCAAATGGGGACCAGGTTCTGGGATTCAATAGGCGCTGAAGGCACACCTTATGAGCCTCTTCAAGAATATTTGACCTACGATGAGATCATGCTTGGTAGTTTGATAGCAGTCAGCAGTCCAAGCTACTTTATTAACGATGGCGCCCGGCATAACAATGCTAGGCCCCAGGAGGCTGGAACATTTGAGCCTAGGGGAATCATTATAGGATTAGTTGGACCGCGGTTTGAGCGGTTAATGCATATGGACGCTAACATTGTCTTAGACGGTGTGGTAAAGAAACAACAACATCCCCAACTCACCAGGATATTTTTGGATTTCCTTGGTCTCGGGGAAAGATCAGAATTACTGAGAAAAACGTTCTCTGTAAGAGCCTATACCCAGCGTATACGCATTAATGCCGACATCCTGCTTCTCGAGGCGAATGAACGCGCAAGGGCTGTAGGCCGAAACGCGTACGTCTACGTCGTAGGCCTCGGCCTCGGTGCATGGCTATACGATCCGTTGCAGCCAGAGCTCTTCATAACTGCTTTCCAAGAGTCATTGATGACTCTAGGACCGAAGCTGACAAATATTGGAACACTCGACTTCGCATGGATTCCAGTGTCAAGGACGATCCAGGAACAGATCGCTGGTATCACATTGGGTTTAGGCATTACTGTCAGATTCTCGAAGCGTAATCCTGCTGAAAAGTTGGAAGACAACAAGGCAAACCAGCTTCTCGTCGTATCCTACGCGTGGGATGGTAACTCATTTCCGGGCAACGAATATTGGGAGGGAGATCTAAATGGCAGTGGTGATCCTGCAGCAGCGTGTATGAGTACAATCGCTGAGCTACATAATCCTCTGGTCAACCCGAACTTTACCAGGCGAATATTCGTAGTCGACAGCTCAGGGAAGCGAAGAAAGCAGAACGATCCATACTAAACTTCATACAAGGGCTCTGATACTCCGGGCTGATACTCCGGGCATTCTTCGTTAATAAAAAAGCGTAGTTACAATCAGAAGATTTATGTAGCTCTATAAACTCATATTTAATCCCTACACTTTTATGAAAAAATGATCTTAATAAAATTTGAAAATTTGAAAAGTTATCAAACTCTTCACAAATCTATTTTAGCAAACCTCGACGCTTCTGTGGAAAACTACAGTTAAGGTACATAGGTACTTATCATGAATAGTATCTTCTTAGATTTGTATAAAAATACTCATTGGTTATGCCACCTTTCCAATTATCTTGTGACATCTGTACAAATCATAATTCCTGCGTCGGCATGCATTTTATTACCTACGCCTGTTGTATACCTATAGTTTAATGATCTTAATGATGTATATTAACGAAGACCCCTATCTCCGAAGGAATTCGACGGTATGCTTTGTAGCCGTCTGCATTGTCCGTATACTATAGACATGCAGTTTCTATACCAATCACTCTACTAATAACATTGTATACTCAAACCAGGGCTGCCCGATGGCGTTGGGACGGGAAGGAAGTGCATGTCCACATCGAAAAATTACCTACTCAAGCGATTTCTCGTCGCCAAGCCCGCCTAAAAAAATATACATCGATCGACACGGAGTGCCTACTAGGGTACCTAAGGTTAGGCACGTCGAAAGGATTAACTAATTTGCATATGAGTTGCGTGATGGAGAAGTTTTCTTGGAAAGGCGGCGCCGCTAGAATAAACGGCGCTATGCAAGCCATCTTGGGCGACATTCTACATTGCATGATATTTAACCTTGGGTCGAATTTATCAATGATGCATAATTGTATTACTTACCTCTTGACCTCTTTCCCGGCGAGTGATAGTGTGTGGCTTTTGCCCAGTCTTTCCTGTTAATAAGAGCTTACTATGCAATGATTTCGGGATAACAGGAAAACCTAGGTAAAAAAAAAAAAAAATCTATACTATGCCGATGGGTTGCAGTTCGCATCGTCCCACGTATTACTACAGGTATCAATTAGAAGAAGATTTCAGGGGGTTGGATCGGGGACAACCCCGCAAAAGCTACTAGTAGAGGATGAAGTTTATAATTATTTAGTGTTCGGCGATTCTCGGCGATGGGGAAACATAAGAAAACATTCGATTCAGCTGTCAGGGCTGACGAGCGGTGGGGAAGAAATGGAGATAGTGAAATCTGGGGAAGCGTGGGTAAGGAGCACCGGAAAAGGGGGGACGAGCGGGACGAGAAATAATGTGCCTCGGATCGGCGATGGATCGAATTGGTTTTTTATTATCTTATCTTTTCTCCTGTCGACCTAGCCGCATGGACCGGAGTACGGATGACCGCTATGACCAATACAGGTACCTAATAGGAGGCACCTAACTTAGGGCCATAAACAACTAAAAAGCGCTGTCCTTACCTAGGCGCAAATGACTTGGGTGTTCGGAATTCCCTTTGGCGCTGTAGCTAACCGGAAGCGAAAGGGGGGGAAAAGAGCCTATCAAAACCCCTCCATTTGCAAAATGAAAACCCCACTAAGCCATTCTACCCCACCTGACTAGCGGTTGGTGCAATAACATTACTCATGTTACCCGGGATTGGCCGAGGGGTTGTTACTTGCTGGCAAGCCACTGACCCTTCAAGTATGTGCCTCGACGTCAGGATTTTGAATCTTTTACCTCGCACACACAACTTGATGACAATACAATTTCGACGTAAACATGTCAACATCACACTCTTAAAAAATAGAATAAATTATTTAATTTATCGTTGATTTGCGATAGAATAGTTTTCTTTTATTGAAGAACTGACTACCTCATTTTTTATCCATCTACGAATACCTAAACCCCCTCTTGTCTGATTCGACACGCATATTACTACGATAGATTGCGTTTATTTTCACCGATCTTCGGCTTCACCATCAGCGCTGGTCGCCTTAGCCTACGGCACCTTTCCGTACACGGCGACTTCTACACTGTGATCTCCATCATCACGTACTTCCCGTCCATCCATCTCCACAGTTCTTCTCGCTCTCTTCTCGCCTATCGCCAATATGCCTTCGTCTCAGCGCCCATTCTTCCTATCTTCTTTCCTCGCCGCCTTCCGGCAACAGACACCGCCGGCCCTCTCAGCAACGTCACAACCTAATAAGCATACCTCACAACCTGCATCGGGTTCCTCGCCTTCGGGGGCGCGGTCGATCTCGTCAACGTCCCATGCCCAGGCCCAATCACCATCACAACAACAATCTCAACAACGAACAGGGGGTGTCATGAATCAAATACCCTTACAGTCGCCACCTCGACACCATCACTCCCCCCAACCACATCGCCCTGGCATGCCTATCCCGGCTCCCGGCCGCCGGCGTGGTAGTGACAGTAGTAGTGAGGGCTTCCGCGATGTACTTGGTGCTGATAAGTGGTACATTGGAGGTCGGACGGCCGGCGGTGATGAGCGATTCTTCAAGTTGGGTGTTGTAAAGCGGGTACGGAGTCAAGACCGCTTGAGTTTAGACAGGTTAAGTCTATAATCACTATCATAAAACAGTTCACCGTCGAAACCGGGCCGAACCATAGTTAGGGATGGGACGATGGCGAACTCATAATCTACATATCCGCCTATCCCAGAACTGAACGTATTTAAACGGGCTGTCCACTTACGGGGACTGACGTTCGGGAAGGGTAAACATGTGGAATACACGGCATAAATCACGGTTGCCCTCAACGAGGCATTTAAAGGAAGGGTGGACCAGGGTCAAAGCCATGCAAATTTGCATTAGGGAATTGCTGGATACTGTATATGGCACGGCACGGCGTTAAGATTTTGTTATTTAGGAACGGCGTTCAGGCGGCCTGGATATATGGTTCACAGCAAGCATACTAAAGACCAGGAGAAAAGAAGAGAATTAAGAGAAAGAAAAGAAGTCGGCATCACCGGCTTGAAACCGGACATTACCATCTCACCTCATCACACAACGATACGGCATCATATATGAAATTGACGCATTAAGCGACGACGATAAGAATCTGACATTCGCTGCATAGTATGCGAAGATAGTACTAGAAAAGGAGGTCATATGCGTACTTCAGAGGAATTCCCAATCCTATTATACCTCGAATACTAAGAGTACAAGTTCGGAGGGCAACATTCTGACCATTCTTTCATTTTTGACCGTGTGAATACTCCACTGGCAAATGCCTGTGATTGCAGGTCTATTTATGTACTAGCTATGGAAAATGCAGGAATGGTGTCGATCAATAATTATTAAAAATAGGGTAGAATTACCACATAAATCTTTGTACATTCCCACCGTCTAGCATCTCGCCGTCTGGTCCTCGCCAATAAAACGGCCGAGTAATAAATATGTACATAGTTGCTACGTTGATTAGTAGAAACCACACTGTCTCAAGGAGGGGTACGAGGTGCCGGGAGATTAATGAAGTTGATCCCAACCATGGGAAGGCAGATCGCGTTGGAACGAGTAAGCGCCAGAATACCCACGGGAGTATGAAATAACGCGGCTCGACTAGCGGTGCCGTTACAAGGGAGATAGTGGCTGCGAGGAGAATCAGCGCGGTCGATGTAGATGGTGGTATTGTTGCCGTATCCACTGCTGCAAGGGTCACGTCTAAAGACTTTTTGCTGGTCGGAGGTGGTGTTAAGGCTAAAACCTTGGTGCTGAATGGCGTTAGTATCCACTGGCGCTTCTGAGCAGGTGGTGTGGTTGAGGGGCTGCCTTGCAGAGCGACCCAGCACAACCAGCCGCAGATTATGTAGACCGGGACGAGGGCGTATCTTATCCACCATGATCTCAGGATCGTATATCGGAAGATGTAGAACATGAAGTGCCTATTGTCGGCTAGTGTGAATGGATGGATAATAGTGTTGTATCGCACGATTAAGGTGGTGGTCACTAGAGCGCCGGCGAGGACAAGGAGAGAATGGACGGTATGGCTCGATCCGATGTGGTTGAATGCTTTTAGGACTGCGGACTGATTGGGTATACTTGTTACCCTTGGGTTACTCTCAGAAACACGGGGTTTCTCTGAGTGTAAATCTGACTTAGTAGAACCAGTGATGACTTGTAGAACGTATATGGCTAGATCTATAAGCGATGGGATAAAAAGAGGTGCCGAGAAGAATGCGAATAGAGGCCATATATATAGCATCTGGGCTAAGTGTAGAGTTGCCACGTGATTAGATTTATCCCCTATTCCCGGTCAATAATAAATTCTCGGCAAAGGATGACTCTACTGGGTCAACTTACCTAGAACAACGCCACCATTCCAGACGACAAATCCAACGAACGCCCCAAGGACTATAAGGTGCGGCCAAATCTGCCTACGTATAATAGTCCCAAGGTTGCAGATTCCAGCTATGGCAATACTGACGGCGGAAAGGACCAGGTCTACTTATTTGGTTAAAATGATAGCCTAAGGGCGTGGGTTCGGGACTTACCAATTGGGTATGCTAGGTTTAGGGGTGGATCATGGATATCGCCAACCGAGTACCTCCGAACGTAAAAACTGATCTGTTCGGACAGCGTTTGAAATGCCGGAGCAGCTGTGGTTTCCGGACAGAGAGTCTTGATGATATGAACGACTTCCAAGCCACCCATGTATACCACAACCCAGAAGATGTTGGTCTGCCTCACGCTCAATGCTAGGAGTCCGAGAAAGATCGTACGGACGTTACTTGCTGTGGAAGGTCTATCCGAATACATGCGACCCAGGTGGTTGATGTAGGCAAGCAGTACGGCAAACGTGGAGAGGACATCCGTGTAGTACAAGCCTGAGAAGAAGAATAGGACCGGGAACAGAGTGACATTGATTCCTATCCAGAAGGAGTCTACCGAGTACGGACTTGAAGTTCGCGCATTGCTTGCTGCCCTTAGCTGTCCAAGCTGAGCTCTAGACGCGATGACAGCTATAGTCAGATAAGATATGATCTTTACGTTGAACTCTCGGAGACTGTACACCGAACATGCAAGCCCTGATAGTCTCATTTCCAGGATCGTTAAAATGTAGCTTTAAGTTATCAGTTGTGAGGGTAACTAGGGAAGATGTTGTGTGAACTGACAGTCCAGGAGGCGTAGTGATCTTGTCATCCCATACACCGAATTTGCCATCACAGTAGACTTGGGCTTGGGGGACATGGAATACTTCGTCCTAATTTTGTATTAGATCCTAATATGTCCATAGAGAGTTTTAAAAGTACAGGTTTATTATGTATGCTTACCAGATACGGGTTCGAGGCATGTTCACTGACGAATGATAGCCAGGTGTGACCGAGGAACCGAATAATTATCAAGGATAAGAATATGCCCAGCCCTGTGCGAGGAGATGCGATCTTATGGATGGCGTAGATATATGTGGCCGTGGCAATGAGACTGTAACCGGCCAGCTGGGAGACCCAAGATTTGGAGCTTGGCTCCAACCAGGGAGCCATTATCGATCGCATCCACGAACTAGGAAAATAAAGAGGTCTTAAAGAAACCGTAAAATGACTATTTTAAGTTGAAAGGCATATTTAGTACCTGAGATCTAGGTCTAGGATACGGGGGTTCGCACGTGGTATTTATCAATGTATAATTTTAGAAGCAGAATTAACCTTCAATTGAGCAGTAACTGACAGATCTTTGGACGTTCCACCCCTGACAACATCTTTGCACTAATACATGTAGACCGGTACGTACCTACCTATACTTTGTAGACCCACCTATAGTGGGCATTACTCTGATTGGGTAAAAGGTGACGCTTGCCAAGAACTAAAGTTTCTAAAGCTTCAAACGTCCCATCGATTTACACATTGAATTTACACAATACCAAGTTTTAATCTCTCGGCCTTTGATATATCCAATATCAAAATTCTACCCTAACCACAAGCCATTGAGGGCTACTATGCCCATCACAAATCCTTCGCGATGGCATCTTCTCATCGAATAGCTCGGCGCTTCCTCAGCTCGCCGGCCAACCCGCTATCTTCTTCTACACGATCTCCCGCTCAGCTCCGTACCCGAATCGCTATCCGTAATGCCTCAACCTCCACGGACTCTCTACCCATGTCACGGTTTAAAACGGCGCTCTTAATGACATCTATAGCTGTATCCGGCTATGTGGTCTACGTTTACGGCACGGATACTCGCGCTTTCGTCCACCGTTATGTCGTACCCCCGCTGCTCCGCTTTCTCTACCCGGACGCCGAGGACGCGCACGATGTTTCCGTCTCTGCTATGAAGACACTATATAACCTAGGCTTTCACCCGCGCGAGCGTTTTAGCTCATCTATTTCTGGTGGCCCGGATATTACTGTATCCGTCTTCGGAGAGCAACTGGCAAACCCTATTGGTATCTCTGCGGGCCTCGACAAACATGCTGATATCCCGGACCCGCTGTTTGCCCTCGGCGCCTCTGTCGTTGAGGTTGGTGGTTGCACTCCTCGGCCGCAGGAGGGTAACCCCAAACCGCGCATGTTCCGAGTCCCTACACTGGACGGTCTGATAAACCGGTATGGACTGAACTCGCGTGGCGCTGACGATATGGCTATGCGGTTACGGGATCGGGTTAGGTTATATGCTAAGACAGTTGGGTTAGATGAGGCAAGTGTGCTAAACGGTGAGGCCAATGTCCCCCCGGGTAGCCTGTTGCCTGGACGCTTGTTATTGGTGCAGATTGCCAAGAACAAGGAGACAGACGAACGTGACGTGGAAGCCGTGAAGCGGGACTACGTATACTGTGTACAACAGCTGGCACGGTACGCGGATGTCCTCGTTGTCAATGTGAGCAGCCCGAACACGCCGGGCCTACGCGACTTGCAAGCCGTGGAACCCCTTACGCGGATATTAAGCGCGGTAGTCGACGAGGCGCGGCGGACGGACAGGAAGCGGGCGCCCAAGGTCATGGTCAAGGTTTCGCCGGATGAGGACGAAGATACTCAAATTGAAGGCATTGCGCAGGCGGTGTGGTTGAGTGGTGTCGATGGGGTCATCGTGGGTAATACCACGAAGCGCCGGAATGGACTGATCCCAACCGGTGTGAACATATCACGTAAAGAACAATATACTATGACGGAAACCGGTGGTTACTCGGGCCCGACGATGTTCGACCGGACTGTCGACTTGGTAAGACGGTACCGGAAATTGCTAGACGGCCAATCCTTTCACCCCACTAAGGTGGACAAGGCTATTGCCAACGAGGCGGTCGATGAGAGCATAACGGGAATCGAAGGAACCGTCACTGGATTTTCCGAAACCGAGAAGAAATCTAAAACTAACCAGCCGCAAGAGCCAAAGGTCATCTTCGCTACGGGAGGAATTACGAATGGGCGGAGAGCCCTGGAGATTTTGAACGCTGGCGCGAGTGTCGCCATGATTTATACAGGTCTTGTCTACGGAGGTGCTGGAACCGTTACGCGCATGAAAAGCGAAATGAAGGAAGAGTTGGCTGCGAAAAACAAGTCATAGATAGAAGAGAAGAGAGGAGAGCTTGAAGGTGGTATGACTTGTTTCAAAAGGACTACTGTATCACCACACGTATTAAATAGATACATATTAGATGAGGTTGACCGAAGCGAATACCATGTAAAATAGAACTACGTCAAATACAAAAAGGTAAGGACGGGGTGTCTAAGGACTCAATGAGAGATCTATTTGGATGTCATTTTGTACGGAAGTTCGCAGTATGAGCTCTATTCTAGCATCGCGCTCCCCTATCTGTCTAGTAGAAACCACCAGCACGATCCAAGTTTAGAAGGGCTAGATATAATGAATTAGCGAGGCTTGATTTAAGAGCAGGGGGCTGTGACGGAAACTTACGTTGTCTGACGCAGGGATCTCATTGACGTAGTAGGTACCGAGGTAGGGAATTTTTTGTAGGATATCCTTCTTTACTCTGGGGATGCCGGAGGCGTAGTAGATAACAGCGAAGAAGGCTACACCACCAAAAGCGCCGGCCTTAAATCCGCTATAAGTCGGTTTGTTAGCATACTACTGTCGACAAATGTGAAGCTTTTTAAGCCTGTGCAGATAGCATGTACGCCTTGCTAGGGGTAAATCTAGCTCTCTGAACCGGTCGAGAGTGAAAGTAAACGGGTTGCTTACAGGCGGGCGAGCTGCTTAGGTGTCCATCCTGCAATATTCGGTTGGTAATGGTACCTTTCGTTCGTTCATCCGTTAGCCAGGGCTCGTATAGCTTTCAATGTTCTATCCTCCAATGTAATTTTCCCCAGTCCACATAGCTTGCACTGTTGACACCGCATACAAATTGGAAACCACGTATCTGGCTAATGAATAATCGGATGCGCACTCACTTAGGTCCGTAGGGGCTCTTGTAAGACGGATATGTTTGTAGAAAAGGAGTCTATAGTCCCCCCAAGTTAGCAAAACTTCTCGCCAAAATTCCCACACGAGCTTAGAGGGTAAGGATGCATAAATAATTAACACCGAATATATTGGAGACTGTCGTATATCGTACCTGAGACATCTTGACTTAGAGTCGAAGAGTATATCGGCGGGGTGACTCAATGGCAAGGAAATTAATTGACTTGATTGTGATGTAATTTTTGGTGACAGCTTCAACTTCAATTCCGGATTTCGATGGAAGCTGCGCGACATTCTTCGGCTGACATTTCGGAGGATTCCGGTTGGCAGCCCTGCTGTCAGCCACAATAATGCACAAGCCACAAATACCTAGGTACCTATCTATATACATATGATACATAGAACGCAGGTCCCCACTCCGATAGACGTTTTAATGCATTTAACCGTTTTAATTGATTACGTACCTTGCATATTATGGGAACTTAGCGCTAGTTAATCGCAAAAGTGAATGTCGAAAGCTTCAATCTTTCATCTTTTTTTATTCTTATTTCTTGGTCCCAATAGAACAATTATCTGCGCGCAGAATGGATAAGCAGCTCGACGTATGCTTTGATCGTGTCGAGAAGGCATTGGGCACGCTGGTCGACTCGATTGCCAAGTATCATCCCTCCGTCGCCCAAGTTAACGAACTAGGACTCGCCGACGTTGAGCTCAACAAGGGCCTCGAAGACTGTATGTTCTTCTTTCCTTTCTTCCCCGTTCCGCGACTATCCTTTCAACTCTCCCCTCCGAACGATAGTTAGATAGGAACTGATTTATATACTTCCCCCAGTACAAACCCACCAATCTAACTATCGACGGATTCAGGATCTACGAGCAGCAACAACTAGCTTCGATACTCAGATCAAGGACACATTGCGCCTACTAGCCAACACGCGGAAGGAACTTGTGAACGCTCCTGCCACCGTCTTCCCATCTGACCGCCCTAGCTACGATATCGACTATGACGAACTACTCGCCTACGCTAGCCGGATTAGCAAAACTACTATCCCTCCCGCTGGTGCAGCGAACAGCCTTCCAACTGAACCCAAAGCCGAGAATAGTGGAGGGCCAGGGACGGAGACGGCTGTCACAACACCGGCGGGAGGGACACCCAACGGTGCCCCAGCTGGCCCCGTGATGACACCTGCGAACACAAATGGAGCGCAACAACAAGACCCCACGTCGCAGTCCCAGCAGCTCACTACTACAGGCAGCGGCGATGCGATGGCCGCACAAGAGGAACTGCCATGGAAGCTAAACCCATTCAGCGACGTCGAGTTCGTGCCCTGGCCAAGCGAGGAGTCCGTGCGTAAAGGAGCGCTAGTTACCCTAGCCTTCCTCTCGGAGAAAGGCATCGACCCGGAGAACTACGACCCTGAGGAAGAAAAAGCGCGTAAGGAGCGCGAAAAGGAAGAGCAGCAGGCAGCAGAAGAAAGAGAGAGGCAAGAGCGTGAGGAGAGGGAGCGCAGGGCCAGAGAGGAGCAGGCGCGACTGCGGGCCGAACGCGAGAAAGAGCAGAGGGAGGCGTGGCGGCGGGCGAGTGTTACTGGAGGTGCGGGGCCGAGTCAATCGTCGCCGGTGGGAGAGAAGAAACAGTTCCAGTTTATGGCTGATGATGATGAAGATGACGACGAGTGAAGTATTTGCTAGTAAGTCGGCAGGAATGCGTATTGCTATGGGGTATACGAAGCATTACCTAGGTAGGGGTCTTATGGTGCTTAGCATGGTACGCATACGGCTCATATGCCTTGATTGAATAGTCAGAACTATCCTTAAGCACCATAATCCGCATCATAACCATATCCTATTAAGGGAACTCCATGGTTAGTCACCCTGGGCAATATAATAGTCATAATTACCACCTAAGGAATAATAGGTGATTTAGGACGCTAACTAGGCTCCTTAGGTCTACCATTAAAAAATAGTCATCTATTTAGTTATTGCCTTAATCAAATCAAGTTTTATATAGACATTATAATATAATAAATTGACTCGAATTGCTCGACATACGTTTCCGATAGGACCGCAATCAGTATGAGATTTCCCTTCAAGTACGATACGGCCGACGGACCGGCCCCACTTCGGGCTCCGGAGGTTTCAAGGTTCTCATATTGCGGAGGTTCTTCACCCGAATATGAGGGTTTCGTACTTAAGAGGTAGTCACGTAAGGAGAAGGATCATCACACCGATAATAACATCAAACTAAATACATCGCGTAGGTAGACTTTTATTCATAATTTTCTAATACGTACCTAGATACCTAGGAAGGTTCCTACGTTCGTTTTGTGCCTATCTGCTCCGCCGGAAGCAGACTAGACAAGTTTTCTTCTATTCTACAGGTTTCGCGTGAGCCTCTTCTGAACCTGGAAGAACGCCTCCTAAAACGCCAGGCCCTTCGGAACTCGCAGGCCACATTTATGCAACTCGTTAAGTTCAATCCCACCTCATGAAAGTGGACTGCGAAGACGGCATGAGGAAAAAAAAAGATGTTGGTCGTACATTCCGTATAGTACAGATTTTTCGATTACTCCGAGTTACTCTCCTTTCCGACTCTCCCTCTGTCCGCCCGTCGCAGCTTGTGCTACTTAGTCGATCTTAATAGAGCGGTAGATCTTGTTAACGAACCACCAACTAGAGAAGAACCCAATGGACCCTAAAGTACGATATTAGTATAGTTCACGATATCTATAGTTAATAGAAATAAATACCTGTTAAGATAAAGAAAAGGAATGAAAGAAGAGCGCTGTATCCGATATACAAGACAGTGCCGGATAAGCCACCCAGAGATAACTTGCTGATTAAGTATATCAGGGCGTTAGCAAAGATATAGCCCGCGCTCATACCCGCAGCCAGGAAGGATCGCCACTGCCAGTGGTAGTTCTCGGCGCACAGTAAGAAGTACACCATCAGAACCGTAACCGCGGCACAGGTTATGATCATGAGACCATAGCAGAGGAAGAGGAAGCCGAACATGTAGTAGATCTTACTAAACCAAATCGAGCTCATGATAAAGTATAGCTCGACGAAGATAGCGCCGAAAGGTAGGATACCAACCAGCAGCATACTCGGGATCGGCTTCAAATAAGTGGTGGCGGGAGGGATCTGTCGCGGGATCTGGTTGGTTCGGACAGGAGGTTCAAAAGCTGCCGCACGGAACCCAAGCCAAGAGCCAGAGACCGAAAGGGGGATCGAAATGATAAACCAAATACCAATGATGACTAGCATAGTGGTAAACGGGACGGCACCGGCAGCTCCATTGGCCCATAGGAACAAGTTGAGGAAGAAGAATGTCGTGAAGACGATGCCAGGAACCAGGAGGGGAGTCAGACTAATATTCAGCTTCCACTTCTCGCCGTTCATCGACTTGTAAACCCTCGCAGAGACGTAGCCGCCAACAAAGCTAAGGAGCGTGTATAGGATAATCATGATAGTTCCAAGGGAGCCGCGGTTAGATGGCGATAAGAAACCCAGCAAGGCAAAACAGATAGTAAAGCCGGTCATAACGAACAACTGAGCACCATTACCGAGGAAGATGGAGAGGAGCAGAGGATGCGCCGGGGTTCTGAAAACATCTCCATGGACCAACTTCCAGCCGGAGTCCTCCTGAACGCCATCCTCAAGATCCGTTGCACCCGAAAAGTCCTCCAAGTTAATCTGGTCCAATCGGTTGTATCTCGCAATATCCTTCTTCAGAGCCCTGAAAAGAACTGAGGCAACCGTGACCGTCAAGAAGATAACGACAACAGCGGAGTTGACGAGGGAGAACCAATGGATTTTAGGGTCGAAGACATGTAGATATTTATCCCATCGTGTAGCCCAGGCAGTGGGTGATTCGGTCCAGTATACGCTATAGGTAAATGTGACTTCGGTTTGGGAGCCTTCATTTTCAAGAAGGACTACTGGCGGTGTCTGGTTGTCGTTACATTCTAGATTATCGCCCTTGTATGCCTTGGAGGCTGGTTGAACGATTACACCCACCACCCTCAACTGGTCTTCCTTTCCGTTGACCTTATGATATTCGACAACGATATCGTAGTGGTTATTGAAGAAGGTCGGGCCGTCAGGATCAGTCGTAGAGATAGAGCCCATAGCAAAACCCGGGCTATAAAACGTGGTTCCGGTAAGGTCATCGAGGAGATGCTGTCCCGCCGGTAGCCCGTCCACTAGCCAGTTTAAGGCGTAACCCTGCATTATACGCTTGTTTACGAAGTGCGCAGCGGCCGTGTCGTACTTCGAAGTGCATAGCTTCTTGCATGTCTCATTCTTCTGCATGCTGAGGTCAAAGGGTGAAGTCATTATTCGATCGCCAAACAAAATACTTCCGAGGCTTTCGGACACGTATGATGGGCCGCCTTCGGGCTGGCAGAACTGGAACATCTCGTTATAATAGTCGTATGACATGACGGAATGTAGGAGCGCATCTTGGCCAGCAACCGGTTTGATGCTATTCACGTAAAGAGGGACTTTATCGCCAGGTTTATAGGATGTAGGCGCGACGCCGGGAAGGTAGAAAGCAGTCGCAAATTGGGGAATAGCGAGCAGCGCAGAGCAGAGCGCCCACGACGGCGCAAAAGTTTTCGACTTCATCGTTGGTATTTATGACATCGAGCTTTGTTTAAGAGTTAGCTGATATCCGTATCGCTACTAGAGGGCGTGTTGGAAAAGGGCTTGGAAGAAAAACGAGGAGGCAAGCAAATAATGGTAAAATAATAATAAAAAGGTGTCAACTTACGTACCACTGAGCGCCGCAGAAAAGGATTCAAGACCAATCACAGAGCACAAAGGCTCGTCTCCTTGAATGTATCTTAGAAGAGATATAAAGCTAACGAAGTTATTTCGTAATAATTAAAATTGATTGATAGCGTCAGGTTACTTGAGCACAGCTAATGACGTTGAGGAGCGCGCGTACCTATCAAATTATTTTAGTTTTGACGATTGTTTCAATATCCGGTTGATAGCGTACATCCTGGGTGGTACTGTACATATGTACCTCAGGTACAGAAAAATTACGTAGATTTGACCAGGTACCTAGGTACGTACCTACTTCCTTGTCAGAGTCGCGCATGCCGATTCAGATTCCTCCATTCGTCACACGTGACCTGCCACCTCCTTTAATTATGTACAATCAGTAGCTCCTTTTCAGAATCCACTTTATCACTCAACCCAATGGAAGCTTCAGCTTCAGTCACCAGTGACTCGATCTCGACGTCAACTCTTCAACGGTTAGGGAAAAGATAGGACGAACTACCGTTGCAACAAAGGCTGGCGATCTAATTAGTTGTATTGGTTCTTTAACAGTCGATTAGCTCAGCCGAGTATAGTAACTCAGAACTCTATTCCGAATCTCCTGCCGACTACGGCTGCGACAAGATATTAGAAGAAAGGTCACCAACCATTGTTCATGTCACTGCGAGAAACATTAGGAAGGACTGGAGCCTTAGCATGAGGTTTGCGGCTTAAGTTATGACTTCTCTGCTATAATAAGATACTACGAACAGATCTCACCGGCGCTCGACCGTCCAGTCTGACCACTTAATAGCCGAGATGCAACGACTCCACCAGAAAGAGAATTGTGTTCCAGGCCATATTAGAGTGTTCTTCCCAGTTTCCTTCTTAATGTACCAAGTACTGACATCCTTCGAGTAAACAAGTCCTGAGATATCGTTCTGAATTCTCTCATTGAAGCGGGCTTCAGCTTCAGCTTTGACCATGATGGATACATCATCAGTCCGTCTGCCGTATCCCCATGTGCCGCGCAGGACACGCAAGATGTATATAACAGAACACTCTATTCCGTGCAGTGTGGAGTTGCCGGAAGGAAGCGTATTAGGGCCGGCGAGCATGAAGAAGTTAGGGAATCCACTAACGGACACTCTATAGAAACGGTTATAAATATTCGCTCAATATTTCGTATGCTCCATTGGACTAACTTACCCCATGTAAGCCTCTGAACCTCCTCGCTGGCGCCAAATGTCTCGAAGATCCTGATCATCGATCCCACGAACCTCCATTGGTGTCAGTAAATCCTGAGTCTTGAACCCATTCGCAACAACCACAACATCGACCGTGTGGTAGTTACCAGCCTCGTCAATAATAGTCCTGTTGTTAGGTCCTTGAACGGCAACTATGCCATTACATTTGACAAGCTTGAAATTCGGTCGATTCGTGGCTTCCAGGTACCCGTGATCCATAACAGCTCGCTTGGCACCTAATTCATAGCGTGGCAGCAATATGTCGCGATAGGCGGGGTTCGCAACGGAGGTCATATACGACTTGATGCCTTCAGCCGCCAGTGTACGTGCCTTTGCACCTGCAGTAGTGTTACGATACATCACAAAGTTATGGTCCAGCTGGTATGCTGTCCAGAGACGCCTGATCTTCATGAAAAAAGGGATGTATTTGCAGCACCATTTTGTGAACGCAGAAATCTTGAAATTCCCCTTTGGTGCCACCCACTGTTCGCTTCTGGCGAGTTGGACTAATGACCGTGGTCGCTGATTATTGAGGATCCAGGGAATAATTTGATTGGCAGAACATCCGTTGCCAATTACCATAACTCGTTTTTCATCGAAGTTAATCTCGCGCCATTCGCCGGTATGGAAACACTGGCCGCCAAAAGATTCAAGCGCGCTTAGTCCATCCAATCGATTTGGTATGTTTAGGACGCCGGTGGCCGTGACAACATATCGAGACTGCACCTCAAAAGTCTTGTTGTGATGTTTATCGCGAAGAGAGATTATCCACAGCTGTTGACTTTCGGACCAGGAGATAGATCTGCATTCGTGCTGCAGACTAATATGCGAAGCGAGTTGGAAGTGATGTGCGCAGTTGTGGATGTAATCGAGAATCTCTTGCTGTGAAGCAAACTTCTCTGACCACTCAGGGTTCTGGAAGAATGAGAATGAATAGAACTAATCACAGTAATCAGCAATCTTATAACTACTATAGAAAGCTAAGGGCTCACCTCGGAAGGCACGTCGCAACTCAGGTTTGGATATCGATTTCGAGCCCATGTACCACCGATGTCGTCGCCTTTCTCATATATACGGAAGTTGTCATGTCGTAGAAGCCTCTTCAGCTGGACGGCCATGGCAATGCCTCCCAGCCCACAACCAATGATGGCGATCATGTCGCTGGGCTGTATGGCATTCCCGGACTTGTCCATTGTGCTTGTAGTCGCGGTTAATCCGGCAGGGTGCGAAGGTGACAGAAGTAGCCACCGATGGCCAGAACTAAGGTCGCAGTTAGAAGAGTACCCAGGAGTAGCGTATAGGCCGTTTAATCTCCAAACTCGTCGTAATCGTCGATGTAGTATTTCGATATTTATTTTATGCTTTATTTTTAAAATATGAAATTTTATTTATTAACCTTTGGCTTTCGGTTCAATAACCATAGTATTACGACCGGATGCACAGAGAGTCACTAGTCAATTCCTATTGGCTAGTAACTTGACCGCATTATGCAAATAACTATGCAAACATGTACTCTTGAACCTGTGAAGGTGGTGTAATACGCTGCATGTGTCGAGAGTCTCTGTTGACATCCTCGTTCTTCTCGGTCACACTTCAAAATTCCCTCGGGATGGAAAGAATAAACTGTGCCATATCCCTAAGCGATAGGTTGCCAGGATTGGGTATATTCCGGTGCGATGGTGTAAATTTTCACCTACTTAATTTACAAGTGATCGGTTGTCTGTATATGTCTGTATATGTCTGTGTCATCACTGGCGACTATTTGGCATAGCTCTCAACGACGCTTAGCAATATGTCACTCACTGAGCTCCAGGACGCGAAAGTCGCTAATGAAGTAGAGGCAGCCTATAGCTTCCGCTCCCAGAATCCTATAAGCGAAGGGCTTCGTCAGAGGATCGCAGCTGCACTAGGCTATAAGCCAGCTGACTTCAATGGCGCCGCTGCAATCGCTAATATCGGCGAGGGCTGTGGTAACCCTCTGCTTATTGCTAATTTGAGGGCGGTAAGAATAAAATACCATAACTGAGTACCTGTGATAGTTCAGGAGCACTAAGTACGCATGTTAGGGAGAGTTTGTTGTTGATCTAGGAAGCGGAGGCGGGTTTGACTGCTTCCTTGCGGGTGAGCAGGTTGGGCCGACCGGCAAAGTCGTCGGGTTTGATATGACGAGGGTACAGTTTTTCTGATAGTATAGCATGGATACAGGCTGACCTCGGTGTGAAATAGAATATGATCGATCTCGCCCGCAAGAACGCCGCAAAGATTGGACTCACGAACGTAGAGTTTACTCACACAGATATCAACAAACTACCACTCCCGGATAACTCGGTGGACTGTGTTATGAGCAATTGTGTTCTGAATCTGATCGTAGACGACGAGAAGCTTCAAGTTGTCCGGGAAATACACCGCATTCTCAAACCGTGTGGTCGTTTGGCCGTGAGCGACTTCCTAGCGCTCAAGCCATTGCCTCTTCATATCAAGAATGATCCGGCGTTACGTTCTGGTTGCATTTCTGGCGCTGTCGAAGTGTCGCAGATGCAGAAATTCTTATTCGACATAGGTTTCGATGGCATGTCACCATATACTCCATGATGTGCCACCCAGTTTCTAATCAACTACAGATATCCTACTAGTGGACACGAAGAAAGATCTGGCCTTATATAAAGACGGCGAATCGGCCAAGTCCGTGACACCATGTTGCGTAGGCGGTGAAAGTTGCGGCGGCTCGGCATCATCGATCACGGCCTCAGGAAGGCAAGAGCTTGATTATGACTTGAACGAATACATTTGTACGTGCGATTGTCTTATTCCAATGTTGCTAACCCTCGTGCCGTACTTACTTAGAGGTGAGAAAGTGGCTAATATAAGTCTCAAAAGCTGCATTCCAGATATATGGTCATAAGTGGTGCGGAAAGACTGAGCAGAACAAACCACAAATTTGCTCCGTCTTAGATAGCGCGATGAAGTATCTGGACAGCAATGCTTGCTGCGTAGGTGAAGGTAGTTGTTGTTAAGAGCTCAAGCGATATGATGAACGATGTGAAGCTTCTCGATAGTTTAATTTTGTTTTGTCGAAGGGGATGTTAATCTTTATATGACGTGGAACTCAGGTTAGATACCTGGATACCTAGGTACCTAACTCAGGTAATTGCATACGCCCCTCTTATTTAATGCATGTAACGTGCACCAATATGCAACATTGAACTCTTGATAAGCGCTCGTCGCCTATAAGTTCCATACATCTTGCGCCAGAATACCTACAGGCACTCTATGTCGGGATTCATTTTCGATGACGACTCTACTGCATTACCATGTACATACATTATGGCACCATTGATGGTGGATGAGTCCTCGCATGAAATTTATCATTCCTGCAGTACTGTATGTGCTAATAACGATTACTATAACTGATATGAGCGACCACGAGAGAAGCGTTGGTCATCGGGGGCAAGAGCGCTGCCCCCTTGCATATAGACGAGGCTCTAGCTTTCGGGATCATCTAGAGACGATAGCTATTACTGACGCTATAATGCGGGGGAACATGCAGAGGGCCGAGAGACCTTGCCAGCTTGCCCAATGATATTACGGCAGTGACACAACCGGAACTGCTTATCGTATAGTGCGCTGTACGCAAGGATCATAATCCATGTTGCAACAGCAACTATCAGACGCGTTTGAAGGCGCTGAATTTGAACACATCGGACTGCTATGATCTTCAGCATCGGTGGTAGCCCCCTTTATGCGGCTCAACGGCGGGAGGTTTCTTGTACGAGCTGGTCTCCACCGAGAACCTGATGGCGTATTCGGAACCGCAGAGCTGCAAAGCAAAGAAATGTAGATACGGAAAGTGGTTAGACAAGTGGTTAGGAAAGTGGATTTTAGTTTTCCTCGAACCCGAGTTTGTTTGATTCTTGTTAAATGGACCCGTGGCTCTTCATACTTACTATGTAGGCACTCACTCCCAAACTCAACAGGGAAATGTCTTAGGAGCCCTATGTAACACAATCAGGGCCTCGCTGTCAACATGATCAATTGTCGTCGCAAAAAGCTAGGTCTGATGTCATTCTTTGTGCGTTCTGCGTCTTTCTTCCCAAGGCCTGAGACTCAGTAAACTACCATTGCCTCCTTGACATTTATTTAAGATCGGCTCTTTCCTATGAGATCGTTGCCAAAGATCATGTCCTCTGAGGGGCGGGCTACCAACACAGCGGGTGCGGCCGATTCACTACCCCAGGATCATCTTGCAGCAGACCAGCGTCGAGAACCTCCTCCTCCACCCCCGGACGGTGGCTATGGGTGGATTTGTGTGTTAGCCCAGTTCTTCATCAATGGCTTCACTTGGGGCGTGGCCGCGGTAAGACTTCTTGGTTTCTTCCTCATAATTCCTCATAACCCATGCTAATGGCTATTCAGAGCTATAGTGTCTATCTTGCTTACTATTTAACTCACGATATCTTCTCTGAAGCAAGACCGATGGACTATGCATTTATTGGTGGCTTCAACTTCGCATTCGCCCTGCTAGTCGCCCCGCTTGCGACGTTGCTCATGCGACTGTATGGCGTCAGAACTCCCATGTTCTTTGGAGTTGTATTACTGCCTACCGGATTCGTCTCGGCGTCTTTTGCGACTAGAGTTTGGCACCTCTACCTGACGCAGGGCATCTGCGTGGGAACCGGCATAGGCCTCATTTATATCCCAGCTACTACAATTATCCCCCAGTGGTTTAGCGAGAAGCGGAGTCTGGCGAATGGAATTTGCGCTGCTGGTTCTGGAATAGGAGGCCTTTGTGTCTGTTTTGCTACCCAAGGTATGCTCGAGGCTACGGGACTTGCGTGGGCTTTGCGTATTACGGCGGTGATTGTTTTCATGGTGAACTTGGTCGCGACCCTGCTGATTCGGTCGCGTAATGAGGAGATCAAGCCTGACCTGAGCATATTCAACTTTCGTCTCCTTTCATCTTATGAAGTGAAACTGCTGCTAGGGTGGAGCATTATCCTCATGTTTGGGTACATTACGTTGATGTTCTCATTGTCGGATTACGCTATTGGGATCGGTCGTTCGAGACAGGATTCGGCAACGGTAGCCGCAGTATTGAATCTAGGAGCTGCCATAGGCCGTCCCTTTATCGGCTATGTAAGTGATCGGTTTGGAAGAGTGGAGGTGGCCGGAGTTGCCACATTCAGTTGCGGCGTCCTCGTCTCTGCTCTCTGGCTACCAACTACGAATTACGGCGTGCTCATCACATTCGCCTTGGTGAGTGGAGCGATCCTGGGTATCTTTTGGGCTGTAAGTCGCCCAATTCTCATCTGATCTTTAATCCGAAGACAGCTGACAACCTCCGTGTAGGCTATCGCTCCATTAGCCGCCGATGTAGTAGGCCTGAAAGAACTCCCAGCGTTCTTGAGCATTGTATGGCTTTCCGTGGTGTTGCCAAGCGCTTGTAAGTTCTATACCTAAACTGCCTAAACTATCTACCTAAGGTACATGCACCCTGCTTCGCCGAAGCTGACGAATTTCACAGTTGCTGAGCCGATAGCACTTCAATTGCGGCGCCAGGACTTTGGGTTACGATCGTATATTTACGCACAAGTCTTCACCGGTATCTCATACTTTGTAGCGAGTTTATTACTTTTGGAGCTGTGGAGAGTACGAAGGAAAATGAGAAATATGGAATGACGAAAATGCCCTCCAGTAATTCTCGTGCCCTAAGCCAGGACTAGCCACTGCCGTCCCCCCTTCATCTTTGAATTGTTTGTAAGCTGTTGGAATACAAACCGTTTCCTTAGGCTACCGTAGAGGACGAGGACTTTAATCCTCGAGCCGGTTCTTTTGAGATCTTCCTTAACCATACTAGCCGCTTTGTTGAGTGCGTAATGTGTAAAGTGAGGACAATTTCATATCTTGTCCAATACCTAGTAGCCTTTACATGCAAGCTTTTCGCATAACCTACGCAATTGGCTTAATACATAACTTAATACCATAATATCTCTTTAACGATGTCGCTAAGAAATCCTGGGATCTTAAGCAAGACGCTAGTTATGTAGGTACATAAAAATAAGAATGCAGGGATATCTTATCGTTATCGTTCAACCAAAATAATATTTTTTTTTTTCCGTCTTGTTCAGCGCTGAATCATTTCAATTGGCGTATTCTTGGAGGAAGTTAATACTACATCGCAAAAACCTCTTTTTCTTCCGGACCCAGCCATGGCAGTCCCGGCATCCTTACCAGCGTTACTGGACTCCTTAACGAACTCGTTAAACTCAGCATTCGAAGCCACTCCTAAAATATCCGGTATCGAGCCGACCAAAGACGGAGTATCTCTTCTCGACGTCAAAAACGAGCTTCTCCTTTCCTACCTACAAAACCTTGTCTTCCTAATTTTACTGAAGATCAGGAATGCAAAAGAAACCAGCTCGGGGGAAGTAGAAGAGCCGACCGGATCTGACCTCTCGGACACGGTTGTAAAAAAGTTGGTTGAATTACGACTATATCTTGATAAGGGAATTCGGCCCCTCGAGGAGAAATTGCAATTCCAGCTTGATAAGATACTGCGCGCAGCTGATGATGCTGAGCGCATTGCTTCTCAGGCGTTAGAAGATGCCGGGTCAGAATCAGAATCGGATGAAGGAGACAGCGATGGAGATGCTTCTGAAAACGAGGCCCCATTCCGACCTACAATTAGTCTCTCGGCCAAGCAATTTGGTCCCGGCTTCAACAACTTTGCGCCGCCTTCAAATCCTGTAGGAATGGCCGCCGTTACAGCGACGGAAGACAAGACAGGTGCATACCGCCCGCCCAAGATCACCCCGACCGTCATGCCCACAGCCGAGCGGAGGGAGCGGCGCGAGCGCAGACCCATGAAGTCTGCCGCCGTCGATGAGTATGTCGCGAATGAGTTATCGCACATGCCAGTTGCAGAACCGAGCATTGGAACGACGATCGTGTCTGGGGGCAGAAGCATGAAGACTGCTTCTCAGCGACAGGAAGAGGACCGTAAACGTGAATATGAAGAGTCTAATTACGTGCGTTTGCCGAAGGAAAGCAAGAAAGACCGCTCCAAACGCAATAAGGCTGAGGGACGAAGCGCAAAGATGACATTCGGTGGTGAAGACTGGCGGGATCTTGGCGAGGGCGTAGATCGAATCGAGCGATTGACCAGGCGTAGAGAAGGCGGCAGTAGCACCAAGGCGCTACTCGAGAAGAGTCGTAAGAGAACTAGAGAGACGGTCGATAGCGCCCGTGGAAGTGGCCATGCCATCGGAACTCGGGATATAGGCGATAGGTTTAATAAGCGTCTCAAGGTCATGGAGGGCGGACGCAGAGACCGAGGCAAGCGTTAAGGATATATACATAATGTCAACTAGGTAAATATCATTGAACCTGGACTTATGGCTGGCTGTCTATAGGTATGCTAAACTCCAAGGTTCGACTAAAAGTATTACAACAAAGTGTCAACCCTGATCTGATTACGGCTTTTGAACAGCTAGAGTTTTGTATTCTTCCATATAATTATATAGTTCCCTCAAGCCCTGTCATACTCATTACGTATCCGACACAATCTAGCAACTTGCCGCCAGATTCCATTCTCAAAAAATAATACAACGAGGATTGAACCTCCTTTACACAATTGAACTTCAACAGCAGGTCGCCGAAAGCAATCGCATGCAGGGGATCCCGTACGAGCGTCGGAGAAACTATCTCACGGTAGTCTTATCGAAAGGGGTTCTCAAAGTACCATCGATAGATGCGGCACGGATTTCGTAACATGACGTCGTTTCTTGCAATTCAACTTGCAATTCAAGAGGGGATTGCTGTATAGTAAACTATCATCAAGATAGTTATAACAGTCGCATCTGCCACGTCTGTGAGAAATGACATCGCGGCCATCAAGATTTGATTCCAATATGGCGATCGTACGTTGAGCATCTAGGTAGTCTGACCAGCCTGACGAGTCTGACACCGAATTTCCCGAGTCAGAGGTTTCTTGAATGTCACGACAGTCCGACCAATGCCCGTATAAGAGCTTTCTATCATCAATGTTTTCCTAAAAACTTTTACCGACGTCTCTACTTCTCTCATCGGCTTCAGCATGTCCAATACCGTTTCGGACCTGGTCCTCCGCGGCCACCACATGTTTAGGCAGTGCAAACCCCAAACCGAAGAAGACGAAGAATGCCCACTTCCATCGGAACGGGTTAATAGTAACGCAGAAGAAGAACCACCAGAGCAATTCAAGGTACGTAAAGAAGTCAAAGGCACCAGTGGGAGCTGTGGCTTTCAGGACCCTGGTCATATCGATCCAGCGTTTCATCCAGAACGTGGATGGGCGCGTTAAGGGGTCCACGAGAAACATAAGCAGAATCCGAGTGTAGATGCCGATATGCCAGTTACCAACAGTACCAATAGCCGATAGATAAGTGCAGTTGATGGCCGAAATGGAAGGATGCTGCGGAGGAAACGTTTGAAGATACCAGTTTGGCGGGCCATACGGCTCGGTAAAGCAGTCATCGGGAAGGAAATCCAATGATGGCCTCTTATATCCGGTCGCCATGACTACCATGTCGCCTTCGATATTGACCTTTCGACCAGGGCCTCCTTTCGGCACTCCTTTATCTCTCTTATTCACCAAGACTCCTGTCTCGGTGAACTTTTCGATATCACATCGTATCCACTCGGCTTGGCCAGAACGGAGTTTGTCCATGACATCAGAGTTGACCATCGGTGTGTCCATAAATATGCCCTTGTCGGTTGGTGCTAGGTCTTGTAGGTCCCGGTAGAAGAATTTCTTCAGCAGCGCCTCGGGGATAGCAGACAACGTAGTCTCCTGCCCCCAAATATTCAAAGAAAGTAAGATATCAACAACCCAGTTGCGAGGAATAATCCACTTGTCGCTGCGTGATAAGATATATATCTTTGATGCCCCCTCGTCCTATAGGTAACATTGAGCGTCAGTTTATATTCCCCTAGACCTAAACCTCTTCAATCATATTTTTAGGGGGTATCCTGAGGGTATGACATACAGAAGCATATTCCAAAGCTTCGACCGCCGACGCGCCGCCGCCGATAATAATCATAGATTTCTCTTTCGCATCAACCCTTTTTTTCCATTAGTTAAATGATTCGTGAAGTAACACCGCTTCGATACTTACCCAGTTAATTGGCTAGAATGGTAAATGGGATTCTTGAATTTATCCATGCCGTCTATCTTGGGCATCTTGGGCTCTCCGCACGTCCCTACGGCCGCTATGATACCTTCGAATCTACCGTTTGCGGGATTGTTGATGATCCAGCGGCCCTTTTCATCTTTGTACACTTTTTCGACTGGAGTGTTGAATTTTGTTTTCATGTCTAGTCCATATCTCTCCCAGAGCTGCCTTACCTGGCTGACAATCTGCTGTCGGTCTGGATAGCCATGTTCCCATTTGACGGACGGATGAAACCTATACATAAACGAATGGATTTGCAAGCTCGAGGTGTTGTTTACTTTCTGTCGTACGGATAATCGTTAGTAATTGGAGACTCGATTAGTTAGTGTCTAATGGAAGGGTTAGAATACGTACGCTCCAAATACCTCCTAGGCTATTTTCATCGCCAGCCTCGAATATCACAACGTCGAATCCGTGTCCAACGCAATGGGCTGCCGATGTCACGCCGGTAATGCCTGCACCAATAACCGCAACCTTCGGCCTCCCCAACCTCGTGCTCGGCCCCGGAGGTGTCGGGGAGAATAGCTTGTCTGCGAACCATTGAAATATGATGAAGCAGAATTGGAACTGCCATTGAATTATCTTGGATATAAAACGAAATGGATGAATGAGGGGATTGTCTAAGTCCTTGAGCCCTCTTCTAGTTTCGGCTCGAAGGTCGGACCAAGCCTCGGAGGCTTTCTCCTGAGGAGACATAACGGACTACCTCGTAGTTTAGAAAGTCAAACGATGAAAATAGCTTAATGTGTTTGTATACTTCGTACAAGCTTAGGTTAGGTACCTAGGTAGGTAGCATAACTTGAACAACAAAGACAAGAGAGTCAAAATCACTAAAATTCAAATCTGCTTGAGAAAAAAAAGACAAGGCAGAGAGTTCTTTCTAGTAAGTAAATTAATATAGCAATTGATCCAATTTGAACAGCCAAACAAGCTAGGGGGGTGGTTTACAATTGACGCTTCCATGACGATGAGCTTTGTCAGGTTCATGGGTATAAGCTGGTATAAGTCGAAGCATTCCGAGTAACCCTGTCCATTACGTCACTTAGTAGCAGCAAACAAGGGAAAGAGAAAAGCTCTCCGTTGACATGTGAAGGAAGCTATGCTTATATGCATTTCATGCATGTGCCGATGATAGCCCGACAACAATAAATAGCGACATCATTGACATTACATTACCTGTAAAAGACTGGAAGCATGTATTTTTTGTGTGTGCAACCACACATCCCACATCCCATATCCCAAAGTCCGAGTCCGAAATTGTTAAGAAGAGAAAAAAAGAAAAAAAAAATGAAAACATAAGAAACGTTACTTGGTAGTCGACAGTAAACAGTTGGAGCCCAAAACCCTTTATCATACACCAATATTCATGATCCTAAATATGCGTTTAAATACCCAACCAACTCACCAATATCCTACCTCATGCATTTCATGTAATTCATGTCACTCATGTAACTACCACGAGTACTTGAATCCCAAATAGCCGTTGGTTCCTATAGTATCCGACAGAGGGGACACTTCCACCTCATTCTCCTCGTTCGTTCCGACCTTGTATTTGGTTTCAGGCTGATCTTCGCTGAAGTCGTCGCCGTCTTCCAAGTATAAGCCTATCAACGGAGTCGCAATGACCGAATCAACACCACGAGCGATACTCCTGGCTCCGAGTTCGGGTAGGTAGTACTCCTTCGCAATGGCAGAGCATACGGTGGCGTTATTCGTGATCTTCAGTTGGACATTGCCAATGAGATTCTCCTCTTCGGGGTCTACCGAGTTGACTACGGGTCCAGCAACTCTCTCTTCCAGTTCCATGATGTACTTGTCGGCCAGCACTAGTTGCTCGTCTGCGTTGAACGTCAGGAAGGGAACAATCTCAGTAACCCGGCTAGTCAATCGAGCTCCAAAGCTGGCGATGCAATCATGACGAAGTTGACGAGAGAGCTGTTTCTTGAGCGCAAAGTGCTCTAATCGTAGGTCGGAATCGCGTAATAGTTTGCTATTCGCCTCGCAGAAGCTGCGAATCGTGTTGTCGAACTTGTCTGTTGACAAGATCCAGATAGTGTCGGCACAATCGATCTTCTGGCCGTTTCGACGATCGGTGTATTCACCTATCAAGTTTAGTTTCCATTCATATCAATCTGAGCCAATTGCTTCACGTACCTAAGTCAAATGGACTCAAAAGCGCCTTGCGGATGTCTTCGCTTGTCTTCTCGAATTCTTCGATGAACACGATACTTCTTTGTCCGGTCTTTCTAGCGAGGAAGTTGTTCAAAGATGAGCCCAGTTCATGACCCTGCTCCGGTGCTTTGGGGCCGAATAGCTCGTCCTCGCCATTGATGTGGGTATAGTCAACCCTCTCAATATCTAAGGATAGAAGACGCCCCAATTCATTCACGAGATCACTCTTTCCGTGGCCTTTAAGTCCACCGAAAAAGAGTACCAGTGGCTTCCTGCCTGGTATGGCGAGATTGCTATCGAGTGTTAGTTCAATGGATTGGGGACGGCTGGATTCCTGACACTTACACCAAGAAGCTCTTCTTCAAAGTCCATGCCGCTAGTCGTTGCCCAATGATGGTTTGCTCCAGGCCAAGGATCTCTTCCGCATTTCTTCGCAGAGCTAGCGTTCGTTCACGACCAGATGGCGGTTCTAACCTTGATGCTCTCCAAAGTAGGTATCGCTGTGTTAGACTCAACGCGGCGGCTAATTGCGGCCGTATCTCAGGTGAGCACCAGAGTCTCTCACCATCTACAATATCTTGTAGCTCTTTCTCGTCAGGGCCAGACTCCGGAAGGTCACGATCGAATGGGTCATAGTATGCTGCGGGAATGACAAGAGGCGATGCGCCAAGCCTGAGCAAAGTCTCTACGGTTTTAGCTGCTTGCCGACGGGGGCGAGCGCACCGCAGAATCGCGAAGGCCAAAACGGGGAAACGAAGAGGTCCATAGGTAGCGTTCGGATCACCACCGTATTTGATCCAGTAGCGAATAAGCTCCGCGTCATTGGTTTCGACAACAAAGAAAATTGCCGGGAGTCCCACGATTTCTTCATTAAGACTGTCCTTTAATAGATCTGCGTCAATCTTGTGGTAGTAGCTCAGATATTCACGCAATTCTTCGGCCGAATACCCATTCTGGATGGTCCCAATAACTCTCTCGAGGTCAAACCAGCCTGTGTTACGCGGTTCTGCTCCTAGAGGCTGATTGGGGGGAGGGATACGGGGCAGTTGGTCATAGTATGAGATCTCTTGGACTGTCTCTGGCTCGCCGGTATTATGGTTCTCGTAACCCTCGTCAACCGAGAACGCAGAACTAGCGTTAATCTCGACAGTTAATCCTACGGATGGATTCCGTTCACCGTCATCATCCGATATGTGCGTAAAGCCCGTATCGGAGAAATGGACCGGGCTTTCTTTGCCGTTCGGTTGATAAGCCTATATTGCATAAGTTACCTGGACGCGTTGATACATATGAGAAGCTAGAAACCTACCCAAGTTTTACCGGTCGCATCTGCTGAGTCTCGATCATGATTCTATACCAAATTAGTCAGTCACATGTATTTGAGAATGAGCGTTGGAAGAGCTTACCCTGATGAACTCGCCTAACGCGTCAAGAGTCGAACTTGGGGCTGGTTCTGCGTCGTGGAATGAAACCGGATGTTCATAGTCTTGCTCAACTGATCCCGGCTCTGGCTCAGGTGTTTGATCCCGCGCAAGATCTGGCAGTAGGTCCGGTTCCGGTTCTTCTAGTGGCTCCGGCTCCGGCTCCGGCTCTGGTTGCGGTTCCGGTAATACTTCCTGAACTGGTTCCAAAATTGGTTCAGGTTCTCGTGCCCATTCAGGTTCGGGTTCGGGCTCGGGATCGGGATCTCGCGCCCATTCTGGTTCCTCTTCCTTTTCAGGTTCGGGTTCTGGTTCTGGTTCTGGTATCACTTGTATCGATGGTGGCTCTGGTATTCGTTCTGGAATTGGTTCTGGCTTTGACTTTAGGTCTGAGGGCAATTCTTGTACTGGTTCCGGAACCGGCTTTGGCACTGATACTGATTTGGGAGCACCATCTGGCATTCGATTCGGCTGCGCTTCTTTCCCTGCCTCCGGGGCTTTCTGCGCGGACCTTCTCTTCTTCTTCGCCATGTTCAGGAATGACTGGCTTGGCTTTCTATGGATTAAATTAAGGATATAAGACTCAATTTTGAAGGTGAAAGAATCCATAGAATATATACATAGGTAGCTCTATGGTGTTTTGGATTTAAGCTGGGAGTGAGGTTTCTAATTTCAGCACATCCCCAACAAGAGGGAGACACGCTCTTAACGGCTCCAGATTTATGAGCAGCGCATTGATTGTTTTTGGCGCCAATGGCACTCTCGATACACCGACGAATGGCTCGGGCGGCATCCATATCATATTTTTTTTCCTGTCGCCGCTGCAGGTCCAGCAATGTTGCATCAACTAGGTTAACAACTAGGCCAGGTCGGTTTATTAGGGGTGTCCACATAGAAGTTGAAGTAGCGACATATTATTACCTGCTTCGTTATACCCGACCGTAACCAATGACAGTCGGACCCAAAACGTACAAGATCCAATAGCGCATCTAAGGCGGTCTGGGGTACACAGCCTTGACCGCCGAACACCACACAAAATTAATGCAGCTGCTGAGATGCTGAGAATTAGGCTTCAAACCCAACTTGTGCGCTCTCCAATTTCATGCATACCGCTCTGCAGCTTTCCGCTCCTTGTCCCAAAGAACTCGACGAATGAACATACACCCGAGCTCATATGAACACGTGCTCTAATACCAAACTTATAAGTACCTAGCGGGTTGAGCGTACCTAAAGAACGACTTCTTTGGGCGTGCATGTTGGGGAATGATCGTATCTCACATCGAAAACATAGGGGTTGTCTATGTCGTCTATTTGTCCCCCAGTTTGCCCCGGTTTGCCCCGTTCAATATTGCGGTGCCAATACTTGCGACAACACAGAGCTAGCAAGACGATTTAATATGATACACGACAACCTGTCAGCAGTGACGTGGTGGTCCCGGTGAGCTAATAACGAAGCTGGATGCAATTCCTGACAGCGCTATTGGTCTATTGTATGCCGCTCATTCTGATGGGTATGGGATGAGTATGGGCATATGCGTGATGACGGAACCTGGATTGGGTATTAGATGAAGCCCCCAGAGGCCCAAAAGTAAATACCCAATCTCGAGTTCTGGAACAAGTAATACTGGAGTCAACATAAAGACACCCGTAACGTGGGCCATGGTAGCAAATGGGTAGATGTTAACCCTATGTGGCAAGCAACCACATAAATCTATTTCACGGCCTGACACGAATGCGAAAAAAAATGCAATCCAACGAGTTTTGATTAGCAAATTGAACCAGAGAACCAGAGCCGCTCGGGCATCTCCTTTGTAGCCAGTAAGAATTCCGACAATTCAGCATTGGGATCGATATTGTGGGTATATGGGTATTATGAAGGCACCGAAATTGACCTAATAATATCGCAATCCGGCCCTGTCCGTCACCGCTCCAGCCCAAGAAAAGAAAAACCAGAAAAACAAAAAAACAAACAAACATTTATTGTTCCATTGACCGAGGATAGGTTGTAAATCTCTCCGAGAAAAAGATCAAGATCACAGATGCACTTTAAGCTGTAGTGCCTAACTAATTGCTATTGAAGTAATTAACAGCGAGCACAGGCCCAAGCTTAAGCTCTTTCTCCCATCCATCTAAGTCGAAGCGCATGCGGCGCGAAACCCCGACAGGCTTCCCGCCGGCCGGTGCATGTTTCTTGACGTCGAAGCCCTCAGGCTGCTCGTATAAGAAGAAAGCATACCGGTGTGGCGCGCTTGGCGGCGGCGGCGCAGGGCCAATGTAATTTACTATGAAGGGTGCCGTAGACTTGAGGACGAATCCGTTACCGTCGGCGGCTGGCGTGGCTTTCAAGTCCGACTGGATCCAGTGGAGTACCGGACCTAACACGCTGAAGGACGGGAACGGAGCGTCGAGATCGAGGTTTATTATTATGTAAGTTTTCTCGGGCGACGCCGATGCGAAGCTGATTTCTGGCTCTGATTGAGCGTCTGAATGATTTGAGTTAGCCTGGATTTTTTGTCTTTAGGTAGGTAGCCATCATCTATTACTTACCGGCCTTTGGGATATATAGCCCGGGTTCGACGCTGGTATGCTTGCCGACACTTAAGCCTAGAACTTTGGACTTGTCGTTCTCGATGAGCGATAGCGCCGTCTTGATGCTGTTGTTGGCAGGCATTTTTAATGCTTCTAACTGGGTATGTGATCGGATGATGTAGGTGTTAAGTTGAAGAGATACGTCTATGATTGATGATATGAGTCTGACGTAGAAATGTTGGGACGGTAAGGTGTCTTAATATTTATTCTTCACTGCTTGACTTAACCTAGTTAGTATATCCGGACTCTTTCCCATCCAACATAGGTAAAGATAGAGATTTTGTTATAGAGTGTGATTACTGGACGGAGATTAGCGGAATTGACTTGATAAAGTCCGCCACTATTGCGACTCTAATAATGAGAAGTCTGGATATGATGGGTCTGAATTCCTAGTATTGTTTATGTAACTGCCATCAGCGTTCGATACAACGTGATTCTTTCTGATAGTTATTATAATTGACTGACATCTCTTTAACCCCTATATCCGCATAGGAGCATTATGAGCATGGCAAAAGACTTGATGGCTTTCCCCTAGGTATAGAATGTAAAATACCTCCATAATATCCTACTGAAAGAGTTCATGTTCTAAGCTCTGCGTATGTATATCTCACATCTTCTATTCTCCCCTTCTCCCCGCCCCGTGAGCCGCCTTCGGAACCTTTATGGTTGCGATCGCCAGAATTACCGCCCCACTCGCTCCGAAATATGCGTTTCGGCTCCGGCAACACAACATCGGCAAATCAACACGGACACGGATAAAAAGGTAGACTTAAAACAGGCAAGAATATGTAAACGTCGATATTACCTACCTAGTTAAAGTGAGTATTATAATATTAGATATTAGACTAACTTATCCAAGTCCTTACCCGAGTATAAACTGATTATAACTATACTAACTTTTAGTTGCATACCTACCTGTACCTATTCCCTTCCAATAGCAGTGAAATGTATGTACGATGTTTGATATTTAACCTGCGTTTCATAACTCGGGAAGGGAAAATCAATATATTTAAGTCCCAATGTAATGAATCCGTTATGGTGATGCTGTTTCTTGACGATGTTGTATGTCCTCAAGCGCGAGAGTGCTACACAGTAAACCTTTTCCGGGGTATGTCCAATCACATTACTTATATCCAAAAATGTTTACTGTGTAGCATTCTCGCACCCTCTCACTTAAGGATATATCTCGAATTCTTTTGAGGCTCAAGTGCTAGCGGCAAAATCCATATTGCTTCCAAGGACTTAGTTGTCGACGAGACTCTCTCAGATAGAGCAGGGAGTAGGTAGACGATTGGTTTCCTGTCGGGTCCCCATCGGGACCTGTGGCACAAATTTCTAACAGGGATTATAGTAAAAGATCGTCAGTGCGTCATTGGTGATCAAGTGGATTGATTTCGATAACCTTTACCGAGTGCTTGGCGTTAATGGCGGAGCAAATTCTGGAGAGACTTGATAGTCAGGAACAAGGCCTAATTTGGGTTAGTGAGGTTGAATCTTAGGAAGGGCGGAATGGCGCTACATAAAACCCAACTAATAATTACCTAGTATGAAGCCACCCTAGATCCTTTCTCACTTGCTATTTTGAATACCTTCCTCATATCTATCTCTAGGCAACCAATTAGCTAAATATGAATACGCCTACGGATGCTTCGCATGCTCCTCGGCGCCAAGTACATCTCACCACTAAGAACAAAAGATCCTGGACGGGGTTGAAGATGTCAAATTGAGGCCATCGTTGTGGATTAGTTATGCGAGGTATTCCCTTGTTGAACTATAACAAAAGCCGGTATCCTAGTAGTAGAATTCATGGCATTGCCCCTGAATAGGTACAATACATATTACTTCCAATTTAGTACAAATAACTAGCGTGAAAAATATTCGAGTCGTCAACTACAATAAAAGAGTTTGCAATATGCATATCATAATAAATGAAAATTACGAAGGTCAACCTCGACACATTTAGAGTTATGAGATGTGTATAGTCCATAACTATTGAGACTCTTAGATAGGGTGTGTGAACTTAAGAGTTACGAGTGCTAAACAGTTTACCTATGTAACTGGTAAGCACTATAATCCAAACCCCTGTCCTAGGTACTTTGGTTTCAACATGTTCACTGTCACATTACACATTATACATTACACACCAACAACCTCCAACCTCCAACAACCTTCATTACAGGGAGATTCAGATTTATGATCACGATTTGACAGGTCATTGAGAGAAAGCCCGCGGAAAGCCCGGAACGAACCTCAGAAGAATATTCTGAGGAGGACGCCACATGTGATGGTGAGTGTAAATGTGGAGTATTTGACCCCTTTTATTAATAGATAATTCTAAATCCTCAAGCTAGGGATTCCATACACCTGCCATTTTTGGACGCTATACCTGCTTTTGAAACATGTTTCTATCATGCCAGTATCGTATATGATATAACTCGAGCTGTATCTAGGCATCATGGAAAGCATGCAGGCTTGGCGATGTTTCGTAGAGGCGCGACGCCTTCGCCGTCATCGTTATTTGCAATGCCCTGAGTCATGTATTTAAGAAATGGACAATAACGTCTTGTTTCCATGACGAACTTTCGTTTCCACGGTAAACACTAGGTCGCAGGTGCCCATTTACACATACAGCAATTTCGAAGCTGGCCTTCTTTCTTTTTTCGAACCACTATCGTTAATATCAAATACTAAACTTGACATTTCCCAATATGCCTTCCTTGAGCACAACACTTTTGGCTTTGGCCGCATCAGCACCGGCAGTCCTAGGCCACGGCCACGTTCGAAGAGTAATTGTTGATGGTGTAACTTACCCGGGTTATGAGCGTTGGTCAAACGAAGATCAAAGTCAAGCTGTCACATGGCAATTCACAACGGAAGACGAGGGACCAGTTCCGGTAACATCACTCAGCGACCCCGATATCATCTGCCACCTTGGAGCGACGAACGCCCAAGCCTCGATCCCAGTAGCTGCCGGTTCCCAGTTACAGGTCGTGCGTTTTAATACGATAGGCGGCTTCGAGCACCCTGGTCCCGAGATGCACTATCTCGCTCCGTGCGGTGATGCTGGCTGCGCCAATGTCGACAAGAACAACCTCCGATTCTTCAAGTTCTTTGAGAACGGTCTCGTTCAGGGCGGCATGGCGGATAGCCCTCAGTGGGAAACCCAGAAGTGGGCTACTACTGAGGTCCACAAGAACGTGCAGCCGGAGGGAGAAGGTTTTGTTGATACATTCACCGTCACTATTCCTGAGAACATCAGGCCTGGCCCTTACGTCCTTCGACATGAGATTCTTGGATTGCACAAGGCCCATGAAGGTCAAGCAGAGTTCTACCCCCAGGTTAGTAGGACCTTTACCCCGAAACATATTCTATGTGCGCATTTACTGACTTAAAATAGTGCATCAACCTCGAGATCTCGGGCTCTGGTGACCAGCAACCGGAAGGCGTGCCTGCTACCGAAATGTATCACAGTAGCGACCCTGGTGTTGCTCTGGATATCTGGGTCGATCTCGAATCGTACCAAATTCCTGGACCGGCAGTCTCTAATCTTTCCTTTAAGAGGGACACCAAGGCGCGCGCTACCAAGCGTCACCCTCGAGACCTCAAGCACTAAATTCTCTCGCCGGTTACTTGAAGTAGACTTCCAGCAAGCCTTCTAAAGTTATGTTGCGAATTTTGCTGTATTCTATTCATTTTTTTTTCTCCACCTGCCCTGAACATACTTTACATTTCGCATGGACAATTGATTAAGATGTATATACTTGCCTTTTCTATTCGACTTGTCGAGAAAGATCTTGCTCTTTCTTTATACAATATATAAATATCAAGAGCTTTACACAACACTCTCATACCAAGTACCACGTATTTTATTAGTAAACCGGCATGCTTGATTTCCGCCCTTCCCAAGTCTTGTACTTCTTTGTTGGGTCTTGAGATTATAAATAATAGCAAGTCGGAATTGCCTTTAGGATCGCAAGAAACAACTACGTTGATCTTTTACTAAAACAGGTAGTAAGAACAGACTCAATATCAATACAATTCAAGATCCATCGATTCGGATTAGCTTTCTCGCCGCACACACTATCCATTGTACTTTGACAAAGATTCTACTCCGAAACAACTGTACAGTGCGGTCGATTATTACTGACAAGGAAACGAATATGAGATTGATAAACATATCTTTGTTCCTGTACAATCCCACGTATGATGGTCGTGCCTTTGTGAGTGTCTCGTGGCATTATACTACTAGGTTATTTATCATAGTTATCCCGTACTTAAACCTTTCAATCTAGAAAGATTCCATCGACCGTATCAGTGCAAGTCCAACACCCGATTTAGGATATTGCATTGTAAAAACCGTAAAAGCGAAATGGATGCGTCAGTTCGTCAGCAGCCCCGGCGTGCCGCCCGGGATAAACATGGACTGAGTAACCTACCACTAAAGAGCCTCAAACAAGAACATATGTCGGGTCCAAGGTCGCCGAAGAAATCACCCAGAACTGAATCGAGGTACCGTAGGAAGAAGGGAGCTATTTCCTATGCGAAAGCAAGAGCATTGGCGACAAAGGCTCTCGAGAAGAAGGTATCGTCAATGGATCAGGAATCTGCATGGCTGGAACAGAGTGGACTTCTTGGTGCCTTACCGCCAAAGTCCCCTGGTATTCAAAGCCTACCATCCCCTAAATTACTCAAAGCCAAGCGAGGCCGTGGTAGGAAGAAGAAGTCGGAAGAAGACATGTACATGGACGACTTCCTGCTTTCCGACGAGGAAACTGGACATCCCGGCGGCCTTCGGAGAGCGGAACGCTGGATCCCTGAAATGGAACACCGACGGCGGCCAGGCCAGAAGCCTAGAAATATTCCCTCTCAGTTATGGATGTCGTACTGCCTCATGGACGACTACATATATAGACAATCTCTGACCGACGAGGAGGTCCTGGCGCATCCCCTTATGGACGACGTTTTGGAGTATCAACAAGGCGGTAGCAGCGCTAAGGTAGTTCCACCGCCTGGCTTTCAATGGAACGAAAAAAGGAGATTGGTACCTATTCTAGAAAATTGAGTAGGAGAAGTAGCTAAGATGGCCCTAACAAAAGTTCTTGTAGTTAAAAGTTATTGTGGTTTAGTTCGCTTGGCTGTGTATGAGTTTTCAATAGACACTTATAGTCATGGTTTGGGTGATTCTTGTAAATTGTGAGATATTGACAATTGTGAAACTTATGCCACGATATGAAATGGTAAGACTTGTATTGCAAGGAGGTACCTACCTCCTAGGTACTGTGCTTTAGCCAGTGAATTGAATTCTAGCTTTTAATATGGTAAACGTAATAATAAAAATATCATCTTCTATAAAGTCTCAACTCATTAGAACTTTATCTCATCAACGGGGATGAGACTTCAGTGAGAAGAAATAATATGTTAATAATAGATGGCCAAAAAAAGGGGGGACGCGGTTAACCTCCAATTTAATGCCCCGCGTTCAAGAAGAGAATTGCGTGATTGATTTAACTCCGCTTCAACATTCCCTCATCAACAATCATTCAAGATACACTCGAATAATTGATCTATGATCAATCCGCCTCAGCAAAATGACATCGTCATCGGAAATTGAAGACGGTGCCTCTAGGCCTCTCCTTGCCGATCAAAGAGATGAGCGGGATGCTGATGCTGGCTCAGCAGATGGTGATGCCCCGCCACCAGCTCCAGCTCGGGATAGAGGCACATTCACAAAGAACCTCGGCGCTCTCGAGGCTTTCGCTATCATTATCAGTATTGTTATCGGTAGCGGCATATTTACCTCTCCCGGATCTATAGACACCAATGTACCGTCTCCGGGTGCTGCCTTGATTGTTTGGCTAATTGGCGGTGTCCTTGCGTGGACTGGTGCCTCGACCATGGCGGAGCTAGGAACGGCGATTCCCGGCGAAGGTGAGTCAATCTCATATATATATATATATATATATATAACATATATATAACTTATCCTGTACGTGTGTAAATAAGATACAGTAGCTAAGTTATATTATAGGCGGGGTGCAGCCGTATCTTCAATACATATTCGGAGATGTCTTCGGCTTCCTAGCCGCTTGGACATGGATTGTGGCTGTCATGCCTGCTACCCTCGCCATTCTCAGTATCGTGTTCGTCGAGAGCATTTACTCCGCGATGGGTGTAACCGACCAAGCTGGAAAAATCGAACATAAGCTATTTTCTATTCTCATTCTAGTCGTCATTAGTGTCGCCAATTCTATCAGTACTAAAGCCAGTACTCGTCTCAATAACTTCTTTGTGGTTACCAAGTTCGTTAGTATCGCGGGAATCGTGATAGCTGGAATAGTAGTTGCCATACTTCAGGCCATCGACCCGGAAAGGGATATTGGAGGCCGAGACTGGTTCAAGAAGCCTTGGTTTCGCAATCGGGAAGTTCTTAACCCCGACGGGAGCAAGACGGATTGGAATGAGCTCGGCGAATGGGAGATTATTGGTCATTATTCTGCCGCGTTGTATGGTGCATTGTGGGCTTACTCTGGATGGGATAAGGTGAGCTTCTATTCTATTCTATTCTATCAATTTTGGTTACGATGGGTTGCTCAAATAACTTCCAATCGCAGGCAATTTATGTCTCGGCTGAACTTCGATCACCGGCGCGTCAACTTCCACTCGCCATCAATAGCGCCATCCCGACGATAATACTGTGTTTTATCACCGCGAACGCTGCCTACTACATATTACTTCCATGGGACGTAGTCTCGACAACAGACAGTGTCGCTGTGGTAAGTACAATATCTCTAATATGATATGACATCTAGGTACTAAATTGTTGATCAGACTGCTATCACCCGTCTTCTAGGGCAAGGGTTTGGTATTGCCGCCGCCGCTCTTATCTGCCTAGTCGTCGCCGGCTCCCTTCTTGGTAATTCGTTTGTTGCCGGTCGCATGGCGGTCGCGGCAGCAAACATGAACTGGTTTCCTCGTATTTTTGCCTCTGTTGGCCATATCGGATCGAAACCCAGAACGGAAGATGAGCAGGGCTCTCCCAGTACGGCCCGATCGGATGCTCCCATCAATGCCATCTTACTCTCAACCATCCTTTCGGCCTTGTACATCCTTCTTGGGAATTTCCGTGCTCTCTTGACTTTCAATGGGCTGGGCGAGTATTCCTTCTTCTTTCTAACTGTTCTAGGCGCTATTGTTCTTAGATTTCGCGAACCAGAACTGCCACGACCATATAGACCACATATTCTGGTCCCGATTGTATTCGCCCTTGTCAGCGGGTTCGTGGTGATTAGAGGTGCCATTTTCGCGCCTGCGTTAGCACTGGTAGTTATAGCTGTGTGGATAATTGGCCTTGTATTCTACTTGGTTAGGAAACGAATGGCTTTAAGGCAAGAAGAGTAGTTGATGGGCAATTCTATGATTTTACAAGGGCGCTTATTTCTTCCTAGCCTATTCGCGAGAGATCGATAGTTCGCGATCCTCCCCCGTTGGATTCAGCTGTATTACATATCGTTCATGATCTCCTTCATCCATACTATCGCCTACAAGGTCATCTGTGTCGGCGTACTTCAAGACGAACTTGCGTCTTAATGCCCGAACGCCCTTATAGATGGAGGGCGCCCCGAGCCCTTCCTTGTACCATTTCCTAGCTACCTCCCCGCAAACTTTCCCGTCTTCAACCATGCGGATTTTCGTGTGGCCGACCAAACGGTTGGCTCTTTCGTTGATAGGGCGCCGAATTTCATCTATAAATTCAAGGAGGAATTTGTGAGCGATGACAGCCTGCTCACCCTTGTTGAAGGGGAAGAACGGTGCAATTGCGTCAATACGGTTGGTGATTGCAGGCTACAAAATAGTCAATATGGTGTAATGTGAGGCCTTTTCTAGTGTAAAAAAATAAAAAGCAAACATAAACGAACCGGAAAATGGCTCATGTAAAGTTCTTCGAGCTCGCTTTGAAGGGGTTCAATCGATATATTAGCCACGTCTTCATTGCTACACTTAGCAAGGTATTGCGAATGGAATCCAGAGATAGCGTCATTCCCTAAATTCGTAGATAGGATCCAAATAACTCTTCGGCAATCTAATTCGGCATCATCAGCCCCCCAGCGACGATCGCGGTATGTGCCTAGGTAATATGTAAGTTCTTCATATGCCGCGAAAGATACGGCTGTGTAAAGGCGTACCATCATCCATGACCTTCAGCAGTGCATTCAGTGTGTTATCGTCCGCCTTGTCAAACTCGTCTAAAAATACAACGCACCGTTTTCCGTGGTTATCCACTAGGAAGCTATTCAGTGGCGTGCGATTAGCATTGCTCTCATCTCCAAATATGCTACCGAATTGCGCCGTCTGGGAGTTGAAATGAGTATAACCAATGGTAATATTCTGAACCGACAGCAGAGAGCCCATCTGGATAGCGAGTTCTGTCTTTTCGTGGCCAGTAGCACCCGCAAAAACCATCACAAGAGGCTTCTCAGTGTCTTGCGCCATATGAGTATAGACTGTGTCTATAACTAGCTTCACAGCTAACTCTTGACCAATGATCCGAAAAGGTAATCTCAGGAGTGCTGTCATTTTCGAGGCTTCAGCTATCTGGAGCATACGCCTTGCCGGCTTTCTGAGACGGCTGGCCTTCCAAAGATAATACCGAGTTGTCAGATCGAGTTCCTTTGCTAGTGCAAATCTATACTTGTGAACACACCATCGCTCAGAGGATGACATTTTATCGCTGTTATAGTTCATCGCGATTGGTGTGTTGACATAGTCCTTCCACATTTCTCTAGGTATCACCAGAGGGTTCGCTCCGTACGATAGCAGTAATTTGATCATTTCTAAGCTGGTATGTTCATTTCTTCTAACGCGCATAATAGCAAATGCTAATAGTGGGACGTCATCGAAGTATTTGGAACTGGCGTCGCCGTTATACCCTAGGAGTAGCTGAACGATCTCGACGTTTTCAGTGTCAACTGCGTAAGCCATAATACGAGGACCCTCGGCGTGATGTTCCAGAGACCTACTAACTTCCTCTCGAGGAAATTGTTGAAGATATTCTTCAATACCTCCCTGGCTGCATTTCTGGGAGAGTCCAGTGGTTAATCTGTCGGCAGAAAACCCAAACCCCTCCCATATAGTAAGCGCAATATCTGGGGAGTAATCGCAATGATCGAATTTCAACTCTGGAAGGTAGAATGGCGGATCTGCCGTATGGGGAAGAATGAAGCTGTCCTGGGACATCACGATTTGCTGTGCTCGTATAAGTTACCTACCTAGTAAATAGAATGATGTATGTAAACATTTCATTTTTAGATTTCCAATCACTAGCTAGTGATGGGCACTAACATCGGTTGAAAGAAGCAATGATATAGCTTCGTTTGTCTTAAAATGCATGTATCCAATGTAGAGTAGGTCAACTACAAACGCCGCAAGACATACATGAGTGCTAACCGGCAAGGCGTCCGGCCATCAATGCCCTTGGCCGATCATAAGTTGATAGATCATGTTGGTCTCTATCAGCGTTTGGACGGTAGCCAACACCTCCGTAACCATTGATAAAACTTCCAATACCTTCTACCGTCTAGTTCGTTTGCCGTATTACCCACGGTAGGTACATCTAGGTATTTCCTCGTCGTTCGGGTTAGGTACTTTCTACGAAACGTACTAATGTAGCCTCCCGTCGTTATTAGAACTCCTTTTCCTGATGCTCCGTTTGTAAAAATACTGGGCTGGTTCCTTCTCGCATATCAGGTAGGTAATCCGTTACTTGGAAATAGTTGCCATCGATCTGTTACGCGTCCTATCAGCCCCGAGTTCTAGGATTGCACGAGCCAAGCGGGGTTGATGGCTGATACGAAAAACACGTCGTCAAAGAAGGGGGGAGGATTCCCGAACCTCACTAATGGTCGCGTTATTTATACGAGGTAGTTTATGAGGCATGCATTTAATAGCTGGTAGCGGTGATATATAGGTCTCACTAGGATTAACGCTGGTAGGCTTACTATAACATACTCGGTGACACGGTGCAAATTATCCCTAACACTGAATACCTACATACCTTAGGTACTTTCAGCATTGTAGTTGATTCCGAACCGGGAACTCAGCTCCGCGGATAGTCACTGATTCGCACTCGATTATCATCCCATAAGCCTGCTAGTACTATCCTCTTGCCCGTCCACGGAGAACGCGAATGCATTACTGCGTAGTTCTATTGGCACATCAGGAAAATGATCGAGAATTTGGTTGTGACAGGTATTCTAGAAGAAAGGGCATACATACGTCAAGTAGGACAATATCTCCAACTTGCCATTCAATCAATACTTGGAGAGATTCTGCCAGAGAGAGTGCTAAGTCGAGGTACTCTTTCTCTATCGGCGTACCATCCCCATATTCAGGAGGTGGGTGGTATGAGTCGTCGTCGCCTCGGTAGGGAGGTTCTGTCGCTCCATGGTACTTGCTTCGGCCCCATGCACTCGTAAGATTACCAAACCATGTAGATAGACCGGTATCCTCGTGCTTCCTAATAACTAAGCTCATCATCAGCTTCAGAGTTGTAGACATATGAAGCGGGAGCCTTACTTGGAACGATATGTGTCACGCTCAGCGACCCATCATCATGCCATTGGAAGTGGTTACTATGCCGTCGGACTTCCTTTTCAATTTTCTGCTTAATAACCTTCTTATCGTCACCTGGATTCACCTGTTGGCCGTATGCGCCGAGGACACTCGCCCCCGTATTCGATTTCACATCATCTAGCCCGTATCTATACACATACTTGACCCCTTTTTGAAGCAACTTCTCGATAAATTTAGGCGCTCGCCTCTTCAATGCGGCTGCTAGGCCAAGACTAGAGATAATTGGTGTCTCACCCCCTGAAAAGCAAGTTAGATCACAACGGAATTAGATAAGATGTTAAATATTCTAATTAAATACCTGACTCAGGTGCTTGTAGACAAGCAAATGTTAGCCACGAGGGGTTTATCGTCGACCAGCCGTACTCATTATGAGGCCAAATAGGAAGTTCCGGCGGCCTCAGTGAGGTTAGCAATATCACTAGAACAAAGGTTGTCATACTTTACCCTTCATTCGCTGTTTTGATATTCTTAGCCAGGACCGTCCGCAGTGGCGGTCGGCCAACTTCCTCGTGAGGAGGAAACCCGAATGCATGAGCTACGTCACTATATTCTTGTGGCGTCTTAATAGGTAGCCCACGAATGAGAACCGCGCCGCCATGCTCCCTCAACTTATCGAATAAATCGCCAGATTCCGACAGTTTCTTTATAGTTAATATAGACTCTTCTAATGTAGGATTCCACTCGTTGGTTGGTTTCAGTGCCAATGGGAATACTGTGTCGGTGTTCAACCCAACGCTGGCTGTCTCTTGCTGGCCAGGAAAGGTAAAAGCTTCAAAACGATCATAGTTGGGCATCTTGGACGAACACACTTATATTGCAGAAAGCTGGGTTCATTTTTAACATGGCGTAAAATCATGTATTAATAAATTTACCAACAATTATCGTGAGATCTGAAGCTTTGTTTCCTCCACGAATCGTACCGGGCTCAAAAGACGTCAGTGACATTTGAAATGTCGCAACTTATATATCCCCGCAAATATCCTCAAATAAACCTACTTATTGGTTATTCATCTTCAAGTTATGTCGTACCCCTCGAATATATAGCGTGCCAAGCTATCTAGCAGCATTAGGTATTCCATAACTCTTATGTGCACGAACTGAGGATAGACTTGCTTTTCTTCTCGGGAGATGACTATTAGGCCAGGTAGGTAGCCATGCTATTCATGATTGGTCAATTAGATATTCGGGAACTGCCACATGCGTATGTCTCGTCCCAGGGACCAGGTTCAGGGCACGATGCAGCTTAAGAGATTAAAGTAATACAAAGCCGATTCGGAGCACGCAATTGCTAAAGTTCTAATCGAGGGGCTGATATCACCGTACTATTAGACATTTATATGTAGTAGGTAATTCCTGGACCGAGAGGGACCAACCTTGAGGTATCTATAAGAAGCTATAGGTAGCGACCTATCTTCGAAGAGAGTCAGACTCATACCTAAAATCTGGCGACATTTCTATATAAATACCCTATCGCATAAATATGTCTTCAGACGACGATATAGCAACGCGTAATCCTACCAAAGGATCACCGCCCAGTGAGGAAGTTGATATAAGCCCACCGAAATACTCTTGGTACCATGGGGTCTTTTTCAACGCCACAGTTGTTGGTATTTCGGCATTTGCGGCGCCGGGATTATGGAATGCGATGAACTCGGTTGGTGCTGGGGGGCAGCAGACGCCGTATCTCGTCATGTAAGAGTCTACCTAAGGTAAAGGTGGGCGTCGGACATAACTAATGGAATATATAGGGCGGGCAATGCTATTCTATTCGCCGTAATGACACTGACGTGCCTGACTGGGAGTATGATGGTCAACAGGTTCGGCTTGCGAAACTCTTTAGTGGTCGGCACAGTTGGTTATGTGATCTACTCGGCAGCTCTATACACGAACAACCGCTACGGTACGGAATGGTTCATATACCTAGGCTCGGCAGTCTGCGGCCTCTCAGCAGGAATTTTCTGGGCAACAGAAGGCACTATTATACTGAGTTATCCCGAGCCAGAAAAGCGTGGCAGGTACCTGGCATATTGGCTCAGTTATCGCAACAGCGGCTCTATACTCGGTGGTATTATTAACCTTGCCTTCAACTACCGAGGAAGAACGACGGGTAAACTCGACTGGAGAACCTATATCGTCTTTGTTGCTCTACGTTAGTTCTAACTGTGCTTCTGACAGTTACCGAAATGTCTAACCTATGTTTTAGAATGCTTGGGGCCAGTATGTTCCTTATTATTAACCCCGCCCGAAAAGGTCGTCCGCAGAAATGGATCGCGAGTCCAGCTATCAGATAGGATACCAGACCTTGAAGAGCTAAAGGCCCTGACGCGTGTTCTGTTGCGAAAAGACTTTCTCTTGGTGTACGTGTTGGCGATTACTAAATCTAATAGGCACCTAATTTCATACTGACCGTGGGTTTAATAGCATACCTTACTTCTTATACGTCACATGGGAGCTCCCGTATATCAGTTCCTACTTATCCCTATATTTCTCAGTCCGTTCGCGCGCTTTGGCTTCTCTTGTCTCCGCGATTGCCCAGGTTGTCACGACCCTCGCGTTCGGCGCTTTCTTGGATTGGACGAGAGTAAGCTTGAATAAACGAGCTAGATACGGGTATATAACTATGATGACTCTCATTGGTGGCTGCTGGATTTGGGGGGCCATCATACAAAACGAATACACGCACCATAAACCAGCCCTGGACTGGGACGATGGTGGGTTTGGGAGAGGCTGGGCATTATACATTTTCTTGCAGATCAACTTCTCACTTACGTATAACTTTGGCTTCTGGCTTATCGGTTTCCTAGCCAGGGAGCCCAAAGAGATCGTGAGGTATATGTCGCTTGCGAGAGCTGCGGAGTCAGCTGGACAGTGTATCTCGAGCGGTATTAGCTCGACTACAGCACCAGTAAGTAAATACATAATCGGCCTGTCTCTATACTCATAAGCTAACTACTTCACAGCTAATATCAGCTTTGGGTGTTACCTTTGCCCTATGGGGTATTGCTGTCATCCCGGCATACTGCGTAGTTCGTCAAGTGGGGGTAATTCACATTGGCCCTGAGAGATTAACCCCAGACTCCAATGAAAATGATAGGGGATTAGAAAGATCATAATGCTATTTATAACTATTTGATATTAACTAGTACTTCTTTCCTCTAAACTCTGTTAATCAATAGGTATCCCTGAATACGCCAAATACAGGGCTGTCAGGGAATAAGTGGGCAAGGGGTAGATTCAGGGGTAGATTCAGGGGTAGGTCGACCTACCAGTATTGGTTATATAAAAGGCGCACGGCACCATCGAAACAGGATAAAAGTCTAGAAGTTAATAGTTCAATTATAATATCCTGACATTTATTCTATGTATAGCACTAGTCAAGAGCATCAATCTAACAAGAGCAATAAGCTGAGCTGTCAGGGTATAGTGGGTTCGGCCTCCATGAGCGGCGGCAAGCAGGCCAACTTGTTCTGATCAATCGATGCGAAGGTCGAATCCTGGGCCTCAGCTTTATTTATTTATATATTTTTCTTTCCGATGACCACGACTAGCTCATTTGCAACTTAGAAGTGAAATAAAAAATCATCATACTTTTAGTTCATTTACAAAAATACCTAAGGACCATGGTCATCTCGATATACCTTCTTCTACCACTTGAAAAATATGCGACTTGCCCGTTTTCCTGATGTTGTTAGAGTGGGTAGTAAGTACCACGATCCAGCCTTTGGTTGTTCAAGGTCGATAGCAGTTGAAAAAACTATCCGGCCCTCTTTGACTTTTGTTATTTCTTCCTCACCGTTCTTACTCTCACCCTCAGACACGACACCTATCCTGACAGGAAATAGATGAGCATCCGAATCCCCTTCTGGCCGCTGGCACATTAGACTAATACCGGAACTGCTCATCCCTATTAGCTGGAAGCCAGCTGGAATATCCCGAAATTTCCTGGCAAAGCTATTAACCATGAGAACCAGCACTAAGATTGCTCCTAAGGTGATAGCCAAGAGGACCCCTAAAGCGGAATATCCTCTAGCAGAGACATCGAACTCCGAATGTCGCTCGCCATTAGCTCCCGGACCGAAGTAGCTGGTCTGCACAACGAATATTCCCTGCGATATGAACCAATGTAATAGAATGGAACCCATCATAAGCAAGATGGAGTATTTCAGAGGCAAAGAAAGGAAGTATGAAGACCTCTGCATGCCTACAGGCGAGGTCACGCGGAGGGGTTTCTTCCCCTCGGGCCGGGTAAAGCGAGTCCATTCGTCCGCCACCAACTGCCTTGTCAAGATGGAATTGTAGAAGAGGTATATGAAGCTCACTATCACCTGGGGCAAGTTGGCAACGAGGACGTTTCCAATCAGGTCTACACCCCCCTCGCCTTGGGATTTCCAAAAAGAGTGGCCTATCATCGATGGATTGACCTCGAATCCCAACCCCCATATGTCAAAAAATGATAGACTCATGCCCTCACTTTTGAGTCTGTCAATATACTCTCCAATGAGCCCGGAAGGCACTGCTAGGCCAATACTGAAGCTAAATAGCAATTCTCATTAGTTTAGACTTCAAGGGTGTACCAGAATGTAATATAGAAACACTAACAGAATAAGTGCTACTGTCCAAGTCCGAATACTGACAGCTGTGAACCAGTAACTTTGATATTCGTTCCATTGCGTTAGGCGAAGTTGGTAGAAGTCTCCTTTCGCGGTGTTCAGACCCTTTTGGCCTTCGCATTCTTCGTTAGTTTCGGTACTGGGCTCATGTAGAAAATCAGCGATCGCGTCGCCGATGGTAATCATAACACGTCGACGTCTTCCATTTTCCCCGGATGCGTTATATTTGCGAAAGGATAGGTTTGTCCAAAGGACGAGCAAGCACTGCAGAGAAGAGCAGATGCAAACGATAACCATAATATGCAAGCTGTAATGAAGCCCGCATCTTTCCTCATTGTTACCCTCGTCGCCAACCAAACAATGATCAACGAGGATGTTTGGAAATCCAGCAGACTTCCCCACTACCCAACCATCATCCAGCGTATTAGCCCATTCTAAGTTGCATGCTTTTGTATACGCTCCCGAGTCATATGCCGAGCATAACCAGTAGTTACCAGCGTCCCAGTAGTCCCATCCACTCATCCAACCATCGAGTAAGGATGAACCATTGTTTTGTTCGGCTGTAATATTCTGAGCAACGACCAAGACAGCTCTTGTGGACTTCAACGGATTCAAGTATTCGTTGACACATTCTTTAGGGTCTAACCGCGTTAAATTCGCTGCATTCGTTTTCATGGTATAAACTGGCGCTAGATCGTATTTGACGGTACCCCATCTGTCACCGGATGGAAAATTCCACCACCAACGTTGTGGTAAGGGGTCGCTGGTGGTCCAGTTATCTGGTGCCGCTTGGAAATCAGCTGTGGCTAAGGCGCGTGGGATTGACACTATAGGCAATGACGTGAATATGACCGAGTTCCAACTATCAATGTCCATCAACAACTTATAATCGGTCTAGCCGCGTAAATGGGGGGACCTACACGAAATGTAAAAGAGCTGCTGTGACGCCAAGAGACAACCATCCAACCACTCTACCACGAGAAATGTGCCGCAGGTTTGTAACGTTAGGAACGCCGATTCTTAGCGATATTCCCCTCGAATGTGCCTTGTCTATCTCATATCGACTAGGCGAGACAAGCAACTGCATGCAATAGTTTCCGGAGCTAAGGAGTAGACTGGAAAGGATATTCATTGCTGCATGAATAACACTGTTCAGCATGCTCGCTCTGGAGCAGTTGCCGGAAAAATACGTGCCCACGCCACGATAATTCGGATTATACGTGACTACTGACCAAACTGTCATAGCAGTACTCACTGCAACTACCAATGATGCGATTATCAACTGAATCTTCAGCATTGCCGTTTTCTTAGCCATCTTGACCCTAAGGGTGATGGCCCGTGGGTCTGACGGGTTCAGCTCCGGTATGTACTTGGACAGCATATCTGTTTTAGCGTATCGTGGTCCCGCATCCTTCTCTTGGGAGAGGAGAGGCCTAGCTTGGTTCGCTGTCTCTTCATTATGTGTCGGTGTCGATCCTAGATCTTCTGTTGTTGATTCAATGCTCGTGCGCGACGAGGTATCCGACATTGTGTTGTATAAGCGCCAAAGCACCCCTCAGCCCTACAAGGCACCCAAGTAGCCTAAGTAGCCTAAGTAGGTATTGGGGATAATATTTGGGGTACTATGTTTCTGGGGATATTGAGTCCAACTATATAAAACGCATAGGCGCCTAACATCCTATTCAGGAGGCCACCCCTGTCTCATGGGCCCAATCACGGTCATACATTGTCATCAAAATAGAGGCGCTGAGGCGCAAGCATCAGACGGGAATTATTTAGTCGATCTCTTTCACATACGTGATTTCTGTCAGAATTTACCAAGTAGTTATTCATATAGTGAAGAGTATCGTTTCTTATATGATGAGTCTATCGGGTAGGGAATGTAGGCAAGTCGCTTCGCTTCTGATCGTAGTATTAGGGATACTTAGAGAACATGTTTTAGGGGTCTATGAATGATACGTTCTGAAATAATGCCTAGTACGTATTTGGATAATGATAGGCTATAAATTTAACATGCCTACCGTATACTATTAGGTAAAGGTCAGTCAATTATGTACGGTTCAATGTAACTACTAAGCCTTGCAAACCTCAGCTTTGCCAGCTAAGCCACAATATAACCACTCATAGATTTTAACGACAGGGGTTGTTATTGGTGTATTAATGAGTTAATAGACTATGTAGTAAGTAGGTTTTCTTAAATCATTTTCTATCGAGGGTTACGCTTTAGGATGTTTGATAGGTTCAAAAGGCGACGAGTCTCTTCCCCTAGGTAAGGTAACTAGGTATTTTATGTCGTAGGTATTTTAGATGGTATTATCAACTAATCTCGATGATACTCCAGTACAAGTGGTATAAAAATCCCTAGCTAGACCCTTCAACTATGAAGTTAGACTCGACTCTAAGTTTACAGGACAAGCTTCTAAAAATGATGCGGGGCTCTTGGTTGTTTGGAGGTATCCGAAGTTTCTATGTTGTTCAAGGTTAGGCCTTCTTCCATGGATCTATTACGAGCCTCGCTTGCCTTGCTGTTTGATGATAAGAGAAGGCGTGTAGCTAACCCGCGCAGCTTAGAGAAGGAGAACCTCAGAGCAACTTGATCCTGGATGGGACGAAGGATTGGGAGACATGCGCTTAACACACCCACATGAGTCTCGATGATGGTCCAGTAGAAAAGTTGCGCGTACATCCCTATAGCATTTTTAGCATTTTATACTCCTATACTCCTATATCCGTGGAGCATTGGACTTGAAACAACGTACAAGTAGCATCTGTCTTGATATTGTCTTCAAGGACAGAGTAGATTTGGGTTAAAATGCGAATCCGAATAATGCCAACAATACTAACTAAACCACCAAGAAGGAATATGCATATGACCAAAGTCTTTCGCGCAAATGGCATCTGTAACAGCCAAGTTTTGTAAATTGGCAGAAGAAGGATCGTAACTAATACATAAATGAGTTTCTGTCTAATAGGTAGGTAGATAAGTAGCATGGCGCCATGAACGTGGCTTACAATCTGTAGCAACATCTGTAGCTAAGGCAGTAATAGAGAGTGCCACCTGGTTGATACAAGTGGACTCGAGCTCGAAATTCCATTGGGAAGCAATTGGTGTACATGAAACTAGGATACTTGTTAAGTGACTAACAAGTTCCTAAGGAGATGGGTACTTCGTCAAGGGGAAAAGACGTACACATAAGGGCAAAGGTGAATGTTATCGTCCAAGTGATTATAAGACCAACGAGAACCCAAGTCATTGTCCTAAATCTTGAAGTTGTGAAGATACGTTTATACATCAGGAGGACACTGATTTTAGTTAGTCCTACTGCCGGCCATGTTAATATCTCGAGTGCATATGTCGTCTACATACACATAATTAGTTATTGCGTAACAATATATAGGCTGATATAATATTAAACCTAGTAACCTACCTTGTTGAAGATTACTATGGATTCGGGATCTAGCGGGTATCCGTCATCGTCATACTGTTGATGGGCCCCCAGACCACCTTGCTGAGTCACTGATAAGTTGTACCTAATGTATTAGACTATTGATGGATTAGAAAGATGGCATTTCACCCTACTGATGAGAATGTCTATTGTGACACCAATGCTAAATATCTAGAAACCCACATATTAGAAATGGTAACACCGGGGGCTTTATGTGGTAGAGAATCCCACCAGAGCTACAAGGATAGTCCAATCATCAGACTCCAACTTTTGGCCTTTGATTCGGCGAGCTTGAAACCTAAGAATAACAGAAATGATAGAAACAATAGGGAACGTAATTCCCAACCCCCATATCGTTGGCTGTTGACTTTGAACCATGGTAACACGATTAGAAAAGGATGAGAGATGGTTCTGGAGAAGAGGGCAGCAAGGAGTGTCATTTAAAAAGTGAAACCACTTCGCTATTGTATCACCAATTTCTTTTTGTTGATCAGGCTAACCGATAGTAGGTATCGAATTAGTTCATTTTCCGAAAGCCCCCAAACGCCACCATAATAATTCATCCTCGGATTTGCCTACCGAGGGTTGGCACACTTTCGGCTTGCGAACATGGTGGGCTCTATGGATATGGCACAAATATAGCTATGAAGAGGTGATGTCAGATATGATTATCTGTCCGATAGAACATATAAAGCATAATAGAATAAAATCTATTACCAAATAACCTTTTAGTGGTATAGCGGTTTGTTTAACAGGTGATACGGGAATATAAATAGGTGTAACAACAGTACAGCCGACACCTGCGAGATCCTCTACTAATCACGTCTCTGAGATAAAGTCTGAAGATATGAATGATGTCATTCAAATGTTGATGGGTGATAGAATCGTCCTCTCCCCTGGAATCCTCGCTGAGCTAAACATGCTTCCCGAATCCAATCTAAGCTCGACGGCAGCCTTAGTAGATAGTGTAATGGCTCAACATAACAGTGCAAATATCCTTTTAAGAGAAATGTACGTAAGATTATCACGGAAAATATGGGAAAACTATTCCAAAGCTAGCTACCTAAACAACGATATTTCTCTCACTGACCTAAGTACCTAAGATAGCGGACCATCGCCAACAAATCCCTACTCATCCCGTCAAGTTTACGCAAAAGCCTCAGTCTGCTTACGGCACCATTCCACGAATTTAGCTGCGACTCCTGTTCCGCCTTCAGATTCTCCTTTTATCGAAGTTTCGACGCCTGCCGGAAGACTACCAAATCTTCCCCAAGGATAAACATAGGCGCCGCTCTTATCAGGTGTCAACTCAGGAGTAAGTGCTGTCCAGAGTTCTGTGTACGCCCCATAGACGGCCGGATATAGCATGAGCTTGTCCTGCAATAGCAATAATTGTCAATATATACCCCAAGAATAGCCACAAAACGCAGCACTACTCACAACGATCCAACTGTCCGGGCCTGTCCAATGCCGCTGCAGCTCCGTGCGTAAGTTGCCCGGGTTAAAAGCCGCGTGTACAACACCGGTCTGAGGTGTCGCCTTGGCGAATTCCCGGGCGAAAAAGACGTTACCAACTTTGGTCTGGCCGTAATTGGGTTTCACGCCTTGGTCTGTGGGAGAACCATCATCATTGATGATCATCCCTTGTGGCTGCGGTGCGGCAAGGTGCACGGCGATGGAGCCGGCCCACGTGACGCGCACGGAAGCCGTCGGAGAAGTGGAGGCGGTTTTAGTAAGGAGAGGGAGGAGAAGCTGATAGAGTAGGTATGGGCCCAAGCAGTTGGTGCCTACCTGCATATCGTGCCCTTGCGCGTCGACGCTCCCCTTCGGAGGGAACATGACCTACAAGCGGAGACATGTTAGGTACATGGATGAAGTAGGCGTAGTTACATAGGTATAAAGCAAACTAGTTAGAGAAGAGAAGATCGGAAGAGAGACGTACACCGGCATTATTCACAAGAACATCAAGGCGCTGTTGTTGAGCAGTGAAGGATTCGACAGCGGGTTTGATGGTTTTGAGATCAGACAGGTCAAGATAAAGAAACTCTACGCGACCGTTGCTGGAGGGCGAAGCATCTTTGATACTCGAAATGGCCTTCTCGGCCTTTGATGCGGAGCGGCCCGCAACCCAGACAGTTGCGTTGTGGGCGTAGAGGATCTTACACAGTTCGTAACCCACACCGACGTAGCCACCTGTCACAATGAAGACCTACATCAGATGAAGGTATGCGTCAGCGATATGAAAAGAGGTATATAGGTAGGTATGTAAGAGAGAACTATACAGGTACTTAGAATCTAGATACTTACTCGTCCGGTTTGATCAGGACAATTCTTCTCCGTGAGAACCGGGGCCGGAATGAAGAAGATTTGGCTAAAGATGTTCCCCATGATCAGCGATTTCGAAAAGTTGAGTCAGGCAAAATTAAAACCGTACGAACTTGACTGCTTATAAGTTAGGTCAAATGTATTAGGTTTTGAAGTTTACCTGGCCATGCTGCCATGTCGTCGAATTGACCTGGATGTTCATCCTTTACAAAGCCACACCTAGCCACAACATTAGCCACAATGCTAATCACGTCAGCTAATGAGGGCTATTTATTAGCTTTCTCCGCTTCCCCACCCCCGCATTCCGAAGCATCGGATCCGAAGGTCCACACACTAAGGTTATAATTACTATGTACCTGTACAACTTTTTATTGGCAAGCCATCTTCATCATTGTGCTGCCATATCATGCATCACAGTCTTGGATGCAAAAATGTAATACGCCCAGAAACTTGTCTGCCAGCCAACATATTTTAGACCGCTAGTAACAAGGATCACTCGCAATTTATAACCAACCTCGTTAGCAATATTCAACGGTGCAGCAAAGCCAAGGTTCTCGGGGTATCTTTTCATAGTCCTAGATACTAGATGAGTATCATATGAGGACTAAACTATGCAGCCAGCTAGCAACATGTCGTAATGAGTCGGCTGACATGCTTCTGCATCATAGGCTCTTGTTCGAGAAGCGAGCGATACACGAAAACGCGAAAGCGCTGTTCAGCGAACAGGGATTGCATCCTCATCACTAACAGGTGTAATGGTCTCCTTGCTGAGCATCATTCCATTGTAGAACCGAGGATCCTTAGGGAGGTCTGCTTGGCCCTCGCCATTTTTATTGTATCAGTATATATCGGTCCAGGCCTGTGGCTTGATATACGAGAGCGTCCCGGGAGCGATGCGAACAATCTCCCCGAATTTGTCGTGGGCGGCTTTAAGCAGATATTGGCTTATTCCGATAAGTGAGAAAATGGCCAATAGGATATCAGAGGCGACGAGATAGAACGGGATGAAATAAGACATTGTAAATTAGTTTAATTGCTACGAGGAGTACACACTAGGATATGAGACTTAGTTAAGGTAACCGTACTACATGCTTACAATCGCCAAGCAGGCAAGAAAGCGAATACTTACCGAAATGAATAAATATAGGTAGTTATCAACTTAGGCGTAATTTCGAAGTAAACTAAGGCCTGGCTGTATTCCATTTTAAGTAAGATGCTATTAAGAAGAGAGAAGGTTGAGTGAAAAAGGAGATTGCAAGATACCTACCTCCTAGGAAGAAAATATACAATAAGCCGATTAGTATGTATTATAAATCGACTGCGAGACTTAGCCAATTAGACGTGGATGATCAATGTGTCTGTATCTCACTCGTAATCGAGGGCATATACATATGAAGACTATCTGGTTGCCAATGTCAAGGCTGAGGTAAGAAGTTGACTGCATACCTAGGGGTACGGATTCCGTGAAACCACAATCTTACCCCTACCATAATGATAAGCAAGACTGTCTTTGAACCTCTCCTCAGAGGCTCTTATCTCGTCAATATTGGCGAGAGATTTGGGATTGCACACTGCAGAAGACCTACATAGATTATCTTGTTAATACAGGAATAATTTAATAAATGGACGAGTGTATCGGCCCCTTTCCTCTCTCAACATATTTAAGGCCATATCTATAGATAGATCCTTTGCTGGACTTGCTATTATAAGAGCCCAGTGTTTCCCCCTGGTACATTTCAAAATAGAACGATCGGAGATCAGGGGTTATCGCAAGAAACAATTACACTTAGTTGTTCTTCCCGTATTAATACTATTTCTCAGCAGGATATTGGGACTTTATAGTTTGTTGCTCCTTAGCTAGGGCAAATCAATAAACAAGTAAGCAAGAGGTTCCCTATTCCCAATCTGCAGGGGTTGACCCGCATTCGATCCATGAGAATACGAGGTAACCAACCAAGCGGGTGATAAAATAATTTACTCCTTAATGTCAGTGTAGTAGGTAGGAGTCTGCAAATTATCCTGTTACCGCTTGCCAACTTACTTTCTTAGGATTTTAGAGCTAAGCCGAACCATGAACAAAATGGATTCCTTGCAGCCACGCCCTCGAGGCATTATCTTCGACCTCGGCGATGTCCTCTTCACATGGTCCGCTAACACGACGACGACTATTCCAGCTCGAAAGTTGAGAGAAATCCTCTCAACGCCCATCTGGTGCAGTTATGAGCGTGGCGAGATCACTCGTGATGCCTGTTACGAGCTAAGTGCTCAACAATTCTCCCTCTCAGCGTCCGAGATTGCCGAAGCGTTTTCCCAGGCACGCGAGTCTCTACAACCCGACCATGCCATCGTCTCCTTCCTTCACAAGTTGAAAAAAGATCCTACTATTCAAGTATATGCTATGTCGAATATAGGCAAAGAAGATTTCGAGGAACTTGCTACAATAACGGACTGGCATCTTTTCGATCGAGTGTTCACCTCAGCCGCGGCAGGCATGCGAAAGCCGGAGCTGGGATTCTACCGTCACGTCCTGGATCATATTAACTTGGTCGGAAACCAGGTCGTCTTCATTGACGATAAAGAAGAAAACGTCGATGCGGCGCGAGCAGCGGGTATCCGGGGACTTGTTTTCGGGAAATCAACAATTCACATATTACATGAACTGCTAGATAGTTCAGTGGGAAAAGGCTGGCGATATTTGTTCCAGAATGCGAAGCAATGTGACTCGATCACAGACAGCGGGGTCGTCTTCACAGACAACTTCGCGAAATTGCTGATTGCGGATACGTTGCAAGACCAGTAAGTCGATCCCCAGGCTGTGCGAATAAATGTTAGAGGGAGCCTGTAGCTTAATACAATGGTACTAGGACTCTTGTCGATCTCTGTTGGGGGTCTAAGAAGACCTGGAATTTCTTCGCCGGTAAGAACTTCTCCAAACACTAGGGCATGGCGAGAAAGTGACTGATGAAGACATGTTATCAGGCAAACCAGCACTCATTCCAGGAGATTATTTCCCTGATGATCTTGATACCACAGCACTCGCACTCCAAGTTCTTCGACCATCGCCGACCGAAGTTGCCTCGCCTATTCTCGATATGATGGCCGAATATGTCAAGGATGATGGCGCTTTCCAGGTGTATTTTGACCGTAGCAGAGAGCGAGTGGACCCTATTGTCAGCGCGAACATCCTTGCTTGCTTTTATTCTTATAACCGTGGACAAGAATTCGAGCATACCCTCGAACTCATACACACATTTCTCTTAGACCGTTCCTACGCAGAAGGTAGTCGGTACTACTCTTCCCCAGACTGTTGTTTGGGGTTTATCGGACGCTTACTCCGGTCGTCAAACGACGATCGCCTCCAAACAATGCTGGGTCCGTTGTTGAAGTTGCGAGTGCGTGAACGCCTCGGTCTAAATGGCAGCGCATTGGATTTAGCTATGCGCATCGCCACGTGTGCCCAAATGGGAATTGCATGCGAGGATGATCGCCGGGCTTTACTTAGCCTCCAATGTGACGATGGGAGTTGGGAAGGTGGTTGGTTATATCAGTATGGAGCTACAGGGGTGAAGATCGGGAACCGCGCTGTGACTACAGCAATGGCTATTGCAGCACTTTCATCTCATGGTATTGTTCCGCAGTGGAATGACACAAAGTTCAGTGGTATAAACGGTAACCAGGTATATATGTAGTTGTTGAAATATACACTACTGACTACTACTAAGAGAAGTGAAGAGGTAAAGATAGAATTTCGGGTCAAAAAGCGGATCTACGGTGGCTGATTACCTAAACTTACTTGTACCTAATGGAGGGACCCACGTTGTCATGCTTAGTCTGCATTAGGTGCCGTTCGTTAGGTTGTACATATGTATATTGGTACATTGTCACTCGCTAATACATGCACATCATTCTGGAATCTTCGTCTGACAAATGGGGCTATCCCAGCTAATCAATCAGGGGTCTTGTACTGCGTAGTACGTTATTATCTTGTGACTGAAGCAATAAGACGGAAGTAACGAGCATCAAGCAACAACTGCCAATTCAATAAGGCTGAAACTTTCGAAACAGATGGAAACTCGAAATGCAGGTGTCTCGTTTATTCTTTAACATACAATCACCTTGTCAATTCTCTCATTCTTCTTACGTCTGTACTTGCTCGCTTATCCTACAGCCTAAGTATTATCTGTCTTTTCTATAATACGAAACCCAAATACCTTCCACTTAATACAGCTCATTCTCATCCACACCTGTAAACTCATCCACAGCTGTAATTGTATGGGCTAGTAGCGCATATCTCTGATTTGCAGTCCTACAACTATCCGCCACCTTTTAACAAAGAAGTCTTCATCCCTATCTCCCCGCCTTCTCTCTGCCTGCTATAATTCTCATCGATAGCGTAGCATATACGCCGTTATCTGGGTCTAAAGCTTGAAACCCTTCGAAACAACAAGACCTATCCTTCGACCGAGTTCACTAGCGAACACCAGCAGCAATGGGGAAGGACGTGGAAAAGTCAATTAAGCTAAAGGAAGATGGGAACCAACACTACCAATCCGGCGACTTTATAGGCGCCGAGAGCCTTTACTCCAAAGCGTGAGTTATAAAAGGCACATCGTTTTGCGCTCAAAATTAATCGTCCTCGGATCTTTATAGCATCATCGCGGACGATACGAACCCCTCATTGTACACAAATCGTGCTATGGCACGGCTTCGACTCGAATTATACGAATCGGCCATCTCAGACTGCAACGAGTGTATCAAATTAAGTGGAGGCAATGCAAAAGCATACTTTGTCCTTTCCAAGTGCCAACTAGCCATACACGACTACGACGCTGCCCTCGAGAGCGCTCTGCAAGCCCACCGCTTGTGCGTTGAGACGAACGACAAGTCACTTGGCTTAGTTACCGACCAAGTCCTACGCGCTAAGAAAGAACGTTGGGACGAGATGGAAAAGCAGAGGGTCCGCGAGGGGCAAGAGTTGGAGAATGAAGTCATCGGCCTCTTAAAGCGCGAACGTGAAGATATGATCGGTTCTTGCGACAACGACTTCGATAGAGAGCAGGTTAGGCAGGAGTGGGACCACAAGATCGAGTTGCTACGATCGACATTTGAGAAGTCTAGAGCCGCGTCGGAGAAGAAGCGCGAGGTTCCTGATTGGGTAATTGATGATATTAGTTTCGGTATCATGATCGATCCAGTAATTGTAAGTATTACACTAATATGGGAATTCTTCGACATGTTATTATTAACCAGGCCGATAGACCAAGACCGGCAAGTCATACGAGAGGGCGTCTATTATGGAGCATCTTCGAAGACATCCCACCGATCCCCTGACAAGAGAGCCACTGCACCCGAGTGAATTACGGCCAAATCTTCAACTAAAAGAGGCCTGCCAAGAGTTTTTAGACCAGAACGGATGGGCAGTTGACTGGTAACCAGGGAGTGGTAAGCGAGATACGGGGGATACTCGAGATGATCCGACGGTAAAATAATCGATACAATGAGACCAGGGAGAGCGTAATGGTATGGATAAGTATTGGGGTTTTAGCAAGCTCTGCATTGCACGGCGTTTTTCTTTTTCTCTTCCGGATTAGCCTAGTTGCGCCATTGTAGGATACCCAACATTCGTATGAGGAGCGAATATTTGAGGTTACGGTTATGAGAAATGAATACTAGAGTATTGCTTAAGATAGCGCGGTTGCTGTAAACTAGATAGGGGTTATGAAAGATAAATCAACCATGGTAATAAATTTTGAAATCTCAGTCTCGATAGAAACTCACTAGCGACATGTCAGGGCGACAATCTATTGTCGATTACTTTAATACCTCTTATAGATGCTAAGGCTCATGGCCGACGCAAGCCGATACGAACCGGTAGACAAGATACTCCCAACACTTCAACACTACCTTATCTACTACTACCTACATGTATGTAAGGGTATATGTAAGGGTACCTAATGTAAGGAGATCCGCTAACTCCAGCTAGATTATGCTAATAATGGACTCAACTCCCGCCGACAAGCTTCACCCCAACCCAAAGCCGCGACGAGACTGAACTTTATCGGCACACTTTACTCTTCTGAACCCTATCCTTTTTCCAATTCTCATCCTTGTCCTCATATTGTCTCATTCGTATCCATAATGACGATTATATACCATCCCGAAAGGGGAGACAAGTCGACAATGGAAGCAGCATCTTCCTTCGCCCAAGTCCCCTTCGGCGCCGCCTTCCGCAAGGCACACTTTGCCTTCGGCCCGAATTACACGCCACTTAACCACGGCTCGTACGGGACCGTGCCGGTGTCGGTGCGGCGCGCCCATCAGGGTTTCTGCGCCGAAGCCGACGCCGCTCCGGACCCGTTCATCGCGCTCGAGTTCCACGACCGGCTTGCGCCGCAGCGGGCTCTCGCGGCTCAGGCCTTGCACTGTCCAGATGTTGATGAGCTTGTGTTCGTGCCTAATGCTACGACTGGGTCCGACACCGTGCTTAAGAACCTGGATTGGAAGGACGGGGATGTGATTCTCTGCTACGAGCGTATTTATGACTCCCTTGGCCGCGGAATATCCTGGATCGAGGAGACGCGTGGGGTCAAGGTGCATGTTGTGCGTGTCGTGTGGCCGGTGTCGGATGATGATCTCGTGCAGGCTATGGTCGATGCGGCAAGAAGTATCAACGCGGAGCCGGGACAGAGAGTACGGCTTGCCGTCGTAGACACGGTTGTAAGCATGCCTGGGTTCCGGGTCCCGTTTGAGAGGTTGGTGCCAGCGCTTCAGGCCGAGGGGGCATTGGTATTGGTGGATGGCGCGCACGGGATCGGACACGTCGATATCGACCTTGCGGCCTTGAACCCCGACTTCTTCGTCACGAATCTGCATAAGTGGTTTTTCGTGCCGCGGGGGTGTGCGGCGTTTTATGTTCCCAGCAGGAATCGTCATTTGATTCGGACGACGCTGCCGACGAGTCACAAGTTCAGGCCTCGGAAAGAGTTAGGCTCGCAGTTGGGAGATGAGGACGAGGGGCGTCTGTTTGTGGAGATGTTTGATTTTACCGGTATGTGTGCACTGCGGGTCGGGAGAGTGGCCTAAGTAAGAAGAAGTCTACGGGTATTGATGATGTCTTCCACCCATGTAGGCACGAATGACTTAACCGCTTGGCTCTGTGTTCAGGGTAAGTACTATTTCCTATTATAGTCTCCCTACCATTTGATACCGTGACCTAGCTATAGTAATATGGCGTGAGCTTAGTAGTTGTTAATTCTAGGAGGCTTGCTAACAGTTCCTCTTCATAGCCGCCATCGACTTCCGCGACAAGGTCTGCGGTGGCGATGCTGCTATCAAGAAGTACTGCCACAATGTAGCCCAGCGCAGTGCTGAAGTAGCGGCTGAGATCCTAGGCACCTCTATCATGGATATTCCAGGATCTTGTCTGCGAGACTGCTTCTTCGCCAACGTGCGGCTGCCACTCGAGCTGGGCACTGATGGTCCTGGCAAGGTTGATCCGGCGCATGCGGGCGGGGTCTGCGACTGGTTCAAAGAGACCGGAAGCCGTGAGAGTGGTATGTACTTCCAGACGGAATTCTATAGGGACATCTGGTGGTGGCGTATCAGTGGCATGGTTTACGTCGAGGTGGACGACTATAGAAGGGGCGCAGAGGTACTGAAGGCACTTTGCGCGAGAGTTAGGAACGGTGAGCATGTTAAGGGATAGAACTCAATTCTAGAATATAGATAGAGAAGCCAACGATGGAGATTTGGTCATTCTTGGATAGCAGTATGATCGATTTAGTAGTCCACAAGGGGCCAGGTTGTATTATCAAGATGCCAAAGGATAAAATATCCCATGATACACTTGAACGTCCTAAGAAGTTTACTGATACTGAATTTCAAAATTTATATAAGAACTAATGGTGAGGAATGTAAGCTAGGTAAGTATTTGATAACCATATCAATTGGCTGAAGGCAAGAGCTCGCAATCGGACATGGTAATTATGCAATCGGGTTAAGATATTACCTTACGACTTACCGATGTAAGGATGGTATCAAAGAAGATAATCAATAGCCTTCAACATTTGCGGCGCTTCTCAACTTACGCTCCCAGAGTGTTGCTGCGAAGACCCAAACCGCCACACTGAAATACATCATGACTCGCATCTGCGAGTTGAACCCATCAGCGAAGATTTGACGTACCGCATCGCGGGTTGCGTCCGGGAGTGTATTGATATACTGCACAGAGTCCGAGATCTGCTTGATGTCTGCCGGATTGAGAAGGGCAGGCAGAGTGGAGGAGAGATGATTGTTGAGTACCGTTGAGCTTCTCACGCATTAGTATATAGTTCGAGTTAAGTTCGGGTATATCTCATACCTGATGGCTAACCCTATTGTTCCGCCAAGTACCCGTATCTGAGTAATTGCTCCCATGGCGACAGCTATTGTATGAAGAGTCAGCGTACAAACAAATGCAGCTTTATAATATATTAGTGACTTACCCATGTCAGACCGTTTTACTACCATTGGTGTGTATATCAGCAATGAAACGAGGCCCATTCCAAACCCGAAGCCCATTATTACCTCATATCCATACATAGCGTTACCACTTTTAAACCGTACCGAACTCGCCAGTCCGATTCCTAATAGCTGCATGGATGCCCCAAAGAGAAGGATATAAAAGGGGGGCACTTTAAACTTGGCTGCAAGTTGCCCAGCGACGATTGTAGCAACGGGAGAGGCAAGCAGGAGAGGTAAGAGGTGAGTGCCAGCTTCAAATGGGCTAAGTCCGTCGACGGCTTGAAAGCGTTGCGGAAGATTGATTATCGCGGTCATAAAGGGCGGCCCGGTGCAAAAAGCAATTCTAGGTTATGTTAGAAAATAAGTAAAATACCAAGATTTGGGGTAATTTTACATGGTGAGAGAGCTAACTAAGCGGTTCTTCATCAGTCGAAGTGGGAAGATGGGTTCTTGAGTGGCTCTTGGTCGATCTGCAACTTTTTCCCATCCGAGAAATCCGATGAACAGGACACCGCCGACGATTATAGTACTTAGGATTGTCGGATTTTGCCAGCTGTATCGAGATCCTGCTTCCTCGAAAGCGAATACGATTAGAGCGGACGAAAAAAGCAACAGTATGGCTCCAATAATGTCAAGTCGACGAAGTGATGCCCGCGATATCTTGCTGTGAAAGCTCATTAGGCCCGCCGAGTCGTCAATATTTGGGAATTGAGCAGGCATAACGAAGGCTATTAAACCAGTTGCAATTACTCCAGCCGGGGCGCTATTCTCAATATTAGCTAGCCACTTCAAGGGTTCTCAATTCTAAATGGGGGTATGCTCACTTTAAAAGGAAGACCCATCGCCAGGAGGAGTGGTTGTTGATTGCACCGCCGAGTATGGGACCAAGGACGGAACTGAGGACGGAGACCAGGGAGACGACCGCGATGATGTTCCCCCATTTCTCAGGCGGGACAAGTTCGGGCTGGATACATGTTACCATCGCGTAGATTCCGGAGCCACCGATACCCTGCAGAGCCCGGAACACAATCCTATAAAGAATTTAGTATATATGCTCTGCCGTTATGTTGTAATACTATCGTGCGAGGACTGATGTACGCACAGCTGAGTCATATTTGAGATTGAGCCGCAGACGATCGAGAAGACCGTAAAGAAGGCTATGGCAACTAATATCAACAACTTGCGCCCTAGGATATCGCTGAACTTGGCATATACGACTAAGAAGCCTATGATCTGGGTGGTCAACGGGGTAACCTCGTTATATATTTGTCAGAACCCATATCATACCTGTATAAGTGATGAGATAGGAGGTGACCACCCAATCTCTCTGCTCAAAGTCTCCCAAGGCATTTGTTATAGAGATGAGCGATGTACTGACTATTGTCGTTTCTAATGTCGATAGGAATAGGGATAAACATAAGCTGGACGTCGTTGTTAGGTGAAGACTTAAGGTGTAACTGAACATTGGGGGTCATACGAGGATATCATAGCGTATAATCTCCATCCTTCCATATATCTACGAGGCGCCTCAGAAGGAATTGCTTGGGTAGTTTGGCCATCATCTTGGATGTGATTTTGTGGCTCCTTCAACCCTGTGGGGCCAAGCATGATGCCGCCATCTTCCACATGGCCGCCGTCTGTAGTTGTACTTGTAGTTGTAGGTTGGTTTCCGTGCTCTTGAATTTCGGGAACAGATGCCATCTTTTTCTTCTTCTTCTTCTTCTTTTTCGGACTCTAGCAAATCCAGAGACCGAGAGACTACGGCTGAGACATGATTCTTAATAACAGGTTTTCCTATTCATTTTTAAGCATAGCGACAGTGAGGACAGGTTTCTTCAATCGTCAACCCCGTAGATTACTATAGCTGCGCCACATTAAGCATGTGATTTGTGATCGTCTCCAGTAGTTTGGGACGAGCTGAGGTTTTCGCGTCGTGCCGTTGCAAGCGGCCTCTTTCTACCCCTGTATAGTTGTATTTAACATGACTGCATGAGCTTCTAGACTCTTTGGATGCAACCGACTAAGATTCTTATTGGTTTAATAATCTTAGTTTGATAGAGGTATTATCCATAAACTCTGCAATAGCCCAATTGTGATAGCAATCAACTTCTTTAAATTGTTGGAACGATTCATGAACTTAACTCACCATTATCAGATTATATTTGAAAATCTCTTTTAGATAATACTACAGCTGTGCTAGATTCTTGCCTTCATAAATATGCACAGAGTAATAATGCTCCGTATTTTAAAATGAAATTCGCTTGGTAGGATCAGGACAATTGGGGGGCTTGTCGACGGAAGCTAATACAAAGTCCTATACGTATGCGACGTCGGCAATTGTCTCTATCCGTAGTCTTTATTTGATGAGCCAGAGTATTAATTTGAAATCCTACTTCGGTAACTGCCCGTATCAAAAATAAACATAGGTAGTTACTCAGTTGTGTGTTAGCGAGCTGGCCTGATATAATTAAGATACTGTAATTTACCTGGCAGCCCTTGGATGCAGCCCCTGAAGTGCTCCGCCACGCTCCGCTCAACATTGTCAAGGCCATTGGACTAAGTGGATTACCTAGTGTAAACTCCTTAATGTACCTATGTACCTCTTAGTAATAGACTTCATCACGTACTTTACCTGTTGCGTGTAGAGTTTTGTAGAGGCGCATGCAGTTGGGCTAGATTGAAAGTTCGTATTCACTGACTTAAAACAGACTTAAAAACTAAAATAAAAAATAGAACACGAGTCGGGATGGTACATGTATAAAGGTATCACACTTTAATGTTGTCTTACTTTTGGAAACCGCGCATGTGCTACCCCGCCTTTGTGCTCTAATACATCAATGACACCCGTATGAACTACTATATTCGAAGTACCTTATCTTTAATAAGGGATGCCCCATACCGTCAAAACGCCAACTCTACAGCAGTCAGACAGTTAGACAGGACCCCTCCATAAATTCTATAACCCCCTAAAAGTCACTTACTTTTTGTCGTATCAACCACCTGTTGTACGCTAAAGATTGAATTTATTGCTGCGGCGAAACCGCCCCCCTTCTTAAACCCCCCGGTTAGTCCGCGCAGAAGCCCATGAACCGAAACATTGACCTGGTCAACTTCAGATCTTTGACCTTTTCTAATTGATTGATGATCAACCCAACTCAATAAACCCGTCCTAGGTAGAAATTCGACATCATTGCTTCTTCCTCAGCCACCTTTTTTGATTCCTTCTTTCTTCCCCCCCCTTTTTTTTTCCTTTTTACTTTTAACTTTTTTTCCTATCTTAGGTACCAATCTTTACACTATCTCATCAATCATTACCTAGTATCGCAACTCCGATAAGGAAACGCCTCTCCTCTTCGATACCTAAATAACTTATCTCCTCTTTTACAACTTGTCGTGTCTCCGACCCTTTTATTGCGCGACCTTCACCGACTTCCTCCTATTCCTCCTACTTGACACCTATCTACAAACTTGTCATAGGGGAAGTGTTGGAAAATGTCGTGGAAGCTCACCAAGAGTAAGTTTTTAATTACCTGCCATGTTCCTCGAATGGCTTCCTTTCAGCCCAAACTTCGCTTCTTCGCTTCAGATGCACGACGATCGTATGTGGTTCTGCTAACACGACGTCCCATCAGAGTTAAAGGATACCCATCTAGGGCCCCTTGCGAATACCTTCTCCCGAAATCCTTCCACGTCAACGATCACGGAAAAGGATGAAAAGAGTCCTATCCCAACATCCGCTACTCCTACTCCCAGTGATAATGCCATCGGTTTGTAGCCACGTATGTATACTATTCTTCGGGGAAAGTTGCTCACACATCCTTCCTCCAGCTGCCTCGGAACACATGGTACAAGAACCTGTTGTAAAACCTCCGAAACCCGGTATTCTCGTCGTAACTCTCCACGAGGGCCAGAATTTTGCTCTTCCCGAACAGCATCGAAACGCATTCTCGCAGCATGGCCAGGGCTCCATGTCAACAGGGAATGCCCTTAGCTCTAGCTCCGTGCGACCAGGGTCCTCCCAACGAGCGGTAGCAGGTTCTTACACGAACGGCAGACCCCAAACATCAGCGGGGGGTTTCACTGGTATACCTTCTAACCACGGTCGGATCTCTAGCAAATATCTGCCGTACGCATTGTTGGATTTTGATAAGGTCCAGGTTTTTGTCAACTCGGTCTCCGGTAACCCGGAAAACCCCTTGTGGGCTGGTGATAACACCCAGTACAAGTTTGATGTGTCTCGAGTAACGGAGTTAAACGTACACTTATATATGCGTAACCCTACCGCGCCGCCGGGGTCCGGTCGAAGCCAAGATATCTTCCTAGGAGTTGTCCGGATCAACCCTAGGTTTGAGGAAAAGCGGACCTTCGTCGAGGACCCCAAGGCCAGTAAGAAGGATCGCGAGAAGGCCGCGGCCGAATTCCACAACCGAGAACGCGAGCTGGGACACAGTGGCGTTGATTGGGTCGACGTACAGTATGGCTCCGGTAGACTTAAAATCGGTGTGGAGTATGTTGAGAACCGGGCGGGCAAGCTTAAGATCGAGGACTTCGAACTTCTCAAGGTGGTTGGTAAAGGTAGTTTTGGTAAGGTCATGCAGGTACGCAAGAAGGATACCAGCCGAATCTACGCGCTCAAGACGATTCGTAAAGCCCACATCATCTCGAGATCCGAGGTCGCTCATACTCTAGCCGAGAGATCTGTGCTGGCACAGATTAACAATCCCTTCATCGTGCCCCTTAAGTTTACCTTCCAATCTCCCGAGAAGCTTTATTTTGTACTAGCCTTCGTCAACGGTGGAGAGCTGTTCCATCATCTTCAGAAGGAGCAGAGATTCGACGTCAACCGGGCACGATTCTACACAGCCGAGCTACTCTGCGCCCTGGAGTGTTTGCACGGATTCAATGTTATCTACCGAGATTTGAAGCCCGAGAACATCCTGCTTGATTACCAAGGTCACATCGCGCTTTGCGATTTCGGCCTTTGTAAATTAGATATGAAGGACGAAGACAGGACTAACACGTTCTGTGGCACACCTGAATACTTAGCGCCGGAGCTTCTTATGGGCAAGGGATACAATAAGACGGTGGATTGGTGGACTCTGGGAGTTCTCCTCTACGAAATGCTTACGGGTCTCCCGCCATTTTACGACGAAAATACTAATGAGATGTACCGCAAGATTTTGTCGGAGCCCCTGCATTTCCCAAGTGCAGACGTCGTGCCTCCTGCGGCCAAGGACCTTCTCTCTAAGCTACTCAACCGCAACCCAGAGGAGCGATTAGGAGCTGCAGGCAGCGCCGAGATCAAGGCTCATCCTTTCTTCCACGCCATCGACTGGCGCAAACTATTACAGCGCAAATATGAGCCCACATTCAAGCCCAATGTGGTAAGTAATCTTTGATGATACGACTGCTCCTTTCCAACGTGTGAGTTCTAACATGGACCCAGACCGATGCTCTTGACACAGCGAACTTTGATCCTGAATTTACTTCTGAAGCTCCGCAAGACTCGTATGTCGAGGGACCAGTATTGTCAGAGACGATGCAAAATCAGTTTGCGGGATTCAGCTATAACCGACCGATCGCGGGACTTGGCGACGCCGGCGGTAGCGTTAAGGACCCGTCTTTTGTTGGCAGTATCCAAGACAGGCGATAAACACGCGATCGTCTTTTATCGGATGCACGTCTAGGCCACGGCGATATAACAACATACGCCCGAATTCATGGGTGGGAGATTGACTAACAAGATGGAAATAGGTAGAGAACAAGTCGGCGTAGTTCGTAACTGGAAACACTGGATGTGATTTACACATGTAGTGATGGTGTCCTGCGTTGTGTTGCTGTTGCTGTTGCGATATATTACCGGATTCTGGACCAGCCTAGAAGCACTTTCATATGGAGTTTGGCATGAGTTATTGACGATGCCTCCGAGTTTGCACTTTCTGGGATCTCAAAAAGGAGAACAACTCTGTAGATAGACGAGATTGAGGCCGAGGAAAAGACGCCTATTGCCAATACCTTATCGTATTATTTATTATCCGGTCCTGTGAGATATGTCGTTTATAAGGTCTTTATGGCTACTACTAGGTAAGGCCGGGTCCTTTATTATTACCCGAAGCTTACTATTACTCTCCATTGTGAGACTGGGTCACTCTTATTACCGCAATTGTTGGTCCGCGTAAGAGAAATAATCGTAGGTACCGGTTTGCGTATGGAAATTGTGGAAATAGTTACAATATTCCAAGTCGGGGTTACCCGATACCTAGCAGCTAGGTACCGGTAAGCAGGCACCTACCCAGCAAGCGAGACGCCGAGTCTCCCGGTCCCGCTTCGCGTGGGCTACACGGGATAAAATTTACACACGCCCGAGTATATCCACCAAATGGAGGTTCCGCAGCTCTACAGAAGGTAGCTACATACATGCATAATGCCATAGGTAAGCATCACGTCACTAGCGCGGGGTAGATGGGATGACAATAACGTGTAGGTACATGATGTAGCTTAGAAAAAGTTGCGCAGTTAGTTTCAATGGTACCTGAAGAGGTACATCTATCAAAAGAAAATGAGAAGCTTCCAGCTTCCGAAATGTCTAAATGTCGCTCACTCATCCACTTTTAACCCCCACTACCTCTTTTTCTACCTCCTGAGATACCTTAACAAACACATACATACGGAGATTGATTAGCTGTTTATATATTGAATATATACAGGCTACTTCCTTATTCACGACTCCACGATCTCGTGAACTTTGATACTCTTCCGATGTAAGTGAAACACAATTGTGACATAGCTACCTTAGGTTACCTACCTGGTATCCATACGTGTTGCCCCGCCGCTCGCATTACCGCATCACCACTTCACCACTTCACCCCGCGCCGTTAATTCCGTCGCTACCTACCTACATTATAATAATACACGCATACTAACAACGAAACTGCTTGACCTAGTTAGCATTAGCATACCTTCGTTTCTTCTTCCAGTCTCGGGACAGACTCTCAAGAGAAGATGCCTCAAGCAGTTTCTTTGCCCACCTGGGCTGCCCTAGAAGAGCACTACAAGACCGTCGGCAAGACCTTCGTCTTAAAGGAAGCCTTCGCCGCTGATCCATCCCGTTTCGAAAAACTTAGCAAGACCTTCCGCAACAACGGCACAGATATCCTATTTGATTTCAGCAAGAACCTCGTCACCGAAGAGACGATTAACCTACTAGTAAAGCTCGCAGAGGATGCTGGCGTCGAGAAGAAACGCGATGCTATGTTTGCGGGTGAGAAGATCAACTTCACCGAGAAACGAGCTGTTTACCACCCGGCATTGCGGAACGTGAGCGGCTGGGAAATGAAGGTGGACGGACAAGATGTCATGGGCGGCGTAAACGCCGTCTTGCAGCACATGAAGGTATTCTCCGAGCAGGTCAGGAGCGGAGAGTGGAAGGGATTCACTGGAAAGAAGCTAACTAATATCATCAACATCGGCATTGGTGGTTCTGACCTGTAGGTATAACCCTTGCGCTATTTTTCATCGCAACCTTCCTCCGCAAGCCCGTGTCGCATTTTTCTAACCGCTTATTAGGGGACCTGTTATGGTTACCGAAGCTCTAAAGCACTATGGTGCTAAGGACATGACGTTGCACTTTGTTTCCAACATCGACGGCACTCACATTGCGGAAGCCCTTGCTAAGTCCGACCCCGAGACGACTCTCTTCCTTATCGCCTCCAAGACTTTTACCACTGCTGAGACTATCACGAACGCGAATACCGCAAAATCGTGGTTCTTCGAAAAGACCGGCGGCAAGGGCGAAATTGCCAAGCACTTCGTTGCCCTATCTACCAACGAGGCTGAAGTCACCAAATTCGGTATCGACAGCAAGAACATGTTTGGCTTTGCGGACTGGGTCGGTGGCCGATATTCTGTCTGGAGCGCCATCGGCCTTAGCGTCGTCCTATATGTTGGCTACGACAACTTCTACAAGTTCTTGTCTGGCGCGCACGCAATGGACAAACACTTCCGTGAAACTCCTCTTAAGGACAACATTCCCGTTCTCGCTGGTCTATTGAGCGTTTGGTACAGCGACTTCTTTGCTGCACAAACACATCTGGTTGCTCCGTAAGTTTCTCAAGCCAAGTGTCTTCAAATGTCGTTCATTAGTCCGCTGACAATAATATAGCTTTGACCAATACTTGCACCGCTTCCCTGCCTACCTACAGCAACTTTTTATGGAATCAAACGGTAAGACCATCACCTCGGATGGCTCGCCTGCCAAGTATACCACTGGTGCCGTCATCTTCGGTGAACCTTGCACCAACGCCCAACACTCATTTTTCCAACTCCTCCACCAAGGTACCAAGTTGATTCCCACCGATTTCATTCTCGCTGCCAAGTCCCACAACCCCGTCTCCAACAACCTGCACCATAAGATGCTGGCATCCAACTACTTTGCGCAGGCTGAGGCTCTCATGATCGGTAAGACACCCGAGCAGGTCAAGAGCGAAGGTACACCTGATGAGCTTGTACCTCATAAGGTCTTCCTGGGCAACCGGCCCACTACCAGCATCTTGGTAGGCGGCGTAATTGGACCTGAAGAATTAGGTGCTCTCATTGCCTATTATGAGCACGTAACCTTCACCGAGGGAGCAGTCTGGGATATCAACTCCTTCGACCAGTGGGGTGTCGAGCTAGGCAAGGTTCTTGCCACCAAGATTCTTAAGGAGCTAGATGAGCCTGGCAATGGCGAAGGCCATGATGTTAGCACGGGTAGCCTCATTGGCGCGTTCAAGAAATTTGCAAGCTCTTGAAGGTCAGAGCCGACTTGGCGGCTAGGAAAAGAATCTAGGCTCTGAGTCATTACAGCAGGCGGTACGACGTGTTCAGGTAATACGCTGGGGTAGGTCTCAAACTGTCTCGTCCGAGTTGCTAGGAAAGTGACATAAGTCATTATAAGTAATAGACACAAATATCAAATACGGAATCCATTAAAAACGTGGAACTCGAAGCATTTGCAATGAGCGTATTAGGGTCCAAGTTTTCAAGAATGTTGTTAATTACCTGAGTATCAATGTGCTCTGAAACAGGGCTGTTGGATGAGTAATAAGAATCTCAACCAAGTAGCTGTCATATATCAAAAATACACCGCAATTATTCACTTATATGTCTTAGGTACCTTGTCGGGATATAATAAGGCTACCCCGTATGACAGCCGCCAGATACTGGGTCTACATAAGGAGGCTATGTCTCTACCCCTATTCTTTGGAGGGCATAGGTTAATACAGTCACCAATATACCTGATAGAAGTACTATGATTTGGTAATTAAGTAAGCCCCTAAGTTAATAAGTAATATGCCCTACTAAAGATAATTTGAGGACCAGTGCGGTAGTTCCTAGATGTCGAGCTCTCAGGCCTTTAGCATGAACCCCTAACACCCCGGAAAGTTTATATTTAGACATGTTACCATTGCTACCACCACTACCTACTTACGTATATAGTAAATAACTTTGGTAGTTGTAACACCTTAGACCTCACACTTGAACCCACAATACTATTCTACATCTAACTACCACTCTTTTCAATATTATTTGATGTTGTGGCTAAGGAGTTCTGGTAACTGTTTTAATACGATTAGTTAATATTTAATTTACAAATTTCTTATGAGAACAAGCTACTCCGCCGTTAAACATATCATGAATCAAGTTGCTTACATTTGTCTTATTTTAGTAATTGGGTGGTCAGTAGTCCACTATATGATTCTGGATACCTTTGACTTCTCCTTGTCTCTAGATAGGCTCTCATTACTCTTAGTATGATTTTAACCAGTATATGTGCGGAATATTGGCAAGTTATGTTTGCCCAAGCTTTATGCGTCCGTACAAGTGCACGATTTCTATATATTCCGCCCGTAATTATCACTCCACGGGACTTTGACAAATATAAGCCTCTTTTTCTGAGCTAGGTACATAGAATTGTATTTGTCTATCTTTGACCTAAAGAGTGACGTCCTGTTACACGGTCTAGAAGGCTAGACTGTTGTTTTATATATTGCTGCCATAATAACTTAACTCTTCGTTAGTCTTGGGTAGGTTAATACTGTGTCTTACAGCAAATCACATTGGTGATATCCATACAAACTTTCTCGGCATAGCTTTGGCTTGGGTAACGGTGTTTGTTTGGATCAATATTAACTCTTTGGTAGAGAATATTGCGTTTGTTATCTTACATGGCTTCTTTACTGGTGTAGTCGTAGACTTACCAGTTATTGTACTCAGCTCGTCCACTACTGCTTGGGTACTAGACTGGGAATGTCGTCGGTCTTGAACAGTATGGCTTCCTCGACTAAGGCACCCATTGGGAAGTGTACTAAGTTCTGCAGACTTACGTTGGGTTATACCTTAGGTACCTAAGGAGCTATTCACTAGCTTTCTCTTCATGGGACAGCTGGACTCATTAGGAATCTACATGTTGTGTCACAGGGAAGCAACTGGATGTGAAGGCTTAGGATGTGCCTAAGGTAATCTTATTTACCTCTTAAATATCACTAGCCCCGTATCCTTGGTGCTCTTGTATTTTGTAGGATAAGCCCTACCTTCCCATGTGAGCATGAACAGACCACGAGCAGATCATGGCAGACCCACGAGAAGTGCCTAGAAATGTATTTCACCTCAGGAATCGAGGAAAGAGCATTGTTGTGTATGATCTTGTGCCAATAAAATCCAAGAACCAACAGAAAGAACCGCCTCCTGCACTACAACTGGTAGTATCCTAGCAGCCAGTCCCTTCCTCCCATTCAACTGCTTCTCGCGAATAGCTTCCTCAACAGTCCTGCCTCTTTCCCCAACCTCTTTCCCCCTCCAACCTCTTGCCCTATTTAAACCTAGTCTTGCCCTTGTGAAAAATAAATTCATTCTCCCTACAATTTTCTTCATAAAGTCATACAATAATAATAATACCTCTATTTACCTCACCCTAACCTAAGCCCCTTCCTAACTTCCTTCTCGAAGACACCATCACAACAGGTTATAGAAGCTACAACTCTTCCTCAGTTGTTGACACCAAGAACACTTGGCTGTTTTCTACCTCACATCAAATTCCTCCACCACCTACTTTTTTAAATAATTTTCTTCTAATACCATAACCTACCACGCACACCACCAGTTACTGTGCTTCTACTACCTCATATTTATATCACTTCCTTCCTCACCTACCGCATAACCTAACGTGGTAAAGCATACCCGCACTACCTCCTGCCTTTAAGTCCTCTGGACATTTACTGCTTACTACCCTAACTCCTGCCCTAACGCTGGTATATACTTTCTCTCTATCCCGAATCGGGAAGCTAGGCTATCCACTCACCACTAGAGTGGTTGCCTCCGGAGACCTGTCACGGCTCCTTCTAAACTTGGCGGCAGCGACGCCTTTGCACATATTCTCACCTAACAGGTATGTGTATTCCTATATAAAAAACTTGCCACCCCTCGCCGTCCATCACTCCGCATGAACCTGAACTTCTTGTCATTCATATTTCTTATATCAAACTTCCCTCTTGCATAATCACTCACCCTCTTATATCGACCTCGCCCCTCCTACACACATTACTCACGTCTATCGCAGCACCCTAAACTACTAAGATGGGAGCGCCACGAAAAAGTCGCGGTGCTGGGGACCGGGTCCCTGAGGGCAACGACGATGTCGCCCTCAAACCCTGGATGCTCAGGTTTAAGACTGAACTTGACGACGATGATGAGGACATCAAGGTTTTCATGAAGCAGGAGGATCAGGACGTCAGGGCCAATGACGGAGCTAATAATATAGAGGCCAATATTGAGGCCGCTGCAGATGGAGGCAATAATAACCCCATTATAATTGAGGAGGAGAACCCCGATCGAAGTAATATTAACGGCAGCAACCACGAAAAAGGTCATGGCTTAAGGGCACAAGACGCGCCACCGGCCAATAAGGAAGCAGCTGATGAGGAGCTTGAGCGTATCGTGATGGCTATTGATGGGCGACATTGCGACAAATATAAGTGGTTCATAGAACGCTATATACGTCAGATCCATGAGCCTCATGAAATCTTGTCAAAACAACTTTACTATCGACGTGTCATGGGAAAGCACAAGACAATCCAGATCCGAGCTGACCCTAAAGGCAGGGAGAGATGGGTTGTGAAAGGTAGTAAGTAACATCAAGAATTCCTTTATATTCATCCTTATCTTGTGTCGGAAACTAGCACATCCTTACACAGATACGTGATTGCTAACTTTGTCCACCATAGTGCGACCGGGTGCCTGCAAAAGACTAGACTATGAGGCTACGCGAGCTCACTACACGGCTCGTAATACAGCTCGCTCATTAGACTGGTCAGCCCATAAGAAGCGGGTGCCTGCCGACCGACTCGGTGCTATCCTTGCAGAAGTAACTGCAGCCTACGACTGGCCCGAGATAGTCACGACCGAGAATGTGGATCATATCCTCACTATAGATGATATTCGGGACATAAGCGCCTACGATGGACACCGGGGCCTTACCATTGGCGCATTTCCTCCTCCTAATAGGGTCTCTGTCGAGTCTGAATTGGGTGATATCTACAATGCCGAGCCTGCTGTAATTGGCAGCCGAGAGCCGCAAGTTTCTCAACGCGGTGTCTTACAGCCACTTTCATCCCTTAGTTCCACCCTGTCCCCTGGAAACCCCCATCCTTCAGCCTCATTACTCGCCCGGCCCGAAAGAGCCTTATATAAAAGGGGTTATCAGAATGATGGCCAGGAGGAGCATGGTGAAAAAAGGCAGCGCTTAAATAATGAGCGTGAAGGTCACCCGCAAGATAGCCAACGCCAGGATGAGAAAGGGGCGAGGCTTGAGGCCCTACATCAAGAGTTCATGAAGGAAATGGCCGACATTTCTAGCGCCTATCATCGTCGCCGACTAGAGATTGAGATGGAATTCTCATCTTTTATATAAAGGTATATCCAACGTGAGCGCTTGAGCCTAATTTCGCTTGGTCTCTTTCATCTATATGGCACACTTCCTTCACTTCAAACACTAGTTTAAAAAGGAGACTCTTCTCTTATACCAAAGATGGAAATTCAATAGGGTTAAGTTTATGAGACTTTGATGAGATGAGGCACGGATAGGTGCAGACATAAAGAGGCCGAGGAAGGTTACAGGTTGAGATGACTTTTACTGCGATGAATTTTTTATTGCGAAGACTTTATAGTAGATGCAAGCATCTCACACTTATTGTGAGATCTTACTTTTAAGTAACCCAAAACACAAAAAACCAATAAACAAAAACCAAAATTCATAATAACTCTTCTTAAACCGTGTCTTTACTAAGTGTGAATAATTAAAGTGAAGGGACATTTAGAGGTCTCCCTTTTATCTGATTACAGTTATTTGCAGATATCGTGACTTGGCATAATTGAATTCCTCGGTAGAGCATTCAATTGTTTTAAGAATTTCGGGATAAACCGGCCCCACAGTGGATCGGACCAGGTCGGGAGTAGAGGCCGTCCCATGTCCGAAGATCATCAGAGAGCGGTAAGATTTATCTCAAGCAGCAGCGCAACACCAGGAACAGCAGCATACCCAGGCGCGTTATCCGGCTGAAAGAAGCATAATTAAAGGAGAAGTTAAATCATCGTGGCAGTGCTTTGGGACGTGTAATAATTTATCGGTCCTTTTTATGGCCTGACGAGTTCAAAGTTACAGCTTATCTGTTTCGTCGGGGTTTAATGCGGCGAGTTAACATTAGATAGGAAAGCCCCGAGAAATAATTCCGTTTCCTCATAATCGGGCCGCTAGGGCCGGAAGAAATCGAGATCGAGCCAGGCGGAAGAAGTTAAAGCTCACGATCGATTACATATTGCACGAGCAAGGTTAGGAACAAGGCTATGTAGGGAGGCCTCGAATATCCCTTATGAAACGAGAGGTGAGAATTTAGGAGTTAGGAGTAATGCCGAGTGTGTCGTTGGGGCTGGCTCGGAATCCAACACAGTGCTTGGAGGTATCGTGTATTTTCATCCCGAGTGTTCTGGTATTGTGGGTCAACTCATTCCGAATAACCAGCGGTAGTAACTATCGTGAGAACACATAGCCTTGCCGGTGCCGAGAGTAAGCAGGTTATCCAATGGGCTAGCATGAAAATGGTGGTATCTCAAGAATGGGGTTGCAGGTATCCCATCCCATCCAAGCGATATGTAAGTGAGTGGATCTTGAGGTTGGATGAACAACCGTCAACTACACGTGTAACTAGAGGCATGGGAGGAAGTGGAGGCTGTTCTATGTATGTAAGTAGTCGCTTGACCATAATGTTCCTTATGTAATGCAGATACATGCCGTTTTTAGTTGGATCACGATGTTAGGTACTGGGGACTGGCTAGCGGCATCGAGATCTATGCTTGTGCAGGAGTGTTTGCTAGTGTAGATAGCCAGATAACCAGATGATAGCCAGATAGCCTAGGTAGTAGACCGGTTATGCATGTCGAAAAGAAAAGATAGAATAGCGTAATAAACGCCTTTAGATACGAGGAATTGCTAATGACTGGTCTACTCGTACATAGGCTGTGGCTTGGCTTTTGTTTGCTTGGATTTGTCCATACATATATCTGTCCGATACTTGTGTAAGTGCCCGGTATAGGTAGATTGCTTAAGTGCCACGTGAAACCCGGGGAAGGTCATCGAAGTGGTATTCGAGCTTATCTAATACTAGGTTGATCCAAGTCGACTCGTTATATTTTGGGAGATCGACATGTCAAGCCTTGCAAGGCTGCTAGGACGCCCATTGAGCGACAGGAGAAGTGCTGAACTATTGGTGGAGGAGTCTGAACCGGTTCAAGGATACAGACAAATGATAGATTCTCGGCCGTTGAACCCGAGGATATACATACATAGTAGTATGTACATATGTAGAATTCGTTACACGCTAGTTGAAACCCCGCAGTGATCTATGATTTGTGAATACATAACTAGCGGAGTTTTGCAAAACTTACACTAGTTAACGCGTATTGACCCATTGATTTAGGTACGAAGATGTAAAGGCCTGAAAGGTTCCTGTCGGAGAATTCAATGGAGGGAGCCGCTTGGGTACGCAATCATGGAGTGAAATGACCCAAGAATCGATCGGATGCAACCCTAAGCATGGCCTTGGGACTTTAGGATTTTGGGGACCTTAAACCCTGGTAGAAGTCTTTGGCGATGATGTTTAATAAGAAGCGCAATCTGTTCGCCTTTAGGGGTTTTGAGTGGTTTTTAGCGCGATCCCCATTCACCATTGATTGTGCTAGCGGAATCGTTTGGGTTACCCTATGAGATCATCGACCAGGATTAGGAGGGGCTTTGACTTCCAGAGTTGGACGAAGTGGGGTACATACACTAAGTCGCCCTTGGCCTTTTGGTTGGATTGTCCGGTTAAAGAACCTTGTTTCTATTCTTCTTTTCTTAAAGTTTATACGTTTTAAACGGTTAAAAAGGTTGACATACGGGCCGTATATGTTTTCCCTTTTAGGAAGTCCGCGTCTTACAAACAACGGGCTGTGAGGTCATAGGCATAGGGATCTTCCCCGACCAATAGATCTAGACACGTTCCATTAGGTACCTTAAAGACCTTCAAAAACCTATCAATATTAGTAATAAATAGTGCTGATTCGTCAGTAAAATGGCCGACCCAATCGACTCTTCTACATAATCTTCCTCATAGGCTTATATCTATGTAAACTCTCTTTATGATTAAACAATGTCTAGTCTAAAGAGTGTGTGTGGAGCTCTACGGTATCACGATAATAAAGAAGCGCCGAGGGGCACACCATCTACTTTCGTAGCCGACCGCATTCTCATTTACAGTGCTGCAGTCCGCCCGGCATCTCTACCACTCCGCCTATTGGCGATAATGGGTGGTGATAAAAAACGTTGCAGGGACTAGTCTACCTTGCTTCAGATAGCCTCGTTTGTAAGTGGCCAGTGGTCTGCAATGTATGCCAAGCGCTCGGCGGATATCAAATCAGATCTAGGGCTGCTGGATGGGGGAAGGCTAGAGAGTACTGGGCAAGGCCACGACTCCCCCAGACTTTGGCACGTTGCATGTGCCTTGTTGTTATCAAGGGTCCATGTAGGCTCATATAATGTTATTCATTCTCCTTGCAGTTATGATTTCATCAATCTTCGCGTCTAGTCCAGCTTATCGGGTATCTAGCAAAACGCTTATGGTGGGTTGTAGACGTTTCTTACAGGTTCTCTAGACGCCTAGTCTCGAGTCCTCCTGGCGATCCTGAGTTATACTCAAGTTATACTCAAGGACTTGGCGGATCAAATGTTAAGCACGGAATCGCTAGCGAGCTTTCAGGGATGTGATGGATGAAGCCCAATGACGATATTAAAAAGGACAAGAATTGACTAGGCTAGGTACATGGAACTATTCGGGATATACAGTGTCATCTAAAGCTTGGCACGGAGAGTAAGAACATAATGTTTGATACTGTCTCATTTACTGACAAAACGTTGGGACTTGAAGGGGCCAATAGTAAGACACATCGTCAAATGGTGAATATAGCTGGATCATACGATGGCGATGAGCATGATACCGTAAGTGTAAGGCATGATACCGTAAGTGTTTTTCCAAACTATTTTGAACATGGCGAGATATAAAATTTTCTAGCGTAGCTTCAGCTTTTAGTAGAAAAATATGGTGTTGTCAGACTCCGAATTCCATAGAATATTCCCGCGTCCGTGATGAAGTGGCACTGGCGAATTACAAGTCATAAGAGGAGGCGTTATAATCAAGTATGGGCAACCCACTTCGGCAGCAGATACTTATTATGCTAATGAGCTGCTTGACATGTTCTCGAGTCATTTAGGAATTGGGCTTGTCTTACACAGAGTTGAGGCTTTTTCCAATTTAAGTTGTCGATAGGGTCGTATATATCAAAGACTGGATAGTATCTATGATCGTCAGTCAGCCGAGTGAGAGATATTCGATACCGATACCTAGTACATATTACATAGTCTCCGTACATGAATAGGAGGTATATAGAGAGAGTATTGGAGTTGCAATTGTTGTAATTGGAGTCAAACGCCCACGTCCACCGTCAAAACACGATACGTTAAAGTGGGTCGACAATAAACTGGGGATTACCGGCTGTATAGGGTACGTGATGCCGTAATGCCGTAATGCCGTCAGCAAAGGCCAACAAAACGGTGGACCCCTTGGTATACAGTACGCTACAGTCCGCCATTCATTCCTGCCGTGACGCTCTGTATGTACGCAGCACCCCTCCACTTCCGGTCGAATTGTTCGGGGCTTGTGGGCCTCGTGGGTTTGGATGGCTCCTTCCCTCGTCACTTAGGTACCTATTTCCAACCTCTTGCACTCCTCTGCACCTGCGCACTTGCACATAAGAACATCATCTTTTCCTTTCCCAAATTCCTTTTTTTTCTTTACTCTTCCTTCCTTCTTTTCAACAAACCCAATTGTACTACTTTTACATCAACTTCAGTGTTTCTGAAACTTTAGAAACACAACATACATCCTCACACATTCCACCATCCTATCAATCAATCCTCACTTACAACATTCGCATCTCTTCTATCACCTCTACCTATACCAATTCAAAATGGGTAAGAAGGCAGTCCACTTCGGTTCCGGCAACATTGGCCGAGGCTTTGTCGCATGTTTCCTACATGAGTCAGGCTACGAGGTCATCTTCGCCGACGTTGTCGACAAGCTCGTAGACGCCTTAAACTCGACACCTTCGTACAAGGTCATCGAACGTGGTGTTGAGGGCACAGATGTCAAGACAATCACCAACTACCGAGCCATCAACTCCAAGTACAACGAGGCCGAGCTTATTGACGAGATTGCAACTGCCGACGTTGTCACCTGCTCTGTCGGCCCTAACATCCTCAAGTTCATCGCTCCCGTCATTTCCAAGGGTATCGACAAGCGCTCGAATGAACTCAAGCCTCTAGCCGTCATTGCTTGCGAGAACATGATTGGTGCCACAGACGCCCTCGCTGCTCACATCAAGGACCCCAAGAACACTCCCGAGCACCGCCTCGAAGACCACCACGAGCGAGCTGCTTACGCCAACTCTGCGATCGACCGTATCGTCCCTGCTCAAGATCCCAACGCTGGTTTGGATGTGACTCTGGAGAAGTTCTACGAGTGGGTCGTCGAGGAGACTCCGTTTCAACATGGAGAGAGGCCGTCCATCCAGGGTATCAAGTGGGTAGACAACCTACAGCCCTTCATTGAGCGTAAGCTCTTCACCGTCAACACATCCCACGCCACTGCCGCCTACTTTGGTTACAACAGGCAGAAGCGGACTGTCGACGATGCTATGCGAGACAAGGACATTAGGAATCAGGTCGCCGCGGCAGTCAACGAGACCGCTAAGCTTATTGTGGAAAAGCATGAAATCGCCCCTGAGGAACAGGAGGCTTACAAGAAGAAGATCATTGACCGAATCAGCAATCCTCATCTGGCTGATGCTGTGGAGCGTGTTGGCCGTGCTCCCTTGAGAAAGCTTGGTCGTAAGGAACGCTTCATCGGTCCTGCCGCTGAATTGGCTGAGATGGGTTACGACACTCCAGCCCTACTAGCTGCTACTGAGATGGCCTTCCGCTTCCAGAACGTGGATGGCGACGATGAGAGCAAGGAGCTTGCCAAGATCATGTCGGAGAACAGCGCCGAGGAGGTTGTTCACAAGGTGTGCGGCCTACAGAAGTCGGACAAGCTGTATCCCAAGGTGGTTGAGGTCGTCCAGAAGGTCCAGGCTGACAGCCAAGACTAAGCATCTGGATGAATATCTCCCCTTTCCAACTGCCTCTTTGCCTTCTGCGTTCTATTTCCGCATTTGCATTTCAGATGAATTTCACGGCATGGGAGCGATTGTTACGTCTAGGGAAATGACAGGGGATAAAGGCGTTCATGTATGATGATACCAGAAAGGAAATTTAAGGGAACGCGGGACGCTTTACGACGACTAGATCACGTCAGCAGAATTGTAAATCTGCATCGATTGCGTTGCGTTCTTGCTAGGTATTAGTCATTCTTGTCAAGTTATACAAGATTGACGATAGGAGAAGATTGATTTCTAATAAAAATCATTACGACTAAATTGAATTGTCCCTTCAAATGTGATTGTGATGTGAGGTACGTAAGATAGATGTGTAAATTGTAAAATAGATATGTATTATTATGAGCGATGTGTATCTGTAGTGCTTTACGCATAGTTTTCTGCGTAGATATTAGACAATTAGAATTTAGAGCTTCTTACATACCACTGACAGTAGGTATTCAGGAGAAGTGAAGAGGGTTCTACGATTGAGGTTGTAGATGTAATCGTGGCTGATTTGAGATGCGATTAAAGGTTCCACGAGGTTATGGGTGGATTCAGTAATTAATCCGGTAAAGCTTCAGCCACATATTATGTAAGCTAGTCTCTTGTTGATTGGTTGATTGGAGCAGGGAGTTGGAAGTGACCACCGTTGAAACTTGAAAAATGTGGAAATGGCAAATGGCAATACCTGTGGGTAAATTATGTGTTACCTACTTGGGCTTTGAGAATCAAAGTAAGCTATCAAGCTTCAACTACCTCACCTAACCCTCACTTAACCGTCTACACGTAACCTGCCTAACAATTGAAACGATACATACGCTTGTTTAAGACGGAACACAATCTAGATGGTCTTCACTTAATATTACTAGCATCGATCTGCCTACGATCAACCGTCAACTACCCCCCTTCCTCGAACGAATCGTTGCATTCATTATACGACCCATTCATTTCCTACGGTACTTGGAGCTGTCGGCAAAATGAGGCTGGATGTGAAGGTGTGTACAATATCTCCGTTCGCTCCGATTCCTTTTTGGTTTACTTCCAGTTCGAGACATTTGGTTTGGTGAAATCGAGACCTGGCCTTTCTCGACCCTCGTACCCTCGCACCCTCGCCGAGCTGCGGCTCAACTCCTAAATACTACCATTATTATCTTACACGACTTGCGAATTAAATCCCCATGCTTTATATCCCAATCATATAAACCAACTACCAGGCTATTGGATACGCTAACATGGTATTTGATGCACAGCGACAACTCTTTGCGCGCAGTGAGCGTGTCAAGGGCATCGACTACCACCCGCAAGAGCCATGGATTTTAACTACCTTATACAGCGGTGAGCCCGTTTTTGGCTTCTTTAAGTCTCGTTAATGGCTAATTCTCCAAGGCCACGTTTACATCTGGTCCTACGAAACACAGCAGATCGTCAAGACCTTTGAGCTTACTGACGTCCCTGTACGAGCCGGTCGATTCGTCGCGAGGAAGAACTGGATCGTTTGCGGTTCCGACGACTTTCAATTAAGAGTATATAACTATAATACCTCGGAAAAGATTACGTCCTTCGAGGCGCATCCCGACTACATACGCGCCATCGCGGTCCACCCCACGCAACCTTTCGTCCTGACCGCCTCCGATGACATGACCATCAAATTATGGGATTGGGAGAAGGGATGGAAGTGCGTACAAGTGTTTGAAGGTCACAGCCACTATGTTATGGGACTGGCTATTAATCCCAAGGATACCAACACTTTCGCTTCGGCCTGTTTAGATAGGACCGTCAAGATATGGAGTCTGGGTTCCTCCACCGCCAACTTCACACTCGAGGCCCACGAGACAAAGGGTGTAAACCACGTCGATTACTACCCGCACTCCGACAAGCCGTACCTCCTCACAACCTCTGACGACAGGACCGTCAAGGTTTGGGATTACACAACCAAGAGTCTTATTGCGAGCCTCGAAGGGCATACCAATAATGTGTCCTTTGCCTGTTACCATCCGGAGCTGCCCGTTATCATCTCCGGTTCTGAAGATGGTACTATCAGGATATGGCATGCAAATACCTACCGCTTTGAACAGTCTCTCAACTATGGCCTGGAGCGCGCGTGGTGTATTTCCTACCAGCGTGGTAAGCAAGGTGTGGCCGTCGGATTCGATGATGGCGCAGTGGTAGTAAAGCTAGGCCGAGAAGAGCCTGCCGTATCCATGGATAGTTCTGGCAAATTGATCTGGGCTCGACACAACGAAGTAGTCTCATCAATCATCAAGGGTGGCGGTATGTCTATTTCCCCTACTCTATGATTTTTCCAAATACTGACTAGAGTCATAGACGCCTCGATTAAGGACAACGAACAAATCACACTCCCCACGAAGGAGTTAGGCACATGCGAAGTTTACCCCCAAACGCTCATTCATTCCCCCAATGGCCGTTTTGTTTCGGTCTGCGGTGATGGCGAGTATATCATTTACACGGCTTTGGCATGGCGTAACAAGGCCTTCGGATCCGCACTAGATTTCGTATGGGCATCGAAGGATAACAGTAACGACTTTGCTATTCGTGAGTCGGCGACCAGTGTTAAGGTCTACAAGAATTTTGTCGAGAAGACTGGTGGTCTAGACATCCCTTTCCAGGCTGAAGGCTTAACGGGTGGTGTCTTATTGGGTGTAAAGGGCCAAGGAGGTGTATCTTTCTATGACTGGGCCACCGGCGGTCTTGTCAGGCGAATCGAAGTAGAACCAAAAGAGGTATATTGGTCAGACAGTGGCGAGCTTGTCACTTTGGCTTGTGAGGATACATTCTACGTTTTGAGATTCTCCCGCGAGAGCTATATCGAAGCTACTCAAGCTGGAGAGGTAGACGAAGATGGAGTTGAGGCCGCCTTCGAGGTTATTACAGATATTGCTGAGAGGTAAGCATTTACTACTTAATATTTCTCTACTCATAACTAACAACTCCACAGTGTGCGAACAGGCCAATGGGTTGGGGACTGCTTCATCTACACCAATAGCACAAACCGACTAAACTACCTGGTTGGTGACCAAATATACACTATCTCACATTTCGACCAGCCGATGTATATTCTTGGTTATATCCAAAGAGACTCCCGTATATATCTAGCCGACAAGGATGTCAACGTCACGAGCTTTGCTCTTTCTCTTCCTGTGCTAGAGTATCAGACGCTAGTACTCCGTGGCGACATGGAGACGGCAGCCGAACTGCTCCCCACTATCCCTGCAGATCAACTCAATAAGATCGCCAGGTTCCTCGAAGGACAAGGCCACAAAGAACTGGCGTTAGAGGTGGCCACCGACCCTGAGCACAAGTTCGACTTGTCGCTGGCCCTAAACCAGCTTGACATTGCTCTTGACCTTGCGCGAAAAGCGGAAAATGACCACAAGTGGAAGACGGTAGGTGACGCAGCCCTTACGGCATGGGACGTCCCACTCGCTGCTGAGTGTTTCACCCATGCGAAAGACCTGGGCTCTTTGCTCCTGATTTACTCTAGCACATCCGATCGCGAAGGCTTAAAGGCTCTTGTGACGCAAGCAGAGGAGTCTGGCGCCCACAACGTTGCGTTCACGTGCAGGTGGTTGCTGGGCGATACCGCAGGCTGTGTGGATGTTCTTACCAAGACGAACAGGCTAGCTGAAGCTGTCCTATTCTCGCAGACATACAAGCCGAGCTTGACAGTTGATGCTGTGAAAGGGTGGAAAGAAAGTTTGGAGAAGAACAAAAAGGGCCGCGTGGCGAAAGTGATTGCTGTCCCAACCGAAGATGAAGAACTCTTCCCAGAGTGGGAAGAGTGGCTACGGCTAGAAAGCGAAGGCGGCGTTGCCACCGGGGAGGTAAATGGAGAGGCTGGAGAAGAAGCAGAAGAAGCCGAGGCCGAGGATGCCGAGAGCGAAGCAGAGTCTGAAGAGTAACTCAAGTTCCATGTGCTGTTATGAGTTCACCCTAGTCCAGGGGCGTGGTGGGCATATGGTTTTCCCATGATGACGATCAATCATGTTCTATTACTGGAGTTGAAATGGCCGAAATCCGCAAAAGCTGATGAGCAGTCTGGTAACATCTAGAACTACTTCTCGGTAGAGGCAGAGAAGGAAGGAAACATGTTGTAGTACCCGAGTAATGAAAATCAGAGTTATAAATGAAACCAGTCCTCTTGTTTAATTATATCTTGGCCTTGTTGTTGACTGGCTAGTATAGTATTTATTCTACTTTCTACCTATGGGGGGTCCCCATCACAAATTGGAATATTTCAAAAGACAGCATATTTTCTGTCTTCGCATCGTCTTTCTCGTAGAACCTCCCCCGCCCGCATATCTTACTCGCTTATACATATTAGGTGATTAGAAGCGCTTTAGATGTAGTTCCATTTACGATCATTTCCAACCATAGCTATAAATTCACTCAATATAGGCAGTCCAGGTGCCCATACCTACCGCATATTTCATCGGTGCATTTAGGAACCCCTTATTTTGTTGGGAATACGATTTACTATTGCTTTTAAGTATGGGAATGCCACGTTGCTTAGCAAAACCCAGTTAAATTCCTTTATGGGACGGAAAAACAACAACACAAAACTATTACAGACGAAACACGAAGAAAAGGATATGTATGATATGAGAACTGCGGTCAACTAAAGCATATCGTTCTTAATTAGAAGCCAAATTGGCGCTACAGATATACGCCAATTCATACAAAGCAGGCATTGGGAACCTGAGCCTTGAAGTGTTGTTTGGCTCGTATATTACATAGTAGTGCTGGGGCACCCTTTGCTGTGAAGATGGGTCCGACCTGTATGTAGTCTTATTACATTTGCCACTCTGCCCCTTTTTCATCCGCCCGTGCAAATGCCGAAAGTAAAGCAAACCTGGTATCATATGCATATCATTCGTAATCATCGTAGAAAGATCGGAATTGTCCTCTCAGGTACGTGCTCAAAAGTCGTCGTAAAGATCCATCATCTCTATGGGAGGAATGGCTCCCGGATGAACCTCGCCGCAATTCTCACAGGCGATAGCTTCGTCATCGTCGCTAAGAAAGTCGAACATGGTGATATCCTCCTCGACGTCATCCCACGGAAGTCCGCTCATCCTATCAAATAGCACCCACTTACGCTCCTCGTCGCCGAGCTTGATAGGTATCTTCTTCCAAATGGTCCGGCAGGAATGATAATAGGAATAAGGTGGCTCGCCTTCATCTTTAGGTGCGGGTGGGAAGTCAGCTCCGAAAAGATGGGAATGTACGTCGTCGTGATGGTGGTCGCCACTCTTAAATGCGCGCATCGCTCGAACAACCTTAGCGCAGTAATGACACTCGTGAGTATCGCATTCGAGAGCACGCACGCCGTTCTTGAGAGCCACCATAGTAGGTGCGTGATCAATAAGAAGGCCCTCGTCCTTTAGAAGGCCGGCCATCTCGTTGCAAACCCGAAGACCAGTCTCATCGCTCGGTAAGCCAGTCAAAACCACCTCATTTAGTGTGCATCCAAGCTGGTGCGACGCGACCTCGTGAAGTTGGGGAGGCGGATTGTTAAACATGTCTTCACCGAAATTCACGAAGTCAATGCGAAGCTTTTCTAGAGATGGTAGTAACTTGGGCAATGGAGCAGAATATGTTGTCGCCGAACCATTGCCATGAGAAACGTAAGAAGGGTCGAAGGGAGGCAGCATGGCCATGAGGAAGTCAGCAAGCTGATACCAACCGTAAGTTCGGAATCCACGGCGAGCAAGACTATTTTCCTTGGGCCGTTTATGCACGGTCAAGGCAACGGCCTTTCTAAGATCAGGGTGGTAGTTGCGACTGATCCTGTGTGTTCGCTCTTCGTCGTCATAGAACTTTGCAATAACGCGGAAGGTGACATCCTTGATGTTTCGTCGGAAGTGAAGAGGGACCTCGGCGAAGTTTCTAAGGGACTCCGGACTAGTGAAGACAAAGGAGTTATTGGTCCATAGGAGTTTAGTGCCCTCATCATGGTAGGCCTTGCAGGTCGCCAAGAAGTGAATAGCGAGTCTGCTAGACTTAGACTTCTCTTGTACCGTCAGATTCTCCGGCTTGACCTTGCATAGCGGATCGACGATAGGAAGTGAGCTAGTCAGAGCGAACGACATAATTCTAAGCTGTATCTCAACCGGGATGTGCGGAAGGGGAGGGCGAACGGCCCTGGTAGAAGCACGGGTGATTCGCCCAGTAGAAGTCCTCGCGGGCTTGGGACGGGTTTGCCACGGGATGCCATTCTCACGGAGTAGACGCTTCAAGGTCATGTTCTCATCCTCAAGACGTCGAACTTTGGTGCGTAGGGGATGATTGTAGTAGATCTCGGCCTGGTCGGCCTGATCTCGGCATTCCCAGGCGATGCTACTCTACAGCAACTAGTTAATAAACAAGAGACATCAACGTGAGATAGCAAGGTGTTAAGCTCGTACCATGTTGAATGACGCGGATGACTACAATGACTCGTCACAACGCTCATAACCAGAGGTGTATTAAAGCACCTCGGGCGCCCGAGGGTTGGCAACCCGCCGAGATATACCGGAAAAGGTAATGAAACTTGGGGACGATGTAGGTTTTTTAATCCGACTTCTTGCAGACGGGCTGCAGTGTTGAGTTGTCTTGAAGGGAGAAACCTGTTTGTACAAGACAAAGAAGCTATCTGAGGCCAAACGAGGCTCGGATTTTGCATTCAAATTCTTGGGGTTCCCGAGTTTCGATTTAAGTAGTACCTATTAGGAACTCGCGGCAAAGAAATACCTGCCACGGCAAAATAAGGAAGAACATCAAAGACCAGACGCGGACTATTATTAGATTTGTAACGGTTAGGAGAGAGATGAGGAAGATTAAAAAGAGGAGCGGCCCCAGGAGATTTGGGGGGGTTGTCGCGAAGTCAGGTGATGCCGACTAAATGGATGAGAGGGTAAGAGAATTGGTATCTACGTCTGTTGTAGAAAATTGAGTAGTCGAGTATGTAAGGTGGTTGAAATGATTTTGGGGCCGAGGTGCAACGAAGTGCACCAAAAAACTGTTATGCGAAATGAACGTAGGAGAAGAAAATAAATGGAGTAAGCGAGTCACCATTAGGTGAAGAAGTAAGGTGGAAGTTACGTGGAAGTTACTTCCTCTAATCTACGAGATGTTATCTACCTATGTACATAACATGTACCTTAGGTCGCTGTGACGGATAACTGGAACTTTAATGGTGGACATCCGCTACTTGTTCTTCTACATCACAGTTGCTAGGTTAGATGGAAGGAGGGGATGTAGGTAGGTAAGTACTTCTTACCTGCCCGGTCGTCTGGGTAGCTATTTCCCGTTAACATCTCTAACCTCTGCATTAGGTACGACATCGCAGAGCTACCCAATGACAGAAGCCAAACATCCATGCCAAAGATTTGAGCAGCTTTACCTTGTAACACAAGCTAGCGTATCGCTCGTCGCACCTCCTCCCCTGGACCGGTTCGGTTCCTTGAACCGTGGGCCAATTTGGAGGGTTGATTCTATTTAAAGCTCGCATGTACGGAAATACCTATATATATGCACCTTGTTTTTGGATTGGTCCTATCGAATTACATCAATGGCTATTAGAATCTAACTGCTTAGCTGCTTAGCGCACTTACGCATTATCTTATCTTAATCGATCGACTAGTTGACAGGTTAGAACGAGTTGATATCAACTCGACAAGATGTACGCTTACCTTTTCTCAATTGTCTCTTTCTACGATAGTCTCGAGTTGAGATAAAAGAAAATGGGATATGTAAACATCTCCAATAATAATTAGTGGCTCGATTCTTGACGTCATCAGGCTTAAACCCTTGAAGCAAGAAATATTATCGATGATAAGGTCTGATGTATCGCATCACACAACATAGGGTAGCTAAGAGGTTGCATTTATTAATAAACGAGGTTGCCGTCATTTAATTAAGTATCACAAAGTATCGCGAAAAGAGTCTACATAGGTACATAGTATATAGGTAGGTAGCTTGGGATCTTAAGAAAGGCGGGATTTGGTCTTGAGGAATGGCCTATGTTAAATCATGAAATAAACCAATGATGCCTTTCTTCATTGCTGACCGTAATCCCTAGTCCAAATCGTATCCCACACCTCCTTATCGACCGCAAACTCGCGAGCATAATCCCTCTCTAGCTCGTGTGCTCTTTTCCCCAGCAACACTAAGCTATGTAGCGGCGGCCCGAGTGCTTCATCTGCGTCGCAGAGCTGCTTTAGTGTTCCGGCAACAAACTTCTCTTCTCTACCGCCAACCCTCGCGGCGCCGATGGCTAAGCTCTCCGGCCCGTAAACGCCTTCCTTCTTTTCTTCTTCGATCTCAAGCATCTGCTGCGCGCATTGCCCGACTGTCATATATCTAGGGGGTTCGTATATCTTCCTTCCTCGAGCCATGTTCTCTAAGCTCTGCTCCTTGACTTTGATATCCAATAGCACGAGTGTATGTAGCCCAATGGATCGGTTCTCCTTGATGCGGTCGTAGAAGGACGCGGGCCGCCAATTATCTAAAAAGAATACCATAGATACCGTCTGGCCGAAGTTGTATAGTTGAAGCCCTGTAGCTCCTATCCCTGACATTATGGAAGCATTTGGTACTGTCTGGACGGGGATTGAGAGCTCGCGCGCTCGAAGAACGAGGTCAGTATGCGTAGTCGCGCTATAGTAAGACGTCAGTATATGCTCGGATCTTCTGTGCCCTTGAGAAGACATGGCCCCTCCTCATTGGATTCCTCAGGCGGCTTTCTCATACCCAAAAGGATCACCAACTACTAAAAATGCGACATCCTCAGTGTGCGCGTCGCGGAGGATTTCTTCGCTATTCGACTCGACCATCTCGCGATCTGCGACTACGATGGATCGGCCATAGTAGTTCTCCTACTGTGCCATTAGCGTTAGCTGAATGAGAAAAGACGAGACCGCACGAGATGAGGGATAGCCTACTAAGACAGACTGATCTACTAGGAGAATACTGGTGTAAGCTTCGAGATAGACCCGGGATGCCTTTTTCACGATTTCGAGGCCTTTCACCGTTATATCCGTCTCATCGGAGAGACCTAGTCCCACGAGGTAGAGCATTGCAATTTCACAAACCAAGCTAACTCGGGTCTTGTAGGAAAAAGCTCGATGTTGGAGGATCTCGTAGAAGTCTAAGATGTCTAAGATGAAGTGGGGGAGGAAGTTTTACTTGAGCTGCTTATTGGCATAAATGGAGGGGTAATCGATTAAGCATACCGACATGTGTATTTTTGTGCATAGGACGTGGCAGGCCAGCAGGGTACTGGGCTATATATGTACCTAAGTACCTAAAGTACCCACTAATATACACTAGAACCATCGTCCTGTCTTACCGCATTTAAATGCTATCGAGATTACTTTATCGCGTCAATCGCAAATAAAGTTGCATATTTACAACGTCAATTCTACTCGTAGTACATGCCACCTCTACATTAATACCTAAGAAAGCCTCCTTTCCACACCACACTACAAACCATTTGAACCGAATAAAATACACCACTCTCAAATACTATCAACATGGCCGATAAAAAGGGCTCGGCGTACGGCACGCCGGCCGACGACACTTCCTTCCGGCGGAGCTACGACCTCGACGAGTACGCGCAGAAAGCCAAGGTACGAGAGGCAGCCGATAAAGAAGAAGCGAAAGCGCGATATGAGGCAAAAATGGCTGGCAAAAAGTACTACAAGCCTCTGACGGGCGACGAGACGCTCACGCGGGCGCGGCGCGATATCATCGACCTCGAGGCCAACGTGGGCAAGACAACACTAGTCCCGGCGGGTGCAGGCCAGGGGAAAAGGGGCCGCGGCGCCGGGTTCTACTGCAGCGCCTGCGATCTCACGTTCAAGGACAACATGCAATGGGTCGAGCACGTGAACAGCATGCAGCATCTACGGAACATAGGCGAGACGGGCGAGGTCAAGAAGGCGAGCGCGGAAGAAGTACACCAGCGCATCACGGAGGTATGGGAGCGGCTGCAAGAGCAGAAGAAGGCGAGCGTGACGACGCTAAAAGAGCGCTTGGAAATGCGCGAGGAAGAGGCGACTAAGGAGAGGGAGGCGAGGCGGCTTAAGAGGCAGGAGGAGCTGGCGAAGAAGAAGGCGGCTCAAGATGCGCAGGAGAAGATTAAGACCGAGTATGGCGACGATGTGCGGATCGAAGGAGAGCACGATGAGGATGATATGATGGCTGCGATGGGGATTACGGGGTTTGGGACGTCGAAGAAGAAGAAATAATAGCCCGGTGTTGGAATCATGAGGGGAAGTCTAAGAATAATGGTTATATTGTGATAGAAGCGAAGGGATGGCGTCAAGGGTGCATCAGGTATGGTGTTTGGTCTCGATTCTTACGGCCATGTGTATATTTGGGCTGATTTTACAATACCCTATTTACCTCTGGTAAAAAAAAATGAAAACCACGGAGTGTAAGGTGCTACTTGGGCTAGGAAATAGGATTCATTAGCAATCTATTACATGGCTACCTAATATATCTGTCTCCACGTTTTTATGTAAGTGGTTTTGGTACGACATATGGCCTATATAAACTTACATATAAGTACCAAGGTAGTATCAACAAGACGAAGAGACTTTATTGGACTTATTCTGTTGTACAAGATTGTCTGCATCTTCCCGCCCTTGCAGGAGTTACCTAATTCGACAGGGTTCGAACGCATTTTATTGCCTTCTATAACAAGTTGATTCACATCTCTATCTTGATTTCAGTCATCTGCATATGCATGCGGGTATATTGTAATTATGAATAATGCATCTTTTATATTAAGAACTTCGATGCTGCCTCCATTCAATGCTGCTTTACTTGCCGTATATTCGTACCTACCTACCTTAAGGTACCTACAATAGGTAAGTACATAACACTTGCATCCTAAGGTTAACCAATTCACTTTAGGTGGTTATCTATTAAAATACTTATACCGATAATAAAGTCCGGACAAAAATAACAACACGATAATTGTTCTATAATTCAATGCCATATCCCTTATCTACCTAAATACATATGCCTTATCCCTGCGCATATCCCTTCATACCTGCATCTAATCCTTACGCATATAACTTCGTACATATTCGTACATAAGCTACCCCACCATCGATTACACGATTACATCTGGACTTCCGCGCCGGACTCGACAGATCCAATCTTTCACGTCCGTTTCGCCTTCCAACCTCGATCTGTTAACACCCCACACTCAAGCAACAAGCAACGTTAAAACTTACTTAAAAGGTACATAACACTAGACATCCGCGTTACCGACCGATCTGACAACCTTGTGGCGGATCTTGCAGTTCGAACCTGCCCAGCTTACTGACAAGATAATCTTACCTGCCTTACATCAGCGATTCACAAATACCTTTACAAAATACCCAAAATACATATCTTTACCTTACCACATCTCGTTATCCCCCGTCGCGCAACTGCTGTAATACGCCACCACCAGTATTATCACCACAATGTCAGCATCGTCGGCGCAGACCTCGGGAGCCGCCCGGCTCTTGCAACGACAGCTCAAGGAGATGCATACGTCATCTGACCTATCAGGTATTTCAGTAGGCCTAGCTAAGGAAAGCAATGTCTTCGAATGGGAAGTTATTCTTATGATCAATGATGAGTGCAAGTATTACGGTGGTATGTCTTAACCCCCATCTCTCTCCTAAATCATAACCGTCCTTGCCACGCGCATCAAGTTAGATAGACCTTGAGATCTAGCATAGGTAGCTAACGCATAGAGGAACACAGGTGCCTATTTCCGCGCCCTCATGACATTCCCACCCGAATATCCTCACCTACCTCCTCAGATCGTCTTCCAGAACCCGGTTCCGTTCCACCCCAACATCTACCCCAATGGTGAGCTCTGCATATCCATCTTGCACCCACCCGAGGAAGACAAGTACGGCTATGAGAGCGCCGCCGAGCGCTGGAGTCCCGTCCAGACCCCCGAGACGATACTGCTGAGCGTTCTCAGCCTCTTCAACGAGCCTAACGACGAGAGTCCCGCCAATTTGGATGCCGCCAAGCTATTGCGCGCCGAGCGAGAAGGTGGTCCGAAGGAGTTCAGGAAGCGGGTAAGGAAGTGCGTTAGGGAGAGCTTAGGCGAGGATTAGGTAGGCAGGGCAGGTAAATGAACAGGATTCACGACCGCAGACCGACAACCGAACCTCTGTACCGATAAATATCTCTCGACTAAAGGAGGAAACCGGGACGCTATCCCAGGAGCACCATCTTGTCGTCTGTTTAGACACTAGCATAGCTGACTTCGGAGCATTCGAGAAGGCGTATAGGTGTTACGTATTTGATACGTACTTGAATTCAATTCGTCGATTTTCGTAGTTCGTAACGAGTAGTCCCGCTTAAATAATGCCATCTCTTAGTCCATGAGTCCCAATACACGGGCCAGAACTCGATCCCATTCTTCATCCCACCGTAGATCACTCTCCTTCTTGGCTCCTTTACGTAGCGTCTGGAGTTCGCGTGACCCTTCTTCCCCCAATAATCGCGTTAAAGTTGTTGCTAACTCGCCCGCCGTTTCAAAACCGCATCCATTTATACCCTCCTTGACTAATTCGCTAAAGCTCTCGTATCCAGAGTACGCAGCAACTGGTAGCCCAGACCCAAACATATCCACAACTTTCATGGGTAAGTCAACGCCGGAGCTAGACATGTGAAGACATATCCCGAGGTCAGCACAACTCAGGAGTTTGGCATAATCCTCCATCGTTAGCCACGCGGTTAGTATGCGAATATTAGGTAGTTTCCCCTCTTCCTGTAGGTTCTGGATTTTCTCTTCGTAAGCTGCTTTTTGGGGCCCGCGCCCTGTAATGATGGCGATGATAGGATGCGCAGACTCGTCCTTAGCGTACGTAACCAAGGCATCGAGCAAGAGGGAGAAATCTTCATCCGGTGTCCAAGATGTACTGCTTACTATAAGCCTTGTCTGACCTGCTATAATGTTTGAAGCGAATTCCCTAGTCTCTGGTAACTTTTCTAGAAAGTCCCTGCGATCTGGCAAGGACTCTAGGGGCTGAAATAAGGAGGCTGGCCGGTCGTGAAGGACAAGAATTGGCGCTTTGACATAATAAGGTGCCTTCTCCAATTGCCGCTTCATCGCATGAGTGACTGTGATATTAGCCGTAGGTGCTGCCTGAGCCAACGCGCACTCGTAGGCTTTTGAGATTTCCACGAAAGGATGATTACGTCCCTTGGTCCCGGCCAGAATCGTCCACCCATAGTTGTGCCAATCAATTATGAGATGCGTGTTGCGCAAGACAGAAATGAGAAGGGCAATAGCTAAAGTTGGAATAGATGGGGGGTTCTAGGTTATATATTAACAAATATCTCGTACGAAGATAATAAGTATACTGTACCTGAACCATGATCCATCTTGCGGGAGGTGTTTGGTAACCAAGAACTCGAACGAGGGTCCAAATTTGCCATAGCACTTTCAAAGGCCCTGAGATGATAAAAGGAATCGAGCTGGACCTGATCACACTTGGCGGAGGTGCCAACGGATAGATCTTGACCCTAGGATTGCTGAGAAGATCGGGATGAGGGGTCGACTCTATACAATAACTTAGTACAGATTACTCGTCAAGCTAAAGAGAAACATAGAAAGAGAAACATAAGAAGGGAAAACAAAGATACCATGATAGCCAATAAGATCAACCCTTCCGCCATGTCTAGCAACACTTAGAGCGTGGTATTGCATGCGCGGGCTTCGGCCAATATCTCCAAGAACTAAGACTTGAACAGAAACAGACTCCTTAGATGCCGGGGAGATCTTAACGTAGCGTGAAGGTAGCATAGTTAGAACTACGACGAGGCCAAGTAACGATCCGAAAGCGGTAAACGCCAATACCAAGGCGAGGTATGCCATTTCAGAATAGTAAGGCGGGGATATCGGGGTATATATGGTATATATATTTGTTTATACCATGTGAGTATAGCTTACTACGAAGATAATGTGTACCCAAGGTAAGCTTGGAGCTATACGACGAAGGGCTTATTTAAAATGTGTCTTCGTATGCTCTCCTATGTGACATGTCCCGATTCTGCGCGCAGATAAACAGCATCGGCAGAACATATCTCAAAATGACGGTTAGGTAATTATGACCTTGACCACTTGGATTGGCGGCGGCGATAATGTTTTGACGTGGTGGTGTCGAGGCAGGGTTTATTGTTGCCAAGTGTACGTTTTGAGCCTTACAGAAACATTATGGGATTATGGATTATGGGATGCCATTTTTAAGGTTGAGGTTGTATGTGTTTATTGGATGACATATGTACCGAGTAGATGGTGGCTTGATGAATCTGATAGGGACCTCAGGCACATAAACTTTAAAGATTGGGTACCTACCCTGCTACCAACCCCCCTAAAAGCGTAGTAATCTTACTGTAATTGTACCTACCGCTCAGCGACGACTCGGCGAAAAGACTACATCGATTAGTACATGGTACTAGTAATAATGCGGAGTATGTACTTGCAGGCTTTCTACAGTAGGTGCATCACAGATTGCGGGCTGGCGCTAGATCGGAAGGAGAAAGATTTAGGTACCGCATTCAGGAACAGGGGGGTTACAATGGATCTTTCCTCCTCTTCAACGTCGTCGCTCACTTTTTCTCCTCCGCTCTTTTATCAATACAAGATGCCATAATTTGCTTGTTCTCTTTGGATTGCTTTTTAGTCTTGTCAGTTAAGATCGTGTAGTACCATCACACTCACTCTTCCACTAGATATTTAAATTAATTATCCCCCGTCCAAGGCTCAATCATTGCCGACGCGTACGAACACAATCAATAATTGCCCCATCTAGCCAACAGCCAGATATACCGATTCAGCACCGACCAACATTGATCATCACCGCCAAGGTACCTAATTCAACCGGCTCGACTCGCTAGAGATCGCCGGTTAACACGCTTATTCATATTTATGCACTAATAATCCCATACACATGCGATAAAAGTTGGAAATCGAAGAGAGTCTTCAGGACTCTAAACATCGTCACTGCTAGTTACCCAACTAGGCAAACAGAAACAGATACCCCGAGTTAATTAGACCATCAAACGACATTATGGCATCCTCCTACGCTCTACCGCAACCCCCTTTACCGCACAGCCATAGTCATTCTCACTCCCACTCCCACTCCCACTCTCATTCTCCCTCGTCCTTCGGCCACTCGAGATCGACTCGTTCCTTGCAGGCCTATCCTCAGGGCCAAGGTCTTAGAGCCGACTTCAACCATAGCCATAACCATAGCCATGACCATGACCATGACCATGACCATAATCATGACCACGAACACGAGCACGACCATGATCATAACCACGACCACCTCGACCTTGATGCTCAGGTACAGGCCCGGCAGAATATGACACAGTATCGAGCAAACTCGCTCGTACCACTACAAAGACGGGAAAATCGACCGTCACCCCTGAGACAAAATGCTGAGGAACTGCCTAGTCCACAGAAGAATGACGTGATAGACGCGCCAAAGACCCCAAATTATAGAGCACCTACCGCTACTGTTATACACGACCATGCCCATGGTGGCCACGAAGCAACTTACTCAAAATTCACGGCTTTGTTGCTTCCCTTTACCTCGAAGTGGCCCCTGATCCACGCCATCATGACCGAAAAAGATTCCCGCCGAATTTTCTATTTTATGGGGTATAACTTAGACTGGATCCATCTTCTTTCTCGACTATGTCACTAATCTTATTCTTCATAGGGTCAATTTCACGTTTATGGGCGTCCAGGCCGTTTATGGGTATCTGACCGACTCCCTGGGACTTCTCAGTGACAGCATACACATGTTTTTCGACTGTGTGGCTTTGGCAGTGGGACTTTTTGCGTCGGTCATGAGTAAATGGCCTCCTAGCGAGAGGTTCCCCTACGGTTTCGGGAAGATCGAGACACTGAGCGGGTTTGCGAACGGTGTCTTCTTAATGTAAGCACCAATCCTAACTAACTCACCAAGTTATTTAGCTAATAGCTCCCTAGACTCATTAGTCTCGAAATCATGTTTGAAGGATTTGAGAGACTACTAGAGGGCCGAGAAACCAAGAGACTTAGAGAGCTCTTCATTGTTAGTACCTTAGGACTGGTGGTCAATCTGTTAGGCATCTTTGCCTTCGGTTCTCACGGTCATAGCCATGGCCATTCGCACGACCATGGACATTCTCATGGCCATAGCCACAGTCATAGCAATGATCATGATCACGACTGTAAATCGCACCACGAGCATAATCACGGCCACAGCCATAGCCACAGCCACGGTCATGGACATGATCACTCTCACAGCCACGAGAACGAAAACATGCACGGAATCTATTTGCATATTCTCGCGGACACTCTTGGAAGTGCCTCAGTAATCGTATCGACCGTTTTGACCTACCTCCTTCCATGGTCTGGTTGGGATCCTTTAGCGTCCTTCTTAATTGCGTACTTGATCCTCATTACGGCGATTCCCTTGGTAAAATCATCGGCTCAGCGCTTACTACTAACAATCCCAGCGGATACCGAGTACAATCTTCGAAATACGCTATCTGAGATCATAAGTCAGCGAGGCGTTGCCTCGTATTCCGTACCGAAATTCTGGGTGGACGACGGCGCAAGCAGCGAGTCGGGAGGTAGGCTCTTGGGAGTGATTCACGTAGCCGCAGTTCGAGGTGCGGACTTGGATGATGTTCGGGATAGGGTTCAGAGTTACCTTAGTAAACATGGGATTGACCTCACGATACAAATGGAGAGAGAAGGGGACGCAACGTGTTGGTGCGGAATGGGTCGGGTTAATGCTATAGCATCTAAGGGGCTAGGTGGGTACTGAGGCGCTATAATGGTTCAGTACTGGTAATGGTTGGTACTAGTGTAGGGGCGTTCTGTCTTGCTTGAGCTGCCCATGAACTGGGGTAGATGCGGAGTATTGTGGGCAAGCTTGTTCCCTTTCCCCGGAGTTGCGCATTGCGGCGTTCGACGATGGGTGATATATTTTTGTTGGACAGCGCGGGTGTGGGTTGGAGACTCCCAAGTCGATAGGGAGGTCGAAAATAAAAAGCGGAGTAGAGGAAAATAAGGAACGAGTATACCCCATTATATGTTCATCTTAACGCTGCTCTGGACGTTCTGTATATACTTTCCGGATACATAGTGGGTATCTAGGTATAGTCTATATTGTGTCTTGGTGAACTATGTATTTACACGTGCATTTTATTAGTCCTATTTCTGCAGCGCTTTGGCATATGATTATGACGTATCGTCTTAGGTACGTACATACTGCACGGAGCATGGCCGGGTCAGGAACGACGGCTTCTGCCGGCACCTTAATTTGGCGGGCCGAGCTATTAATGGTCCATGTTCTGGGTTTGGTAATACAGACCGTAGGTATGTAAAGATTGTATGCTGTGGCCGGTAAATGCGTGTTATAAGTGACGGGTATTTGTCTATTGTATTGAGAGAAGTATGCATGGTAAAAATACATACGTCGAGCTGTGTACAATACATGTACCTGTACCTAAGGATTGCGCTCTTGCGGACTTTTGGCGGGGTATTAAGGTTCGTTCGACCCCATCCGGTACCTGATAGTAGTTACGTAAAGGGCACTCTCATCCATTAAGCCGACTTGGCCGAGGCTCGATATATTTATTATTCGGCTTATTGGTATGTTTCTTCAAGTAACCTATTGTAGAATATTGAATAGCTACGGCTGTTGAATGTACTTATATGATATGTTAAGTAGCTCAATGCATTGTTGATATATCATGTAGGTATGTACGGCAAGACGTTATCTGATCTGATCTGATCTCGGTCTAACACTTTAGGTACAATGTACGCTATACGCAGGGAACTCCAGGGCTCAAAAGCGGGTACGCAAGGTAAGTACCGGTACCCAGTACTTTGGATCCCTTTTTGTTCTCTGCCGAGGCACGAGTAATTGGTTCCATTCTGACGTTGGCTCGGCTTTCTATTACCGACTCTGCTTGCTTCTTTTCGATAAAGCTAATTCCCTCGTGCGACTAATAACTGCTTGCCTTTTTTATTATTTGTTGTATATCCATCTCTATTCTCTATATCGGACTTCCGCCGCTGCGTCGAGCGTGTAACTTGGGCGCAAAGACGTCGTCGACATTTTAGATCTGGGCTTGTATCGTGTAGGTAATTCTGCCGAGTGCGTGAATTTGCGCAAACAGGACAATTTAATAAAACACCCCCCCGGACTTATTCGAGAGGTAAACCGAATATAGTCCCCAAGATAAGCTGGTAGACGGGATAAAGCGAAAGTGAATCAAGCGCTGCTGCCACCATGTCGTCGAACGACGGGAAGCACACCGGCATCAACGAGAAGCTGCACTCGTCGCTCCCGGCCCAAGTCGCCGACCACCTGCCGCACATCCCCGAGACTAAACAAGAGCTCAAGACGGAGCTGAAAGCCGACGCGCAAGCCGCCGCGTCCAGCTTCTCGTCGCAGCTGCGGTCCTTTGCTGCCGGCGGTTTCGGCGGTGTATGCGCCGTCGTCGTTGGCCATCCGTTCGATTTGGTTAAGGTGCGCTTGCAGACTGCGGATAAGGGCGTGTATTCCTCGGCCATTGATGTCGTAAGGAAGAGTGTTGCTAGGGATGGGTTGAGAAGGGGGTTGTATGCCGGTGTGAGTGCGCCGTTGGTCGGTGTTACGCCTATGTGTATGTTCCTCCCCCCCCCCTTTCCTTTCCTTTCCTTTCCTTTCCTTTCTTTTCTTCCTCCCTCATTTGCGATTAGGAGTGAGTGAGTGAGTGAGTAAATGAGTAAATGAGAAATGCGCAAAACTAACCCTACCAACTCCCAGTCGCCGTATCCTTCTGGGGTTACGACCTCGGCAAGCAAATCGTAACATCCTTCTCTCCCCCATCCCCCACCGGCTCCCTATCCATCGGCCAGATCAGCGCCGCGGGCTTCTTCTCCGCCATTCCAATGACCGCCATCACGGCGCCTTTCGAGCGCGTCAAGGTCATCCTGCAAGTCCAGGGCCAGCGCTTGAAACCCGGCGAAGAGCCCAAGTATAAAGGCGGTTTGGACGTCGTGCGACAGCTGTACCGCGAAGGCGGCGTGCGCTCCGTCTTCCGCGGCAGCGCGGCCACGCTTGCTCGCGACGGCCCTGGGTCTGCTGCGTACTTCGCCGCATACGAGTATATCAAGCGTCGTCTGACGCCGCGCGATCCGGCGACTGGAAAACCCAGCGGCGAGTTGAGTTTGATGGCTATCACGGCGGCGGGAGGCGCGGCGGGCGTGGCCATGTGGATCCCTGTGTTCCCCGTTGATACTGTCAAGAGCCGGCTGCAGACTGCCGAAGGCAACGTGAGTATCGGCGGTGTTATTAGGGAGCTGTACGGCAAAGGCGGTGTGAAGGCGTTCTTCCCGGGTTTTGGGCCGGCGCTCGCGAGGGCGGTGCCGGCTAATGCGGCGACGTTTTTGGGCGTCGAGTTGGCGCATCAAGCTATGCGAAAGGCCTTTGGTTGAGAGGAATGACAGGTCTTTTTTATGATGCAAGGACTCTCTACCTTCGTCGTGGAAGGGTAGTTGAAGGGGATGGGATGGGATGGATGTCTCATGGTATAGTCTAATTCACGAAGGTGAGCTAGGAGGAGCCATTGAACCATAGGGACGAGAAGAAAGTCTTTCGCCGTAGCTCTTGGCAACAGCAGGAGCATAGCCGAGACGGTTTAGATGGGATCTTGTCCTAGAGAAGGGAAGTTATCCACGTACGAGCATTAGGAGTATGGAACCGAACTGCATATCTAAGGCGTTTTTGTATTGGGGGGGGTGGTGGATCGTCAATGGATTTGGTATTGTCTAGGTCATGTTAACCTAGACATGTCGCCCCTATGGCTAGAAATAAGATTTTTCGAATTTAAGGCGATGCTATACCTTAGGTAGTTCTACATATATATAAATATTGCAAAGGGGTCTCGAGTGTGGTGAGCTTACACCTTATGTATGCAAGTTACAGCCTCACTTGTTTTGTTGCCGGCTACCCGCATGGCGTGTTAAACGCCAACCCCGCTCTATGAATGGTATCTCGTCTAGAGCAGATATGTGCTTACTTTTTGTACGCTTTCGACGTGGTTGATCTGTGGATTAGTAGGTGTCTATGCTGTGTGATGAGACGGAGAGGCGCATGCAGGTCGAAAACCTCCCGGGATCCTAGGCTAGGCACTACGTACTCGTATCACTTAAGACATACGATTATTACCGTTTGCTTTCCCGGTCCTCTGAATTATCGGGACTATTTTCTTCAAGTTTGAGGACCTTGACAAGTCTTATAACCTCTTTATCACTCATTTCCAAATTATTCCTCATTCAATAATATTCCAGGTTGGCATTCATTCATTTATTCATCAACAACTAATGGCTAGTAGGTAAACATCCAATCTAGCCTATAGGACCACCACTACTACTACCATTCAAACTTGGCCCTTTCAAATCCCCTTATTATTCCCTGGGTCATGCCAAAATCGACTTGTCAAGAGGTATCTTCTCCGAAAAAACAGCAAAATGGGAGCAAGGGAAATAGAGAGGTTCGCTAGAGATAAGGGTGGATTGGGATTAGAGATTATCTATTCCGCGTCTCTTCTGCCTCATAACCCGGAAAATAGGGAATATGCTAATGCTAATGTCGACAACCGCATTACTGCAAACCTTCCCTCGATAACCAAGGCGGCATACAGCAAAGCACGTTAATCTGGCGAGTGGAGTGGGCCAGATACCTTGTGATTTGGTTATTCCGGCTGCAGTTATCATGGGATTTTTACCGCTCATTGACGGTCCACCTTCGTTTCGTTGAGGTGAAATCCCGAATTGTTTCGGCCTCTCCCGGAGGTCGAGGAGCACCCCACAGGCCGCCGTTGCCAGCTCCGGCCCAGAGGCGCGGTGTAAGATCTTCATCAAATTGGTCATGTCCTTCACCATGCGAGGATTCTGATTCCGTTTTTGAGACGGTCTTCTTTATCGAGATTGGAGCTCCGACGTTATCGGGTTGGGAGTTACCCTCTTGTATTCCCGTGGGAACATCCTCATTTTTCTTTGTCGCTTCGGCCTGGCGGTCAATACTCGGTACGGGTGGCGTCTCCGCTTGTTTCTCTGATAAAGCATCGCCCTGGTTTGATGGTTCCCATAACCCCACTGAACCTATGCGATCTTGTCGGGTAGAAGGGACGCTGGAGATGTTACTACCAACGGTCATGCCTCCAGCGCTCACTGTGTTAGGTAAATGCTGTCGAACTGATGGTGCTGGTACTGGCGAACCCCTTCGCATGCTTCCAAGCGAGGCATTTATCGAGTTACTACGACTTAGAGGTGCCTGGCTTTCATATAATGAGGTGCCAACTTCTTTTAGTACAGGAGGGAATCCGTTAGTATTTCGACCACGCCCGTTCTGGCCTGCGGCTGAAAGAGAGCGACCGATGCCGGGTGGAGTGATTGCTGAAAGATGTTCCGTGTTGGCGAACAATCTCAATTCGAACATATCGGATAACGAAGCCTGCTTGGCTAATAGAGGCTCTTCGAGCGAAGAAGCAGGCTCTCCATAAATACGAGTACCAGTATCATCGTCAAAATTTGGCTTCCGTTGCGCCACTGTGATAGATGACATTCCGACGTCGATAAGGACTGGCTGCTGCGTTATGGCACCTATGAGCGCATTGCAACCGGCGCCATGCGAAACAAGGATGACAACATTTTCTACTTCGACATCTTCACTGTCCTCAGCAGATAGACCGTCGTTATCGCTCTCCTTTTGTGGAAACTTACGGGATACCGCGCTCGAGGTTTCGGCCAGTATTTCTGCGGGATTTCTCGTTGTGCTGTACCATTCGACTAATCGTTTTAGACCCTTCCTAAATCTCTGATGCATTTCCGCCCACTCCTCAGGCAGGACACCTCCGTCTCCCCAGCCAATATCGTCTCTACTGGAATCCCAGTGGTAGTCCAGGTCGACACAAGCTTCGCGAGCATGTGCTACATAACCACTTGGTATGGGTTCGGAAGTTGAAAGAGCATAAGAAGGAATCGGGCTAATATATCCTGGGTTCAACGTAGGGTCAGACGAGGATACCTTGTGCAATATCCTCGGGTTGACATGTCCAGTCGAGTCACTTCTGTATCTCGTCGGCAAACCGCCTTTCAAAGAGGATAGGTTATCGAGACCAGAAGTGGTATCGGATTCGGGGGTGATAGAAGAAGATAAGTGGCTCCCACGACTAGAAGCATTCCATAATTGCGATGAAGAGCTTGGGGTATGACGAGGATGGAAGTGAAAGTATTCATTGTAATTCTCAGGGCGCAACAACTCGGCTTTTGCTGTTGCTAGCATAAGACCTGACCTAGGTGGTGGTGTAATGTGCTCAAAGTAATCAGGGGATAGCCATTCTCCGAGGAAAGCATCAAGTCGTAAAACGAATCTCTCTGCTAAGCTCGCCGGCGGTGGGGTGGCCGTATGGGACCGTACGGGAGGCGAACTCAAGGGAGACACATGCGAACTTCGTGGAGAGGGAGACCTTTCCTTAGGAGTAGGTAAAGAGGGATTAGAGGCAAGGCCAGCGGCTATAGCAACGGATGTTTGGACACATCGAAGAAAAGGCGAGCTATGTATTACAATCTTATAGCGGCGCTTCTTGGGTTTGGCAGTGGTATTGTTGGGTTTATGGTTGGCAGCGATAGCCTCGTCTTCTACTTCCCTTTCTTGTAAAATAGACGCGATCCTTGCTCCTACAGTCTTAGATTGTAACCATCCTCCGTATGTTAGGGGCGGGTCATAAGGGGTTGGGGAGGATAGGTGCCATTGCTTTTCGGCGGCGTCGAGACGATTCCCATGCCTAGAAGTTAGATTTCCATAGGTTAGCTTTGAGTTGAGAGTTAGAGGGCTTGTAGGTGGACAATATTCGGCGACAATATTTCTTAAAGAACGAACCTAATTATGAATATGTAAGCTGGAGGGCGGCCCATCGCAGCTATCGGTTAGGCTCGGCTGGGCTTGGTTCGTGAGGTAGAGAGAGTGTTTTTATTTTTCTCTATTTCGGAATGTGAATGTGAACTGGATATAGATATAAGTTCTTGACCTGCTTCTTTTTAAAAGAGGTCTATATTTAGCCTCGATAATATTCTAGACGAAGCTATCGATCATATATGTGTAAATTTATATTGGATTATGCGCAGGTATATGTCATAGGTGTGTGTCCTATGGTGACGGCGGGTCTCGGTCACGGTATCGTAGACGAATCGTGGAGTTTGCAATGAAACATTTTCACTGCAGCGTAGTGGTTCAAGTTGTATAATTCATAGATGAACCGGGTGGAGGATATGTGAATAATGCGGAGTGCAGGTAAGTTTGGTGAGGATCGTCGTGAGGGAAAAATAACGATAGAACATTTTAAGATTCAATTTAAGGGAAGTATTTGCGGCGCGAGCGCATCTCCAATACATAACGCCCAGTGTAATACTCCAATATATGCACAGACCCTACCTAACCTAAAGTATATAGTACCGCTGTTGATGCAAGGGCGGAGATGGCGCATGACGTAAAATCATACGTCCCTAAGGTATTGTGTACATTGCACGGATTGGAGCTGCATGTATCAGGTAAAGCTAGATATGTAGTGGGCAGTCGCATTCAAGAGGCATGTGGTGGAATCTGCTTAGGGCCATTGGGTGGCACTTACTGTAGTCCCTGCAGCTGCTAGGTATCCCGGCCCGATGACGCTACGATGCTTGAATACAGAATGTACACATTTGCGAAGAGGTAGGTACAATACATACATACATACATACATACATACACTACACTATCGGAGATAACGCTGGCCGACCGTAGATTTAGATATCACGGTAGAGAAAGACCCCTGGTTTTATGTAATGTAATTGACCCTTTTGCTTGCCATGACAAATCGGCTTTCAATTTCAATGTTCCATCCTTCAAAGACATCAATACTGTAATTCCAAAAGAACATCGCTATTCTATCATTATCCGTCGACGACGAGATATCGAACGGAAACTTCGCGCAACCTTCGCGCAACCATCAGGTGCCCATCATGAAGTTGTCCAACGTGTTCAATCTCCCCGCGCTTTTAGCAGCGTCGCTGTTTGCTCCCCCGATTGTGTCGGCCGAGCATACAAGCAACTGGGCTGTCCTGGTTGGCACCTCGAGGTTTTGGTTCAACTATCGCCATCTCGCCAACGTCTTATCCATGTATCGAACCGTAAAGCGTCTAGGCATCCCCGACTCGCAGATCATCCTTATGCTTCCCGACGATATGGCTTGCAACCCACGCAATGCCTTCCCCGGGACCGTGTATAGTAACGCAGACCGCGCCGTCGATCTATATGGAGACAATATCGAAGTCGATTACCGAGGATACGAGGTTACCGTCGAGAATTTCATCCGCTTATTAACAGACCGTGTTGGAGATGAGATGCCCAGGAGTAAGCGACTGCTGACTGACGACCGGAGCAACATCTTTGTGTATATGACAGGACACGGAGGAAATGAGTTCTTAAAGTTCCAAGATGCCGAAGAGATCGGCGCTTTCGACTTGGCAGATGCGTTTGAGCAGATGTGGGAAAAGAGACGGTATAAGGCTCCGAGTCTTATTCCAACGAGACATCCAGACTAACGCAGTATTGGATAGGTACCACGAGATTCTATTTATGATCGATACGTGCCAAGCGAATACCATGTACAGCAAGTTATACTCTCCTAATATTATCGCTACCGGGTCTTCCGAACTCGATCAGTCCTCGTATTCCCACCACGCCGATAACGACGTCGGGGTCGCTGTTATCGACCGATATACATATTATAACCTCGAGTTTCTAGAATCCGAAGTCAAGGACTTGAGCAGTAAAAAGACTATTGGCGATCTCTTTGATAGTTACAACTACGAGAAGATTCACTCCAACGCAGGCGTTCGGTACGACCTGTTCCAAGGTGGCCCGGAAGCTGCGCGGAGTCGGTTATTAACCGATTTCTTTGGAAACATTCAGAACGTCGAAGTGGACGGAGCTAGAAATACCACAGTCGATGACGAGATGCTGGCCCTTAGCAAAACCATTGCAAAGCTAAGAGTCCTCGCGGACGAGGAGGAAGAAACTGAAGCTAAGAAAGCGAGCAAAAGCAATGCTACAGGATCAAGCAAACCCAAGTCTCGACAGCAGAAAAAAGTACAAACAGCCAAGCCCCTGACGGACGATAACTGGTACGGCAAGAAGATTGTCGGCGCAACAGCGTTGGCCAGTTGCGCTGCTCTGTGGGTTCTAGGGTCATATCTAGAGACTCCGAAGAATTAGCTGTAGTTTGATATTTGCATCTTGTTATTAATAATAAAGGAAAATAACCTTGTAATCTAGGTATTTAGACAAGCGGATAATGCTAAAATAGGCGTATGATGACTTTTAATGTTACGCGACTCACAAACACGCGACGCGATCTCCATAATGAAAAGAATATTAAAATGGTGTAATTACCTATATTCTATAATCTATTCTGTATATGAATAAGTCTGGTAGGTTAATGGGTAGGAAATTGTGTGCAGAGTACCTAATGTATAAAAGGAAAAAGGAAATAGTAGCCTCGTGCGTATTAAACTTCGTTTCCATCAAAATTAACTAACAGGTACACAATAATTTTCTTCTTTCTTCTTATTCCATGTCTCAAGTTCTTTTCATATCAACTTCTCACAACAATCGGCAATTTGGAAATATTCTCATATTTCTTTTTCACAAATCGGCCAATAATTAAGCTAACCGAAATAAAAATGACCTGAGAATATAGCCAAAGGTCTAAATCTCTCCGAGATGGCCTCCGAAAGCCAGGCTCAAAATATTCTTCCCTTAGAGTCGTTCAGTCTTATTGCCTCCCCCGCAAGTACGCATAATATCGTATGGTCCCCTGATGCCGAATTGGCCATCGGGTGCGATGATTGTGTCTTCCTTTTCGTTCCGGAATACTCTGTTCCCAAAGACACAAACGGCGCGAGCAGCGGAGCAGTTCGACAGTACAATGAGACGACTCTTAGGTTTCCCACCGTCGAACATAGAAGCCCGGAGTTAAATCGACCCTTATTTAACCTTGTAAAACAGAAATTTCCCGACTTTGAGTATACCCCTGGCGGCGGTGGTTCAGGTACTGTAGCGAGTCAAGGCAGTTCCATGAATCACCTCGTCGCGTTGGAATGGTCGCCATGTGGTCTAGGCCGGATGAATCGTTCCGTCCTTGCCGTACTTACCGGCACCGGCGCCATCACTATCTATTGCGAAGGTGCATCAGACAATATGAATGCTTTCAAACTCCGTGGCCGTAATGCTAGAACTTTGAGACCATGGGTTGCCGCTTGGGGAGTAGGGGCAGGCCTACTTCTACCACTTGCCAAAGGGCATGAAGTAGAGTACACCAAGGAGTATATTACTTCCTTCGCCTGGGCAAGAGATATTGATAGCCATGGGGCATTGTTAGCATACGCGAATGATGACGACGAAGTTGTCATCATCTCAGTCCAGGCCAAGCATGATTCCAGTGCTCCCCCGGGAGATTGTGGTCTATGGAGAGTCGAAGAAGTCGCAAGGTTCGTAGCCGAAGGGCCTCACCCAAAATCTGACGTACGTGTCCAATCTATCCCCTATAAATCCACCTCGGACTAACGTTTATTTACAGCCTACCGACCCAGACTATTCACCCTCTGGCTCATCATTTTCACTTAGCTGGGGACCGTGGCTGAAAAATGGCAATTCAAAAACGAGTATACTATCATATGTAGCTAAAAACTACGTTGGGTTCAGGCAGGTCACTGTCCGCTTGCCCCGTGAGAATATGAAGTCGCTAGATGTGGATGTCGGTAAAGTCGACTGCAACGGGGTTTGCCATTATCTATCTACAGACGCATTTGTGGTATGGGAAGACCTAGTAAGTTTATTGACAAGCTATTGATTCTCCAAGGTGCTTCATATTTATTTGACATCAGATATGGACTATTGGGGAATCCAAGATCTGCCGTGGTATCATCGCTACACCTTCACAAGCGAAAGCTTTCCAAATACCATTCGACAGCAATCAATCCAGTCGGGTCACCAAGCACACCACAGACGAGTGCAAGACCACATATCCAGATTCAGAAAGCAAGGACCTGTCACAAAACCCGATTACTGGTTAGTATAAGTTTATCAGCGCCATTTTAACCCTCTGGCTTATATATTATAGGACTTATCATCCACCCCCCGCCTCTTTCTCAGACTACTGCGATGCCTTCGTACTCACTTGTCCGGCTCTCAGCTACTCACGAGAATTCTTCCTGGTACCAGACCAACCTTCCACTGCCTCCGAATCCCGAGGATGGAACTATCGGGCCGCGGTGGGCTACTGAGATTACCCAGACTATTGAGCATCAGCTCCCGCGGGCTATGGCGTACAAGCCTATCGTCGAGCACGGTAATACCGGGTCCGAGGACGATTCAGCTGACGAAGAAGAAATTGATGTCGATTCGGCAGAGGGATCCGACTACGACCCCGAAGAAAACTTTGCTGGTTTGGATACCGAGGATCAAGTCCATATCAACCGGGTCCGTATCTGGGGAATCACGGCTAGTCCGGGCGGAGGAGTCACCGCCGTTTTCACTAGCCAGTATAGTACTGTCTGGTATGGGAGAGATACGTACGCGGGAGTAAAGTGCCGTGTCCTTTTCGGCCGATATGACCGTAGCACAGACCGAAGCCAAGGAGCAGATACGGCTCGAGCTATGGAGAAACTCAGCACCGAAGCGAGGATGTGGGAATGGATGTATGGCGGAGGTCCCTCGGTGACGGGAGTTGTCGGCTTTATGGCACAGGATAGCGAAGAACAGGTTGCACTAAAGGATCATTTCGCAATGATCAGCCGCCAGCAAACCTGCCCCTTTTGTAGCCTACCCCTGGAGCCGATGGGTAAGGTGTCGTGCTGTAGAAACAAGCACGTCTTCGGTAAGTACATATCATTATCTACGGGAACCTTGGCTTTATACTCGTCTAGACAAAGTACTAATAAAACTACAGCTACCTGCGCAACTACCGGGCTACCAATCCTAGCACCCGGTATGTCGCGAACCTGCGGCGTGTGCGGTTCCAAGTGCCTCAAGCGAGAGGATCTTGTTCGTATGGCCCCTCAGCTCAGGGAAATTATCATGGATGAGATATCTGCTGAGACGTGTGGTAGTTGTGGTGGGAAATTCATCAATTGATGTAGGTGCTGCTATGGTTCCGTATATTAGGGATGCCGTCCGACCTCCTATCCGGAGATGGGACTATGCCCTGGCGACTGAATGGCATCCTAGCTTTAGCAACTCTCACAATAAGCTAATACCAAGCTTATCAAAGTATCAAGTGCTCAAAATCCTGCGTAGTAGTGAAGTAGCCTCAAAGCATCCCCTTCGCTAATCTTGACAATGCTTCTATGTCTGAAGCTCTACCAATACTGTCAACACCATAATAGTCATAACGTGATACCTTACCTGATCTCGTCATTACCTCTAGCTTAATAAGGATTTACTATACTTGAATTGTGTAGTATTTACCCCTTTCTGCTGCACTGCGCCTCGACTGCCCGCCATCTGTGGCGAATCCGGTCAGCACATTCCGAGACTTACGAAAAGTTATCGTCTAGGCATAGCTAATTCATCGCCTTAATCCCCATTATACTTAAAGCTTCGTCGAAATCGCAAGCAGAGTTTAATCCGTTTATACCTAGCCCTAATTATAGTAGTTTCCGAGGTAGCAACTGCTTACTTTACTTCGTAGAAGATTCGTTATGTCGAAAATCGAATCGTGGACTTGTCGTAGGGAGATTCTACATAAAGGGCGAAAAGCTCATATTATTATCACTATTCTGCGTATGTATATCGATCGTCTACTAAATAAAGATTTCGCCTTACCAATATTCCCTATTTTTACCAGCGGACGAGATCGAGATCTGCAAAGGAACAGAGTAGGTATAATAGGTAGCAAATTTGTAAGAAATCCACCCATTTCTCGTACCTATCAAGCAAAGCTCTTGGAAGTTTTTCGTAATGTGGTATGATATATAAGGATGGTTATTTTTGATTCGATCGACCATACATAGCCACTTAATGCGTGAGGGCTTTGAACTGTAGGCTATTATACGTGTCCAACCTAATGGATATTAGAAGATTAGATGATCATTATTACCCTTGCTGTTCCCCTGAATATGCTGTGTGTTCCTCGGTACTTGAAGATCACGATGCAAGGCTGACGCCAGCCTCAAGACTACGCATCAGCCGCAGATGGAGATGGCTCATCATACCCACCGTATAGTTCCATAAGGGGAATATAGAGTGAGAACATGTTTATTCCGTACCCATGGAATACGAAGACGGACCTGGGAGTGCGCTCGTATTGCACCTAAGTTGACCGCTGGCATTGACGATGATTTGGCATTCGTGGCAATCATATGGCTGTGCTGCAGTGATTTATCTCTATTTGAGGCAGTTTCAATAGAGGCCTGATAGTTATATAGTTTGACGAGCTGCATATAAAGGTCCGTTGTCTTCCACGGATTGGTGATATTTACCTACTCGCAACAACACCAACAGTACCATCTTCATCATCCGTTTTATATACTTCGACTCGCATTCACGACATAACTAAGTCTTAATTTAATAAACTTTACCCAAAGCAAAATGTACGCCATCCTTACCACCGTTCTCGCTTTCGCTGGCGCTGCCGTCGCCACCCCGGTTTTAGAAGACCGTCAAACACACGAGTTCAGCCTTCGCACCACGGGCAAGCTTGCAGGATGGGCTCTTAAGAACGCTCATGTCGCAGCCGGCCAAAATGTGATCCAGATCCAACGGCCTTCGGTTTACAGCTCGGACCCTTCCTACTTGAACGGAACCAACCTGTACTTCGGTAAGTAAAAGTCCCATCTTACTGGTTCGCTGATTATTATTTTTCGATTGGTCTAATGTTATGCAGATCTTGGAACTACCCCCCCTTACGGCGTTCGCATCCCCGAACTGCAGCCCGGTACCATCGGGCAGGTCTCCTCTGAGCCCGGCGAGAAGACTCCTGGTTTCAGCGTTGGACCTGATTCACTTCTCACATTCAAATCCTCTTCCGACGGTAAATATCCCTTAAAAACTCAGACGTCTCAGTGAAATGGAAACTAATTTCATCTAAGGTTTCTGGGCATGCCCCGTGAAGGACGTGTTCGAGCTTTACTACGGCGTTAACCCTGACCCGGCTAAGCTTCCGAGCAAGGACTGCCTCGAGATTAAGTTGGCAGTTGGTGCCATTTAAATGGCAACGATGAAATCACGGATTTATATTCAGCTGTCGTTGATTTGAAGTAGATATGCCGCAGGGAAGTAGTTCGTATAAGCTTCTTGTTTGGATTGTGAAGAATCCACCATTTATATAGAAATTAGACATAGACATTTATAAGCCATTCTAGTTGACTTTAAATCAATGCAGTCCGTGAAGTTCGTAGATGGCCGTTATCAATTGCCCTAACTCAACTAAAAGTCCCGGGTGGGTCCCCGGATGCCCGAAAATCACACCGGTGCTACATAGTTCATTTCACTGTACACAGTAGTATTAGTCCCGGCATTAGTGCGAAAGGTACAATCCCTAGCCAATTATAAAGAAAAACTAGCAGAGTATGGAATATAGTAAAGTTTTACATTAAAATTTTTCATCAACAAGTATCCGTAAAGGAACACAACGTAGCATCAGTGGTTTAGTGGTAAAATCCATCGTTGCCATCGATGGGCCCCGCGTTCGATTCGCGGCTGATGCAGCATTTATCTTTTTACTTGTTTTCTGGAATACTCGCATAGTCAATTGATTGATGACTGTTAGGACTAAGCGATAGTTTTGTTTTTCCTTTTTTTTCCTTTTTTAACTTTTTTTTTCTTTTCTCCCTCTTGAGACGAAGGACAATGTCCCGTCACAGAAGCCCAAGCACCCCAATCCGTACCCATCCATGGGTTTCATCGTAAGACGCCCTTGAAATTCACAGCTATTTTTTATTTCACGAATCGTATGGGCTGGTAGTATCGCTAGGGAAGTATCATTAAATCTTGATTAGATCTTAAGATAAATTAAGATGTGACTCAGTTCTTTGATCGCAATCTACCGGGACCCAGTCACATTATAGAAGATTACCTCTGGGAATTCAGGCGAGGGGCCATCTAAGATGGGGGATCTCTTGCCCAGCAAGGTAAAGTCAAAGAAAGCCTTAACGTAAGAATTCAAGACCCTGACCTGCTCGAGGCCGTCGATTGGGCCTGCGTGAGGGTCTGCACCGACCTCGAGTGTTTTCCAGAAAGTATCGTCGAAGAAATCGTGGTGTGTCGTCCCGTTGATATTGATCTTCCGCTGCCAACCTGTCTGCCATTGTGGGAATGTGATCCAAGTCTCGTCACCCGATTCAACTCCCCCGTGGCCTTCGCTGCCCACTAAGAACGCTGGCTTTCGCACATCAGCAGCGCTGCTGTTTGATGCTAGGCTCCCGATAACAGTGCCGTCTAGATTTAGTCCAGAGATAATTCGATCATGGCTTTGGACCGAGCCGAGAGCTGCCGCTCCGCCCAGCGAGTACCCAAAGGCACCAAGTCTGGTCGTACTGAGTGGCAGTTTTAACTTTCGCACCAACTCGGGGAGGTGGCGGTCTAAGAACACGGTGTTGTCCTCGAGACGCATGTTGTAGATGTCCAAGAGATCTATATCAATATTATCAATATCAATCCCCGTAACGCCTGTTCCATTCGGATATCGGATGAAGGGCTGCTCGAATGGGTGATCTATGCCAATTATAGCATAACCGTACGACGCAAGCTCGGAGAGTAGAATCGTATTGCCTTCGACCGGAGGACCGCCGCCTCCCGGACCGAAAAGGATGGTTGGTAAATGCAGCGACCCATTACCCAAACTTTCTGCTTCTAGAAAAGGTGCGTCGTCCTGCACAGTCGAAGTAATTGATGAAAGAGTCCCGTTTGAGTAGTGCCAGTTCACTTCAAAGAAAGCTGCCGTCTCAGGGTTTAAATACGGCTTCGGGGGGCCCTCGGGCTTCTGGAGTGTGGGGTAGAAGACGGTCGCCAAGAAAGCCGTGCTCACGTTATTCGGCGCCACGGGATCGTGGTCATTATAGTGTTCGATGGTATATTTGCGGACGCCAACCTGGTAAGGGCCGGTAGGTGGCGGGATTGATACCGCTTCGACAATACCGGATATCGTCAACAATGCGGTAACGATAGCCTTGGCACGGTTAACCGTCTGGCGACTAACGCTTTTTGACTCCATTAGGTATTATTCTTGAGTTAGCTGGATATGCATTATCTTGGGAGCTGAGAAGAAACCAAGAGGAGGGAATGCATTATATATACCAACTCGGATATGTCATCATTTGACTCGCCGACGTGAGAACTGTGGCTTGAGGGATTCGAAGATTAGATCTTGCGTGCTCTTCGATGTAACTCCAACGCCAATAAGACTGAGGCCACTATGGTCTACCTAGGTACCTGTCAGCTCTCTAAGTAATCTGGTAATGAGGCCCGTAAGCCGCATATTGGCAAGGTATAGACCAATAGTCGAGAGATGTTTTACTGACTGACACTAGAATGATTACCGTTCGGTTAATTATTCAGTAATGTTAAAGCTGTGTCATATTGAAGGCACTATCGTATCTCTAATTACATACATAGCTCATACCGCATAATGCAAAGATGAACTGGGCTACGAATATCCGTACCATTGAACAATATGGAGACGGGGCGAAGATGTTTGGCTTCATATCATCATGGATCTGGGAATCAACCATTTCATGATGATGTGAGCAAGCAGTGTACACCTGCTATGCTTCTGCATGAAAAACAAGAGCTCTAGCCAGATCAAGACCACGGTATCCGTGTAGACAGTTTATTCTTTCCGGACACTTTAAGCTTTTTTCTGGGCACTTTGAACTTCTTTCTGGACACCTTGAAGCCAGGCTGCGATTCCCTCAGGAACAGCACCTGATGCGGTTCGGATCCTGGATTTGTTCTGGATATGGCAGCGGAAGCATATGGCAGTGAATTTGCCGTCTTTAGACTTGGTGTATGCGTAGTGCGAAAATTCTGCATCCGCGAAAGGATCCTTGTTGCACTGGCCACAGACATCTGGTTTGAACGTTCTTAATCCCGGGGATTTCTTAACGAGACTAGCGACATCCTATGGTGTTCAGAGTTAGTTGCCATCATTATTAACTCGGATAATAAATAAGGAGGCGCGATTTTAAAAAAAAACTCCTTGCTCACCTTCTTGAATTCCGGGGTTGTGGCCATCTCCTTCTGGAAGTCGGGGACATCCAAAACCCAGAGTTGGCTGTCCTTGACGAAATCAAGGAATATGTTCTTCAGGATAGAATAGTCTTTTTCGTACACGTAGTGTACGCAAGAGCAAATAAGGAACGCGTCGAGCGTTGGCGATTCCCCCTTGCACTTCATGCGTTGTATGGGCACGACCATACCCCTAAGGAATCCCTTGAGTTTCTCCTCGCAAGCAACCATCAACTCGGGAATTGCTAGTTGGTAAGCCATATCCCATAGGAAGAGACAATCACCCATAGCATAGATATCGCCCCTGAATGATTCGTGAAGGTCCAGAGCTGAGAGTAATACTAATGTCAGTGCCACATTTATACTATAAAGTCTGTAAGGGGTTCTTGTACTCTTCGTATAAATCCAGACGATGATCTTGTAGGCCACATATGGAGATGTTGAGAGAACCACCTCATTGCTTCCGCGGGATCGAGCTTCCTGTAAATTGAGGGAAATGTTAGAATCCAGTACGTAAAACTTTTGACATCTATCCGAAGTACCCAAGGCTTCGTATGTATATAGATAGAGCGTATTATATGAAGACTTACGAAGAATTTTTGTTCGAACCACTCACATCGGTTGGTTAGAACGCTCAAGTGCACATTCCAGCGGGAGGTACCACACTTGATCACGCCATCTGCATTTTCTCCAAGCTGCAGCATCCTAAGAAATTCGTGTTAGCAATAGGAGGATACATATTACACATGCTTCTAAAGGGGCTTCTATATGCTTACATGAGCTTCTCAAAACTAATCGGCGTTTGAGGGGTGTTGGGAACGTCGACCGGGGGCCATAGCTTCGACATGGTGAGACGTTGGGTGCGTAGAAATCGAGAGGGTTCTTGGATAAAGATAAAGGAGTGGCTTGCCCGAGGTTATGACTTGGCCTTGGACAAATCGTAATGATTTTTTGTGTAATACTTTGTTGTTTTGGTTTGTGTTGATGTGAGATGGGAAGTTCGGTTTAGGAAACTGAGGTTGAATAAATAGAGGGAAGGAAAATAATTTCATGCGTCTGCAGTTTCCTAGTCAATGCAGAAACCTACTTTCAATCTACCTCAAGAAGCAGAATTTCCATCGAAAACACTCAGATAACAACACAAACTGAAGTTTCTTTTACACTGTACTTGCAGATATTAGGCAGGAGGAAGTTGCTAGGGAAGGCTGCAAGACTCTTCTCAGCCAATGACTCGCATCCAAATAATGCCTAGGAGTTTGATAGAAGTACTCAGGTATACCCCCTGAGAGCCAATCAAGCGAGAGGTATTGAGATAGGTAACCCTGCCTTCCTCGATCTACAGCAGTGAATTAGGGGTTAATAGTAGGATGTGGTAGTCGAGGAAACAGCTAGAGGGATGGCTGGGCTACGAGGGTTGCCTAACCACGTAAAATAGCGGAGACGAGAAGAAAAAGAATCTTCCTGCAAAACCTTTCCCCTGAGGTTAAGAGGTGCTTTGGACTAAAAGTTATCTACTTTGTGACTCGTCCTGTGACTAAAGTTTCACGTCACATATGCTGCTACTTCTTAATCCATAACATATGTAGTCAAGTACCAGTTAGAGCTACTCTTATCTCTACACAATACGATGTGCTTTGAGGAGTATGTCACGTCTAGGGAGTATCTTGTAGTTCGACCCTTTATTTCCATTCATGGAGCAGACCTCCTTTACGCAGATAGCCTTGGATAGTATAACAGGCGTAAGTAACTTATCATTACGAAGCAAAGATGTCAACTAGGTTCGTTACCTTAAAAAGAGATTCTTGAATTTCATGAGCGTCGAATGGGAAACCAGTATTGAGAGCTAGGAAATCAAGAAAAATTTTCAATAGTCTACATTACGAATGATTAGATAAGTCCCATCGTTTTCCTTCGACGTCTATTTTCAATGGAATCGTCACTAAGTGACGGGTAGAGATAGAGGATCGAATAAAACAGTTGCACGACTGCCCCTTAACAGTAACTCACTATCGATTAATCTGCTACCAGAATACCTTAGGCCGTTCATCAATTTATGTAGAAGTCAGTAGTAGTTAGACAATATAACGGAATAGACGAATATCGTAAGGAAGACTGTCAAGAACTTAAATTTTAGAAAGCGGAAGGACGACAGAGTGTGGAGGGCTTGATGTTTAGGATTTGCTTTGAACTGGAGTGTGAGAAATCAATAATTGGAAATTAATCTTTTCTCACCTGTGGACAATGATGGTTTCATAGGTGTCTAGTCATTTATTAACTCATAGGGTTGTCTTATTACTCACGAATGGAAATAAGGGCAGTTAGTTTAAGACAAAGAGGATATATGATACAATAGAGGTGTTGGTCTCTTATTCTGTGTCGATTGAACACTGAATATCTGAGGAGGCGGGTTAATAGGGGCTGGTCACTAATCACGTTAAGGCTTATCTACTAGACCCCGCTGCCAATGGCTACCTCCTAATTCTTACCCTAGGTCTACAGTCTACAGTATCATTGGGGCAGCGCTTGGGGAAGTGCTGGAGAAATGGGGCTGGTTTCAACCAATGAGGCACTTTAATGTCATAAGTATATTTTACATACTATGACTAGTCACTAGGTATACATATATCTTTCAACTCGCCATCATTTCCGGTTATTGTCAAATATTAAGAGACTATAGCTTGCCGAGGTGGATATAAACTCATAAATAAAGAGTCGGTACCCCTTTATACCCAGCATCTCGAGTATGGACCCACTCACGGCATTTGGGCTCTCGGCAAGCATCGTACAATTCATCGGGTTCGCTTCAGACTTGATATCAAAATCAAAAGAAATATACAGTTCGTCAAAGGGCTACACTGGTGAGGTCGAGACACTCGATACTGTGTACGGACAGCTTCGAAACTTGAGCTCAAGTCTTGAGACGTCTTTCCAAAGGGACCTCTTAATTGAGGAGGTAAAGGAAAAGGAGATTGTACAACATGTCATGGCAATCGGCGACTTAGCTAGTACGTGTAAGTTGAACTGTGATAGACTCTTGGAGACCGTGAAGGAGCTCAAAGGTAAAAATGGGACGCATACACGATGGAAGAGCTTTAAACTTGCCTTGAAGACTGTTTGGAAGGACAATAAGATCGCCGACCTGGAGCAAAGCCTACATCACACCCAGACAACTCTAATTCTTCATATTTGCGCAATGACAAGGTATCAACTCCCCCAAGTAACCAATTCTAATGCTCTCTTCTTGAGAGTCACTGTAGAACTAACTTTAAAATTAGTTACTGGCAAGGAGTCCATCAACGCCAGCTGGATAGCCTACGTACAGAGAATTATCGTATGCACTCGGAGCAGTCTTCGAAACTGTCCGACATTGCAAAGGTGATCGTCGAGCTACGTACAAGGGGTATAAAGTCAGAACATTACAATAGCCTCTTCACGCTGCATGACGTTGAGGTGCTCCAAACTCAGATATCTAAATTAACTATGTCGCAGAAAGATGCTGCCAAGGAGCATATGATTATATCAAGCCTGAGCTTCGATAGTCGAGCTGCACGACACAGTTCTATAAAAGAAGCTCACAAGAAGACTTTAAGCTGGGTGTTTGAGGATACACAAGCGAGAGGTTCTCGAGTGGCATCCGCCTCCGGTAACTTAATCCGATGGCTTAAGAATCCGGATGGCATCTTTTGGGTTTCTGGGAAGCCGGGTTCCGGGAAATCGACACTTATGAAATATATATCTGACCATCCCACTACTATTAAGACTTTGTCCCAATGGGCATATCCCGACCCTGTCATCGTAGGTTGTCACTACTTCTGGAGCGCCGGGAATTCAATGCAGAAGTCTTATCAGGGGTTGCTCCAGACATTGCTATATGATATATTCCGCCAGCTTCCGGACCTTATCAAGACTGCCTGTATTGAACGATGGTCTAAGCCGGCTGAGGCAATAAACCACGAGCTATGGACCCTACCAGAGCTTGGTCGAGTTCTTCAACGGATTATTAGCCGAAGCGATCTTGGTGTCAGGTTTTGTTTTTTCGTAGATGGGCTAGATGAGTACGAGGGCGATCATCTTGACTTTTGCCAAATGTTGCGGGAGCTCTCCAAGTCACCATCCGTGAAGTTATGTGTGTCTAGCCGACCTTGGAATGTCTTTGAAGATTCATTTGGCCGAGACGAAGCTCGCAAGCTTTACATGCACGACCTCACAAGGCCCGACATTAGATCATATGTTGAAAGCCGCTTGCAAGACCACCCAAGGTGGGAAGAAGTCGACGCAGATGCCGAAGATACCAATTGGCTAATCGAAGAAATCACGGAACGAGCAGCCGGCGTGTTCTTATGGGTCTTCCTAGTTACGAGGGAATTGCGGAACGGTCTTACTGAGTATGATAGATTCTTAGATATGCGAAGGCGACTTAACAATATCCCATCGGACTTGGAAGTCTTCTTCAAGCAGATTCTTGATTCGGTAGAGCCTTTCTATCATCAGAAACTAGCAACAACTTTGCGGATAGCTCTGGTGGCGAGGCAACCTGCCCCATGCCTCATCTACAGCTTCCACGATGACGAAGAAGAGGACCCAGATTATGCACTGAATTTCCCAATAGATCCCCTAGGTGCACAAAGGGTTGAAAATAGGATGAAAGAAATATCTCGTCGTCTTAATGGAAGGTGTCGTGGTCTTCTGGAATTCAACCCGAAGAGCGGTTACGTCGAATTCTTGCACCGGACAGTAATGGATTATCTCCGTACTGAGACCATATCTACGTATCTCGAGTCAAAGTCACCACTCGGATTCAATCCCACGCTTTCCCTTTTGAAAGCCTTCGTGGCTTACATCAAAAGGACCAAGTTCCCCGAGCCTATCGATCGCACACAATTCGCTACTTATACCCCGTCTAAGCTAATGTTTACACTGAAAGAAGCTCTTGGGCATGCGAAGCAGCTTGGGGACAGCGTTGTCGCATTCGAGCATATCGAAGAATTGGAGAATTGTATCCCAGAAATGCACCGAAAGGGCCAAGCCAAATTCAATGTATGGGGTCATTCATCCAACCAAGTTCACTTATTTTTCCGTGAACCGGCCGTCGAGGCTGGACTAGACGACTACTTTTGCCATATTTTATCAAAAATTCCAGACTACTTCATAGACTTCCGAGGGTCAGATATGGAACGTGTTGGCTTCCTGGCGTTGTCCTCGGCTCTAAAGCCACGTTGGGATGAACTCGGAGACTCATTTCTTTCGCAGCAAGCACGTCGTACGAACGCGATTCACTACTCTAGAGAGTTGGCTAAAGTGCCAAAAGCATGGGTAATTCTCTTAGAGCATGCTCTGCCGTCGAACCCGACCCCTGGTTCAGATAGCACCCAGCTTGCGTGGCATCTTCAAAGCGGATCGATTGCTATGATGCTGAAGCAAGGAGTAGACCCAAACGCCAAAACTTACCACCGAACATCTCCAGGATACACAGTGGCCTGGCTACGATTCACTGTTGCCTCTTTTAGCATTTCTCCAGGCTCATTCCACCAAACCAAATTTATTCACGCCTTGAACAGCTTTATCAATGCGGGCGCCAACATGCGAGCTCCTGTGTCAAATCCTCTGGGTGAAGTAGAATCATCACCGGTTCCCGGTCTAGATGCGTTCTTTAACGTCCTTCTACGAAGAGCAAGCGACCTCGATCGTTTAAACGCCGAACTCGTCGCTATAGTTACTGAGACACTTATGTCTAGAGCAAGAGCTACGGGAATGAAAATTGATAGTTATTGGTGCATCCTAGAGAAAGCGTTTCCGGAGGAGATCGTCTCGCGTATTAGGAAAGCTTTAGGTAGTCCTGAGACATAAAAAAAGACTTCCAATAATATCAGCTTAATTATGGGAAATTATCTAAACAAGAAAATACTTAATATCTCCAATGAAGCTCGTATGGTGTTTCTTTTTATGAAAATACGGCCTTCCAATAAATTGTCAGAGGCTGCCCTTGGTATATCACCACTACGGAGTGACAGGTGACTAGCTGGTGAATAGCTCATATGGTACATATTTCGGAATCCTACTAACGCCTGCCCTCTCCTAAATCTAAGAGGGAACCAAAGTCCCCTTATATACAACATAGTGAATGACTAGCTGGTAGATAGCTTCAAGCTAGATCTTAAACCCCTTATCACGTCATATACCTATGTAATCCTTGTCATCTGACAATTTGACTCTTTCTGTGAGCCGAGTTTGATCAATCAACTCTAAATCGTTGCGGAATAGGCGTGCTCGCTCTCCTATAGCCATCCTGAATATAATTCAGCCCAGAGACCAAATGTCGGCCTTAAATGTGTATGAGCGTCGAGAATAGTGGTCCAGATCTTGGTCCCCATCTTCCGAATACCACAGCTGTACAACTTCTGGGGCTTTGTAACCAGCTGTGCCGATCCCCTTAGTAACCAGACCCGAAGTCTTCCTATTCGAAAGTCGTTTTGAGAGACCAAAGTCAGTAATCTTGACCTTTATGTTGTTTGGTTCCATTGAGACGACGAGAATGTTCTGAATTTCCACAAGTAAGCTTTCATGTGTCACGGAATAGGAAAAGACCAAGGATATTATTACCTGAGGCTTGAGATCTCGATGGGCAATACCTTCTTAATGCATAATATTTAGTCCCTCCAATATCTGTCTTGTAGTTTCCTTTATGTCTCTTTCAACCCAGCGATTGGCACCAACGCATTGTTCCAAGTCACCAAGCTCAATATATTCCATTGCGATGTAGAGACTATTTCGATCCTCGTTCCATCCAACGAATTTGACGAAGTGCCCTGGCGACCGCTACCAAAATTAGAAAGACACATATATGGTACACATATATGGTGATATCTTTAACTTACTTCTGATAATAAGACATCTAATCCGTATTATATGATAACATGGATCTGTCTCCTGTGTAAAATATGTTATCACTCCGTTTAAATTTCACTGTCTAGATCTGCCAACTTGTGGAACCCCCTCCGAATCCTTAGAGCTGCGCCTTTGTCGAAGCCCGTATCTTTACCAGCTGCGTTTCTTCGGGCATGGTCGATCTTTGGTATCAGACCTAGTGGTGTAACATTGTAGCCATTAGTCGGCTGGTCTGACGCGAAATGCTGGACCTCTATCTCCATCCCTTCAAAGCCAAAGCCCTCATGCCAAGGAGTTGCCATAATTTTCGGGAGTCCTTTATCCACATGCTGGTCATAAAGGTAAAGTTTGACCACTATGTTGACGAAAGTAATAGGTATTGATAGAATTCCGAGGTAGAAGTCTGAATTCAACACCCATTCATACCATGGTAGCGTATTCGCATCTGTCATTGGGACTATGGCCCTTGTATCGAGGCCTGGGAAAACCTCGCGCACGCGCTCGGGAATCTTATATAGGTCGAACACGTACAAGAACGCAGCAGAAGCTAAGATTTGAAAGAGGGCGACTCTGTTGCTGGCAGGCTTGCCATGCCAGGAGCAGGTCACGAAGATGATATATTCGTACCAATAATTGAGCCACGGAAGCCAGAGAATAAGCCCAAGAGAAGGTGAAAAGTGTCTCGGAAACATAGCTAAAACAAGTAAAGCATTGCTCCTTTGGTTGTGGTAGCCGTGCAATGTTCGTTGTCGATGTGGTACTGGCGGTATCTTACCCTTCGGGGGTAACTCATGGGCCACAATGCGGCGGAATAAGTTCTGTACAAACGCCTGGCAATTGAAACTCAGGTGGTCATAGTTGGGTACAATTTTGGTCAGATGGCGCGCTGGTTACAGGTTAATGCCAATATTGTTTATGATAGATCACGGGAAGCCAGTGTTGAAACTATACCTTTTGCTTCGATTTCATCATTATTGTAAAATGTATAACCCAGTTCTTGACGATCCCGTTTATACTTCTCCATTGAAGATCCCTTCACGGGCCTTGTTCGAATTTCAAGCCTGGGAGAGAATAGGGCTGCGGATCGCACTTCATAATATATACCATCCACTTCCAGCGCATCGTGGTAAATGAGAGACCACAGAAACTCAGGGCCGATTTGCTCAAAATAGAAAAACGCCAGAACTGAGGCTAAAGCAAATAATCTCCACGCGTTTTTCTCATAACAGAAGTTGTATATATTAAATAAAAGATTCGCAATGTGCCTCTTGTTACGCCAGAAAACCCCCGATACGCGTGGAAAGGTTGAAGGAAAGCGCAAGACTGGACCTAGCAGGAAATGTTTAAAGTAGCCGGATATATTAAGTCTTCCATTATGAACCAAGGGCGGAGTTCCCAACGGAGCAGGTGAATTTGCCATCGTTTGAACAGAGAGCGCTAACTTATCGAGAAATCGAAAAGCCGGATACGACACTCTGTAAACGGGAATTAGTCGGCGTGTTTCGGTTTTCTCATAACAGCTTAACATTTCTTCATGCGACGGCTTCAAAGAAGCGGTCGTCTGAGTAAAATGATTGTAGGTAGTCCTGAAGGTACAAACGAAGATGCTGAAGAGGCAAGCGTATATTGCACGCCATACGGGCCGACCCGATTCGGGATCGAAATCGGGACGTGTAGCTTGTTTTTTGATGGTGAAGAGGTACACGCCATTGAAATATATTGCCACAAGCGTCCTGATATGGCGGGATAGGCTGCCATTTCTTTTATCAGTACTATAAGGAACGAGAGCTTGTAATGCCAATAGATTGAGCTCGAATGCCCATGCCGAGAGTGTAGGTGATAAACGCCACATGTTGGAAGTATTCAACCTGAAAGCTCAAGTCATAGTAAAATGAGACCAGATCGATCAAACTAGGTAATAAAACTCGAACGATCGTCCATATTTATTTACAGCGTTGGCTGGCTGCTTGTGAACCCATCGAGAAAATTTAATCATATATAACTATAACAATTGATCGAGCCAAGCCTCTTCCATCGTGTGCAACTCAGCCGCACTTGGACCGGGGTAAATGACGAATGTGACGTAGGGTACTATGTATAAGACATAATGTATCCCTAGCTGAGGCAATGATCTGCATAACCGGGGATAATTTCTCTAATTATTTAGGTACCTAGTTATTATGTAGACCTCTTATGTTAGATTATTTATGTCAGATGACAAGGATTACGATAGGTATATAACGTGATAAGGGGATTAAGATCTAGTTTGAAACTATCTACCAGCTAGTTATTCATTATGTTATATATAAGGGGACTTTAGTTTCTTTTTAGATTTTGAAGAGGGCAGGCGTTAGTAGTATTTCCAAATATATACCATATGAGCTATTTATTAGCTAGTTACCTATTACTCCGTAGTGGTGATATACCAAGGGCAGCCTCTAACATAAATCTATAGCGAATTTTCTGGGAGGGGCGGATACACCGATGGGACAAGATGGAATACAATTTGTCCAGAAACTAATTGTTATCGACGAAAATGATCGGTGTGATTCGGAGAGCGCGTTGAAAGAATTGGACAGCTGGAAGATACTTGAGAGCTGATGTTGAAATACAACTTATTGACGAGTGACTGACGATGGATTGAACATCCAATGCGTATATAAAGGGAAGTTAGTTATATACACAAGGTTGAAGAGATTTGTCGCGAAATATGGTTCATTCGCTCTCATATTATTTACCTTAGTAGCTTAGGTATTCAATTTACATATTTATTCTCATCCGGTTTCTATCTAGAAAGATACAATGATAGAATCCTATTAGCATAACAGCACAATGGCCAAATGATTGATTGGTATTAACATAATATGTCACCTCCGGCTTTAACATATTTATTACTATTAGTAAGTAGGGTTATAATTGTCCAACAGGTCTCCCATTATTTTCTATTTGAGCAATTTGAACAAACCATAACCACCTCTTTAGTCTACTCTTGTAGTTGAAACTACATTGAATCTTATACAAGAAGTACCTAGGGTGTGGGCCGGCCTTGGTAACTCAACCCATTGTATTACATAAGCCTTCAGAATATACATATGCAAAAGTTTACATAACCAAGGAAAGTGATAGGAGCGCTTCTATTAGTTTCGAAGGATCTCAGTCAGCAGAAACAAACTGTTGAGGATGCGAGTTAATTTATTATAATGGGACGTAACCTTTGAACACGTAAAATATATGTACCTAAGTTAGTGCAATACTACTATGTAGCTGCATCAACCTATAATGAAGCACTTGTACTATTAGAAATATGCATCAAGTGCCCTTTCTCGTTAGAACAATTATCTTGATACCGTGTCGAGCATGTTATAGGTACGAACCGAGGCGGGCGTGCCAGCCCTATGTGCCAGATTAAGGACTCAGCTAAGGGCATAGATCTCATTCAGGTGGGGTGCAACCTATAGAAACCCCTGCGAATAAAAAGTCTAGGGTCTAGCCCCTCTGTTAGTGGGGGTTCTATGTACGGGACGGGACTTGCTCTTAATAAAGTGGAGACACTATGATGTCCAATGCCAGAATGCTCAGGTGCTATGTACCTAGGTACCTAGGAAGAAGGGAGGCGATGATGTAACCTAGTTGGTCAGCACCTGATTACCCATTGCACCTCACGCAGCCGACGCAACCTACGCAACCTACGCTAAAGCTTTAGCGTCAATTACCTGGAACAACAACTCAAACTGTCCACCTACATACATACACCTACATATTCATACATATTCATACATATACTACTACACATACTACCACGTAAATTACCTTTTCCTTACTATTGCATCTTCGGATCATATACCCGCCTTCGCCCCCCTTCGCCCGCCGTCGCCCGCCGCAGTTCGAAGTTGCATGTGCCTGTGTTACATCGTCGAAGTAGACAGCACCCCATTTCGACCTTCTATTCGTCGCCTTTTGCTTCTCTGCACCATTAATTTTTTCACCAGTTTTTTCTTGATCGCCGATCTAGACACCACATACTCTCGACCGATCTTAGATTCTTAGATCACGACAAACCGAGCCAGTACCTAGCTGCGCCGTTTTCCCCCACCTTGTCTCATCATCCTTATTACCTCTTCATGGTCCGTACTGCGACGTCTTAGCAGTTATCACAAGTCAAAATGTAAGCAGACACACGCGTCCCTTGCATCCGTCCCCTTTGGCGCCGACATACCGAAGCTAATGCTCAACACAGGCATATTACCGTGAACGTAAACAATCCGGACGTCGAAGCTCAAGAACTTCAACTAATAAACCTCGATGTCCCTCCCGATATGACATTAGCCGACCTCCGAAGCTCCATTGAAGCCGAGGGAATACCTGGCCCGTCGCAAAATATCTACCACAACGGCCAGCTTATCACGGACAACTCCAAGACGTTGCGAGAGCTAGACATTTCCGATGGAGACATGCTAGCACTACACGTGCGGGATATGCGCGGCAACACTGGCGTTGCGCCTGCTCACCGTGAGCCGCAGAGACGACAGCCTGCTGCTCTGGCCCAGGACCCGGAGCTCATCCGCTTGCAAGTCCTCGGTGATGCTCGACTGAGGGGCGAACTTGAACGAGCAAACCCTCAGCTAGCCGCCGCCCTCGAGAACCCTCAGAGATTCGCCCAGATTTTTCGTCAAAGCGCAGACCAGCAGGAGGAGGCACGCCGAGCGCGTATGCGGGAAATCGAGGCCCTGAACAACGATGAGTTCAATCCCGAGTCCCAGGCCAAGATTGAGGACATGATTCGCCAGCAAGGTGTTATGGAAAATCTCCAAAATGCTATGGAGTATAACCCCGAATGTAAGTCGTGCCGTTCCTTGGATATTCAAGCCCCAGGTTCTGATCTCGTCTTTTGTAGCTTTCGGCCGTGTGCATCTTCTTTACGTCGACGTCAAAGTCAATGGCGTGAAGGTCAAAGCCTTGGTCGACTCTGGCGCCCAAGCCACAATCATGTCCCCGAGCTGTGCCGAGGCATGCAACATCATGCGCCTTGTCGACCGACGGTTCGCCGGAGTAGCCCGTGGGGTGGGAACAGCAAATATCATAGGCCGTGTCCATTACACTATGCTACAGCTAGGCACGAAGCACCTCGCGGCTGCATTCACGGTCATGGAGGGCAAGTCCGTTGACCTGCTGCTCGGTCTGGACATTCTTAAGGGTCACCAGGCGACTATTGATCTTGCACGCAATAAGCTTATCATCCAAGGGGAGGAGGTGGAATTCCTCGGAGAATCAGACATTCCCAAAGAGACTGAAGAGGCAGTTAATCAAGAACCAACCGTTCAGGGCCCTGGCGGCACGACTATTGGTGCCCGTTCAGGTGCCGTTACTGGTCCTCAAGTCTCGTCCGCAGGCCCTTCTGCACCTAGCACATCACGACCTGCGGCTCCTGCGGCCCGTCCCGCGCAACCACCCGTTCAACCTCAAGTCCAGCCCCAAAGAACGTTCCCCGAAAACGACATTAACACGCTGGTAGCGCTAGGTTGGGACAGGCAGGCTGCGATTAATGCTTTGGAAGCCACAGGTGGCAACGTCGAGTTCGCCGCGTCCCTACTTTTCAATAACTAATGAACCCGAATCTGCCACTTGCACTTACGACGCAGTACACGTGATCGAAGAACGCAGAAGTAACAACAGCAACAGCAACAGCATAGCGTGACAAAAGCAGGTTTAAGCACGGAGTCTGACAAACTACTCGGTATAGCAGGTAGAGGGCGCAGCATGGGACATTGGTAATAAGAATTCTTACGTGCACGCAGCCCGAAGGCATTAGAGAGGTTCGTCAACCACGACGTGTATGTACGCCTAAGTTGGAACAAATTAATAGGGCGTGCTTCGAATCAAGGTCTATTACGGATTAGAAAGTTACGGTTCTGCCTGATGTGCGTAGGTAATGGATGGCATGTGTATGGATAACAGATAGCTTGCCCCTTTTATCGCAGCTTATAGACGCAGGGCTTTAAAATAGAGCTCTCATCCGCTGTATTTTGGTCTCCTTCTGTGTCGATGAACTTGACGCCGCTCTTTTTGGGCCCAGAGCCGCGCGTAGGCTCCTTAGGAGCAACAGCGCCCTTGCCAACGGTCGGCGATGCTGCCTTAATGAAGTGCATCTTGACAAACATCTTGTTCCTTAAGTCGGCTGCACCCTGCAGAACGAAACCCCTCTTCCGTAGTGCCTCGACAAACGCAGAAACGTCGGTTTCTTCACGCTTGTCATCCGCACCATCCACCTCGACTGCCAACGCCGTCTCGTCCTCTTCTCCCTCAGGCCCCTCCGCATCCCGTACTTTTCCCTTCTTCCCCTGGGCCTTTCTCCTATTTCCTACGCTGTGGGTAACCGGCGCCCCGTTCTTACCCTTGCTCTTGCCCACAAGCCCAAACCGGCTCTTGATCTCGGCAACCCATAGTTCGCCCTTCCAGTGCAAGATACGGTAGGCTTCCTCGATGAAGTCGAGCCAGTTAGTGCCCATAAGCGCGAGACAGAAGATGACAACGTCGGCGGCGCCATCGGCAAGCGGTAGGTTCGCAATGTCGGCGCGCGTAACCAGCGGGCTCGGGCTCTGCAGATCGTAGCTAAGGATCTCAAGTCGCAGCTTCTTCTTCTCGGACTGCAGAGCCTCAGCGAGCTTGGCGTCTCCGCAGCCTAGATCGGCAATCGTGCACACGCTATTGGTGCGCGGCAGGGCTGTCACGCTGGAGGAGCTGATAGGCGCGGGAGGAGGGGCAGCAGAGTGGCTGTGCTTGGAGCGCTGGGGAGGCTTCTGCCGCCCCCGCAGCTTGATGTCCTTGATGTACCCTTCGACCGGGTTCTCGGGCCAGACGTCGACCTGGCGCCGGAACCCCTCGTGGTACTCCTGGAACATCTCGGGCGAGTCTTGGAACAGCTGGAACGCGTCGGCTGAGGGCTTGGTGTATAGCGTTTCGTTGAGGTGGCGGAACCGCGCGGACACGAGCTTTTCCCTCATTGCGGCTTGCATGGGCGTTAGTTTCGGTGCTGCGGCGGCGGCGGCAGCGGCGGGAGCAGAGACTTTGCTGCTGTCTTTTTCATTGGGCTTTTTGCTGTCGCTGCTTTCCTTTTCGTCTCTGGATTTCTTTTTCTTGTCCTTCTTTGCCTCCTTGCTTAATGTGGCATCAGGTGACTCTGAGGTTGGCTTGTTGTCATTTCCAGTAACCGGTTCAGCGCCTTCCACGCCATTTTGGCTCGCTTCCTTCTCCCTTAACTTCTTCAGTTTCTTCTTCTCTTTTAAAGTCATCTTCTTGCCATATCTGGGCCTGCCTTCTGGGGTTTCACCACTCTGGTCATTATCAGGTTTAGCCTTCTTCCCCGACCTTCCCTCGATAATCCGTTCCCAGAGATCCGCAACATTAGATGAATTCACATTTCCTCCTGGTGTGGACGAAGGTCTCTTGCGCTTGTTTGACTGCTGAGATTCATCTTGAGCCGCTTTTGGAGCCGCTATGGTACTCTCGGATTTGAGAGCGTCCGCAGACACGGACCAACCTGGTACCGCAAACATTTCAATAGAAGACAATGGCAGTGGCAGTTGTAGAAATATGTTAAAAATTAAAAATCGCCTTAATTATCGGACAATTATGGTATCAAATCTCAATGATGAGTTTTGTTAAGAATAACTTGACTAACTTGGAAAAGTCGAGTAGGAAGATTTAGAGGCAGCAAAGTCGTCTAAACTTTTTTGCAGGGATTACTAGCGCAGGAACCTTAGAACGATGTACTTTGTACTATGTACAATACCATTTGGGCTTGGCAAAGGACCCCGCAAAATTGCGGTAACATTGAGAATATTACCAGTCACGTGTATAGAGATAGTGGGCAGAAGTTTATCAACCTTAAAAACAGCTGCCTTAAAAAGGTTTGAACAAATGCGCACATGAAAGCTTCTTTTCTCATCTCATGTAATACTACATGTAGCTCTTCTCTTCTAATGACCTTTCCTCCCGATCTTGCCTTTGAGGCTCTTGCCCCTACGATCGCAACGAACACGACCAGTTGAATTTATCAAAGTCACTAATATATACCCAGGTAGCTTCAATCTAGGCAGCTAGGGTAGTATATTATGTACACTAGGTATGTGCAATAAGCCAAACCCCACATGAGGCTGCAACTGGATGAAACACCTGGGTCACCGAGCAGGGTTACGAATAGAGCAATATTGCTCATAGATGCTGCTACGGCCGGGTAGGGCTCCGAGAAGGGAAGACCAAGGCCTCCACAGTACGATCGACAGTTACACGGCGGCTGGCCAGCTACAAGCAGGCCTCATGTCGTTGCTATGTATCCGTGGACTTGATCCAAATCGTCAACGGAGAATCCATGGATATCGAGACACATCAATATTTGGAGTCTCGCCGTTCGAAGTTAGCAGCTCTTCATCGCTATAATGTTGCACAGACGCTGGCTCAGATTTCCAAATTCCAGCTAGAGGGTTCATGTCTTTACCCGCCTCCGCACTAGCATAGGCACAGCTTCCCCGGCTTAGCTTTTTCACTGCCATAGCAATAAGCCGAGTTAGCTAGCACTCTTCCCATTGATGGATATGCAACGGCCGTTTTCTGCATCTGAGCGGGGTCACGGGATATAGCATCGCATATTCTGCATTACGACACACTGTTTCTATGTCGTGACTCTGACGCTTCGGCCCATGCTGCTGTATACGTATGGTGTGTATGGTGCGTATGGCTTACGATCGCGGTCACGCCCAACTCTTCAATACTGCCCAAGAAAGCTTTGCCATGCAATTTCTGCAGCAACCGGAAGGGCTCGAGGCTTCCCCTCCCGAGACACGCGGGAAGGCTACAACACCCGGACTTTGCTATGCCTAACTCAGCCTAGGTATTTTTGGATCCCGTTGGCCATAGCATGACAGGGCTCGACTACGTTGAATTGATGACGCTGTGTCATGTCCTATGCGAAGTCGTGAAAGGAAACACGAAGAAATAGCTTCAAGTTACCCGTCTAAGGAAGGAAAAGAGATTTAGGGATTTCCGCTTTCCTTCGTCCGTAAGCTCATGATCTACAACAGCCGGGTTTCCCTCCGTGTGTGCGTCCACTTTCTTCAACCTCCACGATAAGAGAGGTCAAGACATATGCGCAGCAGCCCGCACAGGCTACGGAGCTTAGTTCTGTTATGTATGTCTAATATCTAAAAGCGCGAATTGATCATCAGCCAACAGACCATGGCTTATACGTAGGACAATTTGTCTTCGCTACGAATAGATGCGCATTTTCGGTAGCACAGGTAGGTTATTTGAGCAATTATCTCTACGAGATAAAGATAAATTTCCCAGGTTGCAGGGAATAGACCCCAACTGCAGGCGCATCATCAGACGTCGCACCTCGATCTACCGCGACTTGAACGACTCTGGTTGTATGCAGCTTCGAAGGACCCCTCCAGCGTATCGCATCACCACGGCCTCGGGCTCGGCATCTATTGTTACATACAAAGCCATTGCAATACAGGATCCCATACGGCATTTTGACATATGCTCCTGTTCCGCCGTTATACCACATACTTCTTCTTCACGTGGTGTTGTAACTCTTTAACGCTAGCAAATAGGGCGATCGAAATTGTAAGCCGTACTCTTCTAGTCGTCCGCTGTCCTTCTTTAGTCTAAGAAAGGATAACTATTATATCTTATACATGCATACCTAGGTACAGACTTTGTAATTAGTCTGCTATGGGATATACCTTGTCGGGTTTGTGGTGAGGGTATTGAAATTTCACCGGGTCCTTAAACTGATCACCATCGACAATCCCCTATCACTTCTCCTGACCGATGTATGGCGTCGACTCTAGCGACGGATCTATTGATGAGGCCCGGTCTGGATTGCTCCACCCGGAAGCTGGATCTAAGCTGAAAAAGTCCAATGGCACCGTAACATTCAAGGATTGTCCAGCCTAACAAGTTTGCCCCAGCCTTGCCGAGGTCTGGAAAGCAGAGCCTACCACATAGTATATACTAGCATATACTGTGGTCTCATCCTTGCCCAGGTTCCTTGCCCAGGGCCCCAGGTTCGACAGCGTTGGCAGGCTGGTGGTAACAACTAGCTACACCCCCAGACCCCCACCATTCCCACCCTCTGTTCCCCGTCCCCGTGCGAGCGTGCAACCATCTACATATTGTACATACTAGATTGACTGACTTGCCCCTTAGGTCTAGACGCTGTCATCTCCAGTTCACATTCCCTATGTCGCACCCAGTCTTACTCTTCGAGGGTTGACTGTCCCCAATTGCCCACGACAGCAAGAGTACTCCGATTCTCTTCTGTCGCACTGAATGTTTCACGGAGCGATATAAACTATATGGAAGCAAGTCGTGACCTTTATCTCTTCGTATAATTTTTTTATTTTTTTTTTACAATACTCCTGCCTCTGCCTTGAATGTCTCATTTTACTAGCCAGTCGGAACCCCGGGATTTATTGTATCGTAATTCATCTTCCGATTTCAGGTTCTGCGTAGACAAAACGTCAGAGGCTACCATAGTCTAGTCGCCATCCTCATTGGAAACGCTCTCTCCCTGGATTAAGAGGATTTACCCCCCGAGTATGTTCTGTGCCGTTCTGTAGTCGGCACTCTCCCTGCCCTAAATCGGGCCAATCGTCTGAATACCATGTGACAGTTTTGATATCTTTAAGCCACTAGACTACAAGACAATCAGCCACCACCTCACAGTAATAAGATCAGGCGGTACGGTAAACGCCATTCTCCAAGATGAATTCAGCGGGAGAGCCAACGGGGGACGCGTCCGCGATATCTCAACCTCCTCGGTCATCAACACCAGAAGAAAGAGATGGCGATAATTTGGCGCCTAAGAAACCGATTGTTCGGAAACGAACAAAGACGGGTTGCCTTAGTACGTAGTAGTCCCGTGCTCCTAGATGGTGTGAATAGCGTCAACTAACTACCGTCAAGCCTGCCGAAAACGCCGAATAAAGTGTGACGAGGGTAGGCCGACTTGTAACAACTGCTTGAAATCGAAGCGGCAGTGTGATGGATACAATCAACGAGTTGTTTTCAAAGATCCTTTAGGTGCATTTGCCAATGCCCCCTTTGGACCGATACATTATCCAGCACCCTCTCCGCAGGCATTGGTAAGAGAACAGCAGCTATCAGCAGCGCAACAGAAGTCTTCATCGCAGGCTTTGCAAATCATTGCCCCTAAACCGCCTGTGGGATACCCTCAGGTGCCTGGGTTTTACCCCGGCCAAGTTGGGCAAACCACGCCACCTATGAGCTTCGATCCCAACGGACTCGGATCTCAGTCTGCGCAACCGAAGTATACCTTCTTTCCGCCAACCACTGTCGATGCGTTCTCTCAACATCAGTGGAGGCAAGAACAGCCCACAAACTTCGGTCCGCTTTCACCTATTGCCCCTGTTCTGTCCCAGCAGCAACAGCAGCCAAGCAATATCCAACTAGATAAAGGCAAGGCTCGCGCTGAACCTGAACAGCCTATCCAGATCACGGAGTCTCAGTACGAGGAATGGGAATACCCGGTATCAGATGATGAGTCTATGGCAGACTCTGACGATGTGCCAATCAGTATGCGGCGCACGTCTCTCGACTTCAACGACCTCGGGGTGGTCGCTTTTCAGAGATTTGACCAGCCGTATGACACGTTCGGAACCCAGACAAGAACCTTCTCAGCCTTTGCTCCTGATCTTGCGACGTATGAGCCATCACCGTCCAATTCTCCCTTGAACGACAAACAAATAGCGGGAGTATTCTGGCATTTCGTGAACGTGACCGGACCTAGCATATCCATGTATGAAAGGTATCCTATCGATCCATCGCCCATCTTTCAGGGCCAACCTATACCGAAGTCTCGTCAGCATATCTGGACCTGTAAGTCAGCCTTCTATACTATTACCGATTCTCATCACTGATTTATATAGATACCTTCCCAATCTTGTCTTTTACCCACCCAGCTCTCCTCCATGCTGTTCTCGCAATTGCTAGCTTACAGATTGCAAAACTTCAAGCTCTGCCGCCAACAGCATCTCTCAAACACTACCACCTAGCTTTGAGGAGAATTGCGCGGAACGTAGGTCGGCCGAATAGGCGGTCTCAACCAGCAAACCTGGCGGCAACATTGGTATTGGCATTCTACGAAGTGTGGAACTCCGACCACGACAAATGGAGCAGACATCTGCTAGGAGCCCGTTTAATTATCAAGGAAATACCGTTCGCAGAAATGACTCGCGCTATGATGAGAATTAAATGCCAGCAGAAAATACAAGAAATGCAACAGCCTCCGATAGACGCGTTTGGGATGTTCACTACATATGAGGAGACGACTCCCTTGCATAAAGACTGGGATCATCTGGACGTCCAATTACTAAGTGAGATAACCGGCAAGGATGTCTCGTTTGATGAGTTGGGAATAATTCCTGAAGAACACAGCGCATATCCCAGATCGAGATATCAGCATACAGATAAGGACATGGAAACATACGAACAATTGAGCGATCTCTTCTGGTGGTACTGCAAACAGGATGTTTACCAGAGCATACTGGGTGGAACAAGACTATTGTAAGTTGGCATCACGCTGTGCACTCTATAATATAGCCGTACTGATCAACCAAGCCTTGAGTATGATGCATGGACTCAATGCCCACCGAGGGCCCCAATAGGAAGGCTTGATGCTATGTAGGTCACCCATTCAATCTGTGCCGATATAACGTTAACACGGCTGTTAGATATGGCACGTACGACCACCTTATGCTATTGCTTGGCCGCTTAGCAAACTTCGCATCTAAGGATCTAAGCCGAAAGCGGAAAACATTTAAGATGGCCAGTCCCGGCCCCGGCCCCGGCCCCGGGCGCGGGGGATCCCCGGGAATGTTCCCGGGCATGGTGCCTCGTAACCCCGAAACTATTACGGTGCCGATGGGATTCACTCCACCGAGGGAAACATCGCCACCCAACGATGGACTCCCCGAGAATATCGACCTCGACGCTAGTACCGCCGAGGCGTATCGCGAGTGGGAGGGAATCAAGCGGGCCTTCGAAATACTCAGGGGCCATTTCGGTCCTGAATTCGAGGCCCTCGGCACGGACGTCTACCCAGCCAGGGCAACACCGTTTGGCCTCGCCGCGCACTACAGGACTTACTCCATCGCGGGCGTCTGGATGAACTACTACATGGGCCTGATCATACTCCACAGAGCTCATCCCACGATGCCGCCCGTGGCCATGATGGCTGCGGGTATTTCCGCGCGGACAACTGCTTCGTACTGCATGGAGGTGGGCCGGATCGCCGCCGGCTTAGAAGAGAATATCGCGCATCTCGCCAACGTGAGTACGCTTATGGCAGCCGCTCTGATAGAGTGCTGCTTCCCCCTATTTGTTGCAGGTATTCAGGTAAGCGACCAAAGCCAACCCCCAATTCTCTGCCGCCCACATTTACTTACACAGACAGTATCATGACGACTTCCAGCGGCAATGGCTGATCCAACGACTACACGACATCGCGCGGTTGACGGGGTGGCAGTCGGCGCGGCAGATCGCCGTGGGGTGCGAGTCCTCGTGGACCAAGGCAGCGCAGCTAGGCCGCGGCCCGCCGTACGCGCGCTCCGTCAACCTCAACATCGACCCTCCCGGCTCCGTATGGGTCAACGCCCGCCGCATCGACAAGCGCATCCAGGAGATCGACGGGGACGAAACCAAGATCGTACTGGCCAAGGGCGAGAAGGCCTCCTACGCGATGGGTTTGCTGGCTGTCGAGCACGACCTCGAGAAGCTGGATCTGGAGGCCAGCGAGCGGGATCGGCGATAACTACCTAAGGTACCTAACCTAACATAGAACTAAAATGGTACTTCGGGGTTTACAAAAAAAAAAGAAAAGAAAAGAAAAGAAAAAACCTAAAGTAGGTGATATGGATACGAAAATTTCAAATTTTTAATTCAAAGGAGAGTGTGATAACGTGAAAATGGACTGGGGTATTTCATGATTGTACGGACTAAAGAGATGGAGACCTGGAGTAGGCGTCTGAGAAAAACATGGGTTGATTACGTTGGATATCGTCCCCTAGGTATGTAAGGGAGAAATAACTCAAAGAGGAGGGATCGACGGCAGACGGCTTGTTTGTATAAGATAGCACATCGGAGGATTTGGTGATACTTAATATAAAGTCCACCTTTCTTAGAAAACCTCGAGAGCTATCAAGCTTAACGGGGTAGAATCTTTTGTCTTAACCCCTTGTCTATTCGGTACTAGATTATTATTCTGCTAGTACCAGAGCTCGCCGCAGCCTTAGGTAATTCTCCGACCCTCCTCTTAGTTAGCAGGTAGTCTCTCCACGACTTGGGCCATTTCCTCGTCCGTGTATATCCTGAAGCCCCGCTCCTTAGTTACGCTCGCCAACTGGACATTCTTGGAGTCGAGCTTCTCCTCCATCACTTGCTTCAACGTCTTCAAGACTAGCGTCTCCGCATCTGTGATCGTAAGGGACTATATAGCGAAGTTAATTAATAGAGCTCTCCGAGTTACGCTAGTTTTGTAGAATACGGAAATATATATATACGTACCTTGTGGTATTCATTTTGCAATTCTGCTTGTGCGCCCTCGCTTCCGGAGCCGATGGCCTTGGCGTCGTAGCGATAGAAGGTACCGCTGGGTTCGGCGTGGTAGAGCTGGGGGCCATCCTCGTCGTAGCCAGCGATCAAAAGGGCGACGCCGAAGGGCCGACTCATGATGCTCTCCTCGCCATCGGCGCTCTCGCCGAAGCGCAGGGCGAGGTCGCAGATGGCCTGGGTGCAGCTCTCGACGCGCAGGTTCTCGTTGTAGTTGAAGTTGTGGCTCTGGCACTCGACGCGGGCGTGCTCGACCATGCTGCGGGCGTCGGCCTGCAGCCCGGACATGGCGCACCCGATGTGGCGGTCGATCTCGACGATCTTCTCGACGGACGAGGTCTCCAGCAGCGTCGACGTCACGCGCTTCTCTACGCCCAGGACGACGCCCTCCGATGTTGCGACGCCGATCGCCGTCGAGCCGAGCTTGATTGCCTCGAGCGAGTATTCAACCTGGAAGAGACGTCCCTCCGGGGAGAAGGTACTGGGAATGCGACGTTAGCTAGCAATAGTGGAGGGAGGGGGGAGGGAGGGCGTACTTGATACCCCGGTCTGGTTGACATCGATTGCATTAGCTACTACTACTAATAATACAGATTGGATGCACACAGCTGGCTTACCGTATTCAGATCTTGCCATAAACATTTTGAAAGATTTATAAGGGAGACCGTCTCTAAACTAAAAGAAGGGTATGGGGTCGTTCGGTCGAGAGCTATGCGTAGTTTGGAGTGAATGTGGTATGTTGGAAGTAGAGAGAGGCTACGACATTTACTTTGCTTTAGGTACTGAGCTCCAAAGCTCAAGGCTGCTACCGTTTACGAAGCTCGGGTTAGGTGTTTGCATCAACCGGGGCTTGGGCCTAGCTTTGGATACTAAAATTGCGGGGCTATCATCATTATCGATAGGATACTTCGTATATGCTTAAGGTACTGCGTGGGGGATACATGCATGTTCTATAATTCACTTAATAGGGGATATTTTATTTAAACATTTAATACAACCAACCCCGTAACCAGCTCCAATGCAAACAAAATAGTACCTTTCTATTAATGGTCAAGCATGAAAACCGTGTCGAGCAATAAGAATGTGTCCAGCCTACTGGATTAGCAGATAACCAAAATCGAAGCTCAAGGGTCCATGGCAAAGTTGATGTCCATTTCACTGTTACTTTACTTCGTCCGATTTTGTTTCCCCTGGCCCGACTTCATCCGGCTGTAGTGCGGACAGCGTACTCGAACTCACTAATAGTTCAAGTTGCTTACGCTGCTTAGTTGCTGGTTCTTCTTTTTATGTTTCTTTTCGTTTCGAAGATTTAAGGCTGGATTGTACGTCTATTATCTTAGGATATTCAATCATTGTAGGCTATACAATAGATACATCCTCCCGGAATGATAGCAGTAAGTTGTAAATACTTTCTAGTAATAACATTGTTGAGTTTTCCCTAGTTATATCCATATAATACCCTAAACCCGCTGTCTACGGTGCGGCTACCACAGTAAAATCCAATTGTCTTAAGAAACAGTCACTGATTTGTATCCTTTTCCAATCAGTAACAAATACGAGTAGTATTTACCGAAGTTAGCAAATACAAAAACTAGATCGATAATCGTAGAACAATTGCAGCGGGTTACGTTTCTGTCTTCTTTGTCCCTAGGAATATGGTTCCGGAACTAATCAGGACAATATTCTTGACGTACCAAACATTTTTACGCAAACAAAGACCTGGCTTACTTAGTTGATAACATTTTTTGCAGCAACCTACATCTAAACCGTCTATGGGTACCGTATAGCGGTTACACTTCATACTTTTTAGCTCGAAAGGTGTTTATTTAAATCTCAGAATACCAGATGAAGACTTCCTTCAGAATTCTCTACTTTAATCTCGATTAGAAGAGCGATTTTACACTATGGCATACCTTGCTGATACCACCTTTGCTGGTTGGCCAACAGTTCGATATGCCGAACTGGTTACATTAGACCAATTCACGCCTAGAGTTCACCTTGTGCAGCTGGCTAGCAGCCCTGAAACCAGACTTGTTGTTAAATATATTTCTAGGGATATGGCCAAGGGAAATATATGGAAGGAGATGAACATTTTGAAGACGCAGCAGCTTCATCCTTCTATACTTCCTGTCGATCGTCTTATATTAGACAACAACAATATCATTGTTGGGATGGGAATTAAATTCGTCCCCGGTGGTAATCTTAATAACAATAAAGACCGAACCTTCAAGTTGAAGTGGCTCAAGCAGCTTACGGAAACTCTAGATTTTCTTCACTTCAAGCAAGGTAAAACTCTGCCGTAACGAGGCGGTCTTTAGTCCACGGCCATTAACGTAGCTCTAGGCATCGTTCACGGCGATATCCATATGGGTAATATACTGATCGACGAAGCCGCTGACAGACTTGTCCTGTGCGACTTCAGTATGGTCAAAGAGGCTACGGAGCAAAACCTGATGGATGAATTTTGGAGTGTTATGTGGACTCTCTACGAGCTGATCACACTTGACTTCAAAGCCGAGGAGGAACAAGTCCAGAATTCACAACGCGAGAATGGCGTGTATAGTTTGAATACCGAATCCATAGAGGGGTTGCCTAGCTGGCCTGTAAAAGGAAAACTAGATTGTGACGCAGAAACATTCCGAAGCTATCTTCAGGAATGGATTAAGAAGCGCAGGGAAAATCTGCGGTCTGTTCAGGCAAGAAAACCTGAAGTTAGGGTCAACATTTCAGAGAAGGGGAGGATTCAGTGGGCAGGACCAATACATGGATGCCCAGGGGCTCAGAGCAGAACTGTACGAATGAATTATCAACATTGATGATTACGTGTAGGATTTACAGCTTCTATACTTCGTATATACGGTCGATGAGGTGGGTTATACCAACCAAAGGATATAATAGTAATTGAGGTCGTCCACGAAAAAGAAAAAAAAGAAAAAGAAAAGAAAGCTACGCATTTTAATTAGAGAGCAATTACCATGTGAATGGAACCTTGTTGTTTAAATATATGCTGTAGGTATATGTAGGTATCCGTAGATACGAAGTACCTATATACGTAATATATGTAATATATGAATATTATCATCCCTTATTGGTGGTTGAACGCGCTTGCCCTGTTACCCAAAGGTTTCGACGCGACCTGCCATCAACCAATTATCGATAAGACTCAATGGACACAAGCTTAAACCTCCCACCCAAGGTTACCCTGGATAAAGTACCCAAACAAATACAACAACATTAGTCGACCACTCATGATATCGCAGCAAGAGGCATTCCCAATGTCGCCTTATAGTGACAATGTCTTCGAGAGTTTCCAACTACTCAGAGAGGCGCACAAATGGCACTAGCGATAATGATAGCAACCCGCGACCCCGCGCAAGTGCTCATGCGTCAAGAGCTTCTCAATCTCAACACGATCAACGAAGCACTCGTTCTCCTCAGACCGCCAATATCAACCCCGCTCATAAGCGTAGCGCCTCGGGCAATCCACGACCAGCCAGCAGGACTGCCGAAGAACGAAGGACCGAGCGCACCACAGTAACTACCAAAGAAAAGCTGATCTCGAGGACGAAGAGCCCCGAAAGACGGTCTAGGGATGCGCCTCCGCCAGAAAAACGGAAGTCAAAAGAGGTACCCAAGCCTCGCCAGTCAGACACGAAGTCGAGGGATTCAAAGCCTGATGCGCCGCCTAGTATGTCTCAGATTAACGAGATTTCACCTCGGGGGAACTTGGAACTTGAAACTTGGAGTTTGGACTAATTTCTTTTGACTACTAGCATCATGGGAACCCGTAGCTAATCTAACGCCGCATACATCTGCGCCCCTTGCGATACGTGTGTCCATACCTCCTTCGGCATCAGAAGCGCCACTCTCGCTACAACCGCAGCCTCTACACGAACTATCCTTAGAGGCCCAAGAGGCCGCTATAATCGAGGATTTATTATTTGTTTTCATGGGCTACGAAGGGCAATATGTTCGCTATGCTTATTCGTACGACCCTAACGAGGAGAGGGACAGACTAGCTGGACCGGAATTTAAGATACTTCCCGGTCTCGATCCTAGTCTTCAAGACCTAACTCTATCAATGCTCAAAATGGCTACTTACTACTCGGCCCTTGAGACATTTGTCGACGTGCAGAGCAGGGAGGAATTTGGGGCTGTCAACCATGCCCTATGTGCTGCGATTAGAAAGTCCTTACACGACTATCTGATAATGGTTGCGCAGCTGGAAACCCAGTTCTTGACCAACGATACTTTCACTTTGCATCTCCTCAACGTCCATACACTCCCTACAAGTCACATGATGTTCCAGCTCTATTCATTAGCTCACGAATTTCTCAAGAGGAACGCGCTTTTGGATGACGAGAGCTCAGAGGACTCAGACCCTGACGATATTGAAAATATCCTAGAAAATCTGAAGCGGGGCGGCGAACTTGTACCGGGAAATATGACCGGAAAGAAGGTTTGTAAGGGCGGCGTGGTTATAGGTCTAATTACTAAGAGATTGGAAACCATGTCTGGAGACCCTGCTGCCAGATCATTACTCACATCCTTGCTACGCGATGCTAGCCGGCCGTATATGGCGATGTTGAACGAGTGGTTACATCATGGCGAAATCAGAGACCCGCATTCCGAATTCCTTATTAAGGAGCAGAAGAGTATTAGACGCGACAGGTTAGAGCAGGATTACACCGACGATTATTGGGAAAGACGATATACCGTCCGAGAGCATGACATACCTCCACAGTTAGTAGCCGTCAAGGAAAAGGTCCTGTTGGCAGGGAAGTATCTCAACGTCGTGCGGGAATGCGGCGGAGTCGACGTTAGTAAAGTCGCCCAAGATGTTCCCACGTCCTTCGACGATCCGCGCTTCCTCGACAATGTCAATAACGCTTATGCTCACGCCAATGAATCGCTTATGAAGTTACTCCTCACTACCCATGCTCTTCCCGCTAGGCTGCAGTCACTAAAGCATTACTTCTTCCTCGACCCGTCTGATTATTTTACCTATTTTATGGAACTCAGCGCATCAGAACTGCGAAAGCCGGTCAAGTCTGTCAATGTCGTCAAGCTGCAGTCTCTCCTTGATCTCGTTCTACGGCAGCCTGGAAGTATTGTGTCTATGGACCCATTTAAAGAAGATGTACATGTCGAAGTGAACGAGGTCGGCCTGATAAAGATGTTGCAACGCGTCGTAAATATCACAGGTATTGAGCAAGGGGAGGCGCTACAGCCTCTAAGCAACCAGCCTATCGAAAACGATAAGAATGCAGTCGGCTTCACCTCGCTGCAGCTCGACTATACAGTACCGTTCCCCGTATCGTTGGTCATTAGCCGGAAGACGGTATGGCGTTACCAAGCGCTATTCCGTTATCTTCTGTCGTTGAGATATCTAGAGTCACAGCTGGCGACTACATGGCAAACGCATAATACAGGGGTTGTTTGGTGCCACAAGTCGTCCATAAGACGGATCGAAATTTGGAAGAGGCGAGTGTGGACCCTGAGGGCGCGAATGGTGGTTTTTGTCCAACAACTACTCTACTTTTGCACTCTGGAGGTCATTGAGCCCAACTGGCAGTCTCTGATGTCAAGACTCAAAGCCAAGGATGGAAGTATAGATGGGTCGGGCAAGCCGGACCGGACTGTGGACGAATTGATGCAGGATCATGTGGATTTCTTGGACACTTGCCTGAAGGGTTGCATGCTAACCAACGGCAAGCTAATTCGAGTAAGTGGCTACAAATTATCGCGGCTACCGCGTCTCCGCTCACATGCTCACATATTTCCAGATCCATTCGAAACTAATGCAGACTTGCACCGTATTCGCTGCCCATATGAATTGGCTGTCGCGCGAGCTTGAAAAGTCTGATCCGGATTTGTTCGGCCCTATAAAACCACCCAATATGACCGACAAGGAGTGGAAACGATTCCAGGCTATAAAGTCTCAAAAGTCGCATGGCGACAGCGGGTCAAACAGCCATCTCCAGGATGAGGAGACCCGGGTCAACAACCTATTTGAGATCATCAGAAACTGGGAGAAGAACTTCAGCCGGCATTTGCAAATCTTGCTAGACGCCCTAAACCATTACGCGGCTACAGAAACCGTGGTTCTGCTAAGCTTGTGCGCGAGACTAGCAACTGCTAACCAAGGAACTGATTTCTCGGGTCCCCGTAACGAGGAGGACGCTGCAGCAGCAGCATAAGTGTCCCATGTCAATAATAAAGCTTCCGACACGATGCATCGGCGCGGCCAGGATATCTCACGGATTGAGAGTTATGACAGGCGTTTAGGCGAGACGAAAATAGTTGGCGTAAGGCATAGCTGTGGGCTACGCAGTGAGGAGATATAGATACCTTGGAATTATGAATTAATTAATTAGTACTCCAAATATACATGAACCCCTAGCCCCTCTTTCGCTGGGACTTGGGACTTGGGACTTGGGTCCAGTTCTCCGACCAAGCAAATGACTTCCTAACCTTTCCGCTGTTCTCGGCCACGCGTTTATCTCCTCACATTATAATGGTATCATTATGTGAAGATCCAACCGCGAGGTAAGCTTACAAGTATTTTATTTTATTGAGTGAGGATGTGATTTTAAACCCAGCAGGAATTTTATGCGCCGGTTTGATGCAATGCAATCGTAGCCGCATTCCTCACCATATGGTATATAGTACAGACATTTATTTTATACACATATCTCATGCCCCTCTCTGTTTTCCTTCTCCCTTACCTATTAGGTAGTGCCAAGAGGGCTAGACTACTTGTACATACGCATCAATTGGCGCCCTTCAGCTCCTTCACGATCTTGGCCAGCTGGGCCTTGTCGACGTTCTTGCCGGCGAGGGGCCCGTCGGGAGCCAAGAGGGTCTTCATGACGACGCCGAAGGGAGGGGAGGAGGTATCGCCGGCGGTGGTGGGGGGCACGGAGGCGGCGGCCTCGCTGGTCATGGCGGTGAGGACGCCGGCGACGACGGTGCGCAGCTCGGCCTCGGAGATCTCCTCGAAGCCGCTCGCGGCGACGTACTCGCCGAGAATGGCGACCTGCAAGCGCTCCTGGTCGACGAGGTCCTGGCGGCCGGCGGCTTGGAACTCGGCGGCGGCGTCGTCGGAGGCGCGCTGGGACTTGCGCAGCAGCGCGACTAGCTGGGCGTCGGTGGTTATGGGGGATGCGGTCTTGGAGGCGTTGAGGACGGCGGAGAGGACGGAGCGGATGGCGGTTAGGCGGGGGGCGTCTTTGGCGCGCACTGGGGGGGTAGGTAAGTCGGTTAGCTATTTTTCTTCGTTTCTTTTTCTTTTCTTTTTTTTCTTCTTTTTTTTGTGTGTTTTTTGTCTAGTTAAAGTAGCCAAACGGAACTTCGCGGGAATAGGGTTGACGCACTCGCTGTCTTTAGATCGCCTTTAATCTTTTGTAATAGGGGCGGCGGCGGCGGCGCCTCTTCGCTCGAGTAGAACCGTGCGCTGCATCTGCGGCTCAGGAACCCGGACGTCGTGGGGGTGGTTGTAGAGGGGTATGCGATGCGTGTCGTCCGTAGTGGTAATAGTCGGTCCGCGACGCGGTTAAAAGGTCGTAGGGACGCCATGGTTGGAGTCTTGATTTTCGGTGGGCTTGATTAATTAATTATGGTTTGGGTCCGGGGATAATTATATTCAGGGGAGATTGGATGATGTCGAACCAATCGAGTTTGTAGTTCGGTACGGTGAAAGTTCCAGTTCCCGGTCGGTCAGGCTTTTTACCTTACCTTACCTTGGGTTAGGTACCTATCGTCCAAGCGTAAGGTGGCCGGTGATATGTGATATCACGATCGTCACTGGCCGGTGAGAAAGCTGTGGGCAAAGGCTGAGGAAGCTAGGTATGTATTGTATATTGTATGTGCGATTCTGCGAAAATAGAACATAGCTGACCTCAAAAATTGAATTGAGCTTAGGGGTCGGCTCCCATTGGTTCCCGCTGTTCCCGCTATGCACGGCCTAGCCCAATGAATGTCCTATAAGCTTAAAGTCTCTTTAGGTCCATAATCGCATTATAGAATATCTAACTAAAAAGCTTTAAAGCTTTGCCTGCCGGCGGAAGGATTTGCTGCTTGTTGAGTTCCAGGTTGTTGAGTTAGGCTATACTATGACTACGTATGATATGTATGTATTTCTCATAAATATCAAATATTGGGAAACGGGATTTCGTAGGATACATGGCCTGATAGGACGTCATTTACGACCCATGCTTCCCCATACCGAGTATGGTTGCTTCCATTAGTTGGTCGACGGTCGGGTTATTTTCATATGCTAAGCTTCACACCCGAGGCGTACCAGGCACACCAGGCACACACCAATGACTCTCAAAAGCCCTCGCCAACGTTTCAAGGAGATATTGCCTGCATCATATTAGATAGAAAGGGATCTAGGAAATATCACCTGACAGATAATGGCAGCGAGATGCTCTACCGGGTAGCAAGGGTCGGGATGGGAGTCTACATCCGCGGTAAGGCCCACTACCATCACGTACAGCCCAACGGTTTTGTCCTTGGCCGCCACTTCGTTACACAGTCACATAATCAATCACAATTAACAGCCGGAGCAAAGGGCTCGTAATAGAGTAACACACGCGGAAAGCTACCCGTGCGGTTGAATAGAGGTAATCTATATTTCAACCGAGATGATAATTTTCAGCGATTGGTCCGGCTGGTTATATAATCTTACAACTTACAAGGGGAGGGAGGAGACGGAGGAGGCTGTCTCACTCTCTGTCTTGTCACTCGCGGTTGTAACGTCGTGGATGGTGGCCACGCTGCTGCCCTCCGAATAACAAGCAGTGGACAAGGCCCGGGTAGGGTAGCCCTCAGCAGTCTAGAACTAGAAGCTGGACGGCGTTTAAGAATTTTGGAAACAAAAATAGGACCGGGGGTTGGCCCACTGGCAAGTTGGTCCGCCCGCTACTAGGAGGCCGGGAATGCGGGCGGAATGAGCGATCAAAGGGAGATGCCGTGACAGCGGCTCTAACCGCCCGTGCCTGCTTAAGTAGATACTCGAACGGGGCGTATTTCTCGATGTTAGCCAGTAAGATTGGCTTTTACCTTTTACGTGTGTGTATGTGTATATGTGTATATGTGCGTGGTGCGTGTTACATACGCATCCCATCAATGTACCTTTTTATAAATTATACTTTTATACTTTACATGTGTCATGTGTATACCCTAGAGTACATAGGTGTGTGTATGGAATACGTACGAAAGCAATATGTATCATGTTGGGCAGGAGGTACCCTATGGGTATTTTCTCTTTTCTCGATTGGGTTGAGACACACGACACGACCCGACTAGTTGGACCCGAGACTCTGGTAGAAGGAGCAAAGGGGATCCCTTGATTTGCTGCTTCCCTTTTGGCTGCAAACCTTAAGCTGACCTCATGTCCTGCCTTCCAATTCCCTCTCTCTCCACTCGCCCCTCTCCGTCTTCGCTGTCTTGTTTCCCATAAAGTTCTGTGTGTATAATCCAATATATCACATCACCCATCACCCATCACCCGTCACCCTCCCGAACATCATTCAAAGCCCATGCCGGTAAATCTTGTATCAACGTATATTCTATAAATGCAGTCATGTCCTTATGTCCTTATCTGCTGATTGCCCAACAACGTACAATGTGCGAAGCCTCGAAGCCTGGTCCTTTTCTCCCAGAGGCAGGTGGATGACGACCTGACAACCTGTAGCAGCCCCTACTGACATCCCACTGACATCCTACACAATCAAGCCCCCACCCCCTTTCTCCCAAGATGAACGACCGAAGCAAGCGATACGATGTTGACCCGATTAGTCTAACCTGCGTCTGCTTTGACCCGCCGTATACCTTGCCTCTCCACCGCAGGACCGCAGCAAGGTTTCCTTCCGGGAGAACCGCCAAAACTAGTTCCCGCCGAACCTCAGCGCCTCGGCTTTCTACCCACGCATACGTATCTTGAATAGCAATTTATTAGCCTTCCGTCAAGTTCGACATTCGTTAGGATTCTGAAATAGGGATAACTCACAACCGAAAATATGGCTATTATTCCACAATGCTTATCAGCATCATCCACGATCCGTTTTGTACATTTGGGACATTTGGGTTGAGGAGTTAGGTCAGGGCCTTACCTTGAGTGCAGGGTTACTAGCTTCTGCCCTCGCCTGTGCCACCAAGACGTGAAATTCCGTAATAGTCATGCTGCGAAATGTCAACAATTCTGTATGCAGCCGGCGCATTCTTGAACAAATCGGTATTGAGCTTACTTGAGTAGCTCCGTGAACGGGTACAAGGCTAAAGACCCGAGCAGCAATCGGACGTTTTCTTGGTTGTGAACACCAATATCAAAGTCTCTCTGGCCTACGCGAAATGTTAGGATCTAATATCCAGAAAAACCAGACGGCACCATACTATCAGACCAGCCGCACATGGGTAGGGGGATCACTACCAAAACAAAAAATTAGCACATACTGCTTCATCAAGCTAGGGGCTAGACGTTGATTGAAGGGGGTCACTATTAAATTGAACCCGATGATCGGGCGCGGGTGGAATAAACCTAGGGGTAAATGAGCTTTCGGATACCTACTTCGCTCCTCGACATCGGTAAAGCCAGCTTGCCTCATCCAATGCGCAAGACGCCGTGGCGCCTCGACGTTTTTGAGCTGCGACATTGCTCGGCTGTATTTATCTGACCATTGGCGAAGTGCGTGACCTATTAGGAACCCCGTGATGAGCATACGCACGTCTCTCTATAGAGCTCGTCCCCCTTACCGTCTGTTAATGTACCATTGTCGGACTGTGCGTTGTAATCGATTTCAACCATTTGGCACCATCCACCTCGGCGCAGACACCGGAGGATATCACGCATGTATTCGGTCCATCGGTTACGGTCGATGCCTCCGGCTACAAGTCTGCTATTCACGAGGTCGAAATGATTGGAAGGAAACGAAAGCCTGCAAATATACTAGTTGAGATTTCCGTTCTGATAATCGAGCATTTCGGTTCTTACGGCATATTCAAGTTGTCGACATTAAGATAGAGGTTTTCAACACTCTCCTCGGGGTTATAATGATGGGGGCTCACGTCGATGCCAATGACCTAAACTCTCCAATGTTAGCTAACAGAGTCTAAAAATGATGAACATGTCTTTCCGCGAGCCGACTGTTAGCATCAAGCTCACCAAACCAATCTTCTTGCGGCTGAAACGCGCCGGCTGCAGCGGCTTTCTAGCTCTGGCCCATGGCTGAGGGGACGAATCCCCAACAGAAGCCTATCGCATCGCAAGAGGAGGTAGACGAGTTTTCCGCTCGAAGGCGTAGATGTTAGAAAAGACTCTGCCGAGGGGGTTTGGTCCCTGAGATTGGGAATCCGTGGAGTACGACCGATGCAAGAAACGACTCTATACGTGCCTCGCACCTAGGATTCTCCCAAGCCACTTGGAAAGCCCACATTCCCGTTCCGAAGCCACAGTCGAGTACTCGCCTTAGGGCACCCATAGGTGGGAAGATAGATCTCCCGTCGAATACCATGGCCAAGACGTCGTACTGTATGCGCAAACGAATGGTCTCATCCTGCGAGAGGTGCGTCGAAATCAGTTTGTGGGTCCGATTCGAAAAGGAGTCTTTGGCGTCTGCAGACCTCGTCAACAGGCACAAGATATATCCTGCGGTCCACTGAACAACGCTGGTATATTCTGTTGTGGTGGGTAAAAGTTTCGCGCACTTCGTCGGTGACCTCTTCGGTGTCGGCGTGCCTATTGGCGGTTTAGTGAGCAGAACACTTCTGCTAAGGCTTAGGGTATATCTACCCAGTCATTTTATAATAACGCTAATTCGGTTAAGGGGAACCAAGCAAAAGCAAAATATCTAGTTGAGGATACAGTGAGGCTGTCTTCCAGCTAACGGGCTATGTGTTCGAGATAATGTGTGGTCTGGATGAACAGCCATAGGCTCCCGAATGGCGGTTTTTATCCAGTCCGGCATGCTCGGTTTGGGGCTTCCAACACCATCAACGCTCACCACCCTCTCGACGAGGAGGCCGTCTGATCTCCTCTTCACTAGGTACATGGGGACCGTTAGTGGAAAGTGGTATATTGCAAGAATAATAAAGCTGTTTAGGCGTGTGTGGAGCCAATGGCCCGGTCAAACAACCACATTGGTCACACGTCCACAGCTTGCACCCCACGAGCTTTCTGCTGTTCGCCGATCCTAGGTACTACGGTTACTCCCTACGTATGCATCAGACCTTCCTGATCAAATCAGCTCAGATATAGACCATTGAAGCATATGGACAGGCATCTGAGTTCCCTAGGCCTGTTCCTCTCTCTCTCTACCACTCCATGACCCAATGCACCCGCACTAGTTCCCGTCTCTCTCTTGCATCGTCCATCGGAAAGAGAGACGTTGCTGCCCAAGCCTGCTTCTTTACTTGTTATTCTTGGCATATACTCCGCCCAATGGCTATTTGATTTGGGCGCTGCGGAGGTTCACATTGCATTGAATGACATATAGCGCAGAAACGGTCTTATATCTGGCTAGGTGGGATTAAGCAGCCACGTATGAGACTTAACGTATGCTTGTGATTGATCGTACCGGTTTGGTAGTCTCTCGGTACTCTAGTTAACTACCCTTTCTTTAAAGTTGCTGACAGTTCACTGTACTGTGCCTCGTGTTGCTCTCAGCAAGATCTGGTCAGTTAATGCGGCCGTAACCAAGGGTTTGGAATTTTGGACGGCTTTGTAGCCGCGTTCAGCGCGAAGAGCTTCTAAACGACCCTAGAGATTTGACAGCGGCAATAGGGGATAAGAATCAAGGGAGTCTTCGGCGAGCATGAAAACGGCTCCGCCTACGCATTTTTAGCCTGGTTTTAGAGGAACCAGCAGAATTCCATAGAGCTGTGGTTAAGGGAGTTCGGGGACCCAGCTCTCTGGACCGGCCGTGGCTTCATTTCCATGTGCCCCTATACGGAGTACACGCAGGATGACGGCTACACCAACGGGGTACTCATAACACTCGCAGGCCTTGGCTACGTCTTAGGATTCTTACAACCTACCTTGCCGCCAGACGTCCCAGAAAGCTAGATTTCAGAACCCCGGCGAACTACCACGGGCAAGACGCACGAAAGTCTTTGGTAAGCATGCCGGATGCAGCCTGAGTCAGAGAGAATATATTACTTGCCGATGACTTTTTAATCTACCTACTACGTATTACGGATGTGGTCAGTCATAGACGGATTTTACGTACATAGAGGGCCATCACGACGACAGGGATAAGGACCTCGAATGGCCTGCCTGGTTACAGTAACTTGTTCGCAAGGTGACTAGCCCAGATCATTTATGTCCACTTAGTATTAGTACATATGCGCGAGGGAGCAGGCTCACCCGGGTCCTGGGACGACGAGATTGGCGTGACGATCGCGGTGCCTACTATTACTTACAGCTCCTTATGTGCGACTACCCGGACGGTGAAGAGATTACGGAATTTCCTTCTTTTAGTATGGCTTCCTCACACCGCCACTATGGTCTGATGAAAACTAAGTTTAACAACCCGGCTAAGAATCAGCAACGGTGCTCGACCGTCAAATGGCCGTCTTCCCTAGTTTGTTTTTTGGTCTAGGACGACGTGCTGCAGGCGGCGTCTCTGGGACCGCCAGGGGATGTTTATTATGCCTCGCACCCATTTAATATGGGCTAAAGGATACCTAGCATCACAAGAGATCAGAACAAAGCGGGCCGTTGCAGTGGAGATAACATAGCATTAAGAGGGACGACGCTAGAAATTTGGGGGGGTGGCGGCGATCTCCAAGTGGCCGGTACGGCGGTACCAATACGCTTCTGGGCTGAAAAGTACAGTACAGTACCGGCCTCTGCCGCCGAGGGTTTGCCATTCAGCAGAACGAAAAGGGGACACTATCCTATACTGGCAACCGCTTCGACAACTAGAGTTCCTTGCTGATATACGTAGCAAGGCCATCTATGTTGAACTAGATATCTTAGCGGCTCGTAGCCGGCTTCACAAGCTGCAAAAAAAGCATACGAAAGCTAAGTCTAGTGAAAGTCGATATCCACGTTTCTGGTAAAAGCTCTTTACCGAGAAGAATGGCAGAGATCCATTCGTTGTTCGACGCTAGCAAGTTACCCCTGGTCTACAGGCAGGACTATGGTCGGGACCAGGCCCACACATGGTTAAAGCCTCTGTGCCCTCATACATACAGTACTACTCACGCACGCAATTTTTCCTTGCTGCTGGGACGGCGCCCGCCCCTCTGGATCACATTCTTCATGCTTCGCGACGGGTCTTCATGTAAGCCCCGGTTGAAGTCGGCATTTCCGGGATTTCGGTTTAAGTTTTGGCTCCTTGCAAACCTGCGGATCTCGATTATAGCCTCGTTGAAGCATCTCAACATCTCACAGTCTAATCTGTACCTGTCCTTCACCGTCGTTAATCCCTTCGTCATCATCGCAATCATGTGTCTTACTCTAGTGAGCCATGCATTAGCGTGTACCAGAGTATCGGGTCAGACATTACAGGCGTGATCGTATCCGGATCTAAAAGAGAAAAATAGCGGAAAGAAAGCGCTTCGACGACTAATTTGGGCCAGCCTCACTCTCCGCTACGATGATCGCCAATGGTAAACCTTGCTTATTATTACCCTGCGAATCTGCCAATACTCGATAGCCGTGGCTATGTACCGTCCTCTCGGCTGCTACATACTCTGTTTGTAGAGAGAATAGCCCTCGTAAGCAAGGATACCGTAGTAGTGTAGCTAGCGGGCACGGTACAGTACGCAAGCGCAAGCGATCTCCATCACGTGCGAATTGGGAGGGTTGCAGATGAGTTTGGGATTGAATATACATGGCCTTTGTACCACCAGCCCGAAGGGCTGGATCTATTTCCCGGAGGAGCTTGGCTGGCCTACCAACGCTAGAAATAGAGGGGTCGGTAAGAAACAGGGTGTTACCCTGCGGGAAAGTCTACGTACAGTACTTTACGCCTGGTTAGCTGGTTAGGAACCCCTTTGAGGCTAGATTGGCTTGCAGTTCTCCCGTCCATGCGCTACCCCTTGATTGGTAGGGTTAATCCAAGCCAAGACGTCTTTTCAATTCCCAGCGCTCCTTTCGGGTGCGGCAGCATGCAGACGCGAGGCGATGGTGCCTTACCGCCTACGCGGGAACGCCTTACATGTCCGTTGCGACTTTGGAGTCAATGCTTGGGAGCCCGGAGCGTTGAAACTGTAACGAGGCTTCTTACCCAGCAGGCTGGTAAGTCGATCTCATGGGTAGCCTGACGACATTTCCGCGGGACCGGTTTGAGGATCTATCTCGCCTCTTGTCGTCTGATAGACAGATAGGTAGATCAGATAGATGTCTTCCCCACGGAGAAGCGAGGCGAAACAAAACGCAACCTCGCTCACCATTCGGTGTGCCGTCTACTCGGGTCACTCTGGATCAGCTTTTCGATATTGCTACATAGTTTCAATAATTTATTTTCTGGTCTCGCCGCCCTCGCCGCCGCTCGGTTACAATGACGTACATCTGGAGGCCTCTGACGATGGTAGATTCAAGCATCTGCCGAGGCAGCGCGGCATGCTACCCTCCCCTCCAAACCCATCACCCAGCATACGGCGGCATAGCATGCAGGCTGTCCCGTACCGCGACGTAGGATATTGCTAGTATATCCAAGACATGGGTTCCTGATACGCGGAGTAAAGTCCATGAAGGTCGACCTGATAGGTACGTCAATAGGGTGGCAAGGCAGAGTAGTAGTCCCGGGCATGCAAACATGCAACGTGAGCTGTTCTTGAGCCCCCAAAGCCGCGCCATCATTCTGATACGTCAAGTTTATTTTTAATTCTCGTCTCTTTTTTTGGATTATTTTTTTCTCTCCCTTTCCATCTTGACATTCACGCCCCCTCATCTCCACACCCTCTCCTTTCGGCTTCTGCTTCGGTGTATCAAGGAGACGCTACTGGACCTTGTCAGCTGTTTCGACGTAGGTAAGGCGCATGGAAGTAACGCGAATGGAGGAAATAAGAGGGGAAAGGGGTCAGAGAATGGGAAAAGGGCAGAGAGAGGGTTATGTTATGTATGGGAACGTGGTACGCGACACCCCTGGATTTGGAATGGATTTAGAAGACCGTCTGCGGCATAGGCAGGCGAGGCAAGGCAAGGCGAGCGAACAGGGTCAAGGTAGGTGGTCCCGACGGCAGCGTCCTTCGGGCAGACCCCCAATCGCGGGCCGTCCGGGGTCTCGGTCGGGGGGGTCAAGTGTGGGTTTGACATGGTTTTTTTCTTTGGCTTTTTCTGCTTTGCTGGGTCTTTGGGTCTTTGCCGGGTTTGTCTGGCTAGGGGTCTGTATTGTACAGATACGCTGGGATGTGACAGGTCACATATCATATTTCCTTTTTTTTCCTTTCCCCTTCTTTTTTCCCCCCCTTCCACCTATTCCCTGAACCCTGACACGCTGTCCCTCTCTCTCGGAACCGTATTTTCTCTCAACCGTTTTAATTTATTATTATGGGGGGTTTCTCTTCAACATTATTGTTGTTTTTTTTCTTCAGTCACTTGTGACTTGACCTTTTCTTTCTTTCTTAGTAAGCGGACAACAGCTCCTGATTATTATCGTCATTGCTGGGTATGATTTTTATTATTCGTATTATATCATCATCATTATCATCATTCTTACTTTCCTGGTCTCGTCTTTCTCCTCCTCTCCTGGCGTAGTCGCATGTAGTGACGATTGGGGAGACGGACATGTCGAGTTTCTAGAATACTACTTTCTGGTCATTGGTTCCCGAGCCCTGGTAAGCCAGAGTGCCGACCCGCCCCAACCGTCCCAGCCGCGCGTGTTGGGTTTCTGGGACTCGCTCCTGGACGGCATGGCATGGCATAGCATTACACTACCTAGTATAGCGTGGCAGCGTGGATATTAGTATTGGCAAGGGTATGGCATGGTTAGACGACTCCACCGGTAAAGATTTCTTCAATGCTGGATGTACATACATACATACCCACCTTGGTATGTACAGTTACCAAGTACAATACCTTGGTAGGTAGCTCAGCTCAGCTCACGGACCAGGAAATCAAATCGTCCTCCCCTAGTGAGGTATGTACCTACCTAGGTACCTAGGTATGTACATTGAAACTGGGCGGCAGGGTGGGTACGTACATCGTACATATATCTACGATTGTTCGAGTGCGAATTCCCGCGTTAAGCCCGGCGCTGTTCCACTGTGTCGGTAACAGCTAAACTTCAGCGCATACACAATTTTGATATAAAAAAAAACATCGCGGAAACAAAAGCAATAGCGAATATCCCCAACATTCCCGTATATACATATGTACGCACCTGTAGTGGAAATGACACAAATATGTATGGTATGTACCTAATGTTAGGTATGTCTTACGATTTATATGTAGGCTCCATAGCGCGTAGAAGCTCTAGATTTCGTAGCCTGCCGTGCCGTGCTGTGCCGTGCTATGTATGCTATGCTAATGTCATGTTATGTTATGCTAAGCTGCGCTGTGCTCTGTGCTCTGTGCTCTGTGCTCTCTGTGCTCCTTGCTGTTGTACACACTTTGATGACCACTTGTGATGATGACCAATCCATGGCTGTTCCCCGTCTACCCATACATATAAGATCATGCAATTCAATCAATGCCCGTTTCGTACCCGTGCCCTCTCTGTCCATGCCACGATGAGACGCGCGCCCTTATTTCTTACTTCTTCCTTTTTTCTCTTTTCTTTTCCATTCCGTTCCGTTCCGCCGAGCCGTCGGGCAATAGCAAATACGAGAAACTTGCTTTGCTTTCTCTAGCAGGGTCGAATTGCTATTGTACATACATACTTACTGATGGACAGACACATATACGTAGGTAGGTATGTGCGTGTAGGTATGTGGGAACGAACAAACTAAACATGTGACCTTCTCTCTCCTCTCCTGTTCTCATTATCGTTTTGGATGTCGTTGGGTTAGGTTAGGTAGGTAGGCAAGCGCTTAGCACCAAGTGAAGACCGGATTCCTAGCCTTGACGGTCTCGAGCCGCTCCACGATCACTTTCCGCCTATTACCATCCATCGTTTCAGCCGCGGCGTACCCCAAATCTCCTTCCATGTCGTCCTCGTCGTAGGCATTTCCGTTGCCGTGGAGCTTCGCGGCGAGCGAGTTGCCATTGGTGCCCGTCGCAAAGGAGGACCGCCGTTCCTTGCGAGGTGTATACGTGTTCACCTGCGTGCGCGACGGACCCTGATAACTTGACCTCGGGGGACGCGATAGTTGCGGACGGGTACTTGATGACAAGGCGTCGAACGGGTTCTGGGGATCGGCTCGTTCTGGAGATTGCTCGTGGGAGCTCGCGAGTTCGAAACGCCCGGGATTCGGTAGCGGACTAGAGAACCCAAGTAGATCGTCAACGGTACTGGCAGGTGCTGATGAGTTGGCCGCGCCGATGTCCATTTCCTCCTCGATAGTGCTGTGGGCCTCGGGTTCGGCCCTACGACGCGCTTCGGACGATGTGGCGCGCATGGGCACGGCGACGGGGACTTCGACCAAGTCGTCCCAAACACATACCCTAGCGCGTCGTGTAAGTTCTAGCGGTCCATGGTCCGGGGTCTTCAGCGTTTCGACCACGTTCCAAGCCTGTCCCTTCATTACGGCCATCTGTCGGGAGAACATCTTCTCCTGAAAATCGGGGTCGATTTGGAAAACTTTTCGTAGTTCGAGCGAAGTCTGGCTCCACCATTGGGTAGAAGTGAGAAGAGGTAGGAAGTGATCCCGCGTTTTCTGCGAGAAAGGTCGCCCGATAAGATCAACGGGGAGGAAGAGCCAACCAAAGGGGAAACTATCAATGGTAAGTTTAGCTTCTTAGACAACGTGGGGAATGAAATTCAAGTACCTTCGCCATGCGTCCGGGTGTTTCCATGGCCATGATAATGAGTTGTCGATCGCTCCGAGCGAGATCTTAGGATCGGGGACCTTGCTCGTGCTTGTGCCCGTTGCATTCATAGGTTTTTGGGCTTTATAGGGGTTAGGACTCCTCGAGTTTCCCCTCGCTGGTAATTGAACAGGTCTTGCAGGTTGTTGTTCGTCGTCTTCTTCTCCTACATCCATGTTAAGTTGTGGAGGTTCGGAAGTAATCGAGACTGCTTGGGTTTCCCAATCAACTTTTACCATCCAGTTGTCGAGACCTCTATCCGTATTCCGCATGATGTAATCTAAGATGACAAGCTTTTCGAGCTCTTCCCGGAACGACTGCTTTAGCGACTCGGTCCACCTAAAGTTGCCGGGTCCAAGAGGTTGTTGTTCAGGGCCATTGCGTTCGTCTTCGCTCTCACTGTCGGCATCACGAGGTGCTCTACTAGACGGTCGACAATTTTCTGCCCATCTTCTTTGCTTATGTCGGTGAGTGTCGTTTGAGCGGAAGCTAGACCAATACTGGTCCGGCCAAGGGTTTTCCCTTAGGAAGACGTTGGCATCTTTAAACCCCTTAAGGAATACCTGAAAACTACCTGGCTTTGCTGGAAGAGGCTTCCCTTTCCTGTAAAAGCTCCGGCGGTCCCAATACGGATAGTGAAACGACTTGGATGATAGCCAAATAACATCGGTATAAGGGACTATGTGGGTGCGGAGTTGGCAATCAAGAACGTACGCTGCTGCCTCGCTCACGTACGAGAGATTGGGTATTAGACTGTAAATGAATTAGAATCTTGGTTATTTACTTTATATATATATATATATGTGTGTGTGTGTGTGTATTAGGTACTTACCATGCTCGGCCAAAACAACAAGGAAATAAATTTCGATGAATCCATTTGTTCCACTTGGGGTTTCCGGCAGCGTAGGGTTCTTCATCCTTGGGCTTGAACACACCAACAATCTTACCGTCGGTATTCCGCGCAAAATAACTCCCCGAGCTACCTTGGGTAATCAAACTCGGATGCATACCTTGGTCGATGGCGACTTGCACGCTCTCGACGATAGCTTCGAATTCGGCCTTGGACATGGCGGGCTCGGGCATGGTGGCAAGCGTCTCGGGGGTCGCGGGTCGGACACCTTGAGGGGGTTGAAAGACGCTGTAATGAATTTCGAGACGCTCCTCTTCACCTAAATTGTCCCTCCCCTTCCCCCTTTTGAACTTTGATGCGATTTCGTCGGCCCATCGTTCTAGACGAGCGTTGATAGCTTTGAGGTCGACACCCGAGTTGCTTCGCCTTCGCCTTGTTTGATATTTGAGTTTCGTGAGCCCCTTTGGCGACGTCATGCCCGAGTGAGGCCTCGGTTGTGCGAGGGGCGCATAGCGGGGAGCAGATTGAGGTTGAAGCGATGCGGAGCTCTGGGCTAAGGGATCATCTTCGGAATCGTCGTCGCTAAACTGATCAGCCTGGGCCAGGCGTTCGTAGCCGGTCGTAGCCGGGCGACTTGGAGGCATGGCTGGGCGGATGCTAGCAGATATGATGTATGTGTGATGTATGTGGATTAAGAGGGTCGGGTCTGTGATCTGGTCTGTGGTCTGTGGTCTGTGGTCTAGTCCCTTGGAAATTATCGCATTGTATTAATGAAAGATAAGGTCAAAATTGTATGTTAGGCTTGCTTTGGTCCTGCCCCTGATTTGTTCTCGTATCTAATTAATAAGGTAATAAGGTAACCAATACCTAACGTCGGTGGCTTTTCCAATTCCAACTATGGGGCTAAAGAATGGAAATAGTAACAAAGAGGGACTGTAAAAAATAACACAACGCCGCCAAGTATCTCGACGTGGAAGAAGAAGAAAAAAGGAAGGAAGATACGGTTCGATGTTAGCGTCGGTTGTATGAGGTATGTAAAGTTGAATGTTCTCCTAGCTGAAGATGTTGAAACACGTCACGTCAATAACTAAGAGGCGTATTCCATTCCCTAAAAGATCTAGGTAGGTACCTAGATATGTATGTACTAAACAGGTAAACCCCACAAGGGTGCATACGGAATACTCCATTACCTAATTGAAAAGCTTCGGAGTTGGGCACGACGTTAGCTTATTGGATGATTAATACAGAATATTGTTCAATATCTTTATAAGCAGTATGTATTCCGTACATCTTCAACAACTCATATTAATTATACCTAAATACCTATCTACATACAAAGTGTCTATGTAGGTAGAGCATTGACTTGAGCTGTTAGCAATACATAGTAAAAATAAAAAGGGACTGGTAAGGGATGTCGAGATTATATCGAAATTCCTACGTTTCTACATAGTAAGCTTCCCCCCTTATCAAGTGCTTAAGGGCCACTAAACTAGGTTACTAGGTCTAAGACTCTAAATAGTACCAACCCCACCTATCGGAGGCTTCCGCTACCGTTAGCTCATACATCTAAGAGGGATCGTTTCATCGTTTCACAGCTTACCTTTAAGTAGTGCAATTACGTACATATTTCTACATATAGGTCTCTCTTATAGGTATCTCTCACGCCTACAATCTACCTAGGTCCGTAGCAGCCAATTTACCAGTTTACCTAGATCAATTCACGAATTGCCTCAAACAAGCAACACAACAGCACGGATATTCACAAACAGCATTCTTTTTCCTCGAATCAAATGAAATCGACTTTTCACAATAGTAGCAGATCATCCTCAATCGCCCTCAATCGCTCCAATAAGATTCATATCACGCGATCCCGTACATGATCATAATCCGACCGCATTGCAATAGGCTGAGTTACCCGAGCCATCTGCAACTTGAGTTGTACCAAACTCGCATATCTATCGAACCATCTAAGCTTCGTTGTTCGACATACTACGTACATAGTCTGAGCTCGCCAACTTTTAATTCCAAGCCCGGCATATCACCGTTTCCCGTTTCTCCTTAGGCCCTTAGTCGAGAAAAAGGGAGAGGCTCCAGCTTAGTTGTGTCCACTCAGCTGCTACCCTGGAAGCCTGGGCCCAAACTGAGTTTCTCTGGTTCGACACAAATTTACGTCAGTTCCACCGGATGGTCGGCCAATCGTATCTAATCCATCAGTCCAGAGATGCACCAATCCAAGACGGTCTGATTTGAAGATCCCAGGAGTGAACTTGCAGACTTGTCGATCCTAACCCTGCCATTTGGCTCCTGTAGCTTATACGACACCAAGTCCCCTTGATCTATGGTCTCTTTTGATCTATGGTCTCTTTTGATCTATGGTCTCTTCCCACCTTGCGGTTCCTGGGGTTTATCTTGGCTTTCCCGTGCCGATGTGATCCAGATCACTTTCTAGGATCCTCTCTTATTTAGACTATTTCCTCTCAATTCTTCACCGTCTTCCATTTCTCGTATCCCTTCCCGTGACTCGAAACACTCAGCTGTATTTTTTTATATCTTCCTAGCCTGCCCCCTCTATTGTGCCTTGCATCTTGCCCCATCACTGGCTCAAATGATCTAGGACTTACCCCTATCTACTGTCTTAAGACTTACCTCTTTTACTTCTCTAGTCGACAAACGAGATTATCGTTTTGTTTCAAGTAAAACACAGTTCAACATCCCAATCACACCAGTTCACCGCCGCCATATTCGAAATGGCCGCTCAAACAGCCAACGAAAGCTTTATCGACATCACCATTACAGCCTTCTCGTCACCCGAACCTGATAATCAACGAGGACGGAAACGTCGGCGTAGCCCGCCAGAAACCTTAGCAGCTGCAGCAGCTCGATTACCGTCAGCAGAGTCTGCTACTTTCCGTGGACGATGCAGACACCGTTCATCTTCGAGACTCGATATATCTAGAAACACATCACGACTCAGAGGAGGGTCCCTATCTCCAACCCGCAGAAAGCTGATTCGCGTTGTTCAATTGAACCGTCATCGAAGCCAATCACCATCTAGATCCCGCTCTCCGGCTACACAAGAGGCTTCGAAGAGAAGGCGACAAAGAACACAGAGTCGAGGCCGAAATCACAATAGCGAGTCAAAGAAAGTCACTGAACCTATCGTCGCTTCGTTCCTTCGCCATGAAATTGTGATCAGAAGTGACAGCCCGTCTCAGAAATCGAAACAGAATGGATAATTCGGTCAGGGCTTAAGTTGGGATTCCGAATACTACAAATCCAACAATAGCTACGCCTACACAAGGCATGGCATGGCGTTGGAACAATGTGATGTTGTATTAGGTTACTACTGCCGCCGAGCATTGTACAACAAAAGCATTACCATCCGACCACAAAGGGCTGGTTCGAAGGTGACAAAGTTAGGTAATACTTTACCTCTAATAGTATTAAAAAGTCAGTCATGGAAACAGGGAGCTTGCTTAACTCACCTGTAAACTAAAAGCAACAGGATATCGGTGCATCATTTATCTATTTGGATGGAAAGGGGGGAGGGTATGACAAAAATACGGAATGAGACCAATATAAAAATCTCATGTATGTTAACTAATGGTATGTTAGGTAATTGGAAGTCAAGATAAGAAAGATCAGTTCAAGATACCACCGATATCGTATCACTATCAGGCAGTCAGGATACCTACCTACCATACATAATTAGAAGGCTCGAGACAAGGCAAATGACAAGCCCGGGGATGCGGACACGACTATGGGATTGGTGCCAAGAGACCCCACAGCGACGATGCCTGCATCTGCATCAGGTTAATTGGGTCTTCTAGATCTGCGGGGCACGTGGCCTGGGGAGTACAGAGGTGAAAAAGTGAAGACGGGCTTGACAGGCTTGACAGGCTTGACGGGTTGAGATTAGTGCGCTCAGCTGGTCAGCAGACCAATCAAGCATTTTTCAGCATTCGTTTTTGATTTGCGACGCGTCAGGCAGGCAGGCAGGTTAGCAGCGAGGGAGCATCTCAGGTAGTATGTCAGTATGTATGTAGTATAGCTGCATCCTCGGCGGGCAGGCGGGGTGTGTATTGTACATAGTAGCTGCGCCTATCGGTATCCAACCCTGCCTGTTATATATACCCAAAGTACCTATACCTATGATATATTCGAGATATACGTAATACTATACCTACTTAACCCAACAATAAAGTACGTATACTTCTCTTGGTTTCTCTTGGTAAGTACCCCTTCCATACATGTGGGTAGGGTCGATACTTCTCACGTCAACATCAACCTAATGCATCCCGAAATGTTCCTAGTCAACAAGCAATCGACCAACCAACTTTGCCCGTTCTACGAATTTCAGAAGCTTGACTGTCACATCCACTCACCACTCACAACTATCTCACCCTACATGGTACCTAACATTGTCCTCGTGACGAAGTTAACTATTTGAGATTTTTTGTTTTTCTGTATGTGTGTTTTTTTTATTTTTCTTTTGAGATGGATGTTTAAATTTCAGGCCTCACGCCAAACCGCAAGTTTATTACCTGCCCACTCGCACCTACCTTACTTAACGTATTATTTACCTACCTAGGTACATATATACTCGGCGTACCTGCCTTATATCCCACGTCCCGACCCCGACCGTTCTTTCACGCCTTCTCACCATCATTCGAACCAGCCTTGCCGATGCCCATCTCCACCTACAAAAAACAACTTCTTCGGGCGGGCGCCTTTCTTTGTCTATAACCTCTATCTGCCCTCGAGGACGTATTAACAACAACAACAGTTCTGCATGTAGCCCCGCCTCGCCATTCACAGCGACAAGCCAGGAAGGCATATAATATAATATGGCCTCAAACAACCATTCACAGGGTAACAGCCCTCTTTACAACCCTGTTTACTCACCCTCACCTACTACAAGTACTACAAGTCAGAGCAACCCTCCCCAACCAATACAACCAGCACAACCAGCACAGCCAATACAATCAGTTCTACCCACAAAGAGACCTCAAGATGATACTGACAATTTGTCCTTCGATTCAGCCTCCATGCAGAATGGATCCTCGAGACTTAATATGAACCCAGCCCTCCTACTTAATCCTAAAGGCTACTCTGCCCCTACTCCGCCTACTCGACCAAATGCGCCAGCCCGCCCTTTTAGCAATTCGAATAACTCGGCCGACATCGAATTCCAATTCAATAGTCCCGATTTTCAGTTCTCCAACCCGCCGAATGGCTATACGACCGCCATCAGTCAGTCTATGCCGCAATCTAGCAATTTTAGCAATATGATTGACCGCATGAACAATGTGGAGCAGCGTACATTCAATCCTCAAACAAAACGTCGAAAGCTCGAGGCGGAAGATAATGTTAGTCCGGCGCACGCGTTTAGAAGCGGCGGCGGCGGTGGGGTTGTTGGGCAATACGTGAAGGAGAGGCGACAAGAGGGAGGCAATCAGCAATTACCAACCAGACCAGTCGAGGCCGTAGACCTTACTGACAGCGGTAAGCTACTCTTATGAACTCAGCTCTGAATATCTACCTAATATTTCGATAGTGGAGGAAGATGACGTAGCCGTGGTACAATCTCCCATGGATGAAGAGATCTGTTATGGCATGATCCAACACGCGAGTCTTAATTGTCATATCGTTCCAAGTCCCAAACCAGGCACCATCACAGTCATGGAAAACCACTGGCCTCAAGTAAAGATAATCCTTAAAAGAAACTTTGGGGAGACATCTTCTATTATTCACGCCTACGACCATACGCGCAAGATAGTTGGAACTGTCGATGCCAGCACCGCGTCCGGCCTCGTGGGCTTATTGGACTCCAACCTTCAGCTTAGAACCGACTGCAGATTACCTACGAGGCAGAAGGTGGCAGGGGAAGAATCTGGAAAGCAGATCTCAAGAAGCTATGTTCTTGCTATAATGCTTTATGGCCCTCGGAAAAATGGCAAGACAGTTGCGAGACATCTTTCCCGGAAGAATCTTTGGCTTTGTGGTCCCCTGAGGCTTGATCCTAGTGTAAAATACGAGAATCCACAGCTTGCCGATGGACCTAAGCCTCCACCAGTTATCAAGGAGCCGCTCAAGATGATTCCTACTGCGGCTGCGTCGGTCCCATCTTCTATGATGGCTAGCGTTGAAGAGATCCGTTCTGAAGTCATGGGGGTTTTTGACTCTCTTACAAAGAACGAAGAGCTTCCTGAGGTGGAACCCGACCCTCGAGTACAGACGGAACTTTTAAAGCACCAGAAACAAGGACTCGGCTTTATGATGAACAAGGAGCTGCCTCGCCAATTCGGCAGTGATGGCAAGGCTGTCGGTTCTTTCTGGCAAATCCGTCTAGGTAACAACGGCCAGAAGACGTATTACAACGTAATTACTGGAAGCGCGCAACGCGAAGCCCCTCCCGAGACCCTCGGTGGTATTCTTGCGGATATGATGGGTCTAGGAAAGACGCTAAGCATCTTATCTCTTGTTGCTAGTTCCCTCAAGGCAGCCGACGAGTGGTCAAAGCTTATGCCTATTCAGCCACAGGCTCCTCCTATGCCCAAGAAGAAACCCAATTCTTCGGGACAGTTTGACGTGCCCACACCACAGCCGCTTGGTTTGACCCAACTAAAACTGAACGCCAAAACAACACTTTTGATATGTCCTCTCAGTACGATAACGAATTGGGAAGAGCAAATCAAGGCTCACATCCAGCCTGGTCAGCTGACGTATTATATTTATCATGGATCCAATCGCATTAAGGATCCCGAAAAGCTTGCCACGTTTGACCTCGTTTTGACAACCTACGGGTCTGTTGCTAGCGAGGTAGCATCCCGTAACAAGGGCAGGCAGGGTTCATATCCTCTCGAAGAGGTAGGATGGTTTCGTGTAGTCTTGGACGAGGCCCATATGATACGAGAGCAGTCTACTCTACAATTCAAGGCTATATGCCGCTTACAAGCCAACCGCCGTTGGGCCGTTACCGGCACCCCCGTCCAAAACAAGCTAGATGATCTCGCAGCATTACTTGCCTTCCTCCGCCTGAAGCCGTTTGACGATAAGAGCAAGTTTACAACACACATCACAGCCCCCTTTAAGATTTGCGACCCGGAGATTGTCCCGAAGCTTCGGATTCTCGTAGACAGTATCACTCTTAGACGTTTGAAGGACAAGATCAATCTCCCTCCCAGGACGGACGAAATCGTAAGACTCGAATTCTCTGCTTCCGAGCGCAAACTCTACGATATATTCGAAAGGAATGCGCAAGACAAAGTACAGGTTTTGGCGGCAGGCAGGGAGAAAATGATCGGCGGTAGGACATATATTCATATTCTTCAATCCATTCTTAGACTGCGTCTTATCTCTGCGCATGGCAAGGATCTTCTCAGCGATGAAGACCTAGAGGCGGTGCAGGGTATGACTCAAGAATCTGCCATTGACCTTGACAGCGACGAGGACGAGGAGAAACCCGCATTGGCAGAATCAAGAGTTTATGAGGCTTTTGAGCTCATGCAGGAGACTAACAGCGACTTATGTATATCCTGCCAGAAAAAGATTGGCTCAAATGATAGTGCTAGTATCGCGTCAGAGCGCGAAGAGGATGTTCTCGGCTACATGACTGCTTGCTTTCATCTTCTCTGTCCTACTTGTATCACGAACTGGGAAGAGGAGGTGGGCAATCACGGTTCAGGTACATGTCCCGTCTGCCAGGCCCACGTTCGCTTTACCTACAATGAAATTCGCAAGAGCAAGGCCGAAGTCGAACACGAGGGGCACCATCAATCACATAAGTCGGAAACAAAAATAAGAACGAAAGATGGCTATCCGGAATATTCGGGACCTCACACAAAGACTCGTGCACTTGTCGATGACCTCCTGAGAACAAAAGCCGATAGCGAGGCTCGCCCTGACGAGCCCCCATTCAAGTCGGTTGTCTTCTCCGCTTGGACGTCTCATCTCGATCTTATTCAGATCGCATTGGACAACGTTGGGATTCGATACACTCGCCTTGACGGTAAGATGAGTCGAACTGCCAGGACCGCCTCCATGGATGCCTTCCGGGAAGACAATTCGGTGCACGTGATATTAGTATCCATCATGGCCGGTGGCCTCGGCCTGAATCTTACTTCAGGGAACTACGTCTACGTGATGGAGCCTCAGTACAACCCGGCAGCAGAAGCACAAGCTGTCGACCGTGTCCACCGACTCGGTCAGAAGAGACCCGTACGCACGGTTAGATATATCATGCGAAACAGCATCGAGGAGAAAATGCTCGAGCTTCAGGAGAAGAAGAAAAAGCTCGCAAGCCTTAGCATGGACAGAAATCGGGTTATAGATAAGGCAGAGGCGGCGAAGCAAAAGCTCATGGATTTACGCAGCCTTTTCAAATAATGACTTGCTCGTTTCTACAAGACTTGGCGAGTGCCTTATATTTACTTCCTTAAGGGGCGTATAATGGCGTTTTCATGTTCTCGGCAATACTTTAAAGGGCCAGTTATCTATATTGCATTTGCGCGGTGTTTTGGTCGTACTCGGCTGTACGAGGACCATTGCTGGCGAGCAAGTTAATTGACTATATTGCTAACGACTCACGAGGGATCGCCCTCAAGTACAAAGGGTCAAATTCAAAGATCAGCAACTTACTCTCGCGAGACGGCGTACGGCTCAGAAGGAATAAAATTACTTTCGAGAGGGAGAAGAGAGACGAGAGACGGTGGAATGCGTTTAAGGATGAGTTTACGTTGGAACAGGTCATGCCGACACGTTAATTAATGTATGTCACTTCTATTACTAATTGCGGATGAGGTTGTACTCTGCAGCCTCGTCGCTCGATACCAGAATCTGGCGGTTGTCGTCCAGACTAGGGGCGGGGCTTGACTTTGGCTTCGTCTTCCCGGATAGACCGAATGAATTACACGATAGAGTCCATGGCTCTCTTTTATTATCGTTGCCTTGCGTACGATGACGTTTCGTGGCTGTAACCAGTCTCTCGTAATTTCTATCTGGGCTAGGCTGTTCAGGCTGTTCTAGGCCGGCCGGCTCGTATAATCGAATGTCTTTCTAAACTTGATATTTCTGACATCACCGTGATAATGCCTCCTCTACGATTTCTTCTCGACTAGCTAAGAAGTGGTTTCGTAACTATTACATAGTCGTATGCACAATCTAGCCACAAGGCTTTCTTTCCCACCCCCATCCGTTGGGAGACAACCCAGCTAAGCCCAACTTGCCCAGAAAAAACCAGTTCGTGCGAGGGGAGCATAGGGTAGGTATCTAAGATCTTGGTTCCCCTCACATGGCTGCGTATGTAGCAGGTAGCTACTAGGTAGATAGATATGCTACCTACATGGCTACCTAACCTGTCTATACATATTTCCACGCGTGATCCTGTTCAATACTACGGTATATACCGAGGCATATAGGTATCACACGTGTATGTATATACGAGCATTGCATATATGTATGTATGTAGGTACGTATGCATGCATGAACGATCGAGTACCGGGCGCGAGCAAAAGGCATAGATAGATTCGGTAAGTACGAAGGATCTAAATTTGTAATTAATAGTTTGGATGTCTTGTTTATTATCTGTGGGGGAGGTAGGGCATGGTGTCGTATGTAATTATATAAGTACGTAGGGGAGCTGGTTAGTTGCTATACACTTTATATATGTATGTGTAAGCAGAGGCTTGAAGATGAGGTAGAGAGTACAGCACAACACCTCAAATCCTTCCTCTATTAATGTAAGTAGTCCTAGAATTATCAAGTTTCTCCTACAATACTCTCTTACATTGTCACTTATTGGCCAGTGCACTATTATAACCCATCGCAAAGCATCGAGTTCAAACTCGACAATATCACTAGTGAATCAAAATACTTCAAGTCTAAATCAACGTCATGTTCGATTTATGCTAGAGGTTTTCTTTCTCATATCAGTCCAAATTTGTAATCATTCAGTCTGTCGTAAGTGATACGCCAACGCCCATCGAATTGCATAGTAGTGAGCCCCTTTTCACCGATTTCCTCTAAACGCCGGAGGACGAGTTGCGTCAACATGCTTATACCGCATGGCCTTTTTATGTACATAAATTTTTAACCAAGGTCATCATCCGTCCAAGCGACCCGAACCTATCATTAACTTCATTAACCGCCTAAGCCGCATTGGCACCGGCGAGTGGCTGAGAGATTCTCGTGACTTGGTCACCGGCACGGACAATTCGTCGGCCAGATGAGTCGGTAACGAAGGCGCCTTCTTTCTCCATGTGTGCCTTCTTCCAGATTTCGACTTCACAGCCTCCTCGAAGAACACCGACACGCATGGTAGACAGGAGGTTATGGGCAGCGTTCGAATGGTCGTAGACACCACCGTTGAAGATAGCAGTAGCGTCTTTTCCAATGGCGGATGAGATAAGAGCCTTGCCGCCAGGGTGATCCTTGATGAAATCGGTGACGTCGTGGATAACACCGGCAACGGCGACCAGAGCCTTGCCGTTCTTGGACTCGCTAACATAGTCATCCCAGTCTATAACAGGTAGCTGTTCTAGAGGAACACCCCAGTCTAACTTGGATCGCTTCTGGTCGAGCTTCTTCTGCATCTGTTGGAGACGACCCTTCTCGATTTCGTTCTGACGGAATGTCTTCAGGTTGTAGGCAAGACCTAGCTTCTTCCAAGCCCAGATGCTCCACTTGGTCGGGTCATACTGCCACCACTCAATGGCGTTGCGGTAGTCAGACGGGAACTCGTGGTGGAAGTTGTGGTATCCCTCTCCAAGTGTGACAAGTGCGGTGATGACGTGGTCACGAGGAGAGTTGCGGTCGTCGAAAGGCTGGTCACCGAGCCAATGGGCAAGAGAGTTGACACAGAATGTAGCCTGCTGGATGAAAAAGATTCGAATGATACCAGCGTAGATGAATCCACCCCACCAGTCACCCCAACCAAGACCGCAGACCAGAGTCGGGAGAACGAGAGACATTGTGATGACGGACTTGATGTAGTGCTTGTGTTGCCAGACAACAACCGGGTCGTCGTTCAGGTCAGAGATATCGGTTCGGCCAATTCGCTTAGGGTTCTGCTTCATGACCATCCAGCCGATGTGAGAGTATAGGAGGCCTTTGCGGACGGAGTAAGGGTCCTTCTCGGTATCCGTATAACGGTGGTGAGCACGGTGACCCCTTGACCACCATCTGATAGAACCTTGAACAGCGGCAGCTCCCATAGCAGCCAGGTAAATCTTGATAGGCAGCGAAGCCCTGAAGGAACTATGAGCCCAAAGTCGGTGATATCCTGCCAAAATATTAGTATTTCAGTATTTCGGTAATTGAACAAAACGTGATATTATACAAACATACCAGCGGTAATACCGAGACCGGCATTGAAATAGTAGAAAATGGCGAAGAGAGCCGTCTTCAACTGGAGATCAATCCAGTACGTGCTGATCAACCCAGCCAAGGGAATGAATAGGATGAAGGTAGTGTTCAACCAGTTGACGTGTTTATACCAGTTGCTCCAGGTCAAAGGGAGTTCGGAAATATGCGGTTTCTTCGGGTCATGCAGCTTGGACGACCGCAACGGTTTGTAGTCCTTAGTGCCATCAGGAAACGCCGGGGCGGCAACGGGCCCTGAGGCATCCGTCGTGGCAGAAGCCATGGTTTGAGAATCGACGGGAGCTGAAGATGGGCAGAGTTGAATCAGCAAAGGCCCTCGGAGATCGGTGAGAAGGGGGGTATCGGGATAAGTGAACGACGAGGTTAAAGAGAAGGAATGGAAGGAAAGGATGTGGGAGTTTTAAAAAGATATATATTTATTATCGGGGTGGGAATGTTGGAGTGTAAAAGGCTTGTATTGTGTATTATTGTAGTATTGGATGTAGGTACAAGTGGATATGGGGAACAATCGGTGGGACGTACAACCTTGAACCCCCTGGAGCCGGGTGGACGGGTGGACGGGTGGCGGAAATGTATACTGAAAGTACTGAAAGTATTCGAAACCCCAGTCAGACCTGGTTAGACGTGTCTAGATGGGTGAATCGGGTGAATCTAGGTTGAGTCGGGTACCGATTAAGAACTTTTATCCCAACTCGTACCTGACGTGTAACTGCTGGAACGTAAAGCGGTGTAAGCGCTAATAGTTGACAGTAAACAGTATGTATTAACTGTAGCCTTCTTAGGGTTTTGTTGTTCAAAGAATATGCTTGTTGGAACAGCTTGTTGGAACAAAGTGATTCGACTAGAACGTCTGATAGTCGACCGATGGCTTATACGATTTACTCAACTGTTAAGCAAAAAGACACCATTTATTGCTAGTTATGAATAACAAAGTCACCACTTTTTGTAAAAAATAAAAAAAAAAAAGTGGAAGACGGTGGAAACCAGTAAGTACTTGGAAGCGAAACAAAGAAAATCGTAGTGTCAAAGTGACGATCAAGTTACGAATATCTGCTGTATGTACGTATCCTGTTATCTCTTCCTGCTTGAATCCTACTCGATCTGATAGGCGAAAGAGAATGCTGGGGTTGTTGAAGGGTGGTGGGAAGGGGAAGAAAAACCTGTTACATACGCGCGGGGCAATGAAAGCACAAAGTTACCAAGTACCTTACAGATACAACTGCTTACCCAGGTTGTTGCCCATTCCTTCTGCGGGCAACTTCCATCTCATGTGTTCTTTTTTGAAAGCTGTCTGAAATTTGTTGAATTGTTGGGGAAGTGACCATAGTGGCGGTTTCGAAAGCCGCAAGCATGATCATCCAATCAGACGCCACAAAACTTCAAGGGTCTTTCCGTTTTTGGTCATATTTCACAGGTCCCACCTTGTCCCAAGGTTTATTACCCGAGTACCTAAGTACGCATACATATTATGTACATGCATCACAACGTGGATTTTACAACTTATTCTACGATCGTCTTTGCCAACAACGAAATAATTCTTCAGACGAAAGAAATGCCATTCGCATTCGTATTCAGGCTTGGTACACGCCACGCCGTCAAAGCCGTGTTTTTCTTACATTCCGCATATCATTAACTATGTGTAATAAATACTAGCTAGCCTACCTAATCCACCACGTAGCCAGTGTGAGAATACATGATAAATCGAATGCACGGAATAAATTGATATCGGTTTGCCCTTGCATAAGCTCGGAATTTTCAGGTAACACGGAAAACTCTTTGACGTAAGCCCCCTCCTCAGCCACTTCCGCAAGGCTACCTACTCTAATCAATCCTTCAAAGTGCCACAATAAACTTCCATGCTGCCATAGCAGAGCGAAATCCGGGTAGTCGGCATTGGCTTAAGCTCTCGAATAATCCGTATTGCCAGTACCTATGTACAAATGATCCCGCAACTATATACGAGCCGAGGCAACTTGGAAGTTTATCCATTCTTCGGACGACAACGGATGAATCAATCGACAGATATTATGTATCACAGATCCTGCTTACACTCAAGTGTTCTAGCCACGTTCCCCACATTATGTATGTAGATTCCCTTGGGCCGTTTGGCCGTGCACATCACTCACTCTCCCCCAACAAACAAGGGAGCCACATGCATATTTTGCGCCTATCGTGAGCTCCGTAGTGGGGCGCCGGGAAAGAGGGAATCTTGAAACGTTCCTCTAATCGGTTAAAGATAGTTGCGATGCCCCATATCTTCTAGAACAACCTTAAACTAACTAAGGAAAAACGCCACTTTCTGCGTTATGCGCCCCATAGTGTATCTAAGGCTCCATATATAGATCTTGCTAAGCCTCTTTCCTTACATCCCATCATATTATCTGATCGATATGGAAGTTGATGAGTAGCTTCGACCTATGCTATACAGATCATAATTAAGATATATGTATGTATTCGTACGATTCAATAGATCGAAAGTTGACATCAAGTTGGTGACTACCTAGTTTAAGGAAAACATCCGACTATGACTAATAAGTCCGTAGTAATCCATAGTAATGCCTCCTCCCTCCTCCCTCCTAAAGTGGCAGCACGTTACAATTCCATATTCATAATATCCGATTGGTTAGAGCTGCTTATGTCATTCATCCAAGGGAAGTGAGGATGCTTTTTGTATGACACTGGGTCATAGTAATTCTTGAGTTTGAAAGGCATTCGTTATAGAGTAACATGACGTAGGGTTGTAGGCTTGTAACCATGATAGGCTCTATGAGAGTAAAGTGAATTGAAAATAGGTAGCACCATATTTCACTGGCGTACATACAGAGGTAGGTTCTATCCTCAGATGAAAAGCAACAAGACCGCCTATATACAAAAGGCAATCTGACAACATAGCTACCTGATCACATGATCCACTCACAATGCACGTCTCTTAGCTCTAGGAGTTTGACAACCTACCCTACATCACGACCCTCATTAACCCAGCAGCCTATGTATGTGGTAGGCAGTCAACTTCCAACAATCATCCCATCATCCCATATCCGTCTCCAAACCATCAAGTATCCAAACCCACGCCGCGACACGCAACTACATACATACTAAGACGAAACAAGGGGCGTTGAAAAGCCGTGAATCGGCTTTACAACCGAACCACTAATACAACCGCCTAGCACACGTATGTACGCACACCACACCCCAAACATGAAGCCGCTCGCTCATTAACTACATAGATACTGTAAGTACCCATCTCCCGTCTCCAATCCCCATCTTCATTGCCAAATCCAACAAACCTCGTCCTCGGGGCCTCTTCACTCATCAAGGCTCTTATCTCGTGCCACCATCAGACCACTCTTTACTCCATCGACCGATCGCTCTCAACTATCTGCACTCGGCAGCGGAGGAGAAGCCACTTCAACATCCATCTGTTGGGTAAGTACCTACACAATCATGATGAACCTGCGCATACTTCCTCGCCTAGTGTAGTCAATGCGTATAGACCCGATACCAATTCAACACAGCACCATCACATACGTAGATACACCCTCGACCAGGTTTGTCAAAATACGCCAACCCCTTATTTTCTCAGGAGACATATATTTCACTACCAAGTGTAACGTATGTAGAATATGTAAGATCCGGGAACCGCCATCTCTTTTCTAGCCCTCCATCTTCAAACAGCCACTTCGACTTCGTACCCATTCATTGTGCCTCATACATTAAATATCGTATCTTCAAGCCAAAGCAAACGTTATGGTGATGCTCCGCCGTCTCTATTGTACAAAACAACAAAAATATATTCGCCCAACCCGCTGTTGCCCTAACGTAGAAAGTATGGTCCATCGCTCGCAGACATTGTGACACCCGAATATTCCCGAAAAAAGTCCTCCAAAAATTGCATATGCAATGCAAAACTCCTCGCGCCGTTCTGTATGTTTTATGTACATGAACAGCTACTCGCAAGTGTAAGCATCTCAATATAACCTTCTCAGGCTCAAGACGTCACATTTGTAGCTGTAGCTGTAGCTGTCGTTGTAAGACCTAAATCATCGTCTAGTGTCAGTTTTCGAATTTCGTCGTGCTCGTATTTAGAGCCAACACCCGTCAAATCAGTTGGCAAGTCCTGAGGCGACTCGGCTGGTCTCGAAGGTGACGCCGTCGTTGATCGTGTTGACACGTCTCCTCTGTTGTGTGTATAATGGTTTAGCGATTCGGTTTCTCTGTCTCCATCCGTAGGCGGCTGAGCAGCATGTTCGATTTGGACGTAATCCAAACTCTCGGCCGTACACACGCCCTCTGGTTCCTCGGGTTGTTTTACACTGGGCTGCCCCGGAACGCCACCTCTGGAGTCGAGTTGCGGATCTTCTAAGTTCCTTTCTGCACCCAATACCCCTGTTGTATGGGCGCCACCAGAAGTAACGGTTGCTGTGCATTTGTCAGGTAGAGGTGAGGCTCCCTCGGAATTCCCGCAGTCGATCCTAAGCGCACTGCCTGCGCCAGCTACCGACGTGGGCACCACCTGGTTTTCACTTCCGGTCGCCTGAGCCTGTTCATCCTCTAGGTCCTGTTGCACTTTCGCGATTATTTCTTCCGGTGACTGCACGACCCTGGGAGTCTCGGCAATCTCCTGTCCCAGCTCCAAGTCATCGGTATACGGGCCCATGAAATTGGCGGACCACGTTTCGCGCTGTCCCATATACGGCGGGCTATACACGTCGCGGTCGCTCGATAACGACCTAGCCGCTGGGGATCGTCCCCTTGACGGATAGTATTGCTCAACGGAGAAATTTGTTGGTGCAACATGCGTACTACCACCAAATGGGGTGTATGGCCAGACATCCCGAGGCTGAGCCGGTTTGATGTGCGGATGACCGTTTTCTTCATATCCGTCCACCGTATATTCCCGTAGGAAATCGCCGTCCTCGACGGAAATCGACGGTAGATCATGCCTCTCATAGTCGTCGTCGTTTTCGTCGTATACGGGCTGGGGAAACAACCTAAGAAGTACGGAGGCCTGAAGTCGGACACGTGGATCCTCGTGCAGGCAATATTCTACCATCGTGCGATACCAATCCGGGACATCGATTTCGGAAGTCAACCGGAGCGGTCGTCGATGCGCTTCCGGCTCATCCTCCAACGTCGCGAGTGCCCACAATACCATCCCTAATTGATAGAGGTCGGATTTTACACCGATATACATGGATATCCGCTGGTTGCTATCGATAAGTGGAGTCGCCTCCGGAGGTTCCCAGCCCACTGGGCAACCTCGTCTGTTGATGTCTATTATCTTTGCATTGTCTTCGTAGTCGATGACGATGTTAGAAAGCGTGAGGTCGCCCTGTACAAAACCGGCTTCGTGGACGTCCGATAACCCCTGAACGATCTGCCTTGCCCACTTCTCTCGAAGGGACCACGGGAGGATATTACCATCCTCTTGAGAATCGTAAATAAGGTCGATGAGCGCACCCTTTTCCGCGTAATTGATGAGCAGGCCCTTAACCATTTCGTCCTCATCGTCCACCACCACACCGTAGAATTCTATGACGTTTCGGGAGAAGCGTAAGGAATTAAGAGCGTTGACTTCGTAGAGAAATTCATCCACCGTGTCTGGTCCTGGAATCTCCTTCTTAATGAGCGTCTTCCCAGCAACACGAACCTTGTAGACGAAGCCTGACATATGGGACTCGAACGCGAGATCTCTCTCCTTGATACGGTGACATTTCAAATGCTGGATCATACGAACGGTGGGGTAGTTTATGATCTCCTACAAGAATTACACAATCAGTAACATGATATGATCTCACACAAGAGTAACCCACGTTAACGTCTTCCACTACATGGACGTGCAACCTTCCTTCCGTGGTCTGCAACTTCAGGTTGGTGACGGTGGGGTAAAATTGGATGTCTTGAAGGCTTTCGCGTATAGCTTCATATATTTTGGCACTCTTTTCCCTTTGGAACTTGATATGGAGTAGATCCTTCTCCAGAGAATCCTCTGGAGCGTTTCGATAATCCAGAGAGATAGTAACTCGCCTCCATACAAATTCATCCTCGCGATAAGTGACGAAAAACTTCTCCCTCCTAGACTTATCCCGAAAGTGCATACTCAGATTCAGGATCCATTTCCGCTCTAGTTCGTCATTGATCATTGCATCATACTGAGACGTCGTGGTAGACTGAACATCAACAGGCGATAAAGCTTCCATATAGCTAGGCACGGGTTGGAGTAATTCACGGTTTTCCCTATCTAGGCTGGCGCTATTGATGCTGCTGACATCTTGGAAAGTTAAGAATTGCTTCTCATCGAGGGGACTCTGAGGAGCCGACCCCACTTCATGCGAGATCACAGGAGGACTAATGGAAGGCTGTGTGTCGTCGAAGAAGTCGGGCGCACTTGCACGCGGCAGGGGTTCGTTCACGTTCACGCGGGAAACGCTGCGTTGAGTACGCAATCGCCTATCGACGGAGACAGCCCTACGTTCCGCTGACGTAGGTTGTATCGCCTCGAGCTTTTCCCTCACCTCGGACTGCTGCCTCTTAAAAGTCTTGACGCGGGGCAACCCGGGAACCACTTTCCTTGATACCCTGCGGAACAAGCCCGAGGTTGGCGAACAATCCAAAGACGTCCTAGATTCTTGGTCAGATGATACCGACGATGTTAGCGTACTATCCTTCCCAAGAAATTTTTTCAAAATGGAGGCCAGTCTACCGGTGTCCGATGTTGGCGGCGGCTCGCGCGAGGGCATATCTGCCGTTGCTGCCATGGCGGCGATCATTGAGTAAAGCAAGCCCTATCGTTCAAGCTTCATGGAACTTGTCTATTTCGCAAAAACTGCTATCTAGGCAGGGCAAATGAAACTTTACTTAGACGAGGCGAAACCCGTGGATGGATCCACGACTGAGGCGCTGCGGGGCAAGTTGTGCGGAAAGAGATAGTGATATCGTAGCAATTGAGGCTCTAGCTCAGCCGCGATCCCAGTTCCAATCGAGCTGGAACTATGGATGTACTGGATTCTGGGACAACTGCAAACTGTCTGAGGGCGGGGAGTAGATGCGAGAGGCAGAGCGCTGCGGGCCGGATCAGGTAACCGATGGTTGTAGTAGTAGTAGTAGTAGTAGCTATGCGAGATATAATAACGTATATTGAAGGAAAATGGTCATAGCAGCTTTGATGCAGGCAGACCCAACGTCGAATGGGGGAAGGAAGCGGAAAGGATGCTCAGCAGCGAGGCTGTCAAGACCTTATTGGCAATTGACGACGATGGCGGCTCATATGTGCCGGCATGGGCGACAAGGTAATGCGCGCGTATTCTCTAGCTTGCAGCCTTTTTTCTTTTCTTCTTTTCTTCCTTTAAGAGTCAGGTATAATTTCCTCTGCGTCTAGCTGCGACTTGACTAGGTAGGCGACATGCAGGAGATATGCAAGCAGAAGCTATCCTGGAAAACTCCGCTTTCGGGGTGCAGGACGATATAGCCATTTGAGTTGAGAAAAGTTGAGAGAGAAAGCAGAGAGAAATGAGCGAATATAGAAATTGGAGGCGGACAGGTGTTTCTACTTTCTACGGACGAGTGACGAAGCGTATTGACGTTGTACCTTCCCCCCGTACGCAATATACTGGAGGTATACCTCATATTACATACATTTTGTACAGTTGTATATTGTATTGTACAGTTGTACGACAACGCAGCGCGGGCTGACGGGCAGGCACAAGCGTTAAAAACTAAACTACAATATCTGGCCATACCGAGAACGTATTAGCGGTACCGCTGGCAAGTTCCTTTTTTTTTGTTATACTTTGCCATGGACCAGGATCATATCGTTGTACATAATCAGGCTAGGGGTCCCGTTTGGTCTCGCTTGGCTTTTTAATGATCTCGCGGGGTTGTAGGTACTTGTGTTAGGTACTAATAATTCCCATCTTCTCATTTTCTTATTTGTCCATTTCTCATTTACTTTTTCTTGTATTCCAATTCGTTTCGTCCCCACGGCGTCCTATCAATTGCGGGTGGAATGGTCCCGGGACCTATCTAATGCCCGCTCAATGGCAGATGGCAGCGGAAGCACTTATACGCGCAGCTCGTCAGACGGTAAGTATGCAAGGTTGTGCTCTTGTGGAATATCAATTATAGCACTGGCCTACAGTAATTCAGTGGTGGGGGAGGGGTTTATCTTGGCCAATTCGGATTCGATGTCAACCTCCTCTCACAGGTATTATCGGTATTATCGTCCTCCAAAACCAGCCATGCTGCTATGGTCCCTTTTCCGCTTGGTGGAGGGGGGTCTGCTGGGCCATTGAACCAAGTCGGGAAAATCAGGATGATTCATTGATGTGTTGTACAATGATTCTAGTGGTCGATCCCTAAATGAGGGGTGTCCGGGTCGAATTCTGAAATAAGGGGGATTGGGGATTGGGGGACGAAATCGTAGGTAGACGTGAACTAACACTCAAAACTTCTGTCGCAACTATAAATGTATTGTACATCATAACTAATCATAGCTAATTCTATAGCGTTAGTCTTCGAAAACTATATGAGGTAGCTATGTATCAGTGTATGTAATGTTGATACCCGATGGGTTCAGGCTTTTCCTTGATCATCTAGCCTATCATTCTTCGCAAGGGATTATAGTCATTATTAAAGATATCTATTGTTAGTCACAACTACGAATAGTATATGTATGACTTCACTTACACGTGGAACCCCTTGAAGGATGAGTCCGTCCTATGTATCGACATATATAATGCACACAACATGAGCTTACACCGCTATCCTATTGCACTCACCGACTTTGCACTGCAACGGTATTGACTCTTACAAGAAACGTGTAACTAGGCAATTATCTTTGCCTAGTTAGTTACTTGATAACTAGCATAACTGTTTGATAACTATACCCTAGTTAGTATGTAAGTCCCTGAGCGAAGTTTACTAGGTTAGTTAGGCAGTTGATATCCCAGGATCTTCCAGGCTACCAGGCTCGCGAGCTTGACAGGTCACAAATTTAGAATAGTATTGTCTGTCAACGTTGCCCTAACCGCGACGCCGGCCCGAAGCTAGTGCAGCAACCATTTGCTTGTCGACATCGCCGGTTGATCATGTGGACTAAACGAGGTAGAAGGTATAGTACACACACATAACAGTACATTATCGAAGTGGTACTAGATGGTTCGTATGTACGAAAATGAAAAGGGATGACGTACGGAATAAGCGGTCCTTGGGGGGAAGACGAACTAGTTTGCCCAAGCTAGTTCACCAGGATATATGAAAGTATATGATTTTTATTATTATTTCTCTTCTTTACCTCCTACCCCTGCCGATAGAAACCGTCCGTGATGTGTTGTTCCCCCTCCCTCTCACCCCGGGAAGTATGTCGTCAGCCTACGCTAGATGATAGTTTAGGGCTGGTCCCCCTCCTTCCCCCCCAGCCCAGGCCAAGATCCCGCTCGATCCCTAACCCGCTCTTCTTAAAAGCCACTTGATATAATATCCCCCGTCGCTAGGTATGTACATAACTCTCTGTCTTCCTCCCGGGTACTACCCAATCTAAGACCACGCTATTCCAGCCGTTGGCACCACGCGACTTGGCTAAGATTGCCCGCTATCGTCGTCGCCCGGAAAGGAGGTGCTGGAATTGGGCAGCGATACATACGATAGCTCTACAGGTAGGTAGGCAATGTAAGTTGGTAAGTTGGAGAACAACACAAACAACGCAACGCGAGGCTGCTTTGAGACAACTGGCCATCAATGACATGCTCGTCCGTCATGGAAGGACATCCAATACATTACTCCCTGCATCGTTCCGGTCCTGTAAGATCACTCTCCCGCGTCCGTGATTCCAATTCGCGAATCGTATTTCCCGTAATCAAAGCACCGAGCCCATCATCGCTTCGGGACCTTACTGATCAGAATGCACCTCATCATCATTTACCTCGTGGTTTGGAAATATCTCATTTTTCTATCGTCGATTCTTGTCGAGGCGACGCAATCTCCAATTCCATGGGCTTATCTCAAGAGGAATAGCAATAGGATCTATATACCTGGGTACCTATCTACTGCAAGTATTACTCGTTCCTAATCCAACTTGCTTTTTTAGCTCGCGTGGGAGTGCCCAGGAAGATCAAAGTATCTCGCCCTGCATTGGCTCCCGTGGCTGAAATCGCCTTGCCTGCTCAATACCGACCCCCCCCCCCCCCATCAATTATCAATTGCTCCAAGTCATACATACATACACACATACATACATAATACATACTCTTCATCCTTAGGTGAGCACGGGGCTGGCTACCTAGGTACATAGTAGGTAGGCATCTACGCCTAGAAAACCATATCCAACAAACGCCCCCAGGTCTTTAGGTATTAACGAATCTTCGGGTCGGGCTTTTAGGCACGTAATCAATCATCTCACGTCTAACTTAAGCGAGCGATCGAGGTGGTCAGCAATAGTTCCGACCTAGCGTAGAGTGCCGCGTGATATGTAGGAAGGGGAGGGAAAAGAAAAAAAAAAAGGAAAAAAAAAGGAATTGACTTCTTACCGTGGCGTAGAACCCAACCTTTTCCAAATCTCCAGGTTGCATAATGCGACCTCCGACATCAATCGAATCGTGGGGTGCGCAACCGCCCTTCCAGAGCGCGGGATTCCTATGGCAGACGTCGACCCTCGATGACACCTCTTTACAAATTGCGCTAGAGGCTCATACTATACGAACATGAATCACGCGCGTCCTGCTCGAATCGTTCTCTATAACGACAGCCACAGCGACACAACGCGCTTGGCACGAGGTTTGTCACGAATTGGCCTTACCATTCGTATGAGGCGTATCACTAGCGTTCTGACACGTTACTGTAAGAGTTTCTCTCATGTCTGACCCTTCGGTGGTTTCCTTTTCCTTTCTTCTTGGTACTATGTAAGATAACCTAGTGGAAGAAAGGGGGCGAGCGTGCCGTGCTCCGCCACCTATCCGCCTGTCTACTATGCTCATGAGAGGTGATGGGTATGTGGGTAAATCGTATGATACAAGTTGTAATGTTTGCAAATATGTGAGGAGTGAGGGAATACATTTTATGATTGGGTTGCTTCCAAGCCGTTTCGTCGAGTCGTCGCATTGCCGCCTGAACGCCTATCTGATGGCCCAATCCCGCAAATGCATTACTGTAAAGTCTATGGAAAATATGCAAGTTGACGAAGGCGCTATGCGGAGTGTACCCGTCACTCCATTCTCCGTATCGTCTCCTATTCGCCCTTGTCGCTCTCGGATTTATCGTCGTGCTCCTTCTTCCATTCGCAGATCTTGCATCGATTCGCTTGTTCCCTGTCTAGGTTGGGGAAGACGAGCTCAAAAATCTCGCTGTACCAGCTGGCTGGACGGCCCTCGATACCCTCCTTGATGTTCTGCACGATAATGTTAGCCTAGAACGTCGCATCGGAATGTTATTTCAGGTTAGTAGCACCCACCTCTGGAAGTTCCAGCCAGTCGGATATATTGTCGTCTGGGAAGATGATCATCTTGCAACCAGCCCGCCTCGCCGCGACCGTCTTCTCCCGCAGGCCCCCAATTCTAAGGACCTTTCCAGTCAATGTAAGCTCTCCAGTCATAGCGATCGTGGGGTTGACAGGCGTCTCCAATGCCAATGATAAGAGCGATGTCGCCATGGTCACGCCGGCCGATGGTCCGTCCTTTTGCACTGCCCCTTCGGGCACGTGCAAGTGAATCTTGGCCTTGTCAAAGAAGTGGTTATCCGCAAATTCCTTCGCCATATACGCCTTAGCGAAAGAATAAGCAATCGTAGAGGACTCTTTCATCACGGTCTTGAGGTTACCCGTGATTTCCAGCCCTGCACGACTACTAGGTCTTAAAGCAGACTGGAGAATGGATTCTATATACATCGCGGAACCGCCTAACTGGGTCCATGCGAGACCCATCGCAACACCAGGTGGCGTCACATCATATAGACGATCAGAGGTGAAAATCGGAGGACCGACATAATCCTTGAGGTTCTCCTTATTGATCTCGACGTGAACCGAGTCGGGTACTTTTAAGGCTACGCGAGGCTTCTCCGTAGTTTCTTTCTCAGAGGCTTCGGGAGAAGTAGGATCGGGATTCTCTTTTTCCTTTTCCTTTTCTTTTTCTGATTCTTCTAGAGCGGCTTTTCCATCTTCTGTCAGAGCCGCTGACTCGGGAAGAACATCCTCCCCGAGTTCTTGAACGATCTTCAGGGCCGACTTTCGGTAGACCTTCTCGATCTGTTTCTTTAAGTTCCGAACACCTGACTCGCGGCAGTATGACTTAATCAACTCGTCGATAGCATCATCTGTTAGAGAAACGTCTGCACCTTTCAACCCGGCTAATTCCTTTGCTGCAGGTGCTAGGTATCGGTCCGCAATTGCTCTCTTCTCGTCCGAAACGTACCCTGAGAGTCTGATGACTTCCATACGGTCTAGTAGAGGTCTCGGAATAGTGTCGGTCATATTCGCTGTGCAGACAAATAATACCTTGGAAAGATCGACGGGGACGTCCATGTAGTGGTCTAGGAAAGAACTGTTCTGTTCTGGGTCGAGTAGTTCTAGTAGAGCCGACGAAGGGTCGCCCTGATAGCCCCGGCCAATTTTGTCAATCTCATCAATCAATATCAGGGGATTCTCAGTTTGACATTTCTTTAAAGCTTGAATGACTCGTCCAGGGAGGGCACCGACGTACGTCCGTCGATGACCTTTAATTTCAGCCACATCTGTGAGACCTCCCACGCTGAATCTGTAGTACTGTCGGTTCAGAGCCCTAGCAATTGACTTGCCTATACTGGTCTTGCCAACGCCAGGAGGTCCTACAAAACACAAGATTTTGCCTTCGACAGTACCTCGGAGTTTACCAACTGCGATGAACTCTAGGATACGATCTTTGACATCTTTCAAACCGTAATGATCCTCGTCTAGGACTTTCATCGCATTCTGAATTCCAAAGTTTTCTGCGCTCCGTTGTCCCCAAGGGATCTGTGTCAACCAATCCAGATAGTTCCTCGTTACGTTGAATTCAGAGGCGGCGGGCTCGAGATGAGCGAGCTTGTTAATCTCGTCATCAAACACTTTTCGAACGCCCTCGGGCATCGCTAGCTTGTCGGCCTTCTCCTTGAACTTCTCTACCAGTTTATCTTTACCATCGGACTCGATGCCCAGCTCGCGGCGAATGCCTTTCATCTGTTCCATCAGCCAGTATTCCCGTTGCCGCTTCGTAATCTTCTGCTCTACATCCTTAGTGATCTTCGATTGAAGCTGGGCATTCATAAGTTCCTTCTTTAGTACGACCAGAGCCTTTTGCATTCGTTCCTCGACGTTGAGGCTAGCAAGGACTTCTTGTAGTTCCGCGGGCTCCCCAGCAGATACCGCCGCAGCAAAATCAGCCAGTTTTGCCGGTTCTGCCATAACGTTTCCTGTTGATTGACTCATAGAGAAAGTTGATATTTGGTCCCTAAATAAGCTGTTCATTGAAGCGACTTCCTTGAAAACATTTACGATTTCGTTCGTCACCGCTCGAATGACGGGGCTTTTTGGATCAAATGGCTCTTCGGATAGGTTCTCCACGTTTACAAGGCTGACCGGATACTTTCGTAGGAATGATGTTGGCTCATATTTCTCTGCCGCAGAATCGGACTTCGGGGCGACAGCGCTCTCCTCAAAGCTCGCAACCACGTCGCCCTTCTTTTCTTTCTGTGGTTCCTCTTCTTCCGTCTTAGGTGGTATTGGCTCAGGCGTAGGTTCCGTTTCAAGATCAGCCTTCTTAGGCTCACTGGTACTAGGGGGTATTAGAGTGGATAGCTTTATCCGGCGATGAGGGTATAAGATAGCTGTAAGGCTGTTTTGTTCCCCGTGTACTGGGAAGGCGCTCGTGACCTGCGCAAAAACACCAGTATCGTAGACATCAGACGGGTCCCTAATTACGTCCTCGTCGGCGTTCTCATCTTTAAATAAGAATGCGCCAACGTAAGGTTGGCCTCGCTTAATCATTTCCATTATTGCGGCAGAGACATTCGGATCCTTAATTGTGATCGCCTTATAGAAACCTGGGAATAGGGGTCGCTTTGCTATTGGTATGGCCATAACTTGGGGATATACGTCGGGTACGACGGGTTTCTGTAGAGCTTTGTCGGCTCCCGACCTTCGACCTCTTCGGCCTCCGTCTCCAGGCGCATCACTACCAGACCCAGACCCAGACGATGCGCCCCCCGCCGCGCTGCTTGCCTTGCCATCCTGCGATTCACCTTGACCACCCTGGTTCTTGCCGGACGGCGGAGAGTCTGCATTGGAGCTTTTAGCTTCGCTCACTTCATCTTTGGATTCCTCTGTCTTCTTCTCCGAATTCGCCTTCGCCTCTTCTTCCGACAAGGGCTCTACGGACCCATCGAAAAAGCCATTATCTTTTTTATCTTTCCTAGTAATGGTCGAGGTAGAAAAACTTGTCCTTAGTAAAGGGTTATGCCTCGAGGCTATCGTCGGTCTTGAGCACGCGATCGTGGATTCGGTCGAGCTAATAATATTATTTATCGAGTAATGCCGTGATGCTAAAGAGGGTCGGAGCCTCGATGCAAAGTTTGGGGGACCCCTCACGACTAACTGCCGCGATAGGCGTTGTCGACACAGCATCGTCGAGAAGTTTGTTAAAAGGGAAAATTTCGTCGAGGCGACGGTGATGTAGCCGGGGGAAGACCGGAGCTTTAATACAATGCAAGTTTGCACTCGCAAATTGCAAAAAGGTTTCCCACCCGTCTGTGATTAAAAAAGGAAAAAAAGGAAGTGGTGACTAAAATACAGATATTATGGCGGATAGGCCTTAGGGAAAGAATTCCTAAGAATGGCCTTTGCCTCGCCTGAAAAATCTAAACGACAACTTCGATTATTGCCTTAGTCTTAGTAATTGGAGTACATACATAGAGCTGGAGCGTATTTCGACAAAATACATCATCGCTTGCTAAGCTGCCCTCTCGCTCTAACCACGCAGCCACGGCTGTGGGACAGCGGAGGTAACGATTACCCAGATAGGTTAACCCGTTATCAGCCAGTGGCCACTAGAAGGTACTATGGATATATTATGTAATTTAGCGCGTGTCAAATAGTCGTAAATCGCAAATTCAATCTATCGGATATATGGATACGACGTGCTATAACTAAGTATGTTCATTGTATGTATATACTTGCCTATATAGGGGGCTCGACTTAAATACATCAGATTCTACGAAGTAGACTTAGACCTTACTATCTCAGGTCGGAACATATAAAGATCATTAAAAGTAAATTTTAATAAAATTCTTTTAAATCAGAACTTTTTTCTATTAGGTATACTTCTCAATACTAGACGCAACTCGTAAGCCTATCCAAAGCATGCTTCTATAAGTAATATCCATAACTCCTAAGGCGAACTATATCTACGCCAGTATCCTACCGCTAGACGCCAACGCTGCGGACCTCTGCCGCTTGCCGCTATGGAAATAGAAATTCGCCAGCGCCATTATGAATATGATACCCCCCAAACGCTAAAAATGGCATTGACAATAAGAGTGCCCAATGTTACCAAGTCCTAGCCAGTCCTTTCCTAACAGAGGCTCCGTACACAAAACCAACAACGAAGGAGTGCCATCCATCCATTACTTGAACTTCCACACCATTATTACATGACGTTGTAATACTATTTATTCTCCACCCTTAGAGGAGGTCTTTCCCTTGCGCAGCATCTTTAATGCAATAGCCTTATCCTTCTCCCCAACTATAGCCATCGCCTCATCTATAGCACTCTGTATCAGGTCGAGTTTCTCCTTCGCGCTGCGTGTCGGCGCCGTCTGCTTTGGAGATTCGGTCTGCTTTGAAGATTCGGTCTGCTTTGCAGATTCGATCGGATTTGGAGATACGGTCTGATAGTGACAATACCGGCAATTTTTCTCCGCCTCCGGGGCGTCGGGGCCGGATCTGCATTTCCACCAGCCGCCGTGCTTCTGCTGGTGCTCGAAGGGCCATTTGTCATTAGGGTCATGCCACTTCTTGTCCCAGGGCGTCTTCTCCGATGCTTCATCGTTGCTACTCAGTCTTATTTCTGTCTCCAGCAAGTAGATATGGTTCATTAGATTGTTCCATCTAGCCTCGCGGTTCTTCCCCCTGAGGGGTATTTTGAAATGCTCGAACCATTCTGGAATATTGAGGCTGCGTCGAGTCGTGGAGGGCACAGTGGAGGAAGGCGCGCCCGAGGTAGATGCTTGTGGGGGAGGTGGTGGCGTTCGAAGAGTGCCTGGTGGATCTGGAAGTGCATACCGTTCATGAGGATGAGCAACTTCAAGGCCAGCATCTACGGCCTGGTCGAAAGGAAGTCTGACCAAATCTGGGGGCGAGCCGACCATGTATAAGTGCTTCTCTTTGGTCAGGCGAGCATCATTGGATGATGACCCATCTGATCCCAACAAGCACTTAGTTGCTGTCAATGGTAATCTTCGTTGATGCTGTAAGGTTTCTGAAGCTTGACGGCGAGCAGCTTCGATAGCCTTAGTATCCACAAAATATTGTCGAATGCCGCGAATAACTGGTTTTCTTTGCTCGGCGTTAGTGAGCGTATGATCGGCCGATATCTCGTCTTTGCTATTCTCGTGCGGTTGTTCCATACTGCCAAGCGCGTCTAGCTCCTTGTTCTTCTGTCCTAGCCACTTTCGAAAAGTTATGGATTGTGTAATATGCTTGTTAGTAAGTCTTTCAATGTCCGGTAATTTTTCCTCAGATAATGTTGTGGAGTTTGCCAGATCAAACCTTGGAACATCTTCTGGTGGGAATGCTCTCCATTCGGCAGCACGTAGGCCAGAAGAGTTGGAAAGATGCAGTGATGAAGGGGTGTCTCCAGAAGGGGCATTGCGGCAGATAGGAGGCCCGCCGCTGGGACTATTGTTTGAGTCTATAGTAGCTTCTGTTTTTGCGCTATTCGGTATATCGTCCTTGACATTTATAATGTCCAAGCCTCCTCTTACCTGCCTGCTCGTAGTTCGAGGAAGGCTCGTCGGTTTAGGCCCTAGTGTTTCTGGGTGTCTTGATGGCGGATGAGCGCGTAACGGATTCGTAAATCCCATAGCTATGATAAAAGGGTTTAGAGTATACCGCGGCGGGTGTTGGGATTGACGCCTAATGGCATTATTGTCCTTTTTTTCCATAGTAGTGGCGCGATTGAGGCTATTTAGGATTAGAATAAGAGGAGCATACCAAGTAGGGAAGAGGGAGAATAATATTTTGAATAAATTATTTATGTATAGCAGAGTCTTTCAAGAGCTCCATGGCAAACTTCATTTAAGAAAGTGACTTTGGGTCTGGTCTACGTCACAAATCGTGAATGTGAATTAGCAGGAAAGTCATCAGACAGATATGTGATTATCTGGTGAAGTAATAATCTATATTGACCCAACGCCTATGACTATTGACATGTTTGCTTGGAGGAGACGTGACTGACGCATTGTGAAATGCTATTTGAGTTGGGATGATTGTAGTTGAAGTGTATGTATAGGAGGTAGGTAGTAATTACGAGTTCAAGCTGATAGAGGTCCAACAGACACCAGTTCCCGAATCTGCATCGTCCTTTCTTTCTCCCGCCCTAAACTCTCACGCTTCTCCTTTCGTCTTCGATCAGCATCGAGGGCAGCAAAGCGACCCCGGGCGCCGTGACGTATTTTAGTTATCATATCTGCGGCCTTGCCTTTTGTGATATCGTGTGCTGTTAGTTTATCATCCTCCCCACGTAGCTTGTTTAGGAAGTTCAGTTGGCCATCTGTAGGTGGTCCGTTACGCCAGCTCTGGTGTCTCCAGATAAGAATATGGGGATAGTGCTCAGATGCGTACTTGTCACACCCGTGGACGGCATCGGCGAAGGTAGATGTAGTGAGTAATCGCCGAGGCTTCGCAAATCGAGACTTCGATACACCTTCAGGAAGAGCCCGGATTTCCGAGGCCACAAATTCGCCCCCTTCATTTCCTTGTGCTTTCACCTTTTCCAATCGGATGAAGGTTCCACTCGGGCCGCATAGCACCCACTTGTCCTGTCCAACTTGTACCCATGCATGATGACTGATTGCCCGAATATGCCTCTCGCCGGATGTATCTGCGATCAAGTCGAAGACCGAATCGTACTTTACAAAATGAATATTGCGAGAAATTTCAACGTCTTTAGTTTCTCTGCTGCTCTTCAAGCGTTCCAGATCGCTCACGGTTGCTTTCTCTACCAACTCAGACGGGTCGAGGCCGAATAAAGTAGGTGTTGTCACTATACCAATAGACAGACTCGAGACCATGTCGATGATATGGCAATCGGTTTTGTCTGGATGAAGCCGCATGCCTCTTCCTATCATCTGTATCAGTAAATTACGGGAGCGAGTCGGTCGCGCGAGAACAACACAATCAATATTGGGAATATCGGTTCCTTCAGTAAAGACACCGCAGTTGACAAGCACCGGGAATTCTTGGCGCCGAAAAGCATCAAGGATTTTGCCTCTTTCGACTTTTGGAGTATCTCCCGTCACGAACCTAGCATCGATGCCAAATTGGCGGAACGTTTTCGTCAATCCATCGATATGTGAAAGATCCACGCAGAAAACCAAGGTCGACTTCCTCTCTGAGGCCTTTGCAAGCCAGCTGCGAACAGTAATCTCGTTCACTTGTTTTGTATTTACCACCTTGGATAATTCACGAGTCTGAAAGTCCCCGTTGCTGCTGGTTCCGACATTTGAGACATCGGCAGTCGACTCGACCGTAGTAAAAACGACGTCTGACAACCATTTATCCCCTATCATGTCGACGTAGTCTTTATGATAAACTATCTCGTCGATTGCAGCGCCTAACCGAAGGCCATCGGTCCGAGAAAGAGTCGCGGATACGCCAACAAGTGCTGGCGAGTCGTCTCTCTTTCGATCAAGGCCGAAGTGCTCTAGGGTCCTCAAGTACCCAGGTGCAACTATATGGTGCGCTTCGTCGACAAGTACGAGCTTAAACCGTTTAGGATCGAACTTGTTGATGCGATCGCTAGAGTTGATACTCTGTATGCTAGCGATGGTGATATCTGCAGTTCCCGAAGCACGTATGTTGCCCATTTCTATTTCTACCGTTTTGTGCGGATAAGCAGAGGTGCAGTGGCGAGCTGCTTGTTCGACAAGTTCTCGCCTGTGAGCCAGGATCAGTGTCTGGCTGGCTTCATTTGAGCCGTTCTTGATCCGATCAATCAACTGAGTGAATATGACGGTTTTCCCGGAGCCGGTAGCCAACGATATTCCTAATCGCTTATGGCCATTTTTGAGCGAATTCAAGACAGATTGAATGCATTCTTCTTGATAATCACGGAGGCGAATACCTTGGAAAGGGTTAGGAGTGCTAGGAGTGCTAGACGTGCTAAGAGTGCCAAGAGTGTTAGGAATCTCAGCCGCAGCCGCACGAGCTGTTAGGGACGTAGAAAATTTGTATCGATAGCATCCCGTTAGCGAGAACCGCCGTACGGGTCTCACTGAGAATAGCCATCTCGTCGTCAGTGGTAGCATGGCATATCTGCACAACGACGGTTGGGTTGCGATAGATGTTTAAGATAAGATTTCAAAGCTTGGGGTCTTAAGTTCTGACGTTGCCTTTGAACCATCGAAACTTTTATGTGGAGCTGCATATGCAATTAAGCCGATCTTTTCAAATAACAAATTATCGGGGACTTAGCGTCTTAACAAAAAAGCCTTGAAACTTCACACCATCCATAAGGTTCTTTACATCTACATATCAGCGCAGAACCTCAACCACGTCTCAGATTAAACCTAACGACCCTAAGATATTAATAAGATATCTTAAGAGTAATCTGATGCATACCTATGATTATTTAGAGAGCCTCATAGTTTATAAAAATAGGAGTGATCTTTCCACCTACTTCTCAAAAATATATATATATATATATACGGATAGTTGCATATATACGTCCTATGCACCGCCCCCTATTGGAGATCCTAAGGGTCGACTTACAACAGCCTTGATTAAATTTGTAGCGCAACTATAACCTACCAACCAGGTAGATATGGATTCAGATGACGACCCCGAGTACCGCCCCCCCAGCAGTGAATCAGACGGTGAGCCTCCTCAGCCTCAGCCTCAGCTTCCGTCCTTGCCCTCGCCCCGGCCCGGGGAGAGTACACGCAAACGCCGCCTCAAGACAGTAGAACTATCCCCTACAGTATCATTGCCTAAGCGGCAAAAGGGAGTCTTCAACTCTCAGTATCTCAACATCCTTAACGAAGAAATCTACGATGCCGCGGCTGGAATCATCCGAGACGAGCCCTCCTCAGACCTAGCGCCAACCCAGATCGGCATCGTGTCGTGGACTCCTTCCGAGAAGCACGTCTTCTTCTCGGCTCTGGCGCGCTTAGGGCGCGACAGCATTGCCGATATCGCGGCGAGGGTCGGCACTAAAAGCCCTCTCGAAGTCCAGCAGTACTTGGCGCTGCTTGATGAGGCAGAACGTGCCCATCGCGAGAACGACGGTAAAAGACAGCGGGCGTTACGCCCCGTCGACGTACCTGCCGCGACGGAACTTAGCACAGAACTGTGCGCGGCGTTAGAGCAGGCAGCAGATGGCATTGCGCTGCGATGCGAGAGGTACGAGACGGCGCTGGAGCAGAAGCGCTGGCAGGGTCGGTGGCTAGTTACGGCGCAACTAGCACGGCTGCTCGAACGCCAGCAACGCGCCAACAGCAGCCGCACTAATAACAGCAGCAACAACAGCAACAGCGCAGTAACAGGAACACATGACCTTCCCCCATTTGCAGAGCTTTTCATCCTGCGCAACTGGCTACGGCTCTCGGAGCGCGTCTTCATGAACTCGTCCGTGGTCCCGGACGGTAACTGGCGCAGCCTATCGGAGGAGCCGCCTTCGATCCGAGCCACGGCGCTCGCGGACTTCCACTCTTTAGCGCTGAGCATTACGCGACGTCTCGTGAGCGCAACGCTCTACGTAGCGAGCTCCCGGGTGCGCGCAAAGCGTGCCGGGGACCGCCGCAACCGTACGGGGGGCCTCGTTAAGATAAAAGACGTGCAGGCCGCCGTAGCATCGGTCGGCATGACCGAGAACAGCCGTAAATTCTGGGCGCGGGCTGCGCGCAGGCTACGGCTTGACGTGTACGATGACGAGCAGGACGATGATGAAGCCGAAGACGTATCGGGGATGCCGGATCGGGAGTATTTATCTGGTAACGGAGAAGACGACGATGAAGATATAGATACCGAAGTCGAAGACATATCTGAAAGCGACGTAAGCGACCGGGAAAAGGAAGCCAACGGCCCTTCTGAAATAGACGATAATAATACATACACCTCGTCCACCTCCGAGTCCCCCCCAATGCCCTACGACGAAGTCGAAGCCGCCCTAGGTTTCCCCCCCTACTCCCCCCATCCTACGCAAGACTTCCCCGCCGACCTCCCCGAACTATCCTCCAGTTCCTCCGAGCACTCGTTCTCCGACTCCAACTCCAACTCCGACATCCCCATGAAAGACCCCCCCTCAGAAGAAGAAGAAGAAGAAGAAGAAGAAGAAGAAGAAGACTCCCCAGCCCTAGCCCAAGACCTCCACGAAGCCCTCATCTACACAGCAACTTACGACCGCGCCGCCACGACCGCACGCTCGCAGGACGCGCTGCGCGCCCGCATCCGCACGGAGCACGACCTATGGGCGGACGCAGAGCACGCCGACACGCAGGCCGCGGGAAGAGAGGAGGCGCGGTTGTGGAGGGTGGTGCACGACGGGAGGGGAAGGGTCAAAGCAGAAGAAGAAGAAGAGGAAGAGGAAGAGCAAAAGGGTGGTGGTGGTGATGAAAAAGGGGAAGAAGAAGGATGGTCGGAGATGGGAAGACGATCGGGTTTAGTGGATTTGGGTTCGAACTGGAGAAGACACGTCGAGTATTACAGCGAGTGGGAGGTTACGGGAGGGAAGAGAGCGGTTCCAGGGGGGTCGAATGCTAAGGACTAAGAAGAAGCTGGCTTGTATGTGACGGGAGCGGTACGGCATAGCAGTCTATCTACCTACCTAACGTATAAGGATGGCTTGAGCATTGCGTAAATGAATACCTTGGTAGGAGATACTAGAAGATTACCCAGGTAGTGAAGCTCATCTATAAAAAATATACACTTACTTGCAATACACACGGACCACTTACATCATCTAGGAATTCATTACTATGTATCTCTTTATCTTTTCCATTTCCCATAGTCGGGTCCCATTTATGAGTAGCAGTTTGTAGCACTCGTAGTATACACGGGGGTCTTCACCGTCACTATGCAAGTGCAAGACACTATACCCTCTTCCTCCTTCTCCCATCCTCTTACTTTCCCCCTAGAATGTTCTTTTTTAACTATTCAGAGGACATGAGAGCTTTATTTTCAGAGGGGAAAAGAAAAAGAAAAGACAACCAAGCAAAAGCAAATAGCGAGAAACCCTATTCCGTTGACGCCCACGGGAGCCGGCGGCTCGCAATAGTCAAATCAAAGTCCCTTTAGGATGCCTGAATTCGCCACAATTAAAAATTCAACCTTCTCTTGCGCAGCTTGGCGCGGAGTTAATCCCTCCCAATTGGAAAAAATAAATTAGGCTTCGTAGCTCTTGATATTACCGTCGCTACCGAGTGGTTGGACGGCACTTAACGGAGGAGCCGAGGTAAATGTGAGGCCGCTGCCGTCGGACTTAACGTCACCATTCATGCCAGCCGACTTAAGGCCTGCTTGCGTTTCCCGTACCCGCTTCTTGAAGGCGAGTCGATCAAGGAAGAGTTGTTGCCTGCCTCGCTCTAACTCGCGTCGCTCTGCCTGTAGAATACCTTCCATCTCGTCGAAATACTTCAATTTCAGCTCCATTTTTTGTAGGGTGACGTTTACTGCGGCAGAGAGGAGTCTCGTCATCTCTCGCTCCTCGTGCGAAGCTAGGCCGCCCGCACGCGCGCCCATGGCGGCGAGCGGTATGCTGGCCAAGTCAGACGCAGCACTACTGGTATTCTCTTCGTGACCGTCTACTTCCATCGAGTCGCCCTCCTTCCCCTTGCCTTTTCCGTTAACCTTAGCCGTATCGTTGCCTTCAATCTTATTTCGTAGGCCTTCTTGGAGTTGCTCCACAGATTTTTTCGCCGCCGCGGCTGTTGTCTTGGGATCTGCGAGACTAGCGAGGAATCCGATAACCGACATGACCGGGTTATCAGCCTGACTAAAAGGAAGATGACCGCCATGCTTTCCGAGCATAGCAAGACCGGTGGGAGCATGAATAGGGGCTTCCGTCTCGAGATATTTGTCCTCGATGTCTAATTGAAGGAACTGTAAGACACATTCCTCCCGAGTTCGCGTGCCTACGTGCGCTGCAATTTCAGCCCAGTCATCATCATATCTTTCCAAGGCCTCAAGAAGTCGAAGAACCTCGGCGTCTGTCCAAGGGGCATCGCGATCGAGAACGGAGGAATAAGTTTTGTTCTCTATTTGGACAAATTGGGTATTGGACTGATTTCCAGGTATTCGGCCCTCCACGAAACAGCTGGAACACAGGTCACACTTCGCCTTATTAGTGGAATTGGCCTCCGGCAGATGGTAGTAGAGCCGAGTGCAGTCGATACCGCAGTTGTAGCAGTGCACCTTAGCAATGGGCTTGCTCAGATTGTCATCAGCTATTGGTGGTGTTGCACCGTTGGTGGTGGCCTCGCCATTGGTCTTATTTTCGGACTTGTTAATTTTCGCCCCTTTCGCGTTAGCCTCGTAGATGTTGCGGCCAATCTCAAGGTTTCGCTCGCCCGCAGCAGTAGCAGCAGCATTGGCCTTTTGGTCTGTATCTTGATTCTTTTTGCCTTCGAGTACGATCGGATCGGCCGAGGGTTGCCAGGGTTGGAGCCCACGAGGGGTATCACAGATGACTTGGAAATGACCCGTGAAGGGCGGGCCGACTTGAGACGGACGTTGATCCGCATCAACCTGTAACTTGTTAGAAAATTGGTATTATTATATAAAAAACAGTTAGGTAGTACTTGATAGTTGATCAATCCCCACTGCTCCAAAAATGCGTGGACGCGCATGATGGCGCAAACGTCGCCAGCCAAGTTTCGCCTACACGCAGTTACGGTCAAGTACTCAACGGGGTTCAACCGGTAGGTGTTAATCATGAAATCGCGGTAATCCTTGTATACGGCGGGGGTCTTGCTTCGGTTCCGACTGTTGAAAAACTCGGGGAGAGCTTTACGTTCGATGCTATGGATCGCATTCATATCGAACCAGGTACTATAACTAGGTAGAACAATTGCGTGGGTTTGGGAGATAAGATGTTCGCGCGCGGCATTCTCGATGCTTTCCTTTGACTTCACCTCTTGAGCGCTACCGTCGCCGGCAGCGGCCGTATCTTCGACGTCCTTGTCTTGGGGACGTCCATCCCGAGGCTCGGCCTGAGCGTCGCCCATTTCCTCATCATCCTTAGCTAGGGTAGTTTCAGCAGGCGGTGCAGGAGGGGCATCAAGTGGGTTGTCTGAAGTACCAGCAGGTGCAGGAGTAGTGCTATCTTGCTTAATAACGGGGTCTGCGGAGGGGATTTCGGACATCTGCACATCTAATCTGCGCATTAGCATCAACATAAAATACTGAGGCTATGGCTATGAGGGCCGTCTCGACCTACCTTCGGAGCCTTGAGGCGCACCCGACACATCGGACTGAAGAGGCGGCTGCGCTAGGATCGGGTTACTGCCCGGAGTTGCTGCATTGGCTGGTGAGCCGTAGTTGGCGTGTTCGCCTTCCATCTTGAAGGAAAATGCGAATTTCCAACTAACAACGTTCGAAGGGGGAAAAGACGTTGATATGTGATGATGATATCAATTTCGAAAAGAAAAAAGAAACTGACGCGACGTATCGCAACAGTCGTAATTCTGGCTGCGACTAATTTATTAATGAGTGGAAAGAATTTAATTGAAGAGTGCGCTTAGACGGGTTGCTAGGATGTGGACGTTGATGGATATTAATTCGTTGGATGCATCCTATGCGATGAGCTGAGTCGACCGCGTGTTTGGAGAAATAATTTGGCGCGACTAAAGGAAACCAACTGGCAAAGCTGGAGAAAGCAGTGAATTTGGGCTGGCAGAGGCTGGGTAAGTGTGATACTTGGTCCAAGCGTCAACCATGGTAAAGATTACCTAAGATAAGAGTGCTAGTGCGCCATATGTATCATGTGATTTACATTATTATGTAATATTGTGCTGTACTTCGTACCTAATGCACGCACCAGCAACAAAGACTCGATTTATACATATTTACAGTAGATACATGCATAAACTTCCGCTATCGGGTCCGAATACACGCATTATTCTTACCTCGGTGGAAGCCGTGAACAACCGAATTCATGACGAGGTTCTTAGAATCTTAGAAGCTTAGACGAACTGTAGTAGGCTGGTTTCCGCCGCATGAAACTTGCCAAACTTCAGTCGCAAAACAAACCACACAATGCTTTTCTCTACAGCGAGCCGGACACTTCTTAGAGGCGTCGGCAGCCTGCCGCGCTCTACTTCTGTTCTTTCGAATCCTTTCAACAACAGCCCCTCCGCCCTTCGAAGATTATTGTCGTCGTTGGCTGTCCTAGAACAGCGCGATGGGAAGCTCAACCACGGTTCTTTGAGCGCAATTACAGCCGCTAAGAAGCTTGGGGGCTCGATACATGGATTCGTCGCCGGAAGCAATATTAAGCCCGTAGCAGAGGAGGCGGCCAAAGTAGAAGGCGTCGAGAAAATAATCGCAGTGGACAACGCTGCTTACGACAAGGTAAGCGAGGACGGATCTATTGTCCAATTGAATTATAAGGCTAGGAGTTAACGTTGGTTGAATTAAATTACAGGGCCTCCCGGAGAACTTTGCGCCGCTATTAGTCGAGAACATCAAGAAGGGCGGCTACACTCATATCATCGCGGGGCACACTGCTTTTGGGAAGAGCTTATTACCGCGGGTCGCCGCACTTCTCGACTCCCAGCAAATATCAGACATAACTGCTATTGAAAACGAGAACACCTTCGTGCGCCCTATATACGCCGGCAATGCCATCGCGACCGTCGAGTCCTCCGATCCTGTCAAGGTTATTACTATTCGCGGCACGGCCTTCCCCGCTGCCGAAGCACAGGGCGGCTCCGCAACTATAGAAGATGGCGTTGACCCTAATGTGGAAATCTCCGTGGAGTGGGTTTCTGAAGATCTCGCCAAATCAGACAGGCCGGACCTAGCGACCGCCGGCAAAGTAGTTGCCGGAGGTAGAGGTCTAAAATCAAAGACAGGCTTCGATAACATCATGCTACCGCTTGCAGATTCGTTAAACGCCGCAGTCGGTGCTTCTCGTGCTGCGGTGGATAGCGGATACGCCGACAACAGTCTTCAGGTTGGACAAACGGGTAAGGTGGTTGCTCCTCAACTATACCTTGCCGTTGGAATTTCCGGTGCCATCCAGCATCTGGCGGGTATGAAGGACAGCAAGGTGATTGCAGCTATTAACAAGGACCCCGAGGCGCCAATATTCCAAGTAGCGGACGTGGGCTTGGTTGGGGATTTATTCGACAAGGTCCCCGAGTTAACAAAGAAACTAAAGAGTTCGTGAATAAATATATAAGTACCTAATATAAATACAATATTTACAATCGCCCCGTGAGGGTATCTCTTTAGTTCAGGCTCCAGCCGCAGATATCATCTCCGTTGTGTTCGTAAACTTCTCTCGTTCTTTTCCTAATAGCAGACCCCGCTCTCTTTCCGCCTTGTCTATCTTCCGCCAGTCGTCCCACTGGATGACCCTGCATTTACCATGCTCTACCCCTGCCCGTAAGGCTTCCCAGCCAGAGCTGCTTTCTCCTTCGAGGAATGGGGCATTGGAATTCCAATCAGAGGCAATTGCATCACCAGTAGAAAAGGCGTCCTCCATAGTCGACGCAATGACGCCTGTTGGGCCTCTCTTTACCCAGCCCGCGCAATAAATCCCAGGCAAATGCGATGGGTGCTGAGTGCTACCTTCGTCACCTTTCACTCGCAATACCCGTCCCATTCCATCGTTTTCGATAATCCCCTTCCTATCATCAAACGAGATGCCCGCCTCGTCAAATCCAGGAAGGGCGACAGATTTATAACCAATGGAACGGAACGCTATAGAAGACGGGATTGTTACTTTCTCGCCAGTACCGACAACACTCGAGGACGGGTCAAAAGGCGGCGTTAATGATGTTCGTTCAAACACCGTGCTTTCGATATTTCCATCCGGCCGACCGAGAAATTCAGTTGGAGATAAGCAAAAGTCCAAGGACCACGACTTAACGGCCTCCTCCAACCGAGCCGTCGAGCCTTTCATCAGTATTTCCATAAGCCTCCGCCGAGCTCGGGGTAGCTTCGAAATCTCATCCGGGATGAGCGACATATCGATGTCGTGAAAAGCAACCCCGTGGAGCTTCATCAGTTCTCGAATTTCCTTAATGGTGAAAGCAGCCTAGGAGACTAATCAGTACTCGAATCAGAGTCTTCGTCGATGTTTTCAAACGTACCTGCATTGGTCCCCTTCTTCCCACAATGTGAACTCGCTTGATGCGGCTCTTCAATAGGGTTTCGATAGCCGCCTCTGTTATGTCCGACTTTCGCAACCTATCTACATCCTCCAAGAGCATCCTGGCAACGTCAAGGGCAACATTGCCTTGGCCGATGATAACAGCCTCATCACCTTTAGTGAGATCCGGTGCGAGGTCCGCGTATTCTGGTAGACCATTATACCAGCCTACAAACTCGCGGGCCGAGTAGATTCCTTGCAGCTCGGATTCGCCGGGGATTCCCAGTCGCCTGTCTTTAGATGCACCGTAGGCAAATACAACAGCATCGTAATGATGCATCATAGAAGCCAAAGGAATTGTACAGCCCCTGAAGTGACCGCCTGTATTACCGATGGAGACATTCCCAATAAATGTAAAATCAGGAGAGCTTGCAACTTCTTGGAATTTTTCTTGGCAGTTCTATATTTATAAATTGTCAAACAAACACGGTTCGTTATGTTGATATGTATAATAAATATATTTAATTCATACCTTGACTTCGGGATGATCTGGCGCAACGCCGAATCTCACTAGACCATATGGCACAGGCAACGCTTCGAACATGTCGACCTTGGTTTTCGGTACCTTAGACATGACCCGGTATGCCGTATAGAAGCCGGCCGGACCGGAGCCAACTACGGCCATTCGGAGAGGCCTATCATGTCGACTTGCGGTAGAATAATGTGATATTCTAGTAGCAAAAGATGCAGAACTTCTGCGGCGACAGGTTGCGCAGAGCCATGAATTTGCTAGAGGTCTCATGATTTATAAATTATAATATTATAATATTAACAAAGGGTAATGATTGCCATCACATCTCTAAGATTATAAAATGTTGCATCAAAATAGGTAGTCACTACGGTCGAAAATTCGCAAAATGACGTCGAGTTGAAATTTTGGTCAGTCTTCTCGGTGCTCCGAGGTCCGACATCGCCGTCCGCGGCCGTTTGCCGATTAAAAATCGACGGACTTACCTAAGTCTACCTGTTACATAACATGGTACAATACCTAATAGATTTATTTATAAGGTAGAGGTCTAACTGAAGAGCTAGCTAATCGAAATGATTATCATTCAAAATTGCGCAACGTTAGGTAGTAAGCAATATTACCCGACGCGAAGCTGCATCGTAATCTAAGAAAATACCCAAGGTAGCAGCTGAGTTCCAATGAGATTCATTCTACCGCCCCGTTGCTGTGGAAACGGCAACTTCCCGGTTTCTTAACCCACGATACACAACCCCGTCATTTCGTTATGTACCTGCATAGGTACGTTGTATTTGTATTGTATTATTTGTATTGTATACATTATGTATCTACACACATCATCTACCTACACACATCCCACCTTCTTCCCCACACCATGGCGCTCCGGCCTTTTTCGCAATCATAAGAACCATCATCCGTACCATACATTCCAGTTAAAACCGACGATCCAATCCTGCCCTCACCTATCGATGAATGTCTCTCAGCCTCGCCAGCTAGAGTGAGACGTCTACAGATATGGGCGCTCAACAACCTTACTTGTACGATGCCGAAAGGCGCGACTCTCGATCACCCGAGAAACCATTCGACCCCAAGGCCATCACGAGAGCAAGCTGGGAACCGACACCTAAGAAGAAGAAGCAGAAAGGCCCATTCATAGCCTTCAACCGACATCCTGAGTAAGTCTCAATTAGTTGGCATGCATGAGTATCATGGCTAATCTAGGTATCTAAGTGCGCATGTCGTGCCGACTGGTCGTACCTCAATGTTCAAGCCTATGAGCAGCACTACGAAGTGGTGGATCAAGTTCATGAGATATGTTCAATTATTCCTTCGCATCCTGGAGATGATCGGAGGCGGTTGTTTACTTGTCCTCATGATACTTATCTCTAATGTTGATCCTCTTGTTTCTTGGATTATGAGAATTACAGTACGTCTTACAAGCCTTGGTCGTTTCGTTTATACCAGGATTCCTCACTTACCCGTAATATATAGCCTGGTGTTGTAGCCATCAGTTGTGTCTACGCCGTTTGGCATCTCATAAGACCCGCCGGGTCAAGACCACCCGGTTCGTCAGCAGCTTATCAGATGTTCGCCGGTGTCACGGACTTAGCTGTTATACCGCTATACGCTTTCGGTGTCATCTCCGTTGTCAACCACGGCAAGGAGTGGAATCTTATTATCGCGGCTTCTCCTGAACTTACTGAGTACCTTGTCCAGAGCGAGTACTTCGCCCTCATCTGCGCCGGTAGCCTACACGTCGTTTCACTCTGCATATCGACCTGGCTGTGTCTGATGTTCCGAAGAATCGCTAACATGCCGCCGGATTTCAACCCATTGGAAGACCATCTCACCTCTCGCGTCAAACAGCACAAGCGCAACAAGTCGTCTGTCGCAACTAGCTACACCGCGGTCTCGGATGATTCCAATCGTCTTGATTCACCCCTCGAAAGCTACCGCAACTCAGGTGCCCCGTACGAAGACCTCTCGCGACCACCCAGCATTCCGTTCATGCACACACGCACCGGTTCCCGAGACTCTTTCGCTTCGAAGCGCGACTCGCGATGCGACCTCCCTAGCAGACAATACCAGATTACACCAGGTAACTCTCCCCGCAATAGCGTCGCGGAATTGAAACGTCTGTCTACCCCACGAGTCGCCCAGCGCGCAAGCTACACTGAGGTCCCGTTGCATGAGACCGGAGCAGCATCGCCATCCTCATCCTCATCTCGACCCAGCAGCATCACTATCGCGCCAACCCCCTCTCCCCACCAACCCACCAACGCCTCGCCAACCCGCATCGCCAAGTTCACCGAAGCATGGTACGCCTCCGAATCTCTCATCAACCGCACGCAAGAGAAGCAGCGTGCCCTCAAAGCCGCCGAGCGCTCGCGTCTGTCCCAGTCCCAGTCCCAACAGTACGAAGCCGTGAACCAACGGTACAACTTCGACGACTCAGACGACGACTCGGACCGCGAGAATAACGATATGATGCGCCCCGACGATTCCGATCTCGAAGCCGACGATATTCCTAGCAGCCCTATCGACGTCATGGGTCATCTGCGCCCGAACCCGCTGCGCTTGAACCCGACTCCCCAGGGGCAGGCGCAGATCGTACAAGGCAGAGATATCGCAAGTAGACAGAAGACGCCGTTCGAGCCGCTCTCAGAAGTAAGCCACAACGCGCGTAGCGTGAGCGGTAGCCAGGACATCGCGGACGAAAAGGCCAGCCCAGCGCGAGCCCCATCGTTCTGGCGTCGCAGCTTGATCGTGCCTAAGAGCGGCGGGGCGGGCGCGGGGCGTAACAGAGACTCGTCGATCCAGCCCGACGGCGATTTCTACGCCAAACCATACGGCGAACTGAAGCCTGCCACACCACCCGTCATGCTCGGAGGAGGGGCGGCGAAAACAGGGGGCAATCGGCAGGTCTCTTCTGGTAACGACTACGGCGATTTAGGGAGCGGGAATGCGGGTGCGGGTGCGGGTACGTGGAGAAGAAATGTCAGCGGTAAGATTGCGGAGGAGGGGCTGGGAGGGAATAGGTATTCGCGGTACAGCATTCTTAACGAGGATTAAGGGGGTGCGGAATACTTTGGATTAGACCATGCGGGCAAAAAAAAAAAAAAAAAAAAAAAAAAAGTTGGTCCGGTGTAGGCTGCTTGGAGTCGTTGTGGTCTTTGGACTTTTTGGTGGCTTCTCCGGAAAGGGGGGCGGGGAAGGGAATGGAAGGGAAGGAGGAGGTAGGTGGTGCGATTGATATGTGATGATGACTTCACGCGTGTATTACTAAGTTAAGGTAAACGAAATGGGAACTGGATCTGTGGATCTCGGCAGGTCAGGTCAGGTCAGGTTAGGGTTCTGGTTTTATGGCAATAATGAATGAGAACGGGTTAAGATAGTACCTAAGTAGTGCCTGTGATGAACAGGAGATGCTTTCAGAAGTAATAACAAGTGCTCATGAATAGCGTAATGAGATGTGATAGTTATTTATTTATTTATTTTTTGACTCTTCTGCCGCAGAATTGCTGTATGATTTCGATGCTAATAGACGAATAGAATATTCACCAGTGGACGAATCTATTAATTCAATTTAGGTAGATGTACTATACCGTCTATCCTGTCTTCCCCCATGCCAAGCCTCAAGATCTAGTTTTGCGAATAAATAACTAACCTAGCGATTATACTACATCCGTCCTCAAGTAAACAACTTGCATCATTGTATTATCAAGGGTATATATATCCATAAAATCTAGGTTAGCAAGCAAGCAGACCTCATTGCCATACGCCCTTAACAATGCCAGCATGCATGCCTACATGCAAAGTACTAAAACCCAAATGATTACTCGAATAGCAATACATACATATACATATACATACGTACGTACTACAGCTCATTCTTCTCCTTAACATACGCGCTCCAATTCGTCCTCGGGGATCTCTCGCCCTCGCCGCCGAACCCGTCGCCCTCCCTCCACGCCATCTCAGTCCACGCGCCGAGGCCGCACAGATGCCGCATCGTCGGGCGGCCGTGGGGACAGTTCCACGGCTTATCCAGCTCGCCCATGTGGCGGACGAGCTTCTCCATCTGCTTGAGGGTGAGCGACTTGCCGATCATGACGCTGCTGCGGCAGGCGCGCATGGCGAACATCTTGCGGACCTTGGAGGGCCGCGGGATGGAGTTTGCCGATGCCGACTGGTGGTCCGTTAGCATCGAGATGAGCTCCTCGAGGTCGGCGAGCGAGAACGTCGTCTCCCGGCTGAGCGGCAGGCTGAGGAGCTGGCAGCGGGATCCTACCGGCTGGTCGCCGCTTTCGTCCATGGCTACGATGAAGCCGTTCGCCTCCAGGGCTTCGAGGTTTTCCCTAATTACCTCTTCCTCGAGAGCCGTGAGCTCTAATGCCTTGGGCTGGACGAGTCTTTGAGACTGGACAACGGTATTAGCCTGAAGCCGCTCGAAGTTGTACTTTTCGTCTGTCGCATGCTGGTCGATGATGAACAGCTCGTCATCTCTATCGCGCTTTTCCTCGGCATCCTCGGGGTCTACTTTGGCCGGACGAACCGCTATAATGAAGCCTAGGTTGAACTGCCCAATAATCTTCATCTTCCCGAAGTCGGCTTTGGAGATGGTTAGAGACAATTTCTCCTCGGCGTCCTCGGCATCAAGTCTTTCCGCGGCAGGCTTCGATCCCGTTGTTGATGAGATGTCCTTGAGATATTCTTGATGCATTGCTAGGGACCTTCGTATATGTTTCTCATCTATACGAAGCGTTTGTAGTAAGGAGAGAGTTGAGTCTTTCTTCTTGGTGCCGCCCTTCACAAAGCTTTGTGTACGTTTTTGTGTCTCTTCAGAGATGGCAGATTTTGAACCGTGAGCGGTAGCAGTAGTAGCTTCTAACTCAATTTCCTCCTGTGTGTCCTCAATCTGCTCGTCTATATGTCCATCACCTAGAGACAGACTTGGAGATGGTGGTGCGTCGTCTTGCAGATGGTCATTTATACTCTCAGGCCCAGGGGACTGGTCATCAGATTCGTGATCTTGCTCTTCGGCGCTCTCCGTGGCCACTTCGCTCTGAGCTGGTTCTTCATCTTGATAGTCTTGTTCATCGTCATTGTCTTCGACAAACAACTGCTCGCTGGAACCGTCAGAATCATCCGAAAGATCCGCTGCATCTGAGGTAGTCTTAATATGCATCGGCCCAGCTTGCTTCGATTGCGAATAGGCCGCAAACATCTGCGTCAAACGTCCGTTAAATGAAGGCATCGCAGCTGCCTCTTTTGAAGCTCGTTGTCTCATCGATGGTTCGCGGGCCCTATCGTCTCCTGTTCGTTGCTTTTTCGAGGGAGAGCCAATAATGCTAGTAACTGTATGGTTACCTACCGTAATTGTAGCCACTTCTGGTGCTGATCGTTTTACAGCTGCAGATGAGCTAGCTCTACTCGTTTTGATGTCCGGCATACGAGATGAGGTAGATACGGCTGGTATAGGCGGTTCAATTACCCCTTGAGTACTTGATGTCTGACTACTATCACATTTACTTGCTTTGATCTTGCTTAACTCGGCCAAACGCGCACGGAAATCTGGTTCCTCTCTGGGCTCTTCTTCTGGGAGTGCAGAAGGTGACGCTGGACCATTTTCGGGGTCATTGACGCTGTCTTCCGTATAATTCTTCGCAAATTTAGAAAATATATGTCCTTTCAACTTTGAAGCTTCTGGACCGTTATCTTCTAAGGCTTTGTTCGCGGTTGAAGGAGATCCTGATTTCCGTTCGACCCATCGACTCATTAAATTGAGATCCTGGCCATCACGGATTGGTGACTTCGCCGAGATGGAGCTTTTCGGTAGTGGCTCGCTCGTAGACTTGTCATCTTCAACTTCGTCCTGATGTTCCGTGTCCTCCGTATTCCTAGACATTGAAATTTGCCGGGACTCATTCTCAACTGAAATGGAACATTTCGATCCAATTTCAGAGAGGGGGGTAGAGATGGGGGTATTTTGGCTACTTATCGAAGGCTTTTTGAAAGGTGTCTGTTTTGAAACTGATAATTGTGATGTGGGCAATGCATAGTCTTGCGATTCAAACAGGGCAACGAGGGACTCTCTAAGGTTGTCGAGCATACGATTTTGATCATGCAAGAGAATCGTACGCTTGTCCGGACTGACATTAACATCGTAGAGATGAGTGTCCAGTTGAATATCAGCGAAAATAAAGGGAGATTGGGAAGCGTTGTAGGATTTATACACCTCATTAAACACTTTGGCGAATTGTGGCAGGCCACAGGGACGACCGTTCACGAAGAACATCTGCCTATCCGGAGTCTGACGTCCTTCTCCATGGGCAGGACGAGATACATGCCCCTTAATATGGATTTCGTGAATGTTGTTGCTGTCTCCCTGCACACTCCATTTCTGGCCTGGCGCACTGGTAAGTTCTAACTCGAGCTTCAGGTCTAAAGGAATGAGGACGGCCAGGGTTTTCGCTCCGAACACATTAACAATATTGTCCCTAGTTGTCTGGTTTCCTTTGGTGGAAAATAATACTATCCGCTTGCCCTTGGTCGGTTGTTGAGACACAGAGAACTTGAGTCCAGTCTGGATGCAGGCATACTGATTGAGAACACCAATAACCTTGTTCCACTCCCGTTTAATATTCCGCTCCAGTTCGCGGCGACGGACGGGCAGATTGTGGAAAAGTCCCTCAACGGTTACTGTGGTGCCTTTCTGGGCAGCTACAATACTCGTGCTGCAAAGCTTCCCCGAGGTTTCGAATTCTAGCTTCGATCCTTTTGGGGCGTCTGATGCTAGACATGTTGTCACCGTGAATTTAGACAAGGCGCAAAGAGACGATAAAGCCTCTCCTCGAAAGCCAAAAGTTTGGAGGGAGGAAAGATCTGCATATGTGGATAATTTAGAGGTATAATGCTTTAGTGCTAATGTCTCGTAGTTTTGCTTGGATATGCCTGAGCCGTTGTCCTGAACCTCGATAGAATCCAAGCCCTGGTTCTTGAATCGAACCTCTTTCAGGTGGAATTCCTGTTAGTTAATGAATAGAGACGTAGTAACAAACAAATAAATAAATAATAAAAGTACGAACCAATGTTTGTGGCTCCAGCATCCAAACTATTCTCCACTAACTCTTTTACCACAGAGCATAGATCAACGATAACTTGACCAGATTGAATTTGGTGGATCTAGATTATTTAGTATTTATATTATGATGACAATGCGGAAGAGTTTTGATGACTACTTACAGTTCGTGCCTCGATGGCTTTGATGGTCGCCATCAGTAAGGATATGATATTACTTAGTCCAAGTCCAACTATCCACCGCTACTCCTTACAGCTAATTGAATCCGTAAAAGAGCCTCAGGGGGATTATAGGTTAACCTCTTCAGCCTCGTCGCGTCATACCTGATCAATTAAATTGAAATGGAAATGGAAAACGCGTCTAAGTTCCGAGATGGTGTGGCGCAGCATATAAAGTGGCGTCTCAGAGCTCAGGAGGTACCTATGGAATTCAAGTTATGTAGGTACCCAATTATTATTAGTTCACAGTTGGTGCGAGGGAACTGTGTAGTTTACTGTGTCTCTGTAGTTACGAGATTTTCAACCGCTCTTCTAAAGCGTCTCTTGATAATTAAAACTCTGCTATACTTAGCGATACGTATGTGCCCATACATGAAATCCATATCAAAGGGCGAATTAAGGTTGGCGGACTCTAATGATCTGATCTGTAAGTGTGTCTGAAGAGTTGAAACAACGGATAAGTCTACCTACATAAACTTCAACCAATATCTCTACACTAGGTTAGCTGCATGCTGCATGCTGCATGCTGCATGTCTGAAGCACTTGTATTGTACCTTGGTACCACATACCACATAAAAAGTGTGCACTTCCATGCTTAAGGCAGCTGCCGTACATAGAGCAAACTTTTATTTCTGCTCTTATCTTCGGTGCTTTCTTTCAACTCGGGATCCAACGAAGCCAATCCCCAAAACAATTCTTGGCAAACTACCTAGTTAGCCATTGCAGCATTGGCTTGACTACCTACATGAGGCACATTACGCACTCAGATAGGGATAATAAAGTGATGTTGATATCGGAAAGCTCGGAATACAAACCTCGATATCCTTGCCCTCAACTCCATTCTATCTCATTCCTACTCCCTCTAACTAACGGGGAAACGAGCTTGTATGACGTTTCGAAGACCGCCCTTGAGATCCGACGACATAAGCTACGGATTTAAAGAAGATGATTGTTTTCCTTTTCCGATCAAGTTTATTTTCTGTATCCGAAACTGGTAGGTTGACCGCTCTATTAAATCATCTGGGAAAGCGTCGGAGCCAGTGGATTTAGAATGTTATCTTGGACGCTTCCGATGTGGAGCGAATATGTTCAGCTATCTGTGGTGCATCTTCACAGAGGACGCACGTTATCTGGACTATTGAAACACAACTTCGTACAGCATCTGAGTATCTTCCCGTGTCCGACACAAACCAGGGAGAGTCCACTTTAGGCGCATGTCTAAGTGAGCTCCCACTTTCACGTAATGCCCAGTACTTTATAGTAGTTTGTTAATACGAGTTCTACTGTTGCATTTTGCCGCTCATAGATGGATCCAATATTTGTGGCGGCCGGGATGGCCACGGGACTTATGGCGCAAGCAACTGATCCCAGATAAAAAAAAATCCCGATAACCCGTATATCCCGCGTTTGTATCTTTGTTCGGCACCTTGTTCGGCCAGTTCGGCGCGGCGTTTTGCTAATATCAATAACGGGGCTGTGGAGAGCCATGAGGTTTTCTATATACACATGTACACGTGTATTACCTCAAATTTGGTTCCATCGCCTGTAAAACACGATGTGAGACAGCCAGATGGGACAGGATTCGCCGATCGCCAAGTATTATCTTGTACCATGTTTTGCAGTCTTGAGTGACAAGAACGGTATTTCCCCCGCGGACACACCAGACACACGGTACTTTAATAATGTGTTAGTCGAGACGGATATAGTATCTAACGTAGCACATCATAATTTCTATATATGTATTTAGCAGGTTTCTTTTTATGACAATACATAAAAATGACAATTGTTACATGTTATACCAGTTAGTTAGATTCCTACTTTGCTTCACGTTTGTAAGATCAAATAAATGAATTTCGCAAATAATGTCCTCTGACCCAATGCAGTACCTTACCTCGAAAATGCTACATTATCCTTCCGCTACTGCATGCAGCAGAGGCATGATTTACCAAAGCAGTATCGTCAGATCACTTATACCCAACCAGGCTTAGCTAAGTCGGCAGCAAAAGCTTGGTAATGAAGTTGTATAGTACATATAAGCTAAGCTAACGTCATCCTTGGTGACCATTGTTGGACGAAAAACTTGGCCAAGCCAGTATTTGGCGCGTGTCAACCCACCGGATTCTTAAACCCGCTAAGATCGACTAGGGTGAAAAAAGACTCCACATGGACGTTCTGGGCGCTGCTCATGTACATGGGTACCTACCTACTTATGCAGTCAGGCAGTTATGGTTCGTTTTGCTACGGGATCTCGAAGAGGCTTATCCCATAACTAACCCACAACTAACCCACAATAGACTTTCAACCTTTCCCTGATAGCCCCCAAGTTTTAGTGCTAAGGCGCCAGAATTCGGTGCTAGTGTGCAGGCTAATGAATCAAATGTATGCTACTTTTATGTAGAAGCATGGCCAAATCGCATCTTGATTCTAACTCGAGACGTCCTGACGTCCCGCGCTTGCAATTCCCACTCATTCCGTCTTCTCGCTCCAATCCGTTCAACTCAAAAAACAACAACATCCACTAATAAGGCAACTTGGACATCCTTTTTTACAACAACGTCCACCAATACAAAAATTGCTGCAAAACCGGCGGGTTGGACGACCGACATTCGTTTTTAAACATTTTGCATCTTGCTTTTGTAGGCCGAGAGGAAAGCGTACGTAGGCAAGATCGGTCTATTCGGTCTATGGGCACGGATTGGTTCTCTCCTTAATAAGATCGACACTTCTCCAACGTCCCTGCAGCAGTGCAGCTTAGCTCTTAAATTTGTCGTTGCGCAAGCAGAGTCGTGCCCGTGTCTCGACTAGAACTGCCCTTCCTGCGTTAGCTATACGTCGAATTTCAGCGACAGAATCGTTTCGCAACGTATGACGAACCCCCAGATCGAACTACACGAGTCTACTAAGAATCAAACCTCCGCCGCATCGATAACCCTACGAGTCCATACCCCTGTAAAATAAGAGGTCTCTCACGAGAGCCTCTTTATCCTCATGCAGAGGCGCTCATCGGGATCGTCCGATGACAGCGCCGATGTTCCTGTCAAGATCTCGCGCCCTCATGGCCAGACGAGACTGGGCGACGTGACTTCTTCTGTCCGACATTCACATGATGCTCGCCAGTCAGAACGTCCCCAGAAAGACCAGAAAGAGGGCGCTAGATCGTCATCCGCTAGGAGCCGGAGACCAAGCAGCAATATCAACTGGAGACTTTCTCATAGTCGCGATGGGTCTACCGAAAAAGTACCAGCAACCTCTCGTCTCCCGTCCACGACATTATCGCCAGACTACCCGAGTATGGAAAGCGAGAAGACGGCATCGTCAAGACGAAGGAGTCAGCCTCCGCGGTCTTGGAGTCCCTGGACTATGTCGCTCTTAACCATCTTTACAAGCGTCGTAGGCCTTAGCATGCTGGTAACTGTTCTATATTCTTCTGTTACCCTACATTGTGATCCCAAGGGCTGTCGCATGTCCTGGATGAGTCCATCATACGCTAAATTCAGCGATTTCGATACTGAGCATACTCGATTTGCTACCAAATACTCGTTGTATCTTTATCGAGAGCAAGGATTCGACAATGGGCCAAAGGTGCGGAAATTGAGAATTAATAGCCACTTTCGAATATTTAAAATATTGACTTAATGTGTAGATCAAAGGCATACCAGTGCTATTCATACCAGGGAATGCTGGTAGCTACAAACAAGTTAGATCTATTGCATCGGAATCCGCTAGGTATTTTCATGATATCTTGCAGCATGATGCCGCCGCCATAAACGCAGGTGCTAGGAATTTAGACTTCTTCACTGTCGACTTCAACGAAGACTTCACTGCTTTCCATGGGCAAACCATGCTCGACCAAGCCGAGTATCTAAATGAAGCCATCAGGTATATCCTCTCCCTCTACTTGGACCCAAAGATCTCGGAACGAGACCCGAGTCTTCCAGATCCTTCATCGGTTATTGTACTAGGTCATTCCATGGGAGGGATTGTGGCGCGAACTATGTTCATTATGCCAAACTACCAGCAAGACTCGGTCAACACGATCATTACTATGTCTGCTCCGCACGCTCGACCTCCTGTCACATTCGATTCAAAAATTGTTAGTATTTATAACGATATCAATAACTATTGGAGACGGGCCTACTCGAAAAGGTCGTCGACCGAAAATGCTTTGGGCCAGGTTACCCTGGTGTCCATCGCTGGTGGTGGTTTAGATACTGTTGTCCCATCAGATTATGCCGGTCTGGAATCCATCGTACCTGAGACCCACGGTTTCACCGTTTTCACATCTACAATTCCTACAGTTTGGACAAGTATGGATCACCAGGCAATCACATGGTGCGATCAATTTCGGAAGGTCATCGTCCGTGCGCTGTACGATGTCGTCGATAACCGCGGGAGATCACAGACGAAATCGAGGGCAGACAGGATGAAGGCCTTTAAGAGGCGATTTTTGTCTGGCTTGGAGAGTTTTGTTGAGAAGAGCCTCCCAGAGACAGCCTCGTCGACGTTGTTAACGCTAGAGGATCATTCAACTACCATCCTTCCTCTAGGCGACCGTCTTGTTCTCCGTGGCCTAGGTTCAGATAGAAAAGCCAAGGCATACCTTCTCAATATTCCGTTGAGTGAATTTTCCGAAGGGAAGAAGTTGACCCTGCTCTCAGACAGCAAACTCGATCGGCCAGGCGAGGACGGAAAACTAGAGGTTCTATTCTGTAATTTCTACCCGCCGCAAGCTGGACAGGCTAACCAGCCGTTCTCAATGAATATCGATCTCTCTGACGATACCACGGAGCCCACAAAAGATTCAAATTCAATCAAACTTGCCTGTAAAAATGCTGCGTCCGATGTAGTATCGCTGCCGGCTTCTTCACGTTTCACGCAGAATCCATTCTTCAAAAAGGACGAATGGCAAATACCACCATTTTCATATCTCGAGTACGACGTTGAAGATATATCAGACTACGGGTTTGTTGCAGTTATTGATAAAACTACGACTCCGACGGCCGGATGGTTGGTAGCTGAATTTAGTGATAAAGCCGACGCTCATTTAACTCGACATATTGGTCTAAGACGTCTTTTTAACTTTGGTTTGTCGCTTCATCTTCCTGCGAATAGACCAATGGTGACCGAAGTGAAACTTCCATCGGTTCAGAGCAGCTTGTTGGCGTACAATCTCAAAATTATTGACGGCCAATCCTGCAATGAACGGGAACAATTATTTAGCCCACTTGTCCGGCAGTATCTCTCTGAGCCTTACGAGTCAAAGTATTTCGTAAATGCCCACGAGGTGGAGATTAGTCTTCACGGTGTCTCGCCTTACGTGCCTCCGCCCCTGAAGTCTAGGCAGTCTGACGATGGCCTTAGCCTTCAATTCTGGACAGATCCGACGTGTGATTCGGACATTTCGATTCGTATTACGATCGATACCATGGGCAGCCTCGGAAAGCTGTACATGCGATATCGCACCGTCTTTGCTTCTTTCCCCTTGCTTATCGTTGCACTCGTACTACGAAAGCAATTCCAAGTATACGACAGCACTGGGGTCTTCATTCCCTTTTCCGAGAGCTTAGACTTCTGTCTTAGACGATCGCTGCCCATGTTATTCTTGTCCATGACTCTCTTATCGCTTTCGATGGGCCAGTCGGGCTCAACCGGGTCAAAAAGTCTCTGGTTTTGGCAGAATAGCACGGCTGATGTTGATTTTGCGCAGAACGACCTGCTAGTTGGTACTTCGGACCCGTTCTTCTGGTTTCTGATCCCGATGATAGGAATTATCTGTACTGGAGTGTGTATGGCTCTCCACTACCTCACGCTATGCCTCACCTGGCTGCTTAGCATAGTATATGGTTGGGTTTTTGTCCGGCCAGCAGTTGTTCAGCTGCAAGAGAAGAAGCGAGCGTTATCACCAGCGTTCGCACCTTCGCCACCACGGAGACGACTTATAACTACCGTGGTTCTCCTTTTGCTCGTCTCGACATTCATCCCATACCAATTCGCATACACAGTTGCATGTCTCGTACAGCTGAGCACTGCTGTCCGAGCCCATCGATCTGCACGCGAGACTTCGTCACCTGCAACCGTTAATTTCAATAACTACGTCCATTCTATTTTGCTCTTGATGTTATGGATTCTGCCCATCAACTTGCCGACCCTAGTCGTTTGGGTACGCAATTTGGCCGTCCAGTGGTTTACGGCGTTCTCGTCGCATCACAACGTGCTGTCGATACTGCCGTTTATCCTCTTGGTCGAAACCCTTACAACTGGAAAAATGATTCCGCCAGTAACAAGCCGGCTCAGGTACCTAACCGACATCATATTCTTTGGCATAGCCGTCTACGCAGCTATATACGGTGTTTCGCACGCTTATATGTTGCATTATTTAATAAATATCGTCGCAGCATGGCTTGTAGCAATCCATTCGACATCGGATTCCTGGACTCTGGCCGGAATATCCTCCATTTTCGAAGGCGAGCCGGCCGAGAACCGCAAACAGGGTAAAACTCCTTGATATGATTGATGTCAAGAGCCAGATTTGCCCGCTTAGTGGTTCTAGATAGACCCCGCGGGTTATGTCGGAAGACCTGAATACTTCGTCAATCTCAAATTTATTATTTATTTTTACAAAATCATATCGCATTAGATATGTTACGGATCGGTACTAGACCTCCGGCCTTGTTAGAAACCTAGGTTCTTTGTATATACATCCTGAACCGAGTTGGTCAGCAGTATCGAGAAAGCCGAGCGTCTTACCTACAACTAGACAGTCCTCGACACTTTCTTATTATAGGTAGAGCACTCTGCACCGAACAGTTTACCTACATCTTAGTACGGAATTTTTATCTTTTTTTTTCTGTGAAGGCTTCTCGTCTATTTTCTACGGCTTTGCATATTAGCATTAGGGCTGGAGTTTGGGGGTTTCATGGCGGTCTGGCTAGTCGCAAATAATGGGGACTCTCTGGTTTTGTCTTCGAGCCGTTGTCGCCTAGGTTAAAGCTTACTTGCGTAGTACTCGACTGCAAATTATTGTCTCGTGGGTTGGGTGGCATTGTACAAAACACCGGTTCCCAACTTTCCGACGTGCGGGAAACTCAAACTTAGGGACACGATTTTGTTTCTTCTTTCTTTCTTCTATTTTCCTCTGCTCTCTCCTTTCCTTGGGGGGAGCAATTACAAGAGACGGTCGGTCGGGGATTTCCTCATAATTATAGTCAAGGATTGGGTTATAGATATGGCTTTGGGAACCGATCGACAGACCACCTACTCGCATCCGACGGATGCAACAAAACCTACCTAATCATAATCTGTAGGGAGGGAGGGACGTGCCGAGAGGTCGCTTGAGGGGGGCCATTCGGAGGACCTTGGATAGTCGGCAGAGGCGAAAAGAAGTAATAGGTACGGATTTCATCCCCCCCCCCCTCAAGAAAGGGGAATGTGGCGCGCTTTGGCTGGCTGGCTGGATACTAAGGCAGATGGCGTCTCGGCCTTAGGTAGCTGGGATAACATAGATCGCAAATAAACTTATGTTTAAGAGGTACTCGACGTTTTATTAATATCCAAAAACCAGCGACTTCCATACATTCCAGAGGCCAGCCTCTTCACATGCAATCTTTCTTCACAACCCAGGGTTTGAAATTTGAAACATAGAACTACCCTAAAGTGTGAGTGCACCGATGTCAGATATGTCTTAGCTCAAACATTACACCAACACTATTGAAATTCTACCCGTAAGAAAAAGTCTATTGCCGTCCTAGTCTATCTACCTGTGTATGCCCTAGCAGGAGCCCCGAGTCTTTACCAATCCCGCAGTCCCGGTCTATTTGAAAGCAAAACCATAACGCCCACGCCTACGCCCCCAGGGCGCCTTACTTTACCCCGTAGCTCCCCTGTCATGAATATCCTATGGAAACCAGCTCATAGACACGCTTCAAAATAAACACCGAAAGATTGCAACAACATGCACAAAACACGACAGATAGGATAGGACCTCCGTGGTTGTATCCTACTCCCTGGCGCGGGCTTTACCAGCAGATTCTGCGAGCCGCGTCTTGTGCTGATGCCAGATGACCCAGAGCGTAACCACGAAGCCGAGGCCGCAGGCGGCGAGCGTGACAAGATACGCAGCCCAATAACACTCAAGGCCGTCGGCGCAAGAGCTCGCGCCGTCCTTGCCAATAATAGAATGGGCGTCGAAGACGGAACCATAAAATAAATTAAAAATGTTGCTCGAGATGACGGGGGACAGAGTCATGAAGCCCCAGTTCTGGCTTAGGCCGTGGATGCCGAAGGACTCGGCGACGATGGACGGGAACACGCCGAATAGGAACCCGTAGCCTAGCCCGCTGAACCCGGACACGAAGCCCAGCAAGTGAGGGTTCGTCACGTTGAGCGCGAAGATCTGCGCCAGCGAGAAGATGCCCGATGCTACTACTAGGCACCACACTCGACTAGCGTGGAGTACCTTGACGAGAAAGTCGGAGCCGACGCCGCTTAGTAGTCGCCCCGAGAAACTGCCAATGGATAGGATGGAAACGTGCAGCTGCTGACGTAGGACGAGCGTCTTATCGTCGATCGAGTCGTCGTAGTGCCTCCAGAGCGCTGTGACGTCGTTGCCGATATTGCTAATGTGGAGTTAGAGCCGCATATTCCGGGCACAATATTTCGTATGCAATGCACGCAGGCGAGGTAATACTCACTTGATAGTCATAAGGCCGATACCTGAGAGTATGCCCATGATGGTAAACAGCTGCCAAAACTCGATGTTCTTCAAGAGATTCAGACCTCGGATATCTACACGGTGAGAACGATCCATATCAACACTGCTCTGCACTAACACTTCACCCGGCAAGGAGGAGGACAAGGTGGACTGGGATAGAAGCGAAGACGTTTCATCGGAACCATCGCGGGTACCTGACGGTGCTTCCTCGGTGTCGACAGCTGGGCTGTCTTCCTTGGGGCTTGGGGGGTCTCGGTCCTCTTGTTCCGAGGCATCTTGGGTCGTTTTGGAGTTGTTGGAGGTGTCAGAGGTGGTGTTGAACATACCAGGTTCGGATGGATCCCTACGAGCAGCACGTGTCTTAGACTCGTCCGACGTGGTACGGTGCAACTCTCGGGAATCTGCCATGCCTGGTTCCGCATCGGGTACAGCATGGTACGGCGAGTGAGGCGGAAGCACGCGCAGAAAGAAAAACCCGAGGAAAGTCAAGCCGAAGGTGCCGTAAGCTAACAACATTAGGAACTTGCTCGGACTGCCGGGGAAGAAGACGGAGCCGATGAGGGCGAAGAAGAAGGCGCTTAGACCGAAGGCGGCAAGAGGAAAGGCGGTGGCGGTGCCACGATGATGCGGCCAGTTCAAAGCTGAGGTCTTGACGGCGGCGGCGAAAGCCATGCAGCCACCGAGGCCGGTCAGATACGACACAAAGCACATCCACGGAACGGACCCTTGACCGGCATCATATGCTTGGTGGAGCGGGAAGTAACCGAGACCTAGTAGGAAAGCCCCTACGATGACAGCGGGGCGAGGACCCTTGCTGTCGACGAACATGCCTACGGGGACGCCCATCGAATACATGCCGAGATTCCCCGCCAGCCCGATCAGGTTGCTTTCGGTAGCAGACAAGAGTAACTTGTCGGCAAATTGGGGTGCCCAAGCCGAGTAGACATACTACCATCCGTTGTCAGAGACGTCGAAGAGATGATTATGATGTCTTACATTGGTTCCGCAGGCCAGCGAGATGACGGTCGCGGCGACGCTCGATACAATGCGAGCATTGTAGACTTGGCCCGATACAGTCATATTGAAAATCACACGAGTTAAGTAAAAAGTTAGTTATGATGATATCATGTCTTATTTCCGCTAGTTAGTGACCTTTTACAAAAGGGGAAAAAGAGGAGGCTACGGTGAACAATTACGAAGGAAATATCAAAAGGAATAGATAATAAGATCGGAGGCTGCGATACGGCACAAGTGGTCGTGTAATGCCGGAAAAAAATAAGAGATGTATGTTTCTAAAAGGCTAGATGTGCCATGCCGAAGGTAACGATAGGGAACGAATGAAGTGTACAAAAGTAATCGGGCGTCGTTGTCGCGAAGATGATGGGATGGGAATTGATAGGACGACGTCGAAGGAGTGGAGGGTTTAACCTACGTAGGGACGTGTCGCAATCGCAATCTCAATCATAAATCATACACTACATAATCATAACGGGGGATTGCGCTTTATCGGCCGGCTTATCTCGCTTCAAACCCCTTACTGTTTCGGGCTACGAGGCGGGTCGACTATCCTTATGGGGCGTTAGTGTACTCCGGTATTTCGGCATCAGGCGAGAGCTTGGCTGCTTGGCAGGCACTGGCCAAAATACTGGATGAGTTAGTGTAGGTAGGTATGCCCTCGTTATGTACACGCCTCCGTAATTATATCCGTGCCGGAGGGTCCCATCTTTAGCTAATCCATATCTTAAGTGCATATTGTACATACGTACGGAATATACCGTACCAATATTCATATTCATACGTACACTTCGTAGAATCCGCGGAAATCGCATGAATGCTATATCGGTGAAAACCGTCCCATTACCACAGGTTGGTATTTGTTGGATATATTGGCCATGGACGTCCCTGCTTAGCTTGGTGCTATACCCAATTCATAGTCACCGCTTGAATACAGCCGATCCATTTTCAGCCTTGGCCAGTTCAGTAAATCGGGTTAAAGTGGAGGTTGATATTCTAGAAGCCATCGCTACGAGGGTTTGAAGGTTATATTATGAATTAAAGGGGCTTTCTCTTGGCAGTCTTAATCGAAAATTAATGGCCGGGTCTTGGCATTTTCAAAGAGGCAAGCAAGATTCAGAATGCCAAGAACCCGGCCCATCAATTTTCGACCGAAACTAACTACCCGGTAACATTTCGAAGGATTCAAGATGGTACCAAGTCGGGTATAGCGCAGGTTTGATCGGGCATGGCAACACGCCGGTCATAGAGCACAACAGCCAATTACTCTTGCTTGTCGAGCACGATCGTACGGTACCCCCTACACTTGTAAGCAAAGTATATACATATCGGTAGTCGTTGGCCGGGGGGTTTAATTCTGGGGTAAGCTACCTACATACATGATAGGTACATACATATGGGATTCATCGCATTAAGACGTCATCGCGTGAGCAAGTTGGAGTTGGAGATGTTGGAGTCGTTGGGGAAAGTCATGTTCAGCTTCAGCTTGTTCAACAGACGAAGGGGGGGGGGAGGAAAGTAGAAAATAACGTGTTGTTCGGTAGCACCTTGAAATATTATAACACATGAACATCGGCATATGTACCTATGTAATTACCTAATATAAATAATGAATACCGTTCTAAATACATACATATAATAAAGGGGTATTCATTAGTGAACATGTTACCACGAAACTGGGTTAACCTAATATCTTCCGTATCTAGTTGTATCTTCCGAGGTTACGAAAACCACCTCCAATTGTCTACACCGTCATGTGGTCCCTTTTACGACCTTCCCCCCTGAAGACCAGTACTGCAAGTCACCCCCAAGTCGCTCAAGTCCCCTATTTTAATTCGCGATCACCAGTGGGGAAAACATTTATTGCAGTTCCTGTGCCGCTTCAGGAAATAACAATATCCTGACCAACTGCTTTGATACGTCATGTAATCGATGTGACCCCCGCCCTCGTAACGAGACACAACATAACATGCCCAGCGCAATACCCAGCGCATACCGAGCCACCCGCGCTTGGTCTGATAGTCTGATAGTCTCCTTTATAACTTGACCGGATCACGGCTTAAAAGTGAAATTTCATGTTCCTTGCCTTCTCACCTATCTTCTCTCCTACATATATATCACTTATACAAACCCATAGCCATCGTCGTCGTCGTCGTCGTCATCACCATGGCTACGTTCGCCAGTCTTCCCGCTGAGTTGCGTCTAGAGATCTGGGATCTCGCCTTACACCAAGAAGCACGCGATCGCTTACTTATAATTGGCCAGACCAAGAATGCTCCCATCACTAACGAGTCGCCGCTCTGTCTCTTACCCCTCAAGCACCACGCAAGCCCGCTGCTCTCGGTCAATTCCGAGAGTCGCTATCAAGCCAAGGCCTTCTACACAGCCAAGCTTGATGTCTACGAGGTTCCTCGCCTCTCCAAAGAAGACATCAATCGCAACAGCAAATCCTCATACCAAGTGCAATACATCAACAAAGCCATACAAACCGCCAGCGTGGTAAAGGGCTCTATCTATCTTAGTCCGCGATATGACTTCTTCGTCTCCATTCGAGGCATTGACACCTTCCCGTATCTCGGGGAAGAAAAGAAAGAAGAGTTGCTCGACAAGCAGCAAGAGAACCAGGAAGCCCCCCGCCACTATATCACGGCCAAGATACCGCCCGAGATCGCCATGAAAGTCCGCAACGTCGTCTGTATACAGAAGAACCTAGACAGAGACGACGACTTTTACGATTGGTGGTGGACAGACACGTACATGGAGAACCTCCTATACAACCGGGAGGAACTCGTGCGATATCTCTGCGTCCCGCCTTTCCGTCCCCGTTTATACGGACCCGTCTACGTTAAATACCTCTGGAGGGCATCCGATTTCAAGCAGATCCAGAATTACCTGCATCTATGGCTACCGCAAGAAGAACTAGAGAGTTTCGTTTCTAACGTGATCAAAAACCGCGGTCGCGGCTCTTACAACTTCCGGGAATGGTCACTGCATCCGCATAATCGTATACCTAAGTTGGTATTGCTCGACTTAGAAGAGGATGCGCAGAAGCAAGATGAAGACTGCGCACCGGTTGAGGCACCGGTTGAGGCACCAGTTAAGGCGCAAGTCAAGACCTTATGATAGAGGATTAAGATCAATTAGTGCGAGTTATTTTTTTGGTTTGGTGTTTTTGGATTCGGCTCAGCATTCAGGGAACTTGGGTCCTTGTACCTCCTACTGCCTAATACCTCGGGGATCTTTCACGGCGAAACATTTTTTGTAATTAAGGGTATGTCTCATGGGACTTTGGGAGTTATGGCGAACGGTGAAAGGTGAATGGTGGATGGTAAATAGGTACTGAGGAAAATGGGTATGATGATCCACACGTAGCAATACATTCGCTTTTGCATTTCTCAACAATGCGCAATGCGCATAACATACCTCCATCTAAGGTAACAATCGGTCCGGTCCGTCAATCATCCCCACCATTTTTCTCCAGCTGCCGCATCAAGTATTTCACCTCGCAGGAAAAGCAACTTCATCACAAACACAAACAAAACTCGGCAAGACTATATGTAAAAGCCATGTGATGGAACATATAGTCAAACAGTGCCAATACTTTATATATATAAAGTATAAGGCGGTTAGTAAAATCAAGAAGCATAGTTTGTCATCCATAGCCCTAAGACGAATACGTAACTTCGGCTTGCCCAGTTCCGCACGCGGTGATTTGATCTCCGGAAACCCGTTTCGTTAACCAGAGCGACGAATAGTAACCACTAAACATAAGCACCGACGAGGACCATTATTTTTAGAAGAGAACAGTTTAAAAATCCCACCGGTTAGGATCGCGAACTCGTAAACTGCCTTCCAACCATGCGCCGTGGCGAACGTCTTGGTCAAGACGGTAGCGTCGCATCGTATATAATATATAGTTATTGGTGCTGGAGCCTCTGCGATAAATAAGGATGGGTGCTCCTGGTGTATTTTAACGTCGATTTCCTACCGCTATCAGTTGCTTGCTCGTCGGCTGTAGTTCGTAAGAGATATTGGACTTGTGGAATCCCAATTCTCGTTTCACCATGCCTGTGTCTACCGCCTCTCTCATCACCTTACTCGGTGCCTTCGTCACCACGACTCTCGGGCACGGATACGTCACCGGCTACGTGGCGGACGGCGTGCAGAAACCCGGCTTCTTGCTGCAGTACTACTACGACAAGAAGAACGGCGGGAGCGTGCCTCCCCTGGCCGCTTGGTACGCCGAAAACCTCGACAGCGGCTTCGTCGCCCCCGACGCCTACCAGACCGCCGACATCAACTGCCACAAGAACGCCGCGCCGGGCGAGCTGACGACGACGGTGAAAGCCGGCGGCTCCGTCGTGTTCCAGTGGGGCACCGCGGCGGGAGGAGCGTGGCCGCACCCGTACGGCCCGATCATCGACTACATCGCCCCCTGCGACGGCGACTGCAGCAAGGCGGACAAGACGAAGCTGCAGTGGATCAAGATCCAGGCCAGCGGCATCGACGCGGGCACGCAGGAGTGGGCGAGCGCGAAGCTGATCGCGAACAACAACACGTGGACGACGACGATCCCCGCGTCCATCGCGCCCGGCAACTACGTCCTGCGGCACGAGATCATCGCCCTGCACGGCGCGGCGTCGCTGAACGGCGCCCAGTCGTACCCCCAGTGCTTCAACATCGCGATCACGGGCTCGGGCACGGCCAAGCCCAGCGGAACCCTCGGCACCGCGCTCTACAAGAACACCGACCCGGGTATCCACTTCAACCCGTACGCTACTATTACGGATTACCCGATGCCCGGCCCGGCGCTATTCACTGGTTAGTTAGAGGAGGAGGATTCTTGAAGGATTCAGAGCGGGCCACGGTGCGGCGAAATGTGGGTAAGGTTAGGGAGGAAGTCAAGTCGGAGTTTGTTATTCGGATGTTGGATAACATACCTGGTAGTTAAGCTTGAAGAATAATACAAATCAGCTATTTAAGCTATCTTCGTAGCTGACTTATAACATTTTGGCGAGTATTAGTATTTTGATGTTGTTTAAGTGAAATGTAAGCTTTAGATGTAACTATGTAACTATGTAACTATGTAACTACATTTCCAATATGCAACTTCCCCCGCATCAGTTCTAGAATAATCTCCATTTAGTGATATTTCTATATACGCACTTTACTGTATCCGCGCGCGTCGCATGACCCTACGTAATGCAATGCCAAGTACGTATGTACAGTATATAAACTGTCCGTGCGTAACTTCCACCCACCGCAGCCGCACGGCGTCACGCCAACTTCGACCAGCAAGCAACGCCTCATCCTATCGTAAACCCTCTTACCTATAATTCTTCCCTTCAACAAACCCCTACTTTTTTAAGTACAACAAGAACAAAAAGGACATCAATCCGGTATTGAAACCCACCATCCAGGATGGGAGCGCTCCTATCTCTTCCCTTCTTGGCGCTGCCCGGCGCTGGCACGGTACGTTCAACAACCTGATCACATTAATCGAGTATGTCCAAGACTAACGATAATCTAGCTGATATCCTGCGCTGCTAGCTGCTGCGGCGCTGCCACCTGTTCCATGGTCTGCAGCGCCTGCGGGAAGTGCGGCAACAGGTAAGATAACCACGTTCTATTCTCCTATACCATGTCGCAATGCTTTGCGCGGACTAACTAACATTGAACTTTCAAAGTGTTGCTACCCGTATCGCCTACGCTCTCCTCCTCCTCGTTAACTCGATTCTCTCGTGGATCATGCTCACACCCTGGGCCATCGAAAAGCTACAACACCTAATGTTGGACTATGTGAAGATCGACTGTCCAAACGGCAAATGTTACGGCTGGCTGGCCGTTCACCGAATCAACTTTGCCCTCGGGCTCTTCCACCTTATCTTGGCCGGCCTGCTATTTAACGTCGCCTCCACGAAAAACCCGCGAGCCTCTCTCCAAAACGGCTTCTGGGGCCCTAAAATTATCGTCTGGCTCGCCTTCATCGTCATATCGTTCCTTATTCCCGATGCCTTCTTCCAGGTCTACGGCAACTACATCGCCTTCATCGGCGCAATGCTGTTCCTCATCTTAGGTCTTATTCTCCTTGTCGATCTTGCGCATAATTGGGCCGAGTACTGTCTTGAGCAGATCGAAAAGACCGACTCGAGAGTGTGGAGAGGCGTGCTAATCGGTTCAACCCTCGGCATGTACGTTGGTTCGCTAGCCATGACCATCATACAATATTTCTTCTTTGCTCGTAGCGGCTGCTCCATGAATCAAGCCGCCATCACCATCAACCTCCTATTCTGGATTGCCATTTCGGTTATCTCGGTCCACCCAACCGTCCAGGAGTACAACCCTAAAGCTGGATTGGCGCAGGCCGCCATGGTCGCAGTCTACTGCACGTATCTCACAATGTCTGCCGTCTCGATGGAACCCGACGACAAGCAGTGCAACCCCCTAGTCCGTGCCCAGGGCACCCGGACGACATCCGTGGTGATCGGCGCCATTGTAACGATGCTGACAGTCGCGTACACCACCACGCGCGCGGCAACCCAGAGTCTGGGCCTTGGTAACAGTAGGGGCGGCATCAAGCTCGCAGACGAGGACGAGCACGATCTCGTGACCCAACAGCCAGGACGTCGGGAGATGCGAATCGAGGTTCTACGCCGAGCAGTCGAAGAAGGTAGTTTACCCGCCGACGCCCTGCTATCCGACGACGAAGAGGACGAGGAAAGCGGCAAGACGCCGCATGATGACGAACGGGGCAGCACGCAGTACAACTACTCGGTTTTCCATATCATCTTCTTCCTGGCGACGTGCTGGGTCGGCACGTTACTCACGGGCACAGTGTCAGGTCTGGATGACCTTCCTCAAGACAGCGACTTCGCAACCGTCGGGAGGACGTACTGGGCTAGCTGGGTCAAGATTGTTAGCGCTTGGATCTGCTACGGCATGTACATCTGGACCCTGGTGGCACCTATCGTCCTACCGGACCGCTTTGACTTTTCCTAGAGTGAACTGTAGGGGTCTTTTGTATAATTTAGTTAACTACCTACTTTGCTATGTTACCTAGAATGCTGAAGCATTGTTTATTAGAGTGGTATTTGTAATCAGCGTTCTATGTTAGTATCTCTGCTTAAGCAAATGCTCAATTGCGCAAGTTCTTGATTGTTTTATCTCGTTGCGTCTCATGTGTGTTGCTGGGCGGTCGTTTGTATAACTTACCTAAGTAACCTAGTATGTAGCTACTTAACTGTAATATCATGAGATGGAGTATTTACCTTACCCTCAACGGCTTACAGACATACGTGATTTATTCCGTAGATTTACCAGTTCATAGCGATGGCGTGTACGAAGGAAGCAAAAGCATAGGCCCGGATATCTCGTTACGTTTTTTTGTTCATTGTCAATCCATGATAAATAAATGTTCCCGGATGAACAAGAAGATTACTCCGTAGTAGTTAATAGTAATTGATAGCTGATGGGATATATACATCTTGGAAAGGGGTCTCGAAGGGGTAGGATCGAGAGCTTCCTACTGAACAATATTTTTGTACAGGATCACCTGTGAATATAGGCAAGATGTATGCAGATGTAGCGGGATGTAGCGGTTGATAGTCCCTTGGTAATTGTTATAGACATACGTATTAGAGGTTATTTATATATCGGTTTATCCTAGTATTTACTACTTGTTATGGTATTAACTGACTATATCTATCTGGAAGTCGTCTCCTGGAATATAAGGCATATATACATATACAAACAACGTACACGCCTATTAGGTAACCGACCTCGGAAAAGGGGCTTGTTTCCAGGTAACAGGAGGTCAGGGAAAACTTCACGATTCAAATTGCTGTCCTAATTGCTTTGCTCGATTACGTACGTTTACTCCCTTTTACTTCCGGCTTCAATTCGTGCTACCTCTAAGCTGTAATTACCTATCTAGCCGTCCAAAGCTTCTCTCACCTGATGGGTAGGTAAGTCCTAGATGGAGTACAGACGTACAGACCTTCCAGTCAATTAATTATATTTCTTACAGACGGCTGAAATAGCAGCTGAGTGACTAGGTACTTGGGTTTGTGAGGCTCGGTCCTATCCGCTTGGGTTAATTAGTTTACATGGCACCACGTGTCTACATACTAAAGAAAAGGAGGCGGTATAAACAAGGTAGGTCGTTGGTAGCAAATCACATTTCACACATGACGTCTGCGCAGACTCACGGTGGCACAGTATAGATAGGTATACTAATAGGTAGGTGTTGGTTGATAGTAAGGTAGGCCGGTTATGTGGTGGGACGTCATAACCGAGGTGAATAATATATTCTCTCGATGCTCGTTATAGGTACTTGAGCCTCCAGCCCGCTATGATATACTAGTAATACTGGCTAGCTCACATCGAGTACCTTGATAATCAACTTGGGATATAATTACCTGCGAAGGTGGTCAGTCATGTGGTAATATAACGATGCTGTTGCCTCCACACCGAGTACATAGAAGGGGGTAAGTAAACAACCGCCTCGTTCTTAGTCCACCTCCGGATTTGACCGTTACGCGTAAGGGTGGACATAGGTAGGTATGTAGTATCAACAGGAGCTGGACATCGAATCCACCAATAGGCTAATCAGACTTACTTTGGAGTTCATGATAGCTACCTACGTACCTAACCTACAAAGTAAGTCATGTACGATACCGATATCTAAAGTGGCCGTCAGAGCCTCAACGGATCCTAATCAGCCCACCAGGGGACGGGACATGTCAGAATTCCACGACGACGAATCTTGCCGAAACATGGTTCGTGACGACCGACCGCCTTCCCACGTGGATCTCAACTTATCAAGGTAACCTGTTGTAAGAGCGTCTTGGCCCGATGTGTTGTCTAAGTTGAACAACAGCATTGCCGTGACCGCCCACGGCAAGCAGCTTCATATAAATTAAGCAGATAGCGTACAGGGCCAGCCAACCAGCCAGCCAGCCAGCCAGCACGAGAAATATGACCTATCATACCGCGGAAAAATAATGACATGATAAGCCCCTTATCTTAGGCACGTAAGAAAAAAAAAAAACAAAGCCTTGTCGTCGTCCGGCAGGTTGGTTCGTTCATTGGACTTTTGGAATGAGGCTGATATCCTGATCGGCTGGGCGCTTTCGATTATCGCCGGACCATGTCTATAGGGCCGTGAGAAAGAATCGTAGGTACGTATGTAGACGAAAGGAAGATATCCACCTACAAAGCTATGATGTCGCCCCTGAAGTTATGACGTTGCTCAGGGGCAGCGGCATAAAATCACCTCACATACACGCCGCATGTGAGAGTGTATGTATGTGTGTAAGTATGTATGTATGTCTTAGCTATACGCCGACCTACATACAAGGCTTGATATCCCGACTTGTTTGCTCGATGTACGTACATACATACCTTAGGTACAGATAGCAAGAAGGCTTCCACTGATATCGAGCAGCAGCAGCAGCAGCAGCGTTGAACCAACATCGCATTTACCTCTCTCCATTCTACAGCGCCAAGATAGCAAACACGTTTTATCGGTGTTGTACCGCCTCTCCTGCCTGTCTCTGATGCTGTAAACGGTCGACTGAGGAAATGCCTTACTCCTCCTCTTCCTGCTGCTGCTGCTGAGAGACCCTAAGAGTAAGACTGGTCTCACAAAATAGGGGGAGAAAAAAAAAGAGACGAATCAGACAAACACGGACATACCTCCTCGTAGCGCTCGGATACTGCGGCTCCAGCGAAAGGAGAAAAAAAAAATCATACATAGTCACTCAGCCGTTCGCAAAATGCCCGAGGTGTCGCCCATCCAAGGCGGTGAAGAGCTGCAATTTGCATAATCGCAGCTCTGACGATACGTAGACGTAATGGTATCGACGGGTACGCGCATATCCATTGCAGGCGCCAGTTCACCTGACCGCCCCCCTCCTCCTCCCCCGTGCCTCGCCCTCGAAATAGCTTAACAGCTCGCTTCAGTCTGATATGTAGATCGGCAGCTAGTGGCGCCTGTCTATCTGGTCCTGTGCTTCATGTAGGTAGGTAGATTTGGGACGACTGTGGTGTGTGTGTGGATGTGTGAGCGTGTGTGTGGAGGGCGTGTGTGGAGGAACACCTCGCCTCCTCGCCTGGGTCACAAAAAAAAGCAACTACATCTAGGTATATTTCCTCATCAAATAATTTCTGCTATGTAGGTAGGTATTTACCGGTTTTTTTTAAAAAAAAAAGACTAACAAACCACCCAACCAACAGCATATGCTCGCGAATAGAACCTCTTGACAGCAAGTAGGATGATCTTCCACGCGAGCCGAAATCCTCGCTAAGCCATACCTATTTCCAACAAGCAGCGCGCCTTTAGTACATCTGCGCGTGTTCTGTGTTATTGGACGATGCAAGCCACAGTAGCACATCCAGATCGATAATGGAGAACGATCGTTGCACGAGCCGGGGGGGTTTTGTTAGGTATTCGGCTTTTTTTCGATTTTCGAATTTTCAAAGCGCTACTGCTGGGTTGTTGACTCATTCCCGGCATATGTACGCCAGTCTGTGTGATATATCCAAGTATGCTGATGTGACGGACGATGTTTTTTGCAGTCATATTCTTGCTGCTCGTTGTCCGCCCCAGCTTAGAAGGCCAATGGAGAATCGCTCTCAGCTCTACAGGTTGGCGTGGGGGATGTGATGAACCCACAGGATAGAGCTACGCAAGAAAGGGATTGTTCCTGTCTATACACCGAACCACTACGAGGACATGCTTGTTGCCAATCCTCATATCTATATAAGAGTTGGGCCTAGTCATGCCTAAGAAGAGAATTAAACCCGCAGGTTTACCCAGTCAGTTTTGATCTTCTAATTATTTCTTTCATAATATTCTCAGTTTTGACTTTGGAATCGTCTTCTCAGAGTCACCAACTATCGCTAGGCCTCGTATCTATCTCATAACTCAACTCATAACTCAATTTCCCTTCAACGAAGACAATGCCACATAGTACTCATGAGGCCGAGAAGATGCCCGACTGGTTCGTTGAGAGTGCCCTTGCGAATGATATTTTAATTCTAAGTAGCGTATATAGTGGCAATGGCACCAAGACTGAAAGCAGTTCCGCGCAAGGAAAATCCCAACACGGGGGAAGTTCTTCTCAGACGACCATGCTAGAAATCTGGGCAAATGAGACCGAACGCGAGAAACTCCCCTTCAGCGAGGTGACCCAGCAACCGGCTGTCTAGTACGTTATGCTCCTCTCTGACTTAATGCTGTCCATATACTAAGTATAATTCTAGACCACCTGGGAGGCGTTAACCTTGCTAGAGTCTGCATCAATGTGTACATGTAACTCAAGGAGACCAAGCCCTCGCACAGGGGGCCAGGGGTTGGGTGCGTGTTACAGTCCCTTATGTACAATGGTTAGTAAGAGTAATGGATCAGCAATGAAATATCGCTTTTTTTGTATTATGAGAATATGATTTTGCTGCAGTGTCACATGGCGACACGCCGCGATTGGCTCCGAAACACGGAACTTCTGCAGGATCTCAAGATAATGTAGGCTCGGACGACGTATCGTTGCTCGAATTTGTGCTTCCGACCTGTGCTGTAGCTTCTGCCGCATGAAAACCATCAAGCGTAATCGTCACTGCACCTGCTTGTACGAGCTGATTGACATTAGTATAATAACCATGGTATGAAAGCTGACATATGTTGTGATACTTACTGCACGAGATAGGTCGTCGACCAGGTCATGGACATCCTCAATACCAACGCAGAGTCGAATGATGTCCTCGGGCATCTGCCGCTCCTTTCTTGTCTTTGCGTCGATGCTAGCATGGCTCATACGGCACGGCATACTGATTAAACTGTTGACACACCCGAAGCTTACGCTAATTCCGTACAGCTTTGCAGCTTCGACAATCCTCTCAGATAAGGCGACGTCACCAGTCTCGAACGACAGGACTGCCCCGGCACCCCGCGCCATAGACCAATGAAGATCGTACTGTGGGTGAGATTTCAACCCAGGGTAACGTACGCGGAAACCGTGAGACTCGAGGAATTCGGCAAGTACTTGAGCGTTCGCTTGCTGCTTCTCCATACGAATTGCTAATGTCTTGACTCCCCTCATAAGAAGGAACGAATCGTTCGGAGAGAGACCGCAACCGGTAGCGTTAATAGTGAAATACATCTTATCACCGAGAGAGGTGTCATTGCACGCGATGATACCTGCCATAATATCATGATGGCCTGATAGGTATTTAGTACCTGACTCGTATACTACATCTGCTCCGAGCTCGAGAGGATTGCATAGCATAGGGGACAGCATCGTATTGTCAACGATGACAAGCGCCTTTGAATTAGCGTCGTGGACGGCTTTCGCGATTGACGGGATATCAACAATCTTGATTAAGGGGTTGGTCGGGGTCTCTAAGAGCACCATGGAAGTCTTGTCCGAGACAACCTCGCGTACTCTTTCGACTTCTGTGGTATCCACATGGTGGACAACAATGCCTTGATTCGACGATAAATATGTAAGTAGCCGGTTGGTACCCCCATACAGATCATCACCGGTGATCACTTCATCTCCAGGACGCAACAGCCTAGTAATAACGTCTAAAGCACCCATGCCAGAACCAACAGCAAGGGCTCGGTTAGCATTCATAATCTTAGCCATGTGACGTTCTAGATGCGTTCGGGTTGGGTTGCCCGATCGTGTGTAGTCATATTCATCGCCACCTTTGGAAGAGGTCTGTTTAAATGTAGCGGATTGGTAGACTGGGATGCTTGAAGCACCGTATTGGTCTTTGGTTTCGGTGTAGACAAGTTCAGTGGCCAGAGCATAGCGTCGGCGACCGTTGGAAGGACTCGAGGGAGCAGGTGAGGGAGGTAAAGTGTGACCGTCGATATCGACCTTAGAAACGGCCTTGTTTATAGGTTTAGAGTCGTCCATGGCTGGGTGATGGGATGAAAACGGGACCTCCCGGCGGCCGAATGGAATCTAAAGACTTAAAACTTAGACCCAGACCTTTTTCTATGTAGGCTGGTGGGTATCAGCAAGACCGGTAGAAACCAATTGACTTGCTGATGACCGTTAAACTACCGTACTCGTACTCTTTGCATAAAAGGGAACCGTATAAGTATATTATAGAGGGAAATGGAGCGGTTTCGAGGTAAGAGCATGAAAGGATTCAATTGAGGTTCTGCTGACGGATGTAAATCATGTAGGTTAAAGAAATTCCGTGATCGCTGATCCAAGGTCGTTAGGTTGTACGGAATACAGCTTGACTAAAAAGAGAGCGGTGTGGGGTCCAAGGTCCCTTGCAGCATCCGGTTATCGGGCTGAAGAGGTAAAAACCTGGGGAAGACGCGGGTATCGCTATAGATGACGTGATTTGGGCGGTAGACAAAGCATCCGATCGGTACATCGATAAGATGACCTGTGTGCCAAGACCACGTTTTTTGACCCATAGGGCTGACATCCACGCTACCTATTTACCTATTTACCTACCTATTCTGCTCCTGCCTATTCTAGGGAGTTTAGGCCTGTAAGCAATGGCAATGAGAGCATTGTCTAGGTACATACTCGGGCAGGTAGGTAGATTAAGTTACCATCGATTAACACAACATTAAATACTTAGGTAATATTAAACACATTAACTATACTTAGCACTAGTTAATTGAATGTGTATCCAATGATCAATCGTATTGTAAAGCTTCTCGAGCATCTATCGAGTTGGGCAATTACTTAGTAATGCCAAATTAATCACAGACAATGAACTAAATCGATATATCGCGACATACTCGAAAAGCCTTCTCAACCGTACCGTTGAATTTTACGTAGCCGATATACTGCTTTTGAACAAATGGCTTGCAGGCCGATTTCACTAATAGCTACGTTATGATCGTATGCGCCGATAATTCTATCGAGATAGGTAAACCTCAGCAGCTCAAGATACTCCTAAGTATCGAGCTTAAGGAAACAAATTCATCGCCGGAACTCATATCATTGTACAGAGCAACGTCTTCCCAACCAATGTCTAGTGTTAACTGCAACCCAAGTGGTGATCGTTTAAAAGAAAAATGCCCTAATTATTCCGACGTAAACGCCTTTCCCCATCCCTCCTGAAAGCTCATATTGGTTCATCCAAACACACATTTATGCAGAAGCCTCCGTACCGGCCTCCGCAGTCTTCGCACCCGTGGTCGATGTCTCGACAGTTTCCGCGTCGTCCTCGACGTCCTCGTATTCGTCACTTGCCGATTTTGCTCGTGCGTGGTTCTTCATCATAATCTGGCCAGCACCTTTTCGCCCGAAGAAATCCTCTGTACGAATTCCTCGTACATTAGTTGGGTTAATGGCAGACATAGGGTTTCCGCTTGCTCGGTGCTGGCGAATATATTCCCGTACCGGGGCCATAGCCGCATCGCGGCAAGCTTCCTTAATATCGCTACCAGACATACCGGCCGTTACTCTCGCTACGTACTCGATATTGAAGTTGTCAGGATCGGTCTTAGTACCTTTGAGAACAAGCTGCAGGATCCGTAACCGTTGGTTTTTATCCGGTAAAGACACAGGAAACTTCTTGGGCATCCTGCGGAGGATAGCCTCATCAATGTCATGGATACGGTTAGTAGCGCCAAGCACGACGATTCTTGCAGGGAGCCCTTGTGTATTTGCAGAAGTTAAGCCATCCCATAACGTCATGAACCTAATATTTATCGTTAGTTCCTGATACGACTACGCACGGAGCCATCCTTACTCTGCTTTGACCATGCCACTAGCTTCATGTTCACCGCTTCTCCTGGTCCCCAGCACTGCGTCTATCTCGTCGATAAATATGATAGCAGGCTGTAGTTTACGAGCAAGAGAGAAGACTGCTCGTACGAGTTTATTTGAATCTCCGTACCACTTTTCGGTCAAGGTCGAAATATGAAGGTTGATGAAGGACGCGCCACTTTCGTGTGCAACGGCCTTTGCCAACATAGTCTTTCCGCAACCCGGAGGCCCGTAGAGTAATACACCTGACGGCGCGGATAACAAGGACGCTGTGTGGGCGTAGAGATGCGGCATCGTTAACGGGTATATGACGGATTCTTTAATCTCATCAATGATGTCCTCTAATCCACCGATATCTGTCGTACGTATTAGAATTATAAGTCCAAGTAGATATCGCAGAGTGTGCTAACCATCGAACCCGACAGGTATGTCTTCCGGCGGGACGACCTCTAACGCAACAAGGTTCTCATATTCATTAAGGACTAGATCCTCTATCCGAGGACCCCGCTTCGTGTCGTTATTCGAGTCTTCTGCTTCTACACCCTCCTCTTCGTACTCTCTTGACTTTTGTAGTCTCTGAAGGTTCGCTTTCGCCTTAAGTCGAGCCTGCTCACGCTTCTCCTTGTCTGGGTCGGCGAGGGTTCCTTGGAGAGTCGATATGACATTTCTAGTAAGAAACCAGGCGGCTCCAGCCTAGACGACGGTGTTAGTGATATCAGTCCGGCCGTGTATAAATTTCAATGAAGCGACTTTGACTTACCGTCCCTAGAATCAATAGCAAGTCCCAAAAATAATCAGATCCATTTCGTCTTCGGTCAACCATGGCGAAGGACTGCTTGATCCCGCTGGAAATCATTGGATACACCTCCCAGTTGGCTAGGAGAAATTAAGACGGTCGAAATACAGTCCGTGTGGGTTTAAGGTTAAGACAAGCCACATGGAATAGATGACCGGGCATACGTAGGAGGTACAGTCCGACTCAGGCTTAAAATGTTGGAATATGTACTACTTGAATCAGGTAGGTACGGTAACTTGGGCTTACTAACACAGTAAGTATCAACGCCACATGTACGGGAACGTGGCTGCCTTACATACACCTTGGCGTCTTATCGATTATGTTCCAATTGTCTGGCTTTTCTTTCTTTTTCTTCATTGTATGTACAATTAGGTACCTAATTAGGTAACCTCTACTCTAAAATTTGGATTCCGTAGGTACATGTACATGCACATAATAACACGGTACCTTTGTGGAGATGTTTGCATTGAGGTACCTCCTACATGCACATGCTATGTACTCGGGTACTTCGACTGACCTGGTCCCCCTGCGGATATTTTTGTTTACTGGGACCCCTCCAGTCTCAAATATGATTGGCGACAAGCACATCCCACCCTCATCGCACTCTAACCTAGGATATTACATACACTATCTCCACGGTCTTTTTGTCGCGTGGTTGACATAACTACCTCTTAAACTACAAAGGAGTTAGAAAAATCCAAAATTCATACAATTGAATTATAGCATTTTTCGGCTTAAATATAATTGGGTCTGGCTGGACTTCTACGCGACCTTATTAAAACCTACAAGACGCGCCGCCTATTCCTTGTCGCGTCTAATGTCCAAGGCGAAGTCTGCTGCATTACTTAGGCTAGTGGGTTCGGACGACGAGGAAGAAGATATCTTAGCCGAAGACACAGCAACTACTACAATCATGGCCCCCGGAAGAAAAACCCGTGCGACGGCTGCTTCTGTTAAAGGTGCCTCTACAACGAAACCCCCAGCACGAAAAGCATTAGTTGATAAAGCAGCGAATATACAAGAAAAACCCGTACGAGGAAAAGGAAATAAACGACCTGCCGCAGAGGAGATCACAGCGGTAGTAGAGGATGAGCTGGAAGGGGAGTCGATAGCTAGCGATGCGAAGCCTAAAGGCGCGAGAGGCCGACCGCGAGCCGCGAAGGCACCGAAAATATCCAAAGATGACGAAATATCGACTACCGATCAATTAGAACCCACGACTCGACCGGCAGGTAGAAGGGGACGTAAACCGAAGACAAATACCGATACATTACCTGTGGAACCCGAAATCCCCGAAACTCAACCAGCCGAGGACGAGGTTCCGGAGACGCAAGCAGCCGATACGACGGGATTTAGTGCGGAAGAATATGACCAGATAGAGGATTTGCCTCCTCACAATCGCCACGGATCATCCTCTGTTCAACGTATCCAGTCGCATAATATATTCGGTATAAATCAAAGAACGGTACCAGCTTCAGATTCCGATCTTCACGAACCATCGATGAGACGACGAGTAGGAGACCTGAGCCGGAAGTATGAGAACTTGGAGGCAAAATACCGAGATCTACGCGAGATTGGGATTAAGGAAGCAGAGCGCAATTATGACCGCCTTAAGAAGCAATCAGAGGAGAGAGCCAATAGTAAGTAACAAACGAAAGGATTTTAAGGCGTTATGGTGGCGGCTAACCATTTCTAGCTGCAAACCAGCTCATCGAGACTTTGAAAGCGCAGCTATCTGCCCAAACCGAGCTTGCCAAAGAAGCACAACGTTTGAGAGAACAGCTAGAGGCCAGTCAAACCAAAGCAGACCAACTTCAAAACAAGGTCAACGATACCAATGCTTCGTTAATGGAGGCGAAGACGGAGGTCAAGACACTCACCACGAAGCTAGCTGCTGCCCGATCAGCCGAAGTGACATCCAAGATCCCGGGCAGTGCTATCAAAGGGTCAAGTGCAAATAACCGACTTCTCGCCAACGCCGAAGCCGCGGCTCAGGTGGCGCAAATGAAAGAAGATCTATACGGAGACTTGACCGGCTTGATTGTCCGTGGTGTTAAGCGCGAGCAGGGCGGAGAAACTTACGACTGTATCCAGACAGGTAGAAACGGAAGTAAGTTTACTTATAATTCTACCATTTCTTCCTTTGTCAACTCTTCGAGCTACGAAGCATCGACTAACCTATTTCTCTAGCTCTTCATTTCAAACTGGTCGTAGGTGGCGAGGATCTGACGGAGAAACTTGACGAGCCTCAGTTCATGTACATGCCTCAGTTAGATCCAAGTCGCGACCAGGATTTGATCGATATACTACCTGACTATCTCGCCGAGGAGATTACTTTCCCTCAGTCACACGCCGCGCGGTTTTACGCGAGAGTCATGAAGGCACTCACGGAGCGTCCGGAATATGACTGAGGAGAAGACTGTGCACTTTTTTATTTATTTGCTAATACGAAGTTCGGACGGGCGGGGAACGAGTTATTGTAGATATCCAGATACCAGAATATAATTCTTTGCTGTTTAGTACCCCTTTTATTCAGATAAGGGGTTAATTGAAGGCCGAGTTGACTCGTTCCCCCACATATGGATGCTGATATGTTAGGTACCTAGTGTACGTACCTAATCAGCCCTGTCAGTGCACCCTAGACCCATACCCGTACATTAGGTACAATACCTTAAATTAAGAATCCCTGCAAATGCAGACGCGATTTCCCAAGACGACACCTTGACGGCTGTCATGAAAGCGGGTTCCAATCTGTCAATCTTAACTTGCGACTTGGATCTTCCCCTACGTACTCCACGTCGTAAAGCATATTCAAGTCCCGTCTTAGATAGAGCTGAGGATCATATACGAAGACATAACGCGTTAATTCATCCGTGTCTTTCTCCTATTTCATATTTCCTATGGATCCGCATTGGGCTGGCCAACCCATCTCATCTAAAATTCCGAAATTTTGGTGAGACGCTTCTTCACTTAACTACAGCTTTTTTCCTTGTCCAGGAGACGACTTGTCCTTTACGGTCTACAGCAATGGCGGGCACCGGCCGTTTTAAATTCCTGGCGATAGCCATGGTATTCCACCTAATTTATATATACTCTATTTTCGATGTCTACTTCGTCAGTCCCATCGTTAGTGGAATGCAGTTGTTCCGCGTAGAGAGACCTGCCGGGGTTAAGGCGCCGGCAGATCGCCTCGTCCTCTTTGTTGGTGTGTACCGTTCCTCTATGGAGCATCCGAGTTGAAATTGCCGTCGCTAACGGATGTATCAACTAGGCGATGGGTTGCGCGCAGACAAGGCTTTCCAGTCACACCCCGAACCCTTCCCTGAAACCGAAGCCGATGAGGTCCCGAGACCGCTCGCGCCTTACCTACGTTCTCGTGTGCTAGAACATGGCACATTTGGTGTTTCTCATACGAGAGTACCCACTGAATCTCGACCCGGACATGTCGCTCTGATCGCTGGACTTTACGAGGATGTGTCTGCTGTCGCGACCGGCTGGAAATTGAACCCGGTCAACTTCGATAGCGTCTTTAATAGAAGCGCTCACACGTGGAGTTGGGGCAGCCCCGATATTCTTCCCATGTTCCAACACGGCGCAACTCCTGGCAGGATAGACGCGGACTGCTATGACGCAGAGTTCGAGGATTTCTCTAAAGATGCGCTTGAGCTAGATTTTTACGTGTTCGATCATGTCAAGGAGTTTTTTGCTGCCGCACAAAAAAACAAGACCTTAAATGATGCTCTAAGACAAGAGAAAGTTGTCTTCTTCCTTCATCTCTTGGGATTAGATACTACTGGTCATTCATATCGACCATACTCAAAGGAATACCTTAGAAATATTAAAGTCGTTGACCAAGGCGTCAAGGAAATAACGGAGCTAATTCAAAAGTTTTACAACGATGATAGGACAGCTTTCGTGTTTACGGCTGATCATGGCATGAGCGATTGGGGAAGCCATGGAGACGGCCATCCAGATAACACCAGGACTCCGCTCATCGCATGGGGATCAGGTATAGCCAAGCCGTATGTGTATTCAGGGACCATCGCCCCCGGTCATGATGAATACTCATCGGATTGGAACCTGGACCAAATAAAGAGAAATGACGTACAACAAGCGGATGTTGCTGCTCTAATGGCCTACCTGATCGGGGTCGAGTTTCCCGCCAACTCTGTAGGAGAACTCCCGCTGTCATATCTCTCTGCGAATATTAAAGAAAAGGCCGAAGCGTCTTTGGTGAACGCTCAGGAAATTCTAGAAATGTACAAAGTGAAAGAGAGCAGCAAGAAGACAACGGAAATAAGATATCGATCCTATAAACCTTTAAGCGAGGAGAGTAGTTCATCGCCCGAGAGTCGAGTGTCATCTATCAGAAAGTTAATCGATAATGGAAACTTCGAAGAAGCTATCGAAGAGTCTGCGGCGCTGATGAAAATTGGACTCGAAGGGATGCGCTATTTGCAGACCTACGACTGGTTATTCTTGAGGGCTCTCATTACCATCGGCTATATAGGATGGATGGCGTACGCCTTGACAACCGTTTTGGACCTACATGTATTGCAAGGTAGCACTCAACCCTCGAGAAGCCTTGGTGGCACCATTGCCTTCTCCTCAATCCTTGTTACGCTTTATGCGTCCTTCATCGTGTCGCACTCACCTATCACCTACTACGCATACGCCTTCTTCCCTGTATTCTTCTGGGAAGAAGTTTACGCTCGCAGGGACAGTTTGATTAAGGGAAGACAGGCCTTGTTCGGCCACATCAAGACCGGGCCCAATGTCTTATCCCTTGCGCTTAACATTATCACATATATTGGCATCATCGTGTCGTTGGTAAGTATTCCTTTTCGATTTCCTAGGAGGTTTCTGAGGATGACTAACATATATAGGCATTTGGATATATACATCGCGAAGTTTTTACAATACTGTATATCGTAGGATCATTATATCCTTTGACTATGGGGATATCTTTCCTCCGGAAGTATTCAGTTCTCTCTGCGACTTGGTTTATATCATGTCTAGTAATGAGTATTTTTACTTTGCTACCAGCAATGAAAATTGAAAACATACCCCTTACGTAGGTCGACCCGGTTGGTTACCCCTTAAATCTACCGAGCTGACAAGTAATAGTATGGTTGGCGGTGCACTCATGGTTGTTGTCGGCATCGTGTACCTGATTTTTGAAGATAAGTTCCTGGCCGATTCTTCAGGTTCAAAGAAAAACAGCACATTGCAGAAGGGTAATGAAATTTCCCGAGCTTTAATCGGCATTCAGGTGAGTTTTCTACTTCGCTTGACTAACGTGCTATACTAACTGGAGTAGGTTGGACTTATCATACTAGCTATGCTTGTAACGCGGAGCAGTGCTCTATCACTTCAAGCAAAACAGGGTCTGCCACGCGGGAACCAAGCTGTAGGATGGTTGGTGTTGATTGTATCGTTTTTGATGCCCGTCGCTCATCGACTTCAACCTAATCACCATTACCTTCATAGGCTACTAGTTATTTTCCTTACGTGCGCACCAACCTTCGTCATTCTTACTATCTCCTACGAGGGTCTATTTTACTTCGCCTTTAGCCTATTACTGGTTACCTGGGTGCGATTAGAACACCACGCCTATGAATTCCTCAAGCCAACTAGGAAGACGTCAGTAGAAGGCAAAGAAACCAACAAGACACCGGCAGAGGCGATAGTGTCCAAGTTTCGACCGCTAGTTCTATCGGATGCTCGTATAGCCTTATTCTTCTTTATTCTACTTCAATCGGCCTTCTTTAGCACTGGCAATATCGCATCTATTTCTTCATTCAGTCTGGATAGCGTAAACCGACTGCTTCCACTATTTGACCCCTTTTCGCAGGGGGCACTTCTGATTCTCAAGCTTATGATCCCGTTTGCGCTGATATCAGCGAACCTGGGTATCCTCAATAAGAGAATTGGAGTAGCGCCATCGGCGCTCTTTATGGTCGAAATGGCCCTGAGTGACATACTAACACTCTACTTCTTCTGGGTAGTAAAGGATGAGGGCTCGTGGCTTGAGATAGGGTCAACAATTAGTCACTTTGCCATAACCAGCCTTCTCTGCGTCTTCGTGGCCGCTCTAGAAGGGGTGAGCGCATTATTTATTGCGGGTGTCGAGGTGAATAACTCGCACGAAGCAGCCGTTGTAAGCAACGGAAAGGCATTGGAAGCGTCGATAGAGACGACCAACGGAGAAACTAAGAAGCCAAAAATAACGCCTTCAGATGAGAAATAAATATGTTAATACACGAGGCGAATCGCTGCTATTAGCTTAATAAATAAATAGCATAATACAATCTATACATACATACTGTACATGCACATTTATTGTAGTACAATTACGTGAATGAAATCTCTATGCAGTCTTCATGTCGTGACAGCGAATCTCGATACGAGACCCCCTAATTCGCTTCCAGACCGAATATTCAATAAATATACCGCTGATCTCGCCTAGCTGAAGATGAAATGTCCACTGAAACTCGCCAAAAGTTGCATATGTACGACGCAATATCTGAAGAAGTTTACCGTCCACAGTCTATGTCACAGTCTATGTATGTATGTTGACGATCTATCTACATTTGGTAAAAGCCTCGGCAGTCCCGACGTGTTAGCGGCGTGTTCAACTTGTCAAGACCGCGAGACAGACTCTCCACATTTCTTTCTTTCTTCTCAGGCTTGAATGCCAAGCGATTCTGCTGCTAGTCGAATATGACGGGTATCTGCCGTAATTCGTGCTGAAGAAGAATAGTGTCGGCGCTACCTATTCTTTAAGCGTATCCTATCGTTGGTACCTATATATAATCAACGCAACGCTTGTGATCTAGGCTAGGATTCTACATAGTAGATAGATATGCATAAGGACTGCAGGCATTGATGTGTTCTACAACGTAAGGTTACTTTCTCAGCTGCTAATACATCTACTGTAGGTATCCCACCTGCTGTAACATATGTGCATACTTTTGCATAGGTAGGTAGGTAGTTTTCCACCATCGTTTCTTTCGCATATCATCGGAGATAGACACGAGTAATTACAACACGATAGTGGATATAGAAGAACCAGCTCGTCATCTGACAGGCTCGTAAGGGTAGTAAGGGTAGTGAGGGTAACAGGGGCGAAAATAGACTAGAAGAAAACGGACTCGCCGCCGGGTTTAGTAACCTCCCACTCTTCTTCACATGTCAATAACACACATATACTATGTATTACATACAATTCCATACAATACCCATGCATGTATATATACTAGTAGTATAGTTGCACACGACCTTTTAGCTGTATTGTATATGTAGGTATTCATCGAATGATCAGTATCTGGATACGGAGCAAACAGACTGCCCGATGTGACTCCATTATTTTATTCTAAGCATTGTTAGTATATATACACGTAAGAGTGTGTTAGGTGCGTTCTCAGCTTCTATGAAAACCGGGCTATAAAAGATGATCGCATATCTCACATGCTTAACCATCTGCTTAAGGGTGATATTTTTACATATTTTTTAAAGCCCCACCACGTGCGACTGGGTTATTGTAATTTTCTATTTATTTTCATATGATTGAGGCTGCAATATTACATCAAGCAGGTATTTTACAATGTATAATTCGTAGTAAGAAGCTTGTATGTACATTAAGTACCTGTTAGTTAATCGAATAGGTATCTGTCCCGAAGACCTCATGGT